AGATTTAGGATATAATCAGGCTTCATATCTCAATAATTTCCCACTTGAAGATTGATTTTATCTTCCACTTCAACATTTTACTTCATCTGCAATGACAGCGCCAAGCTTCCTTCTTCACTCATCGAAGTCCATTGAGATTGAAAACAACCTCAATTCCTCTAAGGTCACCACCTTAGATTGTATTCCAAGATTGCTCATAAATCGGCTTACTACTTCCACCGCACAAATTTTCCACCTCCTAAAGATATCAAACGCATCATATTCACACTTAAGGAAATATACTCACATCTTCCTTGTAGCGTCGTCAATAAACGCAGTGTAGTACTGTGAGTCTCCAAGGGTCGATACAGGAACTGGTCCCCACAAGTCCGTTTGGACCAATTTCAACTTTTCCTTTTCCAGGTTTGTCCCACCCTTTGAGAATGCCACCTTTTGTTGTTTCTCAAAGAACCTGTCCTCGCATACTCCAATATCGACGGACTTGAGACCTGACAATATTCCCTTTGAAATGAGCTCCCCTATCCCCTTCTCACTCATGTGTCCGAGACGAGAATGCCATAAATATATGTAATTATTTATGACCACGGAACCGATTCTGTATTTGATGACTCCAAATATGAGCATATTCTTAGCTTGACAAAACTATGTATTACTTGAATTTCTGTATAAAAACCATCACAATAACTTGTTAATGGCATACTTTATTGATCTATATCGCTAGGCATGATCCAGAGTTCGTTTGTTCAGATTATTAACGAATTTTGCCCTTTTTAAGCGATGTTTTGGTGTCATAAAAGCTAAGGCAGACGCCACAAGCGACAGCTACCTCCGCTGTAACCGAAGGTTATATTACCTAGAAAAGACTAAGGCAAGAGAGACAAGCAGTAGCTTCCACCGCTCTTAAGCGACAGTCTCTCCCGCTCGCAAGCGACGGCCCAGACGTCCATCGCTGCAGAATGACAGCAGATATTGACTAAGTGTTCCAACTGCAGCGGTACAGTCATTCCACTTCCAGCCAGCACAAGCAAACCTAGCTGCGCTGATACCCTCCAGCCCTCCGGCAAACGAGGAAGATCTGAGCCCTTACCATCCTATGCAAGCGAAGCGAGCACCCTAGGATTTATAGCCAGCAACTATTTCAACAGAATAACTGTCATCAACTGGCTAACTGCCTAGCGGTTGAAACTGCCTTGTAACTGCTTGCAACCGTTCCTTTTCACCTACTATAAATAGGGTCAGATATCTGTATGTAGATTGACTTCGATTGAAGTATTTTAAGCGATTAATTTTCTGTGCATTTTAGTTGTCTTCCTGTTCTTCGAGAGCTCCAACCCTGTAAGGGATTTCTCCACAGGAATGGCCAAGGGAGTAGGGATTTCTCTTTTCCCTTGGCCAAGACTTTACCGCTTACTTAGTGTAGCTTTACTTCTTTCGATTACAGCTTTGTAAAACTAATATTTCCAACTTTGTTAGTAAATAATGAAATATCATTCAGTTCTTCATCTCTATTTCTTTCACATTTTCTTCACACTTATATAAACCTTGATTTTAAAGAATTTCATTTCACTGGTTTAGAACATAAGAAGAATTGATTATTTAAGCCTTGTCTTTTGCCAAAAGTGTTTTCAAGGTAATTCAATGTAGTTAAATACGCAGGAACCTTGTCGACCTACTTAACTACTGTTTTGAATTCAATTTTGATTAAAAAGATGTAACGGAAGGGTAAAGCCACTAATGAGGCAGAAGTTGGAAAAATTCATAGGGCATAGACGGTGGTCTATTAGATCACAGAAATTCCTAGTGACAGTAGGGTTTTTTTCTTATAATATTCCGATTCTGGGTTTCATTGAAGTCTTGTTGTAAATCCCTTATATTCCAGTGATAAGAATTCTTTATAATTCGGTTTATATATTTACATCATCTTCTTCCAACGGTTCCATATCATGCATATACCTCTGATAACACACCTACCGCCCGCTCATCTCATCCAGGAAAACCTAGCCATTAAGTAACGCACAGTTCAGACACAGCACCTCTCCCTCACTCTCCACGGCTTACATATATATAGTGTGTGTCATCCGCTCTGTCCCGTTCACTTGATCATCGCTGGCACTTCACCGCTCGCCTTCGCTTGTTTTGTTTTTATCGTTTTTACTTACCGCTTTCCATAGAGTAGAAATATGGATCCGCTGCAGAGCTGGTCCTTTTTACTGCAATTTTCGCCGTTTTTTCAAGATCTACACTTGATTAGAAGTTTATGACTTAAAATCTCTGTGTTCGACCTGGAAACTCACCAGTAAAAAGAGTATAAATAATTGTGATAACTACTCAGGGTCTACAACAAACATCTTTTACTATATCTGATCGTTTTCTATAGTCATTCACACCTTGATTTTCAAACATAAAATTCCCTATGGAAATATACAAATTACTTATCACCAAAATTATAGTTATCAGTATTCCATGTTTTTCGTTATGTAGAAAGTTTCATCTCTTCTCCCTTAAGCCACCACAATGGATCTTTGGGTTACCTTCCACAACTTAGTTTCAAAAACTGTTGAGTAACTTGCCTCATCAAACTGTCCAACGGAAATCAAATTTCATTTCAGACCTGAGACATGCCCTACGTCATTCAGTCTCCATGATTCCCGAATCACAACATGAGTGGAATGACGCTCCTGAGACCAAAGTTCATGACTCCATTGGACTGTTGATGCTCAAAATCAGCGCATCGGATATTTCCTCCGCTGCGTTTGCCAAACCCTGATCCTTCTTCGGCACCCTGCACTGTCGTTTCAAGTGTCCCTTGCAGTTCCAACATATCACCTGACTTGTATCTTCCTTATCCTTGTTCTTCGACTTCAACTTTGACAATTCTTGATCTTCACCATTTCCCTTTACCTCAAATCTACATCTATTTTTGGCACTAAGGGCAAAACCAGATCCAAATTCAGTCGAGACATTCTCCGAAAGGGTTAATCAAACCGCACTCATCGTCTTAATGTCGATCTTCTTGTATTCGACTTCATCCATGTTTTCGGGTTTCTTCTTCAACGCCGCCAATAGATCTTTACCATACAGGTAATCTTCTATTTGCATCTTCCAGAAACCGAAGTTCATCCATCGAATACCTTGACAGCATGATGATCACCCATCTTGACTCCCACAAACAAACTTAAGGTTCACTTGGTATGAGAACACATCGGATAATTCCCTCTTTGCGTTTGCCGAAACCTTTATCCTTTCCTGCCCACCTTGCACCGTCTATTACAAAGGGTCCCGCTACCTGACCTACCACAACTATCGGACCGACCCAACACCGCCAGGAAACTTTCGACACAAGGCACCTCCTAAGGTCACAAGGGATTCCCACAGCCACAATCATATCTGATGTCTCTCAGTCCACCCTACCAACGAACCAGACTCTGATACCACTTGTTACAAAAATTCCCACGAAATCAAGAAGAAGGCAAACAAGGACACAAGAATTTGGTTACCCAGTTCGATCAGAATGATCTACGTCTGAAGGCGCTGCCAAGCTAGGAATTTTATTATAAAGTACGCAGACCTTTGTTAAAGTAAAGAATACATGGATATTTATAGCCTAAGACGTCAATAATATCCAAATCATATTTCTAAATCTAGGATATAATATACAAATTATATTTAAATTATATTCAAACCATATCCCTCGATTTTAGAATATAATCAGACTTCATATCTTAACAGTAAACTTTTACTGTATATATTATTTTAATTTGATGGAAAGATTCAAAATTTTCTGAGTCTATTCAAATGGTTTTGAAATTTTGACTTTTCAAATTTTTATTATATATAGTATTATTTTCGAGTAATGAAAAAGCTTGGCTGGCTTTTCCGAGTCTATTAAACTGATTTTGAAAATTTTGAACATCTATCACTATAGAGCTATCAATTTTTCGGGTCGGGTTTAAGTTTGAGTTGGGTCGAGTTTTTAAATCGGCCAAATTCTCCAATTTGAATCCGACTCATTGATATAAACGGGTCAAAAGACTCCACTCATTCAACTTCGTTCAATCCAAAGGTGCATCCTCGCGTGAAAATGTAAATGTAGAGTAAGCAAATTGTGAGTTTGAGAATCTAAACTCCAAAGAACGCGCTCGTGGGTTCTCCAATCGCATTAAACAAAAAATAAAGAACAACAAAATAAATACGGATTAAATAAATAAAAGGATTAAGAAAGACAAAATTGGAGTGTGTTGTCATGTTTCTTCCACGTCTCGTTTTCCACATCTTATAATCCAATAATGAAGTTCATTATGGTGTACTCCTCTTCGTCCGAAAAATTTAATTCATATTCCTTTATACTTTTACTAAAACAACGACTAAATTTTCCATACCGAGAGAGTATTTGACTATATAAATTTCACTTGTCACTATACTCTCAATAATTTTCAAATAGTATATCATATGAAATCAATCTTTTATTTTTTATTTATTTATATTATTTAAAATTTTATCTTTTACAAAATAATTTTTATATTACTACATATTATATATAAGGTAAAATATTTAAAGCCCCACCTACCCCTCCCAAAAGCTCCATTTCAATTCCAAATTTTTGGGAAATTCAACATTTCCGATGCACAACCATTCTCAATTAAAAAAAAAAAAAAAACCCCTATATTTTGTGACAAATATAATATCAAACAATTATTTTAAAATACTAAAACACCAGGCTTTGTTATCTATGAGGTTTTTTTTTTTTTTTTTTTCCCTATGCAACCTCTAAATTCCCCTCTAAAAATATTTCATCTCTCCAAAATCTATTTCACCTAAAAATAACAAAAACAAAAACATCAAAATCCAAACCACACAAAAACGCCAAAAGAGCACACCAAAAAGTTATAACTAAAAAATTCCCATTCACCATAGAAGCATACTTAGACAGCTCCAACTTATGCACAACATAACAAAACAACAATTAGCAATGGAAAATCAAACACAAAAAACAAAAGGTATGCTAAACACCAATTTCACATGTAATCGACTGTAACAATGTGGCACTTGATTTACCAGAACACCAAAAAAAAAAATCTGTAGAGCAATCAGTCAACGCTTAAACACTGATATCACATACGAAAGTATCACAATTGACTTGTTTAAATTGTGGAATCATCGCATTCTTACTTCTTCTTAGTTTTGTCTCCGGCAGTGCTGCCACCACCACCACCTGCCTGGGCAGCCTTCTTTGCTGCCTTTTCTTGAAGTGCTTTTGCATCCCTGATACAAAACCAATTACAGATTAAAAACAGCAAGTAAAAGCACAACATTCTTCAAAGAGACATTTAATTTACTTCAATGAACATACGACTCTTACTTAATGTAAATTTGAGAAAATAAACAATTATATATTCTCAAAGCATCACCGAGAAGAAGGTGACAAGTGACAACTTTGTGGTTTCGTAGTCATAACTGTTAGAAATGCTTGTTGACAGAACTGTAAGCATCAATTTGTGCAATCAATTGCATAACAGAATATAGGGTGTGTTTGTTTAGGTTTTTTTTAAGAACTTCTACTATTCATAACTATTTCCTCCCAAAAAACATTAAATCAAACTCCTATTTTGCAGATTTATTTTATACTAAAAATCAATTTACATTCAAAACATACGTGATCAACACTTATTTATAGCATCAAATAACTATTCAAATTCAAATTTTTTACTATTCAAAACCCAAACTAAAAACTCCCAAACAAACACACCCAAGAATCTTTAACTCCTGGGGTTTTAGTTTAAAAAAAAAAAAAAATCAAAGTTATTGTAATGTGTTAAAAGCCAGAGCCTTCAACAATATGCTCAGGATAACATGGAAAGTTGCTGGGGGTGATCAAATTCAGAATCTCATATGAATTCCAAAACTTTCAAGCTGAAATCAGAACTTCCAAACTCAAAATCAATTTTAAGTATTTCTGTATGGAACTTTATGAGACATGGATAATGCATAGAAATAAACAGCATAAAATATTAAAATCTAACTAATTCAACACTCTTATCAAACCTAACCTAAAAGGTAATAATTGTCTGAAAATTGTCAAATTTGGAAAATCATATCCATACAATGGGCACAAATTACATACAGAACCATAGGTTGAGCAACTAACTTTCTCTTGAATTCTAAGAATTCTGAAATTACTACCAAAATCCATTTTCAATTTGGTACAAGATCATTTTTGTAGTCACTGAACTATCAGAACTTTTAACAACAAAAAATTCTTAGACTGAGAGAACCCACATGAAACTTTTGAATTTGGAACACAGAATTGATATCCAAACCTGTTCAGAATCTTAATTTCAATCTTTTCACAAAAATTCTGAATCTTCAATTTACAATCCATATCCTTAGTTCGATGACAATGTCCAGTCGTGATAAACAGGAAGTTCAAACTTCAAACTATGATCATTCTCAGTGTTAACGATATAGTTTATTTAAATCATAATCTTCATTCAATGTTATTCCACAGTTTATGGTCCTCCAATAAATCTCTTAAGAAAATAGATTCAAGAAAGATGAAATACACAGTTCAGTATCCTCCTATAAATCTTCATAATCTTCATTCACTATTATTCTTCGGTGTCGACTTAGGGGGCAAACAAAGATGGAATTCTATTAATATATCTCATCACTTGGTGAAAGTAAACGAATATCATATCAATGGTACTGTCAAGTGAGATATAATACCCAGATTCAATATCTTAATCCCTGCCAACAAAATTACACTACGATGATTCTGGTCTTAATTTCAATCACATCCTGCTTTGGAATAATTATAACCTGATTTACCAGAAACAAGTACAAATATACCCAGAAATTATTACTAAAAAAATCAGAGGATAAAAACACCAAATCTCACAAACAGATCAAAACAATGATTGAATTATCGCTGAAACTGACCTCTCGCGCCGCTGTTCGGGGGTTAACCCATCATCCTTATTCTTTCCTTTGCCCGTATTCCGAGCCTGAGCCCTTTCCCTGTCACGATCTCTCTGATTACCACGTAGGTTCCAGTTAAGAAATACACACACAAAACCCGTTCGCAATTAAAGGATTAAATCTCCAAAAGTAATCAAGAACAAAAACCTAGGGTTTTTCGCATTTGATACATCAAAACTCTTAATTCCACTCCACAATTAGAAAACCTAAAGATCCCACACACACACACACACAAAAAAAAAAAAAAAAAAACACAAATTTGATACAAGATTTAACACAAGAACAAAACAGAAACAAGGAATCGAAACATTGACCGAAGGATATGAGTCATGGCGAAATCCCGCCGGATGAAAGTTCGCCAAGGGTGAAGAAGAACACGAAAATGGAATGACTGCGTTGCCTCAAGATATGATATGTTTTTGGCCAATTGACAGCTAATTTAATTTATTTTCTAAAAAACAAAATTGGACAATAAAATTCTACAGCTGGCGTTGACTTCTGTAAATACCAGCGCTCGAGTACCTATAATCTATACCTAATATATTTTTAATTATACACTCTCTTTGTAAACCACCTAGAATCTATGAATAAATTAAGGATTAATTCTTTTAAAATCCTCAATTTTTAAATTATTTTTTATTAATTTTTATTTATATAATTTTTTTATTTAACTTTGTATTTATTTTACATCACTTCTTATTTATAATTATTACACAATTTTATCCATTTTACCTTTTAAATAACTTTTTATTCATATTTTTATCTACCAAATATAATCTAAAATCTTTACGTAAATAATATTTAATTATATTATTTGTTTATCTATAAACAAATCTATTTATTTTATATAAATAAATTTTTGTATATAAAATCTATTTATTTATGGCTCAATAATTTTTGCAGTATTTGTTACAATACATTAGTTTTTATAATAGAAAAATACTTTTTTCAGATAAAAAATCATAATTTTCAACTTGTTTATTATATTACTCATACTTATATTTAATTTAAATCAATATTTTTTATAAATATTTTATATAATTATAATGTAACAGTTATGAGTACTTTTGTGTTATATATTATTATTATTATTATTATTTATTGTCAATTATTATTTTTAGGGTAAACTGTTTGTTTTTTGTTTTTTTAGTTCTGTAACTGGACCCCCTTATCATTTTAGTCCTATAATTGGAGCCTGTCGCAAACTAGTCTCATAAGTGAAAAATTTTCGCTGTTTTAGTCCTCCGGCGCCAGAGATGCCCGCGTGGCTCGCCGGAGGTGACGTGTCCGCCAGGTCAGCGACACCTGGCGGACACGTGGATTTTTTTATTTTTTAAAACTTATTTTTCATTTATTTTTAATTTTATTTGTATTTTTTTATTTGGTCCAATTAAAAAAATTAAAAATAAATAAAAAAATAAAATAAATCCACGTGCCAGGTGTCGCTGACCCGGCGGGACACCTGGCGGACACGTCACCTCCGGCGAGCCACGCGGGCGTCTGCGGCGCCGGAGGACTAAAACAGCAAAAATTCTTCACTTATAGGACTAGTTTGCGACATGCTCCACTTACGAGACTAAAATGATAAGGGTCTCGTTACAGGACTAAAAAAAACAGTTTAACCTTATTTTTATTATTGTAATCTTTTATTTTATATTTAAATTAATAAAAAATAGAAATAAATTATAAAAATTATAGTGTAGTTGAAAAAAAAAATGATAAAGGAATTAAATGAGGTTACTATAGAGTTTTTACATGAACAGTGAGTAAAAAAAATAAATTTGTAAATATAGAGAGTAAAGAAGATAAAATTAATGTATATAGAATAAATAAGAATATGAATATAAAATTATGGAGATATCTTAAACTTAGCTCATAAATTAATATTTAATTATTATTTTTATTCAATTTTTATTACAAAGAACTCTTAAAAGAAAATAATGTTTTTCACTAAACATAAAATAAATAAGAAAAATTGGATGATAGTGGTGGAGACTGTTCGTTACGTTTTAACAATATATTTATATATATAGATATATATATATATATTTGATGTAGGTCCACTGTCATTTTATGGGCAATAGGATTTTGCCAAAATTTTATTATTAATTAAATTTTTTAAAAGTATATATATATAATTAAATATTTTTTTATTTTTATATTATATTAAAAATTAATTTAATATTTAAAATATCATATTAATATTTATTTATATTATATTATACAATTATTTTATTTTAAAAAATTTACTATTTAAATCTTAATTCAAAATACAAATTTCAAATAAACGAACCCTAATTATTTACTCTATACATAAATCAAATTTTTATTTTATTTATTTATTTATTTTTGCCACCAATAACTTTTGACTTTTGAAACTGCAGCTATGGCTACACCCGAAGAAAAAACTGAGAACAAAAACAAAAATAAAATAAAAATTAGATGAGAAAAATATGACAATATACTCAAATTTTCTTGATAAATGAAAGCACAAGTGGACAATTAGTGAAAAAAAAAAAAAAACAAAAAAACTCCCCAAATATTGTAAAGAAGAAAAAGAAAATTCAAAAAAAAAATAAGAAAAAGAAAATAGTAAAGAAAGAAAAAAAAAAATAGGAAAAAAATTCTGAAGGCATATTTTAGAGGCGATTTAAAATTTTTTAAAATATAAAAAAATTTAAAATAAATATAAATAGACTGTTCAAAATTTAAATCAAAATAAATTTGTTACATTATAAATATATTGAAATAAAAATTAATTTTATTTTTAAAATATTTATTTATATTATTGTTAGCTATAGAATCCTAACAAAATAAAGTAAAATTCAAACCAAAAAATGCTTCGAATTTGATGGGTTGACCTGAGGTTACGTATGAACCCATAAGCATATAAACAAAGAATAAGAAATTAAAGTTTAAACAAAGATTAGGTTTTTTATTGTGTCTGTACTTCTATTATTCTCTCTGTTTCTCCTTTTATCCTTCTGTTAGCGCCCTTTTTGAATGGTTGGATTCGGTTACTCCAAAAATCTAATTCGGCCAAGGTGACCATCTGACGGTTACCTTCCGAACCTCCAGAAACCTGAGTCGATTACTTGTCAACCGATCTTTTCAATTATCGGATAATTCATCATCATGCCATCGTTCAGCCCAACACAATACGAACGACCTTTCGGCCCATTTTATTAAAAAATTATTATCTACAAAATCATATATACTGAATTGGTCGCAGGAGAAGAACGAGAACCGCCTCGTAGGTAGTCGGATGGCATGGGATAGAAAGAGGAGAGAAAAAAATATAATAAATTATATAAATATATATTTTTTATATATGTCCAACCAATCAATTTAAAAATAAAACATTTTTCTTTGGATAATTTTTTTCTATTTTATTAAAAAATTATTTTTTACAAAATGATAGATATACTCAATTGGTCGGATAACAAAGAGGAGAACCGTCCAGTAAGGAATCCATTGGGATAGAAAGAGAAGAGAAATATAATAAATTATATAAATATATATTTTTTTATATATGTGCCACCAACCAATTTAAAAATATATATATTTTTCTTTGATAATTTTTTTCTATTATATTAAAAAATTATATAATCAATTATATAATTTTTTTATATATATATTTGTGCAACCAACCAATTTATTTACAAAAAATATTATTTTTCTTTGGATAATTTTTTTTTATTAAAAAATTATTCTCTACAAAATGATACATATATACTAAAGTGGTCGGATGAAAATGAAAAGAACCTTCCAGTCGGTTGGCATAAAAGATGAGAGAAATAAATATAATCAATTATATAAATATATTTTTTTATATATATGTGCAACAACCAATTTAAAAATATATATATTTTTCTTGGGATAAAATATATATATATATACTGAATAATATTTAATTTAGCTAAAATTAAATATTTAAATAAAACATAAATAATGCATAAAAATATAATTTAAGAAACACATCAATTAATTTAATTTATACAACACAATAATTATAAAATATACTTAAAAATTAATAAATTAATATTTTACACACAAAATACAATTGTTGATGCAATTTTTCAACAATAAAAAAGTAAAATCTGAAAATAAGAAATTACCTTCGAATTTGATATAATTAGTGCCTGATTATGAATTTCTAAACACTGTAGGATACATAAATAAAATAGGAAAATAAAACTATAAAGTGGCAATCCCCAAAGGCAATTCTTTTGAATTTGATGTCGATTGAAGATGCTCTGCCAGTTGCTAACCCCAAATCCTTAAATATTCTTCAGAAGAGATGTTTCCTAACCGTCGCCAGCAACCGCCGTCAACCGCCCACAAAGAAACATTTTGAAGCATCGTCTGGTCGGTTACGGCAACCGTCTCGCCAACCACATAACCCAACTGACCAATCCAGAGACTAATTGGTCGCTAGACCAAACGACTCCTGGTCGCCCCATCAAGCGGCCACCCTCTGTCTTTCCAGACGATTCAATGGTAGCCTCAACCAAGCTACTGAACTACTGTTCATTCAATTAGGCGACTAATTAACAGACCTTCTTCGCTTGGTCCAAACTCCGTATTGGCCGACTCAACCGATGGCGGACCAACCGACTGCAAACCATCCGATCCGACTGCAAACCATTCGACCTGCCTATCCAACCACGGACTTTCTGACATGCCTATCCGACCGCGGACCTTCCGACCTACCTATCCGACCACGGACTTTCCGACCTGCCTATCCGACCGCGGACCTTTCGACCTGCCTATCCGACCGAGGACCACCCGACCTGCCTATCCGACCGCGGACCTTTCGACCTGCCTGTCCGACCGCGGACCTTCCGACCTGCTTATCCGACTGCGGACCAACCGACCGGATCAACCGACCGCGGACCAACCGACCTGAGTGCATATTTTCTCCTTTTCCGCCCGACTTCGTGTCCTAACTTCCTTTAAGATCATTTTTTGTGTGTAACAACAATAAATATAATTATTGAGTTAAATATAAATTATACCAAAACTCGATATAAATAATTAATTAATATAATAAAAATAAGCCAAAATCAAGAGTTATCACTAACTGACTTTCTTCTGGACGGTTGTCTTCAATCCTTCCCATGTGAGGCCAACCGACTCCCCCAGTGTTGACTCTCTAAAATATATTTATATAATTCATTCTCTTTTTTTCTCTCATCATTCCATTCGATCAGCCGTCCAGTCGGACAAAAAAAAAATTTGTTTTGCGTGCCCAACAAATTCGAAAACCCCTAGCATTAGTTTCAAATACATTTCTTTATATATGATAACATTAAAATATATCAATATATTTTGCACATGTAAATCAATATAAAATAGCAAATAGAATTGGAAAAATACATTTCTCAACAATATTCCAATATCGTCACTGTAACTGATAAATGAGGGTTAATTGACAAATTTAATCATACTTGGCCATAATATTACCGGTACGTATAGTTGATGTAAATATACATTGTTTCACTATTAAGGCTAATTTAGTAAAAACAGGTAGTCATCCGTACAACTTCTCATATATATGTGTTTCAATGATATATTTTATATAAGTTATGACCCCTAGTTTATTTCACCATGTTTTGTGTAGTGTTGATTTATTATTATTATTATTATTATTTTTTATACCATATCAAATTATTTTTAGGATCATAACCACGTAAGGCTTGATTAGTTGAAAGGCTATACATTCGAATGGTTCTAATTATATGTGAGTTTCATAAGTCTTGTTACATTATTATTTACAAAATAATATTCATGTTATATAATATATTTTATTAAGATATAGTTTTTAAATATTCAAATATATATTTTAAATTTATTTTAATTATAATTCTTATATTTATATATATATATATTTTATAAACATTATTCTATTAATATTATTTTTTACTTTAAAATGCAAACAATACCGTTTATATAAAAAATAATACTTGATCCGTCCTAATTCAAATACATTTTTATCATTTTAGTTCGCCTCATTCCAAACTATTAATTTCATATTTTACTAAAAGTAATTCACAAGTACCAAAATATAATTACTTAAATTACAAATATACAATTATGCAGTTAATTTTTTTTATAAAGTCAAGGCAAAACCTCTTACACACCTGATGGGACCTGGACGGAGGGAGTACAATAATATTATAATTAGGAAAAGAATCAATTTTAGTCTCAATATAATCAAAATTTATCAATTTTGGTCCAATTATGAAAAAAGCTCATCAATTTTAGTCCCAATATAAACAATTTCAATTAATTTTGGTTATATTATAAACAATTTAAATCAATTTTGGTCTCACCATTAAAAAACTAACGAAAATTGATGACGTGGACATAACGAATGTGACGTGGCAGTTAACCTGGAAAGTACACGACCATGTACAATTATACATGACCATATACAATTATCCATGACCATATTGTTACATGATCATGTATATTTCATTGTATAATTGTACATGGTCATGTTGTTACATGACCATGTACAATTATACACGGCCATATTATTATATGACCATGTATATTTTAGTGTATAATTATACATGAACATGTTGTTACACCACTATATATAATTCTACACGGCCGTGTACCTTCGGTCTAAAATTTTATTTTTTGGTTATATTTTTTTACTTTTGGAAGATTTTGTCTAAAATTTTACTATTTAGCAAACAAATTTCTCTTATAAACATCCAATTACTGTATTGAAATAATAAATTAAAACTTTTATTACTACTATAATATACAAAATTACAAAATGATTGTATAATTGAATGTTTGTAAGAGGAATTTTTTTTTATAAATAATAAAATTTTAGACAAAACATTTCAAAAGGATATATCTTATAAATTTTTATATTTGAATTAAAATTGATAAATTAAGAATTTTTTTTAGTGAACGTATCACGGCTTTTTAATTATATTATAATGTACAATTATACACGACTATGTTGTTATATGACCATGTATATTTGAGTGTATAATTATACATGACCACGTTGTTACACGACCATGTACAATTATACGGCCATGTACATTTATATTTTAGTTTAAAATTTTATATTTTTGTTATATTTTTATTAAAAAAAATTATTTTGAATTTAAAATAGTTGATACAGTTAAAATAACAAAATTAATACTATTATAATATAATTAAAATTTATCAGTTTTAATACAAATATAAAAATTTATAAGATATATTCTTTTGAAAAGTTTTGTCTAAAATTTTATTATTCATAAAATAAATTTCTCTTACGAATATCCAATTACACAACTATTTTTTAATTTTTTATATTATAGTAGTATTAAAAATTTTAATTTTTATTATTTCAATACATTAATTGGATGTTTGTAAGAGAAATTTTTTATAAATGGTAGAATTTTAGATAAAATCTTCAAAAAGAACATACTCGATAAATATTTATATTTGAACTCAAATTGATATATTTTAAATATATTATGATTATTATTGATTTTTTTTCCCTTTTAACTATATCAACTATTCTAAATTCAAAAAAAAAAAGTTCAAAAATATAACAAAAAATTAAAATTTTAGACCGAAACAAAAAGGTACACGACTGTGTAGAATTATACATGGTTGTGTAACAACATGGTCATGTATAATTATATACTGAAATATACATTGTCATGTAACAACATGACCGTATAACAATATGATCATATATAATTATACACCGAAATATGCATGGTCATGTAACAACATGATCGTGTATAATTATACATGGCCGTGTAACAACATGACCATGTATAATTATACACTGAAATATACATGGCCATGTAACAACATGATCGTGTATAATTGTACATGGCCGTGTAACAACATGACCATGTATAATTATACACTGAAATATACATGACCATGTAATAACATGGCCGTGTACTTTCCAGGTTAACTGCCACGTCACCTCGTCATGTCCACGTCAGCAATTTATAATTGGACCAAAATTGATTGAAATTGTTTATATTGATACTAAAATTGATTAATTTTTTATATTGAGACTAAAATTGATAAATTTTTGTTATATTAAAATTAAAATTGATCAATTTTTTATATTGAAACCAAAATTGACTTTTTCTCTAATTTTTTTACTGTTTTAAAACTTTTAAAATTTGAAAAAACTCTCTAAAGAGAGAGTATAGAAACCCGCGTGGCTGGAGGAGAGGAGAGGAGAGGAGAGTTTCGACTTTCGACAGACGGACAGAGGGACAGAGGATTGGAAGAACAACATTGGATTTGGGCGGCCTGGCCACGCCACCCTCGCTCCGCAGATCCTATTCCATCCCATCACAGATACATCAATCAATATTGCCACATGTTCCTGCTGGAATTCCGACGCCGTTTTCGGGTTGCCTTCGACGCCTCTGCCTCCGATCTGAGCTCCTGAGGTCAGTGTTTTTATTCCACCCTCTGTTTTCTTCGGATGCAAGCGATCAATTAAATGAGTTCTCTTTCTTCATTGATGGATTTCGTGAATTCGACGGGCACGAGATTATTTAATATGGCAAATGGGGCGCAACATACCCTCGTTTCGTTAAGCTTATTTATCCTTTTTTTCACATGCCCTGCTTTACAGATTATGTGCTTGAAGCATGATGCCTTGTTTTGGGTTAATGAGGTGTGTAGAAGGGGAGTGTGGTCGGCTTGTTTGTCCGGAAAATGTAAGGAATGATGATAGCGATTGATGGACGAGGTTACTGATATTTAAGCAACTTATTCGAGATTAACTGTGACATTTTTGAGAAGGGGGTTGAAGTAGGTGAGGGTATATACTACTTAAATAATATGGCCTGATTAAGAGGTTGAAGAATTTTGATGTTTGTCTAATAGGCTAAAATTAATTACTGAATTTTGACTGTCTAATGTTGCTAAGAATGTGTAAATAAAGACGATAGCAACAAGGGCTTAATTGTTGGAGTGTTGGTTATTCTTTATTTTCCGAGAGAATGTGTTGTGTAGTGTTAGTTTTGAAAGATACTCTTGATTAAATGTAATGAACAAATGAAGTTTTTGAAGGGTAACATTGATGACATTGAAATGGACTGTTTGAACCATTAAAAGAGTGGAAAGGAAGTTTAAAGAGGAACTGCAAATTGTATTCCCCTTCTTGAAGAAGGGAATTATCCAAGATTATTACACAAAGCTATTGAATTATCCTTGACCCTAGGTGGATCCAGAACTTGCTATGAATATGAATAGGAGTATGAAGACGATGTTCTAGAGTTAGGTGATGGATGGAGATGCATGTTTAAGTTAGGTATGCTAAATAAAGAACATGCGCCACGGAAAATGAATCTTTGATCTGATATAATACTACAAGTCAGCATAAAAATGGCAAATGAAACTTTTATCTGATATAATACTACAAGTAAGCATAAAATTTTTTAGAAGAACCATTCATTTTATGATACTCTTGTAATGGAGTTGGAGATCCCTTAGTACAACTACATCAATGTTAAAACAGTTTTTTATTTGTGAATCTACTAATAGATAGGGTGCAACATAAGGTAGGGTTTGTTACATTTCATACAATTGAGAAGGTCGGAAACTCTAGTATTGTCTACATCAATTCCTATTGCCTAGTTAGATACGGACCATGCTTGTCAAGCCACCCAATAGGAGAATAAATAATAAAAAGTACAAGATTGCTAACCTTGAGGATAGATGTTAAATACTTATCCACCGATTTCTCTTCTTATGTTATGATTATGACTTGAGTTTGAAGTGAAAAAATTTACTTTAGTATCACTATATAGTTTAGGGCCTCAATTAGTTTTAGACTGCCTTGATACCTGGAAAAGCTCCCTGAATTGATTATAGTACTGCGTCAAAACTCAAAATCAAAGTTGAGAAATAACACAGTTGATCTTGTGGTTAGGATTGCTCACAGTTGAAATGAATGGAATCTATAATTTTTGCTATGAACTCTACTTGACAGAGCATAATGTTGGATTATATTTTTATTCAAGTATAGTTTTCCAAATACTGGAATTTTAAACAAATATCTTACATTATATTTTTATTTTTACAGAAACAACCAACCAAAATTAATACATAATTGAACTCTCACAACCTATCAAAATACCACCTAATTTCAAAAAACTCATCCAAAAAATGTCCAAAATTCAAAGCTAAGCTTAAAAGCCATCCAACATACCCTACCTCTTTAGAATATCTCCATAAAGTCTTTATAAGAGGTGAAAAATACTTAGAGAACAAAAAAACCATAGAAACCCAGAGAATTTTCTTGTTATTTGACTTGTGATGAAATCCCACTCAAAACTCCTACCTTTGCTCAACAAATGAAGCAAGCTTGAAATGACAGTTTATTTATGTTCGTTCATTTGCACTTCTGTCCAGATAAGTATTGTAGATAGAGTTTGCTGTGTGTTTTTTTGGAACTTGGACTGCTGCTGAGGAGCATAGCTTTGTATTTTTTCTATACTAAATGGGTTGGTACTGCTGAAGGCTGTGTTGAGGTGGTCGGTTTTCTAACTGTTCTTGTAGATAAGCTGATCTGGTGCTATTTCTGGCCAACCTCATCAATATAAATTATGCTCTGCAGTATTTGTAATTGCCTTAGTTAGGCACAACTTCTTGAGACCATACTTCCTGGAAGTGTCTCTATGAATTTCAACCAAAAAGCCTTGAATAGATCTGGAATCACCATTCACATACTCCTGAGCTATTGAAGTTTCATTTAGTTAGTTATAACTTGTCGTGGCTAATGCCTGGAGCAGTTTTGATTGAAATGGTCAGAAGTTCAAGTGCTCTTAACCAATTTAATTTGCTAAAATCCAATCTAAATGGGACAAGTTTGGGCTTTACCAAACTTAATCGACATTCTGTTATCTGATGATTCACACTATTATATGACTAGAAAATTGGGTGCGGAAAGTTTTCAAATGGATTAAGTTTCTACATTAGTTTGTTATAATCCTTGAATATTCACAGCTGTCCTTGTTAGTATCACATGCCATTACATGTGGACGTCGCTTTAAGATGCTACCAAATTACAGAATTTTATTTATATATGAACTGAGGCAGAGGACAAGATACATAGGAAGAAGAAGGGCTATAGACTAGAGCAGGAGATATACAAACACAAAGGAAGGGGACTAGAGCGAGGCAACAAAATCAAGACTACACCTAGCCCCTCTTTTAACAAAATGTTCGGCTGAAGAGTTCTGACTTCTAAGCACATGACTAAAAATCAGGAGGGGCACTTCGAGATGAATCCCCTGTTTATCTCAAAGTTTCACCTCAATGGAGCTGAGTTTCCTTGGACTTGTGTTTGTGTAATTTCCACTAAATCTGAGGAGCTTAGATTTCCTTCTAATTAGTTGTCCACTTTACACAAGATAGGAAGCCACACTAAAACCTGGTTGGTTTTAGCACCCACCGGGGCACCAGGGTATGAGAAAGGAAGAAAACCCACTGAGCAATTAATCGCACCAGTTGAGTTTGAGGGTAGATTCTGGGACTTTGATGCCATGGAGAGTGCTATTCTGAAGATTGAATTTGAGACCAGCTGCTGGCTGGAGACACTTGATAACGATAAAAGCTTCTAAATCAGCCTTGCAAAAAAACTATTGTCTTCTGCGAACTGGAGGTGCGAGATCAATGGACCTGAAAAACCACATCGAGTCCCTTTCATGAAACCTTATCTGCTACTTTATCGAGAGACCCCCAATAACTCCCAACAATAGTGAACAAGTAGGGAGAAATCGGATCACCTTTATGTAGCTCTTTGCGGTGTTTGATACAAGTGGTAAGGAGGCCATTAATAAGGATGAGAAAGTGTGCTGATAGATAGTAGATACAAACTTTGATCCAAGCTATCAATTTATCTTCAAAGCTCATTTTCACTAGGATAAGGAGGGAATCCCAGTTGATGTTGTCAAATGCCTTTTCCAAGTTCAATTTGAGAAGCGACTATGTTTAAGACTAAGGATCCTGTCCACAACTTGCTTCTCTTTGAGAAATCCAATTTGGCTGGGACCAATAATGAGAGGAAGAAGCACCTCGAGCCTAAAGGAATAACCTTGTCTGAGAGCTTAACCCCCAATAAGTGAGATGGGACAAATGCTTTCTTCTGATGGGGTGGGGATTTTCTTGATGAGGGTGATGAAGGAATTTCCAACACCAAGAGGTAATGAGTTGTCTGCATAAAAAGCTTTGAAGAAATCTAAGATATATTTTGAGGATATTCTAGGTATTCTTGAAGAAATGAAGGTTAGGGCCATCGGTTCTCGGAGCTTTATTTCCATCACAAGAGGCAAGCATTAGAGAATCTCTTCCTCTGAAAAAGGACAGAGTTTGCTCCAAGACTGTCTGGAATAGTGTCGAAAGCCATCCAATCTGACCAAAGTGGGGCTGCTTGAGCAATTGCTCCGTGCTTATAAGTTCTTTCTTAACTGTAAATCTTTAATTTGTATATTATAATAATCTAATGGAGAAATTACTTTCCATTTGCCTTTTTATCTCGTTTTATCTATTTTTCTTAATCAACTATTGATAAATGGGGCATCCGAAGTGTTGACTATAAATATTTAGCACTTAAGTGTGTGTGTGTAGTTGCGAGATGCCTTTCGTAGTTGTAGTAACCTGATATATATCATTGGAACCTGTGGATGGCTCTTTAATATGCTATTTATTTGCTTTCTGCATGATCATGAACTTAGTAGTTAAAGTTTGGTGTGCTATGATGTTGCTAACAACACAATGTTTGGCTTTAACAAGGACTAGTTTGGTATCTTATTTGCAGGAATTTTGAAAATCTTTATACTCAGGTACAACATTAAAGGTCAACCACATTCAATTTTGTGAACTGAGAAATGGCAGATGAAGCGTCAAGCTTTTGGGGCCCTGTCACATCATATGATTGGTGTGAGGCAAATTACATCAACTCTTCCTATATTGCCGAATTTTTCAACACCGTCTCTAATATTCCATGCGTACTTCTGGCATTCATTGGTCTGGTGAATGCAGTGAGACAACGCTTCGAGAAAAGGTTTAGTGTCCTTCACATATCAAATATGATACTTGCCATTGGCAGCATGGTGTATCATGCCAGTCTGCAGCGGATGTAAGTTTGCTTTATACTTATCATTGTTCTTATTTATGCTGATTATGTTGATGAGGCATGCTATAATTTACGTTGGCTCTTGAGGAAAATTTTTCTGGTAAATTGACTTGCTCATGATGATGCCAAATTCTGTTTAGTTGCTTCTATAATGGAGTTTGCGAGACCCCGTAATTAAAGAAAGACAATCTTTAAAACGTAGTGACAATGAATGAAAACAAAATGATAGCTTTAACTTACTTGGTCTCGTTTCCTTTTTCTGGGAGAGATGGTATTTCCTCTTTTATGGAGAGATGGTCTAGTTTCCTTAGTATGCATGATTTATGGTGAAAAGGAATTATATTTTTATTAAGATAATTTATGTACGTATGGTTTATTACTTTTGGACTGCAGTATAATCAGTGGATTGAAAAATGAGAGAACATGTTTTAAGATGGTTAATCATGTCAATATAGAGTGAATAGTGCCAAAATGAATTTGAAAACACAACAAACACAGGGTTTTTTTATTCTGGGGAAGGGGAAACCTGAGGAATAATATATTCAATCAAGAATAGTATTGCTCAAACACTACGCTGTATAGCCGATCCTACTTAGTGTGATAAATCCTTGGATGATGATCAATTAGAAGCTTCATTAAGGCAACATTTTTCTGAAGATACAATTTATGATTAGATGAATCATATATATGTTTATTTGTATATAGATGTCTGTGTAAGCTCTTGATATACTGGACTCAGATAACAGCCTCGTGGTATTCCTTCTCAGGCAGCAGCAAGGCGACGAAACACCCATGGTATGGGAAATGCTCCTGTATATCTACATTCTCTACTCCCCCGACTGGCATTATCAGAGCACCATGCCGACGTTTTTGTTCCTCTATGGGGCTGTTTTTGCCGTTGCACATTCACAGATCCGCTTTGACATTGGCTTTAAGGCGCACTATGCGGTGCTTTGTCTCCTCTGCATCCCGAGGATGTACAAGTACTACATCTACACAGAAGAGAGATCGGCCAAGCGTGTCGCCAAGTTGTATGCTGCGACTCTCTTGATCGGGAGCCTGTGTTGGCTGGTGGATCGGCTGCTGTGCGATGTTGTCGTCTCGTGCTGGTACCTCAACCCGCAGGGCCATGCTCTGTGGCACATCCTCATGGGCTTCAACTCGTACTTGGCCAACACATTCCTCATGTACTGCCGGGCTCAACAACGGGAGTGGAACCCACAGGTGAAGCACTTGTTGGGCTTCTTCCCTTACGTGAAGATTCGGAAGCCAAAAGTGCAGTAGGAGGCAGGCAAAGCGTTAACAGCTCAAATCGGGTTCGGTATGATTTTGGGCATGGTATGTATGTTTATGTTTTTTCCCATTTGAAGAATGAGTGAGTATCCATCCATCCAGTGTAGTCAGTCAGTAAATGGATAGGAATGGATTATGATTTTGGGAGAGGGTCATTTTTTGGTGGTTCAATTTGGAGTGGAGAGTGAGTGTGTGAGAGCTAAGTAAGTGAGAAAGATGGTCACAACACAAGAAAGGAAGACTATTTTGACATTTGACAATTGACATAGGCACAGAGAGAGAGAGAGAGAGGCATAGTTGATTGGTTGAAGTCTTCTTAATCTTTCTATTCACATTCTAATGCTGCTGCTGCTGCTGCTGCTGCTGTTATTGAACAGTTGAGAGTTACGTGTTGAGTTTGATATGTTTTTCTTTTCATTTTATTTATGTGCGCCATAACATTTTAAATTTTGGTTTTCTTACCATGCAATCGTTATAATTCTTTTTAATATATATTATTATTTTTTTGATATAAAATAGCATATTAAAGTTATTATTCATATTTAAAACAAAATAAATAAATAAATAAATAAATTAAATATCAAAATAGACACTCAAACTATTAGAAATTACGACATGGAAGATTTGATGCGCTGCTAGGGAAGATATTCGAAATCTACATTATCAATAAGCTTATAAAAAATAACTACAAATTTATTTGATGGGCAACATTTAATTCTTTTTAGTCTATTTTCAATTAAAATATCTTTTATCTTATTTGTAAAATTATCTAAATTTTTAAGATCATACACATTTAATGAATAAACTGTATTATCATCAACTTTTACCTTGTTTACTTAAAATTTTCGCGATTATTATAATTATAAAAAATACAATACATACACTCCCACGTAATATATAACACGATAAATCAACTTCAAACAAAAGTAAGAATGATTAAACTCAGAACAAAACTCTCATGAAATACGAACGTAACTACAATAAACTAAAGTCATATATACTCATTATGATCACCAAGCAACACGGCGCCCTTCTACAGACGTCCTCCCTCATTCAACAAGATTCACAAAGAGCAAACATTTCAATATAAGTAAATAAATACCATAATATCTAAACTTCAATCCCATCAATTAATTCTGTATATTCATAACCCCACTCTATTAATGATTCAGAACAAAATCAAAACAAAGACATTCCAGCTATAATCTATCGAAACCTATCACTTCTTTCTCTAGACAACAGTTGTTACAGACAAATACAACAATTAAACTTCGCATCGCAAAAAGAAAGACAAGAATGCAAGAAACTGCCAGTGTCTAATGCAGCGCCATAAATGAATGTCCAAAACAGAGAAAGAAAGACAAGCTCAATATCGTATCGGGCAACTCTCCTGCTGTTTCGGCACCACCACTGCTAGCCGCAGATTTCCGAGCTGGCACAGCCGTGCCAGATTCTTGTATATGGTTACCTTCGCCATGTTGTTGTCCGACAAGACGACATGCGCGACGCTGAACGACTCACCCTTTTCCACTGCAAATTGCCATTCCCTCAGTGATATCAGAAACCAATTTTTTCTTGCAGATATGGTTGATTTAACTTCAATGTATTCCTGGGTTTCTTCGTCCTCTCCCAAGATGATGTCGTAGGGCAGTCCAGTTTCTGACGTTTCGTTGACCCATTTCACGGATCTCTGCTCCTCGTTCCCCAAGAAATATTCGTAGGCAACGAGCTCCCCCACTCTCCCAGTTACCTGGGCCTGTTGTGCTAATCGTTGATCTTTCTCGCTGCCACGTGATGGGCTGGGAGTCTTGCTGTCGGATCCAACAGGATCAGTAGGTACTGAGCTTGAGCCAGAATTGAAAATTTCGGGTGGGATATTTGGCTGTGGTTCGATTGTTTCCTGATCAAGCATGGCCACTTCAGGACTGAGCGCTGTTGGATAAACCTCTACAGTACCATCATCAGTGTTGAGGCAGGTTGAGGGTGACTGGGGACGTTCCAGATTCGGCTCTGGAGAACTTTCGACTTTAATTTGCAGGCCCGTGCTGGATCTTGGTTTTTTTGTGACTGATTCGAAACCAGGTGCAGTTCTCCAACCAGCAGGTGGCCAGGTTGACCTTTTGCTTGATTTCCTCTTGAATGCAGAATCTTGTTCCTCCACTCCAGCATGGACACTATTTTCCGAAACACTCTGAAGCGACCAACAGGATTCCCCCGCAGGAAGTCTCGGAACCTTTTGGCTGTTCAGAATGAAAAACTCAGTTTGCTCCTCAGTTGCACCTGACTCAGCCATGGTTGTGATCATGTGGAGAAAGTTTGCAAACTGCAAATCAGACTTCCCATCGGATAGTAAGCAGGAGAGCTCTAAGAATATCGAATGTGTATCTGATTCTCGACTGCAGTATAGGATATTGTCCTGCAAACATTAACGAGTGAGATAAGGGTTTCCAACGAAACTGAATCAATGAAAAGAATGCCGTTCAAATAGAGTACCTGCAAAAGGCAACTGCACTCGTGTCTTTTCTTTGACTTGATTGCATATTTCTTTATAATGTTCCGATAGAATAAATTTTCGACTACAACAAGCTTCAGATTTCTAATAATTTGAAAACCAGAATGCTTCAGTTGAATATATTTACCAGGCTGTGTATTATAGAAGTACCGCTGGGCATATGCAAGAGACCAATTCAGCAGTGCTGAAATGAAACTACAGTCCGCCGGGCCATAATGTATTGCCTCACGAGTAACAATCTGAAAAATATATAAATAAAAATAATAGTACACTGTAATTGCAAAAATTACCTCAGAGAAATTTGCAATTAAACAGTACAGCCAAAATTGATTAGGAAAGTGAGAGGCACTTTAGTCGAATTTTTCCTTGGTGGCTAGCATGCAAATGGGTAGGAATATGAATATCTAAGGTAAAAGCATAACAATAAGATGGCTTGCTAGATCCTAACGATAGGTATGCATATTCTCTTTTAAGATTACAAGAAAACCTTGTGTCAAATTTCAAGATTGAAGATAGGAACCATATTATAGAAAATAACATTGAAATTGGAGAGCGCTAAGGTTCTAAATTTTGTTAACTATTTTCATATTCGAGTATAAGTGATGCATACAGAATTTACTAGACATATACATATTGTACCAACTGCGAGAATTGAGATGAAAACATGAATACACATCAAAATGTGAGTGCAGAGAGAGAACCTCAGACAGAGCAGGAATTCCTAGTCTTTGCAGGAAGGTTGAAACCTTTGTTCGAAGCATCTGGGTTTGTCCATCAGTGGATTCCCCAAAGTACAAAAAGTCAATGCCACCAAGGTGACGGAATTCCTTTCCCAAGTTCTCATCATCACACCAACAGATCAAACCAAATGATTCATGTAGAGAAACCCATCTATCTTGTTTAGTGGGAAGAACGGTGTATTCCTTGCTTAGTAAACTTTCTTTCAGATGCTGAAGATCTTCAAAATTCAGAGATCCAGATTTCAGTCCATCATTCAACAACGAGAACACCTCAAAAACCTGCAACACAATTCAGGGAACAAAAAAACAGAAGTCCAGTCTTAAGTAAAATATATAACTTAGGTAAATGTGTTACTCCTTGCTTGTGTTTCCAAAAAAATATATATATAGTATAACAACACCGAATTTAGTTCCAGCAAAGGTTCACCTTCTTTGCTGCCTGATGAGGTAAAGCCATACCAGACAACTGAAGCAAAATCTTGAAGTAGCTGTTGAAAGGAGGACTTTCATCCACTCTACACTCTGTCACAAAAAATTCGTGAAGGTTTGGATAGAGTTTGTACAGCATCTTACTGTAGGGATTACATGTTACACTTGGCGTGCACTCAGGCTGCGTTATCCTTAATAGGTCCACTGAATCTATAGGGTCATGCCAATACACTTCATGAGGTGACAAAAGCACACCAGTGATAGAATCTTCATTGAAACTGTGAACAGTATTGGGAACAAATATAGAAGGCCCCGACTGTAACTCCTCTACAACTTTCTGCTTCGAGTGGGACATTCCCTTCCAGAGAAATGCATAGAAGTTGGACATTTGTGATATACTAGCAAGGAATAAGAAATTATCACTTAGATAACCACACAACTCATATGCTTCATAAAATTATTAGTAAATTATTCGAAAATAGAATACTAAAAATAAACCAAGATGCTAGGATGGTATCATAGCCATGTTATTGATATAAACAAAAAGTTTGTCTATTCTTATTAAAATAGTAAATGAGGAAACAAAATCAAATTATGGGCCTAATATTAATGTCTATAATCTAAACGAGCGTTTGGTAAAGCCAAATGCTGAATGTTGAATCTCTTCAGTTTTAAAATTTGTCAGTTTAACAAATATCTGGGTTATTTAGAGTTTTTGTCGCAAGACATTATATAAATGTAAAATTTCTATTTAGCATGAAGTCACATGCTAATCATTAATATGGGTTTTCTTTTATGCATGCATGTTAATCTTATATAAACTGGCCTATGGTAAGTTCAAGCTCACTAATATAACTAAAAAAAAATCTGAGGTTAAGGATCTAATTGCGCATACTCAACTCTCAAAGTTTGTGGATTGCAACTTGCAAGCTTAATTCAAGCTACGTCCCAGCTTATTTGCAACTTCCTCATTTTCTAAATGGAATTGTTATAACAGTTTTGTGGGCAGTGAATTGGATTCTAACAGACATCACAACAAAATTAGTTATTTTGAAAGCCCTCACATGATATTGGAAGACAAGTATCTAAAATTTACACTTGCAGTTCATTCAAAAGAAAACCTATGAACTAACTAATTTACTGTTTACAACTCAATATATACTATTCAAACCTGAGGCAGACCAACATCAAAGTCAAGCCTGATCAGACCAAAGCTCAGTTCAACATAACATCAGGTTTAACATATTATTCAACCTCAGTCTAATTCAATGAAATTTAAGGCTACGCAAGCTTTCTCAGGATGGCCCAACTCCATTCACATCTAATTTTACCCATCATATTCATTTCCACTTAATAAATAATATGTGGAATGATTGAGGTATGGGTGACTTTTCTTATCCCATTTATTTTATTACTACAATAATAATACTTTAAACAATTCTGTTATATGAAGAAGCATTGTACAAACTTTGCACTGCATACAAACCACATCACAAAATGGAGGCCATAGAACAAGGTGTGATGTAGGAGCAAAGAGGCACAAAAGTTAATAGCCTACAAAAGTATGGTGCCAAAAATAATCATGCCAAATAATTAAATTGTTATATATTAACTAGTAATTAATTTGTGTTAGATACTAATTTTGTGTACATTCATTCTGGCTTCCATGACTGCGTTTCCTCTTTAGTCTATTTATCTCACCAATGGCATCTATATATTCTAATATGCAATTACATTGTAAACCATGAAGTTCACTCTTCTATTTCTCAACAAAATCTTAAGAGTTAAAACAATAATAAAAATGGTATATTGGTGTCCTGACTTTCTAGGCAGGCTACATCATAATATTTCTGAATATGGGGAAGACTGTTGATTGGTAGTACACACCAAAAGGAAAGAGCGGCAGCTAACAAAAAGCCTTTTGGAGAGTAGAAGAAATTTTTATGATATAGATAGAGAGAATTAAGGGGAAATAACCAGTAGTTAATTTGAACCAGGCAAATTAACTCTTATGTTTGCTTTAGCACCATGCAAAGCAAAATGACAAGCAACTTCATTTGCATTACAGGGACATCCTGAGAAATTATGTATTGGAACTTCTTGAAATATATTTTAATAGATATTATTTAGATTTGTTAGTTATCATATAAGCATATCTTCTATATTAGATTATTATGATAAGATATTAGATTTGGTTATTATTATTTAACTTTATCCTTTGGTATAAGGTATATAAATAGACCTCAATTTCATTATCAATATATCTCAGAAACTTCTCTTAGAATTTTACTGAACTTTTCTATCAAAAGATTAAGCGCATTTGCATTGAAGTTCAGCTTCCAAAGAGGCAAGGTAGCCAATTCCATCCAAGAGTACATACGTTGAGTCACATTCAACTACTATTGTGGGAAGTGAGCCTTGTTGGTCTACAGAACTAAATCAAGTGTTTCCAAAGAGGCAAGGTAGCCAATTCCATCCAAGAGTACATACGTTGAGTCACATTCAACTACTATTGTGGGAAGTGAGCCTTGTTGGTCTACAGAACTAAATCAAGTGTGTGACTGTGAGCGATGGCACAAATTTAGGGCAATTGACCTCTAGTTTTGGCTTGCTAAGGATAAATACACCATTCAAACCCAGAAAAAAAAAAATAATAATAAATAAATAATACCAGCTAGTGCAACACAAATTCTAGCCAAAACTCACTCATTCATGGTAATTTCTATCTAACAGACAACGCTATCCTTTGTTGTATTCCCACATCACATTTGCTTCTTTTTTTTTTTAATGCTGACTTCTCTTCTTAGCAACTGGTCTTATACGATCAAGTGAATTTTAAATATGCTAAATAGCTAATAATTTAGTATAGAAAACTAATTCTGATATTTACAGTAAATCATAATAGCAAATGCAGATATATCTTTAAACTTCAAATATACATACATAATGCATATGCACATACACCAAGATACACATAAAGCAAGGTCATTCATTAATTAGAAAACACCATAGCCATAGAGAAAGAAAAGGATGACAAAAATCCAACCTGAATGCAGAAAACAACCGACACAGGAAAAAATAATATAGATTTCAAATTATATGGGCAAAGACAAAGCATTAATATCAATAGGTCAGATAGGGTTATAAAGTGCCAATACCTAGCCTTGAAAAAAGATTTATTTCTCCAAAGTCGAAGAACATCAAGAGCATCTTCAAGAGTGACTTGTGTTTTTAAACCAATATCAGCCAGCAATCTTTCACTTTTAACCTGTTACCCATGGAAAGAGTTCCATCAGTCAATCCAAAGCTTAAATTAACACATATCTTCAATGTAGAAAAGATAATTATAATTGATATTCACTATCCCATAAGTACTTTAGAGGTCTAATAATCAACTCAGAAGCATGACTATTATAGAGAATGAAAGCTAGGATGATGACTTTTTACATTCAAAACATATTTATCTTATACTATAACTGGAATTATGAGGCATTTGAGCTATAACCATAAAATCAGGATAAAATGAGGTAACTGCAAATCTCTGATTATTGCTATAAGAAGGTAAAAGGGAAGTACAAATCCTATTGTTGGATGCTGAACTTCATGATTCAACACCTGCCAGTCTTTTAATATAACTAACCAACATGAATTTGAAATGGACAATTCCTAGTACGGTTGGAATTTGGAAACCAAAAGCACGATAGTGATATGTCCCTTACAAGATCAGTGATGAGGCAAAATTGAGCTGAATGACGAAAAAAAATTACCATATATTACTTAGAAATAGGGAAAGAACAGCCATCACCCACAAACTCAAAAACAGAAACCTAGACAACCTTTACCACTCAAAAGTTAAGATTGACAGTACCAAACAGAGAGGTTACATTTTTATTTAGACTAACCTTTGGAATGGAGTAAGGAGCACCGGCACCAAGAACTGAGCGTACTTCCATGCAATCATGGAACAAATCCTTGGGGTGATGAAGTTTGTCATCCAGATTTGATGCTAGCCATGGTAAATCTTGGAGGATGGTAACAAATGATGATCTGCATGGCTTGGATTCACCATTTGAATCAATGCAATAACCGGTAACCTTATTGCTGTAGCAGTCATCCCACAATCTATCAAGTATTTCCAACAGGTTTTTGGACTTAGATCCATCATTTCTTGCACATAATGCAGACAGTAAATTAAATAACTCTTCAGATACCCAATTTTTAAAAACTAAATCAGTAGTGGACTTGGCATGTATCAGATCATTACTATTAACAAGAAACACACGAGGAACACTTTTCTCAACTTGGATGACTTGAACAAAATCAGTTACCCCCATTTCATGGAAAAAATTCCTCCACTTGATCATTCCATCAGAAAGAGAATTGGTGATTGGATGTTTCAAATAGGCAGAGTCAATTTCATGCCAATTTATACCCAAACCATGAATAAGTTTATTTACATCGACAGAACTTCCATACTCCAGACTAAAATGGATAGGTACCTCACTTGATCGTTTGTAGCCATAATTTGTAAAAATCAGAGCTGTCTCACGCAACTTATTAACAATTAGACTCCCATCTGAGGCACAAGTAGAACAACTTGATTGCATGTGAAACATAGCAAAAGCCAGGTACTCTATCATTAATTCATGATGTCCCACTGCACCTTTATCATCAGATACAGCTGGTAAGATATGTACCTTCACAATGTCATGAAAGGACAACCGCTGGACACCAAGTTTGTAAAGCATGTTTGTAACATTTTCCCTGATAGATCCATCATGGCATAAGCTCTCAACGGAAGCAGCACCAGACAAAAGGTTTGGACTCACAATCCGCAGTTTAGCATACAGTTTTGGGAAAACTTTGAAAAGAGCTTCATCAGTAATGCATTGCTCTACTGCCTCAGAATGCAGCCATATCGTGCCCTCAGCTAGTGAGCTATATGTACCATCTGAAAGGGGGATAAATGGAATTTTCTGAAGGTCAAGTATCATATTCGATTCAGTCCCCAAGCCTTGGGAATTGTGCATAAAAGATTGAGATAAGAACACATGCATGGCACTGAGCCAAGCAGATAACCAACTAATTCCCATTGAATTTAATCCACTATCAGATTGGCACAACGAAGACATCAGCCTTAACAAAATTTTTGGTCCATAATCCTCTACACCTAATGCCTTCGCTAAGGAATCTGACAGAGTAACATCTTTGTTCAAGAATCCAAGGCCAAGGTGCTGTTCTAGTAAACCATCAGGTAACAGGGCACGAGCTTTCTGATTCCAATTTCTAAGTACCTTGCAGGGAGGAACCCATTCTTTTTCATCACCTTCTAGAATCAAGCAGTTTGACATGCGCAACTTAGATATTATCATCCGAGGTAGAGAAGAGAAAAACCCATGCACTTCACCCAGCAGAGGAACAAAACTCATAAATATAGTAATAGCTTTTCCTGGACTTTCCCTGTAACAAGGAAGATGACAAAATGAAATTTCTGTCTCAACAAACAAATCTGGGAACTCAGACAATAACCACTGATTCCAAGGACTACTTCCATCAACCTCTTCCCTAGAAGATGTCAAAAAAAAATCACTTTGCAGAATAAACTTAAGGCCATATGTCCTTAGAGGAAGAAACGAAAAGACAGGTTGTTGTTTCAGAATTGGGACATAATACCCTTCACCTTCCTCCTGCAAAGTAAATGCGACAGAAATCTCTGATGTCTTCACGTCAGAACTAATGGCATCAGCCTTCAGTTTTCGAGATACTACAAACCAAGTCATTTTCTCCTTTCCAAGGGCAACCTCGACTATCCCATCACCTATAACTTTCTTCCTCATAACAACAAGTGAATTATCAAGCAAATTTCTAAACTTAATGCATTGAAGACGATGAAGAAACAGTAGCAAAGATGGATGCAGATCTGAGAACATGGATAAAATGTTGCCAACGGAAACACCTTCCAGGTAGTTTGATCTGAAAGGGAGAATAATGCACGTGTTCCCAGTGTCCGTATCAATGTGATCAGCATCTGCAGACGCCCACCTGATATATAAGTCAATCTCACAGGGAGGGACAACTGTTGGTAGGACAAATCCGATCTGGCCATTGGTTATGTCAAATTTGATATGATAACCATTAGAATGTATTTCTGGAGCATCAGTAACCTGGGCATGAGGAAACAAACAAGAAATCATATATAATCTGCAGAGCTGAATTCAACCTAAATAAACAGTCTTCAATAAATTCTATTTCTCTGGAAAAAAAAAAAAAAAAAACTCATGCAACCATAAAGGGCAATCTTAGTTATTTGTAATGCAAACACAGAGAAATTTGTGGTGGCAGTTTGCATGGGATTCATAACAAAAAAAAAAGAACTACATTAAGCACAATATTTGGGCTTATACTGTACTTAACTCTAACTCCTAAAATTAAAGTGGCTAATCAATCCCATTTGTAGTGGCATCATGATCTATTAATTGTACAGCAGAACTATGTTATAGCTTCAAACGTTAAACATATCAGAAAACATTATTTATTTACATTTTAGTTATTTATTTTTACAAAGAATCTACAAACATTGTGCTGAATAGATATTATAAATTCAGCTTATGTTCGTGGTTACTTTATTTTAATGAGATTAAATGTTCTGAGCTAAAAAAAACTATCACCAAATGCCTGATGTTTTCAAATTTTACTTAAACCATTAAATTGTTTTCTGAAGAAATTGAGCCAACATTCTAGATATCAATTTCAATACTGTATTCCAGCTCAGAAAGAATCTATAGTGAGATAGCTGTTCACAAGTCACAACTTCACAGTATTTCTTCTACCATTTCTTGAACTACGAGAATAATAATAACAATTGATAAACATCAAATTGCTTTTGATTCATATTTGATACCCGAAATACTGATTTGAAGCCAATGCCTTTCTTCCCAATGTATCCAGCATTATGATCCTTTTTTGTTGAATTCCCAACATCACAAAGTGCTCGTATATCCTTTGATGAGAAACCATGCTCATTGTTTAGCACAATTATTCCTTTTTCATGAAGAATGAATGTCAGAGTAGGTTCCACGTTGTCTGGGTAAGTATTGTCATCAGCATTCTGAACCTAAAATCAAGGCAGTAAGTAAGTTTAATAAGAATAATGATATGAAATGCACTTTAAATCAATGATTAAATTCTGATGCTGAAAACAAAACAAGGAAATTTTAAGCCATTAAGTTCAGAATTCCAGCACATCATAGTACCACTTGAGATTTATAACTCTAAAGTTTCCAACTCTTCTCATTGGTATATTTGACTATATTTGGATGGTAAGTTTCAGGTTATTAACTATTAGATCCTTCAGCATGGCTATTCAATATATTTTGTAGTCAATAGGTAACCTTAGATATACGCTATGACACTAGATATTTCGAGCAAACTCCATCAGTGAATGAAATGAAAGATAGCTCTTCAAACTAAGTAAATGTATCCTTAAAATATCCTAATTTATTCACATATGACTATGTAACATCTAATAACATTTCTAACGGCCAAAGCATAAAAAACTGAAAAAAAAAAAAAAAAAAACCCACCGATGCCTTTCAGTATAATATATTAACATGTATCACCTAGAGGACTAAATTGCTTCATCTAGCAATGGTAGGCGGCATTGTCTTTATATTTCTCCAACCCATAATTATTGTCACTATTATCATCCTGCACTTCCTGATATTCAGGAACTGTGTGCTTTGTTTTCATATCCTTCATAGAGTTCCAATCCCATTCAACCAAAACTACATATATCATTAACAACAAAAGAAAAAGCATCCTGATTTCTCTAAACAATTCATTAAGACTAGTTTTCCGACACTCTGACAGATGAATCCACATAATAAACTACTGCTTCTCTGGCCTTTTGTTTTAGATAGTCTCTTTAAGCATGCTATTATAGCCATTGAGATTTTCCTGCATCCCCATATATACATCACTTGATGAAGAGTACAAACAATCAAAAACATGTTTGCAACAGATTACTTAATAGCTCACCATTAGTGACTTAGGTTGGTAAATGGATTTTGCCTGCTGTTCATCAGAGTAACAACTCCAAATAAAATTTTAAAAATGCATCACACAACAGAATGCATATTGCGCGTGGGCGCAGGTTGGAGGGGGGGGGGGGGGTACTCAGAAAATGGGTGAAAAATGAAAGACATGAACATCAATCTTAGACCTCTGAGGTCGGAACTTCTTATTGATTTGTTTTTCTATAAAGATATATACAATGGAACTTTCTAGGACATCCTGGATGATATAAAATATTCACAGTTATATGATGTTTATAAGGGCATCTGATAGAAACAAAAACATAATTTAATAGAAATAAGAACCAATTTTATTACTCAGAAGAAGATTAATATCTTCTGCCCAGCCCTAGCCACTCATACTTATTTTTCTCTGGATAAACTTTTCTAACCCTAATTCCATTTATTTATATCAACTTAGAAATATAATTATAAATAAGATAAGGACTAATTTGCAATGCAAATATATAGTAATTATTGTAATGCAGCGATTAGACCAAAATGCCCTTTTCCGCATCATGTATAGACACGCAGCGGTACCGGACCATTGTTTCCGGTGATTGGCTGTTGTTCCATATCAGTATCCTTGTAATTTTGATCGTACCTATTTTCAAATTTTACGCTACAAGAAAATTGTCTTAGGATGATGAATACATACCAGTTCTAGAAGAAAATGTGAATCCTGAGAATACAGCTCTTGTGACAGACATTGGAGCGCTCTGCCCAATCGAGCATGCTGCCTCTTCAACAATTTAGTTTCAGCATCAGAAGAGCATTGATCTAGACCAAACTCATAGCGCCTAATAGATTCAATAACTCCAACTGGATCATTATCGAAATCAACAGCCATTGATAATCGGCCTGCATCTGAGGTATGGGTATCAACTGGAATATCCGCATAATCAGCCTGACCGCTGACTTGTTTACATTTGCTATCACAACAATCCATCTCACCTGGGACCAGCATCTCTTCACAGTTGGCCTGTTCTTGGAAAACCATTGATCTAGTTCTGAGGTCAGTCACATCTATGCATGATGACCTAGGGGAACGTCTAGCCATTGCAGAGGAACAAAAGGAATGGTAGTCATTAGCCAATTCCACCAATCCAAGAGACATCCCCACTTCATGAAGAAGGAGAAACTGTTCTACTTGCTTGCATTCATTCAAGATGGCAGAAGGAACATTCTTCACGTAAGACTGCAACCCAGAGATTAAAATATCTGCTGCAAAACTGCAAAATTCAATGGGCAGATAACTCAAACACTCGAGTATGAATCTTGACATAGTTGCAGCAACTTTTTCAACTATACCCCTGTTACCAGGTAGATTATCCAAAACAGTTGCTTTGTTATTCCCATCTATACAGCCCCATGATGGCTTCCCTGGAAATATATCCTTGTGCAGTTCAGCCTCCATATAATTATTAATAATTACTTTGAAGCCTTGCCGAGCATGACACTTAAGAAGTGATTGAGGAACATTTTGTACACCACCATATAATGCACACAACGACAACAACACCACTGATGTTTCAAAAGAAGAACCTTGTATTAACACTTTTAGGAATGAATCCAAAGTGGCTGAAGGATCTACACGGAGTACTTTGCCATCTTTTGTTACCAAACACAACAACTCTTTGTTGTTGACCTCCTGCAACAACCACTGCACAATTGAACCAAGATGAGGAGCAAACAAAATATCCCAATGCAACCACAAGTTCAAATCAATCAACATAGGCGCCTTAAGTAGGAGCCCAATAGCATCTTTGGTCACAACTGCAGTACTGTTTCCTTCTCCAGTTAGTGTATCATTACCAAACAAAGGCTGTTTGTCTAATGTTTTCTCATTTTGAGCTGGAGATATTAATAAAGGTGTAGAAAACAATACAGAGTTTGAAGTTAAAATATCCCTTTTTTCTCGAATAATATCTGGTAAAGTTGGAATGAGGTCACAGTTCACTAATTTGAAGGATACCAATGGAAATTGCCTTGCCAACAACTCAGGAATATTCCTCTCGTTTACTTCATTTCTGCACAAGCTATCAAAAGCTTGCGACAAAAACACATCCAATTGCACTGGAAGCAAGTGTGCCTCCAAATGAACACTCTCAGGTATGCCTCCTATAATGCATTTCAGTAATGACTGAGGCAAGAGATGCAAATATTTCTCTAGAAATATAAAATATTCTCCAAAGCCAAGAGAGTCAAACTTGTTAACAGAATATTGTTCCATTAACCAATACTCACATTTGCAAAGCTTCCTCAAGAAACAGAACCTATGTTCAAGAGAGAGATCTTCGTAGCTTGGGATGTCATTCGCAAAATATTCAGAAATTTTCTTCATAATACCTTCGACTGCAACTACAGATACATAAAAGAGGAATAAACGCACTAACAGAATAATGATCATATCTTCCCATTCAATTTTAATTAAAACAATCATTTCATGGATAAAATGGGAATCAGTAGAATATATGTGTATATATACCAAACACCTAACAACTTTGTAATAGAATGCTAATACCATCATTTCTCGAACTATAAGACACAAAATAAACAATAAAATCCTACAAATGTGCTAAATGATAGATTAACAACTTTCGTTTGTAGAGAGTAAAAGTATCAATATTAAAAAAGGAGAATCAATTTTCATTTTTGGAGAGCAAAAGGTATTTATATTTAAAAGATGGAGAGTCACATAGAGGTGGTAACCGAGGAAAAGGCGAGAGCCAGAAAAACAGAAATAACTAGGGAGAACTAGGAAAAGGAAACCTGGACTAGAAACAGAATAAGACTATATAGTTATCAACAATCCTATATAATCAACACAAGTGAATTTGAAAATATAGAACTTTATAAAAACTGTTCAACTTTGAACTTGCGACGAGAAGCATAGTAAACTATAGTTATCATAGAGAATTACCCTCATCTCTGTATAAGAGTATAAGTGAGAGAAACATGTGAGATACAGATAGATGCCAAATAGAAAATGCTTAGAGAAATGAGCTTCAAATAGCAGCTAGCCTAGCAGTGGATGGTAATTCGTTCTCACTCCCGATTGCAACGGACATTACCATCTCAAACTAGTAATAAGCACAACTAGCAGCTTTCAGAGTAACGAAGTCAAGTTTCAAAATTACAAAAAAAAAAAACAGAAAAAAAGAAAAAAACCATCCTTACGGGACAGTAGATCAAACTGTCTGGCCCAGAAATTAAATCCAATCTGCAGCCAAGTCATTAAGGGGGTGTTCTTTTGGTGTTTTTTGTGTGTCGGTGTTTTGGTTTTTGGATAAAATAGTTGTTGAATGTAATGTTTTGTATGAAAGATTAGTACATGTTTAGAGGGGATTATAAGGTTTGGGAAAAAATTTTAAAAAATAAAGTAGAGTCTATGAGTAAATAGACAAAGTCCAGTACAAAAAAATTAAATATAAACAAATTATCTTTTCATCCTCGACCCATAAAGGTTCAAGAATAAGCCAAAGCATAGTCCATCAAAAGTACAGTTTGGCTCATGACAATTAAAGAATAGAGGAGAGCAAGACAAAAACAAAAGCCTCATTCTTATTCAAGGACAGAAACTAAGGTCAATGCTTCAAGATGATCATGATAAAGAGTGTGGTAAGTCCTGGTGGCATGAGAAAGAAAAAGAAAAGGCACAGCAGCTATAGAAAAGACAAACAGATGTTTGCATGATACAAACTTCATGTGATCAAGCATACCATGCAAGTGCAATTTCTTTGCAAAACTAGGGGCAAGAACAAATAAAATAACCCCAATCAGGTTATAACTTTCAGTCGAACACTTTCGAAATCAACATAACAGAAGCCACTTGTTCTCTTTATTAGAGGAGTTGCACATTGAAAGAGCAAAGATAATGTGTGAGTTACAGCTTTACTCTTTCAATTTGCGCTGGGCAGTAATGTGGTGGAAAAGCAGCACAAAACAATTTCCATGGAGATGATTAGTGTAGGCATCATATAAATATGATGGACAGAAGTATAGCACAATCACAAGGATATTGTCAAGGAAACTAGCACCACTGTATCGGGTTTGTTTGGTTGCATGTTGGCGTGTTTTGAAAATAGTAGAATTTTGAATTGAAATGATTGTTTGATGTAATATTTTGAACGAGAAGAAAATTAATGCAATATGTTGAATAAGAATGAAGATTATGACGTGATATTTTTTGAAGAGAGAAATAAGTTAAAATAGATGAATAGTGAAAATGTGTGTTTGAAAACACAACCAAACAAACCTGTTTTGGATAAGAAGGATTGGGACTTAATGGTCCATGGCAACAACAGTAGATTCAGTGTTTAATGGGCTTGAGCTCTAATATTATCTTATTTTTTAAAAACAAAAAATAGAGTAGCAACTCTGACTTTAGAAATTGATATTGAATTATAGATATGAAAAAAGACATGTGAAAAAATAGCAATGATATGGCAACAAACACAAGCCCAATATTACAATAGTGCACTAAGAAATGAGATTGGCCAATATGACAACACCACAAAAATGTAAAACTTATAAGCAACCAAAAGGAAAGATAAATAAATAAAACAACTCCACTTATGTTAAAGTGAACTACATAAATTATAAATAGATCAATCAGACACAACTCCCTGCACCATTCTTCATGGAACTCATCAAGTCATATTTCTATAGGGGAAATAATATTTGCTATGTACAAAAATAAGATTTCCACTATGATTCTTTAATTTCCACATGATGGAAAAAGATTTAGCATCTGCCTATCTCAATGTTTCAGTACACATATTTTGTTTTATTCAAATTGTGTAAAAACATAGAAATAAATAAATTAATAACACAAAAAAGCCTCTTTGGTAACAGCAACTTGTCACCTAAACTTCATGATTATATATATGATTTCATTAAATCCATTTTTAATGATAATAAGATCATAATAATAGATTCATTAAGTGGAGCTAAATGTGCCAAGTAAAACAAAGAAAATCATAGGTCATTAAGCTATAAGCATGCGATTGGACCCTAAACGAAAATAGTGTGCTACCATTAGTATTTACATGATACACCCACAAGCTCATTAAATACATAACAAATTCATTGTTCAACTTTACTGAATGCTCCCTAAATTCACTTGAACATAACATGAATGCAATGTGTGAAAACCAAATCATAAAAACACCAAGGGTAAGTTTCTTTAAGGTCTGATTCATCAATTTTCACCTTAAAAACCATCAAATTAAGCACCCATTTTTTCATTTAATACATACACAATAACAATTTCATTGAAAGCAACACGTCAAACACCTATTTATATCACATCAAACACTATTTCAATGATATTTTTACTATTACCAAGAACCAAACCCAAATCAAACCTTAAAGGAACACACACCCTAAGGATCTATTCTCTGAGTTTTTTTTTTAAGTTTTTTTTACAAATCAACTCTCACGATTTCCTATAAAAAATACACTATTTCCTCTTTGCAAAATATCACATTTAAACTGCTATTTAAACCAAAACACAAAACCAACACACCTAAGAGTGTTTAGACATGGTTTGGAAATGTTTTGGGATTTTGATTTGGTTTGGGAATCGTAAAAAATTGAATAGAGAATGGGTGTTTAATGTGATATAAACAGATGCTTGATGTGATGTTTAGGAGACACAAGAGATTTTTTTATGAAATATTTTAGATAGAAAGATAGATTTTGGATGAGATGTTTTTTAGAGATAAATTTTGATGAATAGTACGAAAGCAGTTTTGAAAACATATATAAACAGAGCATAAGTGTACGCCAGAGATTTACTAAATTTTGCACTCCAGATTCCATACCATAATCACGGCCACAAACTTTTGATGTTGATCCAGGAAGATCCTTCTCAGTACGTTTAACATCAATGCTCGTATAAGCAGCTGAACTGTCACATGGGGTGTCATCCATTCCGTGCTCCCTAGAAGTTTGGTGAAAAGTGTTGTATATATTATCCGGCATTTCAAGCTTTATAAACATAAGCTGTCATGAAAATAAGCTAGTTAGGCCAAGATATGCAAGGATAAAATGATGCATTATTACCATTTGCATGACACCCATGACAAGTAGAAGTCAGTCAAACAAAGCATCTTTCAAAAACAAACATGTGCAAGCAAGAAAAAGTGATTTGCAGAGAGCAACAATAATAAGATTAGATACACCGGAAGTGTCCGAGTATATTTCCTATAAATTCCATTTCTAGGATTTGGATAGTGATAAATTCAGCAAAGTTGGTCAAGCACAACAAGATTCAGAGCATCTTGCATGGGTCCACTCCTCATAATTTACTCAAATCCTATGATTTCCTAAGTGCCCTGCCTTCAGAATAAATTCTATATATGTAAATAACTTCTCTTTATTTCTCCTATGTGGCAAAATATTTGTCGCCCTATTAAAATTTTTATTTTACTCTTCTAAAAATAAGTAAAAAAATTAACTTCTTGTTCCATTTTTCGAGGACATTTTATTGTTCAATCTTATTAACAGCAATCCATTTTCTGTATGTATGATTCCAATACGACTATCATCAGAACTTAATCCACCATTAAAATCATGTTAAGAAGCAACTCAATGCTCACTACTTGGCACTAAAATAACTTCTCATATCAACAGACATTTAACATATTTACAGTTAATGAATTAAAAATCAAGAAAAACAAATGTCATACATATCAGCAAGAACAGTAAACTAATTCATGAACAAAAACCTGCTGAAGATAAAGAAAATTTTATCAAATTGTTCGATGTTACGAATCTAAGGCCCAAAAAATGAAAAAATAAAGAGACTCACAATCATATACTTACAGCAGCATAGAGCAATCCCACAAACGGATATGTTGTGAACATTTCTTTCACTTTTCTCTTTTTCCTTGCTTCATAAAACTGAAGCATCTTTTCAAGTACCTATTGTGCAAGATTAAGTAATATTTAAAGAGTGAAATAGCACCTTAACATAATCATTTATCTGGGGAAAAGCGGGGGTGGGGATTTACCAAAATGGAAAAGTAACAACGATAAAAGAATACAGAGTACAGATATCCATAAAGGTAAAAATGCAAACATGATTACTAGAGGATGAGCTAGCCAATAATGCTCTTGACTGTCTAATAGTTCTCATGTAACTTGTTGCAACATCCAACTTAACAAAATATCAGCGTTTCAAATAAAATGCATATCAGATGAAAGTTAAAAGACATGAAAAGTTGCTTCTATTACCTCATCAGGACTGTTCACTTGACAGACCTCTTTCCAAGTTGTAACAAACATTCTTAATGACTCTGTGGAAATAAGACCACCTAAAACTTCATTGTTGGGGCTCTTATGCGTGGTACTTGCATTAGAGTTATCCCGTTTAGACTCCTTCACCGGAGATCTGCTTGATCTGATATGCTCATATTTCCTCTTTTTCCGAGGCACATGACCTGAAGTGCGACTTACAGCACCACTATGCCTACGAAGCCTTGAGTCACTGTCATTTATCAACCCCAGCCTTTTCTTTTCTTCATTTGCGGATGGATAGGGGCAATTACTTGCACGATCTAATCCATTTGACAGGGGAACACGGCCGATGTCAGTATTGTTCCCAACTTGAGTATTGTCATATTCAGCATCTTCAGAGGTATCATCTTCTTCGGAGGGATCATCATCTGAACTTGAAGCAAATCTTATATGTTTACCACAAAACTGAGGAGAGGTGAAAGATTTTACTCGCTCTGATATTTTAGCAAAATTTTCGTCCATTTCTTTTTTCTGTACATGGATAAGAGGTTTTGTGCTGCATTTTACAGATTTTGTTCTCAGTTTCTTAGTGCATTTTTCTAGCTCTATGCCTTCTGATTTCCTTGCCTTTTCTATATGATTAATATATAGCCTGCATAGAAGTGGTTTCATCGATTTAGTCAAATAGAATATAATGACAGAAAACAGTATTCATCATAAAGAATTGACTATAGGATAAAATTATTAATGATATTCACTAAGGTTCAGGTCCTATGATGTTTGGATTATCTTCCTGCAAGAATATAATTTTCTCCAAAATTTGTAACTAGCTTCTAGCATTCTTATGTTTTACCATCATTTCTAGTTGCTAACCTAATGAATAAAATAAACAGGCTTATCCATGGATACCTAAACCTGCCTCTGCATAACAAGCAACACACAATACTTCCAACATCTAAACCATGATAATTAATACTAAATATATTAGATGACGAAGTTATCTTCAGACACAGTATGATTAATGGAATTCATATAAGGTAACTACATTGCAGATAATGGCCGTACAGACACAGGGTGATAAGTGACAGCAAAATGCAGGAATTTATTAAAAAGATTTTAAAGTTTCCATACAGTTATACATTGTGTACTAAAAAATACTTACACAAAGCAAGAAGAGCTTACATACCCAAGGTTCTGAATACGAATGCCAAGCTCTTCCTTGCAACTGACAGATTTCTTCTTTAACATAAAATCCAAAAAGAAATCAACTTCAAGTTCTTTCTTCTTGTGAAGATCAATGAACTCATAGAGGTAGGTGATGATCTCTTCAGTTCTAATTCTGTAGACTTTGGCAGCATCAGAAGAGACAGAGAAATAATGATTAGCAAGAGGGTGTCGTACCAAGGGACCCAACTGCAGTTCTTCAAACATTTCAATTCCTTCACGTTCACAGATTGCCATTTCCAAATCATGTAATGAAGTAATATTTCTAGCCCCAACATAGCAGTGGATGAATGCGTTGATCTTTATGGAGAACAAAAGACACAAATATAAGAACTCCGTATCATGCATCACAAATCAGGCAAATAAAGAACTCACTTCTGGAAAAGAGCATCAACTGCAAATGGGATGCCTTATTCCAATTGTGGGTCACAATTTATTTTTCTTGTTTTTTTTCTTTTACAAAAATACAAAATATACTAAAAGAAGAAACCAGTACACAAAAATTATTTGTGGGTGTACTAAGTAGATCAAAACTATTGCTCATATGATTTAGGCATTCACATATGACATCACATAACACCTACTCCTGAAGGAAGAAAAAAACATTAACAATGTATACACCGTTGGAAAATTCAAAACCAATGAGGCATCCCCTAGCAAACAGTGTTAACACGAATGGTATTATGTTGTCAAAATAGTCAGATCTGTGTAGAATTTGAGATATCCAATTGCATATGATCAAGGAATTATATGATGATTATAAACAGCTAGATTGTAATCCAATTTCGCAAGGATAACTATCCATATAGGAATACAACTAAGTGTCTACCATATTCTAGCTAAGTAAAAGACACCCGTAAGTCTCCGATCAAAAAATACAAAAAAGACACCCCCTAAGTCTATCGCAAAAGATAATATATTAAACCCCATAGATAGACATGAAGTTCTACGGCTTAAGCAACATATGGGTTCATTCAAACATCGGAAATCATACTTCGATATCATTCTTACACAGACTATCTTAGCACAAAGAAACAAAACTAACTAAAAGTAGATTGCCGAACCTTCGCTTCTGTAGCCAGCAGCCGCTTCAAAGAAGGCACTTGCTGCATTTGAAACCCCAAACTCTCCCACGACTCTGCTTTCACAATACGCAGAACCTCCTGCGAAACTTTCCACGCTGAAACATTATCGCCTGACGGTACTAAGACGCTCCAAGCCCTCTTCGCCGCCTCGTCGAGTTTCTCGACCATATCCGTTTGCGACTCACCTTGCTGCTGCGGACGCTCATTGTAAGAACTTCCTCTAGAGTGCGTCGCTTCAACCGGAAAACTACTAGGAAGAAACTGCTGCGTTATTTGGTGGAAGCCAACATAGTTTGGGGGAAAAGGATTATGCTGAGGCTGAGGCAGAGGGAAAAAATAAGGGTTCTGGTGGAAGAGGTACGGGTTGGAGTTAGCAAGGTAGGGGGGATTTAGCTGAAACTGCTCTTTCGGCGGCGATTGCGCTGCCTGGCGGCCGCCGTCCCCGCGGCGGAACTGGAAGGGTTGCTTCTGCCCGTGCATCATGGAAGGGAAGGGATCCTTTGAAAAGGCGAAGATGGAGGCGCTGCAAAATTAACTGCAGAATTTTATAGTTACGAAAATATCTCAAAGTAGAAAAGGCGCTTTTGGATTTTTAGGGGTTAATACTTGTGTGTTTTGGCATTTAAAGATAAAAAAACTAATAAATTAAATTAAATTTAAATATCCTTTTTATGCGGTATAATTTAATATAATAATTATAAGGAAAAAATCAATTTTGATCACAATATAAGAAATTAATCAATTTTAGTCATAATATAAATAATTTCAATCAATTTTTGTTTCGTTATAAACAATTTCAATCAATTTTGGTTCCACTAATAAACTAACGGAAACTGCAGAAGTGAACATGACTGAGGTGATGCGGTAGTTTTTGGAAAGTAAAAGGTCATGTACAACTATACACGTTGTTACATGATCATTTATATTTCAGTGTATAAATTATACATGGTCATGTTGTTACACACGACTATGTACATTTCTATTGCATTTAGAACAGTTAACATAGTTAAAATTGACAAAATCAATAGTAATTGGCCGTGTATTTTTCAGGTCAACTGTCACGTCACCTCCGTCGTATGCACGTCAGCAATTTCCGTTAGTTTTTTTTAACAGTGAGACCAAAATTGATTAAAATTATTTATAATATGGTCAAAATTGATTGAAATTGTTTATATTTAGACTAAAATTGATGAGTTTTTTATATTGTAACCAAAATTGATAAATTTTGGTTATATTGGGGCCAATATTGATGAATTTTTTATATTGAGACAAAAATTGATAAATTTTAGTTATATTTGGACCAAAATTAATTTTTTTCCCAAAAAATTATTACTCCCGAACTAATAATTATACATTATTTATTTTTTTGTACAAGTTGTGTTTCTTTGGATTGATTTGAATTCGATATTAAAATAATATTTGATCGGATGTTTTTGTTAAAGAAAAGAAAGAAAATTCAAAAAATTCTTGGAAAATAATAATATTTTAATTTTAATTAAAATAATTTTATTTTATTTATGTAAAAATAATAATAATATTCTTTCCATCCAGCTAGAAAGTATATATATTTCTATTTTGAAACGTACAATTACAAAGTAAACATTTTATTATTCCTTTTACACCAAATTTCTCAGTGGACGGAGGGAGTAATTATTTTGTAATTAGACAATTAAAAGTGAGTGGACGGAAAATATTTTATACTCCTGTAATGTTCTAAATAAAAATATATTGATTGTGATATTTTTAAAAAAAAAAAGAAGATAAAATTAAAAATCAACATATAAGATTAAAATTAATTATTCTAATTTATACTATTAAATAGGACAATTATACATAATTTACTTTTAACTATTAGGATGGCTGCAACCGCAAATTTCATCCCTCTTCTTTTATAAATTTGAGTAGTATTGTCCCATTGTAGTTGGGACATAAGTTTAGAAGTTTATCATTTTTCTATAGCAGCTCACTTTTACTCCGCATAGATCAAAATTTCATCCTCAAATTCTTCCAATGAAAACCCGATCATCAAAGACAAAATAATATGTAAAGATGACCATTGGAACTATTTAAAATCTAAAATCAAAATGAAAATCAAAATTTATGATTTTTGAATAAACAAATTGAAACTTTAAATTTATTTAGTTGTGATTTGAAACTGATTTAAAATAATATATTAATTTACGTTTTTGTTTGAGTAATATTTCAATACAAGATATTATAAGAAAAAAATAATATGTTTCGAATTAAATTGTAGTATAAATTTGTCTTTGAAATGATAATCAAACAAACAATAGCAGAACAGCAAGAAGTAATTTAAATTAAAGGTCCCATCCATACTCATATAGTCAGTCAGTCAGTCCAACTTCTTGTCTTGTGACAGACAGATGGTTGGTTCCAAAAGGTAGGTAAAACAGACAGACAGCAATCAATAATTGTCCCGACATGACATGACATCGGGCATAAATCTTTCCCGACTCGACTCAACTCAGCAAACAAACTTAACGATACCAAACAGCTCCAGCTCCAAGAGTCACGAGATGATTGAGTTTGAGAAAAAAAAAAACAAAAGCAGAGTAAAGCAGCAGTTGCTAAAAGTCCGATTGATAGATAGGTAGGTAGGTAGGTAGAGGCGTTTCCACAACAATCCCAGTGGAGGATCGGATCATCCACCTTTACCTGTGATCTGGGATCGATCTTCGATAGACTTCATTTTCACTTCAGTATCCCCGGAGCGTACTCCTCAATCAGCTTGTTGAATTCCACGTCAAATTCCTTCTCCGCAGCAACCTCTTCCTCCATGTGTCGGCGCTTCATCTCCAGGATCCGCTCCTGGTGCTTCTTCATCAGCGCGTCCCTCCTCCCCCCAAACTCCACCATCTGCTCATCCTGCGACTTTATGAATTTTGCTATTTCTTCGTCCCTGCCACAACAGAATCACACCCGTACTGCCAACTTCAGAAACCACCTTCTTGGTAGAAACATATGTAATGGCAGGTGATGAGTGGGTACCTGAGCGTCTGCTCCTCAGAAGACACATTTTCTTGCGATTTCATGGTCATCTTTTCCCGCTCCGCCTGAAGGGTTTTTTCAAATTTCTCTTCCTTGGCGTTTCTCGCATTATAAAAGCTCTGGATCTGCTCTCTGAAAAATTGTTCTTGAGAATCCATCTGGTCCGGAAGCAAGATCCAACAATGTAGTTAGCATATGGCTATATGAGAAAGAAAACGCAAATTCCACAATCCACATTCCCAAAACCATAAGCAAACCCCAAATAAACAGAAGCTACAAGCATATCGACTCTAATGGAGACGAGATTTAAAGGATGAAACTTCCACAGATGCAAAAGAGAATTAGCACGGGTCTCATTACTAGAACAGCAAAAGAATAAACGACTGCATGGTGAAAAAACTTATGCATGCTCAACATCCATCGGCCAAAGAAAGTAGTACATATATTTTAAGTTTCCATTCGACATAAACAAACAGCTTTGAACATACCTCTTCTTTATTCAGATCATGGTGCTTCTGGGTGCGCAATTTGACCACACGGTTCTCCTCTGCTGTCCTGCGATACTTTTCCGACATTACAACAAGTGATTCTTCAAGAGCCTTCTTGTGTTTCTGCTCCTTCATGACCTTGTTCTTTAAGAAAATCAGCTGCTGATTATCCTCACTCATCTGCTTCATTTGCTTCACAACCATTTCATGATAAGACTGCATGTCATACTTCAGTTTGGTTTTACCTACACAACAGTTAAGAGTACTTTTAAGACTTTAATGTAAAATTAAAAACCAACCAACGTCCTAGCTCCACAATTGATAGGAACCAAGAAAGTGGGCCTTGCGTACGGCATACAATTAAACTAAGTGCACAGACAAACCATACCTTGACAATGAAGATTAAAATTTTCCATATCATGCTTCTCTGCCATGAAACCATACAGTTGACGTCTTCCTCCAGCATAAAATAGCGTCCTAGTCCGATCCCAAGCTTGCCTATCTCTCCCATTGTCTACAAAATGTTTACCTAGACGTTCAGCATGTGCATATCCCACAGCCGAAGCCTCGAAAATCAGAACACTTATCCCTCTATGCCCCTGAGGACCATATGAATGCCGGGCCTTGACAGCTTCATATCCACCAAAATACTCCAGAAGTTCTTTGTTGCCCATACCTATCCACTACAAGTTGCAATTCAAGACATGAGAGGAGCCAGTGCACCAGCAATTAGATTAATTAAAATTAAGTAAAAATTCCTATTGGAACACAAATGAGTCAAAGATGTGATACCTTATCATTATCACCTTTTTCAAGGCGTGTATTCATGATAATAACCATCGGTGGCCAAACTATTTCTCTATCTCGCTCTTGCAGACCTCTCCATTGTCCAAACATTTCACCAGCAGGAACCGCAGAGGTACCTCTTCTCCGGAGTTCCTCTTCCAAGAGCTCAGCAAGCTCTCGGTGGAGCTTCACCCTTTTGGATCGTTTAGTCTTTGCATGGGTGATGAGTGGCTGCAATCCACGATACCAATCAATTGCCCCAGGGCCTCCTTTGCAAGCAGGGCAGTGCCACTGTCGTTCAGGGTCATTTATCTGCTCCACAGTCAAAATATCTAAACTCTGGAAAAGTTCCTTAAACCAACTGTTTTGTTTCCTAGTATCATGGCTCTTTCGGCTGTCATCCGAATCAAAACCATCACTAAGGTCATCATCTGAGTCAACAATGGCATCTGAATCTTCGTCAAGATCATCCTCTACATCCTGAGAAGGCTCATCATTAGCAGAATAAACTTCCTGAGCATTATGGCCAATGCTTTCCTGAGAAGAAGGCGCTCTGGAAGACCATCCCCACCCGTTCTTCAGAGGCGGAGGGATGACTGCAGGTGCAGCAACATAGGAAGAATCAGAAGTTTGGGGCGGTTTCGCATAGCCTCTTCCAGATGTCTTTCTAGAATCAGAAGTTGGTGGCTGCCAGGTTTGACCAGAGCCCCTCCCATATCCACTCTGATTACGCAGTCCCAGTCGTTGTACAGTATCAGCTTGACCCCATGCTTTGGGGGTGGGATACTGAGGACCACCTTGTCTAAAGCTGTTGCTCCCAATTTTGTTTTTTCCTTTTTTTCCATATACTTCCCATCCTTCACCTTGCGCAGAGTCAAGACTCATGTCTGAGACATTGATTGCTAGCTGGTTGATACCATTGTTAGAATCAGTTGAGATGCTTTTTCCCTTGTTCGAGAAATCAGAAGCGCCATCCCTTCTGCTTGAACTCATGTCTGAAATGATCATTGATGCTGTGAGAATGTGCATTACCAATATATATATAGAGAGAGAGAGAGAGAAAGAAATAAATTAAGAGAAAAATAATATAAAATTATTGAACGAACAGGCAGGTTCTATGAAACAATTCAAATAACTAAGATAGGAGAGCATAGAGCATCACCGTTACCATATTTCAACATATAATCACAAGATCATTGAGGTATACAATGGCGACAATACAGACTCACAGCAGCAGAATATTAAGGTGTGTTTGCATGTGCTTTGAATTTGAAAGTTTTGGGTGTAATGTTTTTGGCAAGAAAAAAGAAATAAGTAAATAAGTGTTCATTACATATTTACATAGAGTAAAAACAGAGTTGAAAACACAAGCAGACACACCGTAAGTCACTGACAATGACTCTAGGATTGAAACCACTAAGCAACAGAAGCTTTTTATTAACAAAAATAGTTTCAGGTTATAAGAAATAAAGGTATACAAGTTTTGTTGATTTCATAATCTATAGTATAATGAGAATGGATTTAATTAGTATACAATACTGACTATCATATGCATGCAATTAAATGGAGCATACAGAATTTTTATCCAAAAAAAGTACTTGTATATAATATGCGATGAACTTCTGAATTGTGCTGCTTCCTCACCCCTTCTAATTTCTATTAGTAAAAAATCAGACTATTTGAATACATATAACAGAAACACTTCATGAAAAAACAAACGTCACTTTGAATTTGGTGCAAATTATGTTCAAGCATTGGAATGCATCATCACACTGACCTGTTTTAAGAAACCTGGATGCTTTTCTTGCCTTGCTGTGTAGTATTTGGTAATAAAAAAATAGGCAGATAAAAATCAAAACACCGGAGCAAAAATAAAGAACCTGTGCATATATTCAAAATTTTCATGCATGAAATGAAAGTACAAACCTTAACTCAACTCAGCTCAGCTCAGGTGAACTCCAGAAAGGTGTAAGCGTACTCTGCGCTGAAAAAAAGGATAGGTGTCAGGCATAAGCTGTTACTGTAGTAATGTTAAAGGTTACAATTTAATGGAGTCCAAAGATATACAGTATTAACAGTATTTCGGCTTAAGCAGACATAATATCCTCACAACAGCAATTCCCACTTACAATATTCAAAAGATTTTCATTATTATACGACCACCACATATTATCTAAATGTTGAATCAAAATTCACATGTGCATGGTGAGAAGGGATCCCTTCTCAAACTTCACCAACATCAATTGTGTTTGTGCCCACTAACAAGCAGAAGAAGTACAAACCACAAACAGCAAGAACCTTACATTTAGCCCTTGATTCATTTTTATTCTTTTGACTGCACCAAGCTTTCTTTCAAATGATCTTTCAAAAGAAAAGAACTACTACTTCAAGAACACACTGAAAAGCAAAAGGAAGCTCAAGGACAGCTTCTACACATCCCACAAGAGTTCAGTATATTTCCTAAGCAGAAAAGAAAACTGTCACATCTATTTTACCAATTTCTAATAACATTCCTCTAGTCTTTCTGAGTGATGGACAACTAAAAACATGTTCTACAGAAGTGCAAGAAAAACAAAAACAGAATACCACATTTCATCAGAAAGCATATGGCCAAAGAGGTTACCATAGCGATGCAAGCACAAGATAGCACATAACTACCAAATAAAGTTTCTCCCATGGCAGAAAAGGCACCAAAACCAACCAACCAAACAAAAAAAGAAAAAATCAAATCAAAATTCACAGAGTTTCTTCCGAAAAAAAAGAAAAGAAAAGAAAAAGTGAAAACACGCAGAGAAAGAAAGAGAAATCAAAACTTCATGCCGGTAAACGGACATTGGAAGAGGTCGAAACCCGATCTTTCCAAACTTGAAAGTTCCTGAAACTGGTAGGCGCTTTTAGGGTTTAACGATGAAAGAAAACCAGGAAATGGCAAGTGACGATAGTGAGTGGCGAGGGAAGAAACGATGCAGGCGTTGGCGTCGCAGTGGCCGTCCCCGGCGGTGAAGTTGGGGACGACAGTGATGGCGAGAATTTCGAGCAAAACTGGCAGTGAACTGAGCCAGAGAGCAAAACTGTAAAAAGAAAAGGAGGACAGAAACGGAAAGAGAAGGTACGCATTCAGACTGTACAAGCATAGCCTATATATATAAAAAAAATAATAATAATAATTAATGGGATGATTTGTGTAAAAGTAAAAATAAAAAATAAATAAATAATTAATTAATTTTTCTCATTTTTATAGGAAAGATAAAAAAAAATTAATAGGGAATCGAATCTTGGGATTGAAGCTTCGCCATAAGTTTCACCCTCATTTTCTGCCATAATTATTTTTATTAATATATTTTTAATTATTTAATAATTATATTTTACTTAAATTTTTTATCTAAGAATTTTAAATTAAAAAAAAAAAATCTTCAAACCAAAACACAAAACAAACACACCCTCACAATTCTATAGAGTGAAAAAAATTTTAAAGTAACATGTCTTAAACAATTTTCTCCAAAAGTATTTTAAGAGTATATTTGGTTGGAGAAGTTTTATTAGAATTTTACTATTTATTATTTATAAAAAAAATCAAATCAAATATTTATTTTGTTATTTTTATATTATATTAAAAATTAATTTAACATTCAAATTTTTTTAATAAATATTTTTTTTTTTGTACGAGTCTCTATAAATATTATCAAAAAAATAATATATATAACATATTCATTTAAAAAAATTAATAATTCAATATAAAATACTCCCTCTTTCTATCCCTGATCATAAGACTCATTTTGTTAAGACACGATCTTTTATATAGTGGAGATTAATAAATAATAAGTTATTATTATATAGTTTTTTTATATGATTAATATTGTTGGTATTTTAAATATTTTTAACATTATAGCTTAATAAAATATATATCATGTGAATATCATTTTTAGATATTTTTTTATATAATACAAATAAATGCAATAAAAATTATATTTATTTATTTATAATTAACTTCAAACTGATTTTCTAAAAAAATAAAAAAACTAAATATAGTTTTAAAAAAATATTGAGAAGAGAAATAGAAATAAAGATTTTAAGTAGGTCTCATATATAAAAAGTTAAAATTTTAATTAAATTGAAATAAATTTATTAAAAATATAGAAATAAGTTATGTTTTATGGGATGGACAAAAAAAAAAAAAGATCATCTATGGTGAGACACGCATTATATTTTATATTATCAAATATAATTTCTTATATCTAAGACATAAAAGAAAATTATACAAAGGTGTGTTTGTTTGACAGTTTGGATTTTGAATTGAGATTTAAATAATAAAAATTTTAAATTTAAATAATTATATGATACGATATAAATAAGAATTGATGCAATGTTTAATATGCATTTTTAATATAATATAAAAATAAAATGTTAGTATTTGATTTGATATTTTAGAAAAAAAAAATTATAAAATAGTGAAAATCCTAAAAAAAATCATTCAAACAAACACATGTGTATATATATAATTAAATAAATAATTGAAATGTTTGCTATAGACATATTAAGAGCACATACCATATTGAATGGCTTATTATTTAAACTATTTTTCGATTGTGTGAAAATCACAAAATTTAATACTAAGATTTGCGCCACATTAATTTTTATTGTGTTGGATGAAATAATTTAGAGAGGACATATTTTTATTCACAAGAATTACATGACATAGAATACCTAAGTATTTGTTGTGTGGATTTGTCAATTAAAAAATATTATGTAAAGTGTGTTTCTTTGAGGTTTCAAATTGAGCTCGTATTATTATTATTTTAAATTATCAAGTGCATGTTTCTTTAGCAAGTTTTTCCAAATTTTACTATTTGAATTTTTTATTTTTTGAAAAAATATATTTTTTTTCTTTCACAAAATTTTAAATTTTTTTTTAAATAAGACAATTATCATAAATACAATATATTGCTTCTAAATATATTTTAATATTATTGATAACTCAAATATTTATTATGTGTTCTCTTAAAAAAAAAAAATATATATTTGTATGTTTATACAAAAATTATTGCAATATTATTGTTTGAGATGATCCAAGACACCAAATTATAAATCCAAATGAAAAGACCGCATTTCAAAGAGGTTTCACTCAAGTCTCAGATTTAATTGACCAAAATCAGTCTACCAAATGACTAATGTAGATAGTCAGTCAGTCTATTAAGCTGCCAATATAATTTTGGCAAGCGAGCTTCTGTTCTGATGCTTAGAGCATGTGCAATGCGCCTATCTTTTGTGACGTGGTATATTAAATAATAATAATAAAATACTCTATTAGTTTCAAGGTGAATATAAAATAGAAGATAAAAAGTTAAAATATTTTTATTTTTTAAATAAATTTAAAAATAAATTAAAATAATAGTTATAAATAATTTTAAAATAATTTTTGTTATAATAAAAATTACACCAAGTCAGTTAAATTAATAAATTTTAATTATATTCGGACATTATTTCCGATAAATATTACTAGTAATTATTTATAAATAAGCATGAAACCCACTTGACGATTCCCAAAACCCTCTGAAAAGCCTGAAAGGCGTCGTCGTCGTCTTGGTCTGGCGAAGAAGTCCCGCCGGTACAGCAAATGGGGAAGAAAAAATCCACCAAGAAAGAGAGCGGCAGGGTGAGCGAGGGAGAGTTGTTGAAGACCCTCGAAGACTTCACAGTCAAAGACAATTGGGATAAGTTCTTCACCTTGAGAGGCGCCGATGATTCCTTCGAGTGGTACGCCGAATGGCCGGAGCTCCAAGCGCCATTCATGCAGCACCTTTTGTCTCCGGCGGTGAGCATCTTGGTGCCAGGGTGCGGGAACTCGCGGCTGTCGGAGCATCTGTACGATGCGGGGTTTAGTAACATTACGAATGTGGATTTCTCCAAGGTCGTAATTACGGATATGTTGAGGAGGAATGTGAGAGAGCGGCCGCGTATGAAGTGGCGCGTGATGGACATGACCAGTATGCAGGTAATTATTTGTTGGGATGGGAGTAAGAGAGCTTTTGTTGATTTGTGATTTATGGATAACTCTGCAATGGATTTTCAGAGATGAATCTACGTTATGATGAGTTTTTTAAGGATTTGAGGGTTAGACTGTATCTTGTTGTGGTTAGTGAGGGCTGCTTTTGGTATCTGTAAATGCATAGATAGGCATTTGCAATTATGCATACCGAATTGTGGTGTTTTAGTTTGGGAAATTAATGTGCTTCTGGAATGTTAATTTGGTGTTGAGGAGATTGACGCCTGATAACCGTACTGTAGGATTATCTTATGCAAATAATATCTTGAAGAATTGTTTGTATGAAAAATTGAGTATGAAATGTGGTTTCTTGCCTGTGACTGCTCTTTGGATGCTGGTGGCTTTTGTATTTATTTAGGTGAAATAATGTGTAATGGTACTTTTAACTGCTTGAGGAGCATATATCCTTTGAAGTTGTCTTAATGTTAAATGAGTTCTGGGCATGAACTAATTTACTAGATTCTTGTATATACATGCTCCCTGTTTTCCTAACTTTTTTTTTTTTCCGCATTATGAACCAGTGTGAAAGTGAGAGCTTTGATGCTGTGATCGATAAGGGAGGATTGGATGCTTTGATGGAGCCTAAGCATGGTCCAGTTTTAGGATATAAATATCTGTCTGAGGTGCATGATAGACTCATTTGAGAGTGATACTATTTTTAATCTTTTTATTTGTATTTTGGCTGCGAAGCTTGGCTCAGAGAGCATTCTTTTGCGTGTTAACAGGTGAAAAGGGTTTTAAAATCGGGAGGGAAATATATTTGCCTCACATTGGCAGAACCTCATGTATTAGGTATTTTCCTATGGGCATATCTGTTTTATGAAAAAAAAATTAAAATTTGGCCATATATAATAAACTGTAGCTACCTTTGTCGTGAATTGTCATTTTTGTTCCTGGTTTCTTTGATTCACTTGGTATATGAGTATATCTAAATTAACATGTATCAGATTGATTCAGCATTCCACTCTCCTAGTTTGCTTCCATTCACTAACTTCACTTATGCAAAGATTATTCATGTAACAGCATTTTCTTTTCTCCATAACTATCACCATTTTTTCCAGATATACTTTTTCCCAAGTTTCGGTTCGGGTGGAAGATGAGTATTTACAACATTGCTCAGAAATCATCATCTAGAAACCCAAAGCTTTTGACTTTTATGGTGGTGTGTGAGAAAGACGTTTCTAATGCTGTTTCGGAGATATTGTCATTTTTGGATAAATGCGCTATCGAATCTTGCAGTTATCAGGTAAATCTTTCACCTTCTCCATTCCATTTCAATTCCTTTTCCTGGAATAGTAGGAATTGATAAGTAAATCTGAGGGAAACATACACGCTGGTCGATCGACATATGAGAATTGGTTTTGTTCAATTCTACAGTAGCTTAAAACAAAAATATGTATGTATGTATGTATGTAGGCTTTGGATTAATGTGTTCTATCGTTTAGGTTCCTGGACTCTATGATGCACTTGAGAGAGAAAAAGTGGTTCGGCTAGACTACATCAATGGTTCTGATCTAACATACTCACTCGAAGACCTGACACTAGGGGCAAAAGGTGACCTAACAGTGGTCAAACCTGGTCGTAGGATAAAACTGGTATTAGGAGAACCTGGATTGTCTCGTTACTACTACAATGGTGTACTACTTGATGCTCCAGAGGATTATGCACCTTTCAAGTATTATTATGCGGTATTCATTGTTCCAAAAGTAAGTTTTTATTTTTTTTCCTTAAAAAATCTTTAATCCTTGAGATTCTCTAGATGATGACGTTCCTCACATTTAATAAACCAATGAAAGTTTGATATTGTGTTCTTTTGGAGTTTGAATGGTTTGAATTGAATGTTTTGTGAGAGTAAATAGTATATTTTTTTATAGGTAACTGCAATGGTTGAATAGTAAAAGATTGAAACCAAACACCAAACAACATAGCCTAAGTTTTTTTACTACTTGTTATTCTATCATAATTTGAGAATCTATTGTTTAATTCTGGAAGTACTGAAGTGTGAAGTTATGGCTAAAAACCTGGGCATTTGAAATGTCTTCTCTGCTTGCTTGGTTGCCTATTTACACGGATAAAAAGTTGCGTTTGGGAGCTTCAACCAACACATATCTCTGTAAATGCATTTCCTTTTATTCCTTGCATTTTCAGATACTCAAATATTTTAATTTTGTACTGGTAGTGTTAGACCTAAGATATTTACACGCTTCTAATTTTGATGTAATTTAAAATTGACCCATTTGTATGTTTGATTCTACCTCTCTTTTTATATTGTCAGTTTCACTAATTTGGCAATCCACCTAGTAAAGTATATGAATGTAAGATTTCAGGTGAGAGTGCATGAGTGGCTCTTCTCATCAGAAGAAGGACAGTGGCTTATTGTTGCAAACTCAAAAGCTGCTCGATTAGTAGTGGTACTTTGTCATTAATCTCATTTATTTAAAGTGTTGATTGTTTTCTCTGTTATTTACAATACTTTTATCTTTTCAATCCAGTAATTTACTTGTATTAATTTCAGATTTTACTGGATTCCGGAAATTCTAATGCTGCCATGGAGGATATACAGGTAATGCCCAATTGTATTATGTTTCTGTTGTAGAAGATACATGTGACTTCATGTCACAACTTGTGTTTGTTTTTCCTTTTCAGGTCGATCTCTCTCCGCTGGTCAAGAACTTGACACCAAAAAATTGTGATGATGCAATTCCAATTCCGTGAGTATCTATATCAATATGCATATGCTTTCCAATCATTCTGAACATGGCATATGATAATTTTTAAACACAATTTTCTTTTTTAAAAGGAAATTCTGATTCTGATTATTTTATTATATGGAAGTGTGTGCCTTGATAAGTATAGCCTTGGGCTAAGGTTCATGTTTCAAGGAAACTGCTACATTAGCTGTAGAAAATTAACAATTCTGTATTTTTATACAAGTGACTAAGATGATGTGAAGTGACCATCTAGGGTTAATAAATAAATAACAAAAACAATTTTGTATTCATTGTGTTTTGGTTCCATGCTGCTATTTTCTTGTTTCACTAGGCAATACTTGAATTGTTTCAAGTTTGAATGTACTGGAGTTCACAAGAATTTGATCTTTTGCAGGTTTTTGTCTGCTGGTGATGGGATCAAGCAGCGTGACATTGTGTATGAGGTTGAATAATTTCTGTGATTTCATGACATCGAATACATATGTTGGGTTTCTTGTCCAATTGCAAATTTACTTGTTCTATAATCTAAGATCTAATGTATCTAAGAGAACAATATCTTACACATCAGTTAATATAATCTGATAATTAGTGAGCTAAGCATATAGTATCGTTGTGAATTCTTCCAAAGATTATTTCCTCAGGTACATTCTCTTGGATGACATTCACTTACACACTTGGTCAAAGGCTTGACAGAGGCTCCAGAGCCATTGACGCTTGTCATTTTTTTTGGTGTGCTTTTTGGCCTCAAAAAAGATGTTTATCAGAAGAATTTTTGTTATTAGTACAACCAAACTTTGTAATTTAAGCCTCTAGTCAAGTGCATTTTGTTGTAGTTCATTTGAAAAAAGTTTATTTTGGAATAAAAATGTAAGGCTCCATTTAGATAGGAGTTTTGGAAAAATTTGGATATAATAAATAGTTAGGTATTTGATGTGATGTTTTGTGAGAGAAAAGAGGTATTTTGTGTGATGTTTCTTGAAAAATTTACTCTTGATAAATAGTGTATAACTTCCAAAAGTGTGCATGTAACGAGAGCCTAATTCTGTCGTATGAGATGACAGCTACATATCTTTGTAGAAGAATTGAGAGAAATAGGTATATAATTGCTTTTATAGACATTTATTCTGTATGGAGAAGCCCTTTGTTGTATTTGCAAATCAATTGTGAATTTGCATGGCACCTTTTGTAGTACATTTCTATTGGTTCTTGTTGAGTTGACAATGCGAAGAAATATGAAAGATGAAGCCTTCTTGGAGAAGAGTAAATTAGAATATTAGATACGAAGCTAGATCGTGATTCTGGTCCTTGTGGTTATTGAAGTTTAACAACTAAGAAAAAGTGCTGGAAATGTGAAAGAAGTGGAATCTTGTGAAATCTGAGTCTCTCTCTCTTTCTCTTCTTGGAGATTAGTAGTTGCTATATTACTTTTTACTAGTGAGGGTGCTTTTGATTTGATTTTTGAGGATCTTTTGTGATTAACGCCAATCTCAGATGATTTGAGTCCATCTCAATATGGTTTCTGGGAGAAATTGTATCCATATAGGAATAAAAGCATTAACTATCTAAATGAATATTTCCCTGGGAAAGTCATTGATTGATGTAGTTTAATATTGTGTTCCTTGCATATTTTATCCAGCGGTTTGATCAGTAAATTTACCTCACAAATTAGCTAGTTCGAAGCTGAAGGAATGACTGTTTCACTGCCTTGTAACAGATTCATTGGCTTGCCTACTCAAGTCCTAAATTGCCAGTATATTATGTGAAAATAAACAGTTTAGAAATACTGCTTTTGAGTTTGTGAGATTAGTTTCTTTACCATCAGATGCTTCTATTTCTGCTAGCACTGCAGACTCTCATCGTTCTTTCTTTTTTCATTTTAGTAACTTTCTTCTGAACCCAGGTTGTGTCTCTTCTCACCGGTCCAATTATTGTAGATGATGTAATCTATGATAGGATTGATGATGTTCCCTCAAAAGATTTTGTATTCCGGCGCCTTATTTTTCAAAGAGCTGAGACTTTGGTGCAGTCTGATGCTCTTTTATCAACAGAAGGTTCAGATATAAGCTCAAGTGAAGCAAACCAAATGAAAGTGAAAACAGAAACTGGGTCTGGTTCCAAGAAGAAAGGAAAGCAGAAAAAATCCAGTTCACTGACTACTCAGTCCAATGGTATGATCTTTATATCTATGCTGGTAGTTTTTGTGATTTTTTTTTTTTCATATTATTGTATTCTAACTATTTTTGCTATAGTTTACTTGAAATTGAGGAAACATAATTGCAGAGTACAATGGTTTCCAAATATGGTATACTTGGTCATTTTACTTATCTATTTATAGCTTACCTCTATAGTGTTAAAAGTTTAGTTTTTTTACCTTTTTCATAAGTAAATAAATATTTTATGTAAGGCATCAAGAGAATGCATGGTCGAAAAGAGCTTCATAGGTAAGGAGTCACTTTGTCTCTAAATGCCATGAATCACCAATATTCTATGTATACATAGTGTACATTCCTACCATTGCCTGTATGTATGAGGTGTGGTGGAGAAAAAATGAAGTGGGATTGGAATTGGGATTAGGATTCAGTGTTATGGAGAAGGAAACCGATATAGCCCTAATGCTTAGTATCAAACTCCATTTTAGCCCTTCAGCGAATACTATCAAACATTAACAACAAAGCTTGAGTTTATTTGTTAGTTAGCAATTTCTATATATATATATATATATGTATGTATGTATTTCTAAAACTTGGCTAATGAACTACTTTTTAGCTTCTAAGACATCTACTACTTTCTAGTTTATTTGTTTTATCCGGTTGCTATTTTGCCATCTTTCTTGAAATTGTTGTCCCCTTATTTGTTCTATGGTGTTGCATTCTATGTTTTGATTAAGGTCGGGCGATATTAAAGTTTATGTTATATTAGGTAAGGACCGAGTTCACTTAAGTTTGATCTTGGCACAAAGTTGGAGACTCGGACTTCTATTTTATATCATTTAGAGCCATTTATTTAGTATGTCTTGATGTAAATGGGGGCCAATCTAGGTCAAATACAGATTGAGGGGATTATTAGGAATAAAATTTATTATTTTCGTTTTACCCTACATTCTATCAATTGGTGTGACGTACTGGATTACCTTATGACAGAATTATCTTTACCGTTTCCCGAACAAAACATCTAGATGATTTGGAAGAATCAGTTGAAATTTTGAAGGAAAAGACAACTTAAATTTGCCGTGACATCACAAAAAGTTTGAAATCTATAAAGAACAATCTGCCATATTGGTGACTTGGATGGCGACGATGTATGAGGAGTTATTGGTGGCGAAATGCAACTACTGAATTTATGACATAACATTGACACTGGTGTACCCTAGGGTTGCCCCGCCAGCCTATTCAACTAGAGGCGAGGGCCGCGGAAAAAGAAATGGATCCGCCCTTTTGCTCATCTTTCGATGGCATAGAACTGATCGATTGGGTGGCTCAGGCGGAACAACAATTTGACCTTCATCAAGTGAGTGGAAAACTTAAGGTAGCCATGGCACAGATCTCCATGGAAGATGTAGCCCTACATCGGTCTAGACGGCATTGCCTCTGCCATCCGAAGGCAACATGGCAGAAATTTTCCCAAGCTTTGGATGCCCCTATAAGCGTTTGACCACAATTAGGCAACGTGAATAAGTCAATTAGTACATAAACATGTTTATGCATCTAGCATTGCAAGTGCCGGGGCTATACAATGAGCATTATCTAGGTTATTTCATCGAGGGTACGACAAGACATCCGGAACCATTTGAGGATAATGGATCTAAGAATTTGGATATTGTGATCCAAATAAGCTGTAGCAGCAAATGGGAGTTCAATGCTGCGCCGGCGTCAACACCTAAGTCTTTGGGATCATTGAGAGTAGAGAGTTTTCGATCCGGGAGTAGGATGCTGCTGGTGGCACCAAGGAGTTAGGCAAGCTGCAGTGGTAGAGTCGACAACAATAAGCCTAGAATGGGAAGTAATGTTACAATAGCTATCTTTCTATCTCTGAACAGTCATCCGACGATCTTCTTTTCGGAAGCTAAGCCATGCAGAGTACCAGGAATGTCATTGGGAATGGATTTGTGTGTATTATTTTTCTACCTTAAAATACAAAGTGAACAAGCCCCATCTCTGTCCCAAATCTTTTGTTTATTTCTAATTTGGGATGTTCTTAAACTTTTGCAACTTTGATTTATTATCACAATTTTTAGTTCTTTTACCATTCAATATACAATTATTACTAACTTGTAAAACATTCCGAACAAAAGCATGTGAGTCCAAAATGTACCAAAAACTATCTAAAATATACCATTTAAAAAAACTGTGCAATAACAACAAGAAGCGAAAGAAATGGACCGGTAGTACTAGTGTACTACATTTCATCAGCTTCAGAAGTGAATATTTAGCATACATAGAAGAGAACTGCTAACCTAATTCTCAGGTCAAGGTCTTTCATTGTTATATTTTATGTTATAGATTGATTTTGCTACCAGTAGTTTAACATACTAGAGAACCAGAGCTTTTCTTTTTCCTTTTGATACCTTGCTTTTTATTCCTTTCAATATTTTCTAGTTTGTCACTTGTTTCTTTAGTTTTATCCTTGCATTCAGCATGAATGGTGGACCTCATTATGTATGACAAAAACTCACTATGTGATATGGAGCACACTGTGTATATAGGATATATATGAAATGATAGTTATCCTGGGTTTCATATGTCAATCATATTTACCAACAGTTTCAACAAATTTAGGGACTATCCAAAATTAAAATTATCACTCTGACTACTTTATTGTATGAGACTACCTGTAAACATTAAACCAGAACACTTTGCTATTATTACTTTTTTCATGCTGAGATAGTGAGATATAAATGGTATTTAACTGCATTCACTATCATGTGCATCATTTTTTCATCTTTCACATGGCAGGATCATGCAGTCAGAAAAAAATTGATCATGACTATTTAGCAAGCTCATACCACAGTGGAATAATTTCTGGATTAATGTTGTTTTCCCGACTCATAGATATACAAGGGTCTACATCAGAGGAGGGGAAAGTAAGCTCCTAGAAGTTTGTCTCTCATTGCTTTGGTGCTATAGTGTGCCTTTCATGCTGTTGTAGTAGTGAATTTTTCCATGACTATTCTGCTGCTGGTGGTGTTTCAAAAGCAAGCAGTTTGTCATCATTCTTTCTTGCTTATGTTGTCTATGAGAACTGATATTTTTTGTCAAAGGATCTGTGTGTTTTGGTGCTTCACTTTTCTGGAAGATTCCTTTAGCTGAATATGGCTTCATTCTCCTTCAGGTCAAAACAGTCGTTATCGGTCTAGGAGCTGGATTGCTTCCCATGTTTATGAGGAAGTGGCTACCTATTCTAGATATTAAGGTGCGTTGGCTGTTGACATTTTATGTGTTTCTATTTCCTGCATTTGTCTCCTCATGCTGATTCTAATTTGACAGGCAATTGAATTAGATCCTGTGGTTTTTGATGTTGCTAGAAAATATTTTGGTTTTGTAGAAGATGACCATTTGAAGGTAAAGCTTTATTTTTTATTTTGTTATTTAATTCATGTTATGTTTTCATAGCTAATAGAAATTAGAGATGCTAACAGTTTTTGTAGCTAATAGAAATTAGAAATATGTTGCAAGAGCTATTATCCCTTTTTTTTTTTTTTATAAAAAAAACAATAATCCAGTTTATTTATTTATTATTATATTTTTAAATTTGAAGTGCAAGAATGTTTTAATTCTTCTTTTCATTATGATCATTGTATTCAGGTGCATATTATGGACGGAATTAAGTATGTCCAGGATAAAGGGAATGCCGCAGCAGGTAAAGTAGAAAGAACTTATAGGCAGCCGGAAATGATAAGTTCAAGATGTAGTTTTGGAACGCTAACCTTGTTGTTCATGCAGATGGAAAGGGTTCTTGCATCAACATACTCATTATCGATGTGGACTCAACGGATTCAAGGTAATCTAGTCAATAGCTTTATATAATATAAAATATTTGCCATGTTCATTGATTGATATAGTCTTTGTTTCACTGTATTGCAGCTCTGGTTTAACCTGTCCGGCAACAGATTTTGTTGAGGAATCTTTTCTTTTATCAGTAAAAAATTCTCTCACTGAGCAAGGCATATTCGTCATTAATCTGGTCTCAAGGTCCCCTTCCCTGAAGGCCGCAATATATTCAAGATTGAAAGCAGTGAGTACTGTTCTTACACGCTGGACTTGGATTTGACTACCAATCACCAATTTTTTTTGATGTTTTGACCTAGGCTTGCACATTAGTCATTTTATACTCCGCTTCAAATTATCATGATTGATTCATTTGTGGATGGCTTTTTGTGGATTAACAATTAAGTTATTCTCCATTTTTTGTTTGTTTTTATTTTGTAATTTAAGTTGAAGCAATTTAGTCAATGACCGATTCTTCTATCTCTTGCCCAGTTAGGATTCCTGCGATGCTCTTTGGTCTTCACCAAACAACATAAAACATTCTATGCCCTTCAGTTGATTTTGTTTTGCCCTCTCTAATAAATCTTTCTGTCCAAATTAAATCAAAGCACTTTTATTGTTTTTATAATGTTTCGGTGGCATGCTTTGCAGGTGTTTAGCAACCTCTTTTCCCTCAAGCTTGAAGAAGACTTGAATGAAGTAATCTTTGCTGTGAAGACCAACTTTTCCATCAATGAGAAGTATCTTTCTGAAGGTTGTAAAACTCTTGCAGCATCATTAGAGCAGGAAAAGAAGGAATGGGCCCAGGGAGTAATAGATGCCTCCAAGCTCATCAAAGCACTCTGAGGAGCAACGACTCACTCGTCCAGCTGGATTTTCAAGGTCTGTCTTGTCTTGCACAAGAACATTACATTCTACTTAACTTAATGCAAATCCTGGAAGTATAGAAAGCTAGTTAATTTGTGACGTTGATGCTATAAAAAAGCACGCGGGAAAGTTGGTTTCGAGTACACCAACAATGCATTGCATATGATCTTGATGGTCGGTTGATAACCTAGGCCAATGCACTGTACCTATATCTATGTGTTGGCTGAGAAGTTGTGGGTGTACATGTTTTATTTGATACATTAGAAGCCAATTTTTGTGCTCCTTTGGTGCCTTATGCTGAGGTCTTTTACTTGCATTGGATGCATAAGTATAACTCACATTGTTATTTTTAAATTATTCGAATGAGGATTAGAAGTTAAATTTTAACATTACAAATATTGAATCGGTTGGAATGTTGCAAATGTTATGGATATGCAGAAAAGATGAGAATTAGAATTGAAAAGGAAAGAAAAAATAACAATAGCGAGTGCAATTGAATGGAGGAGATAAATTAATTGATGTTGATGATTCATTTCCAAAGGTAGGACTTTTTTGGTTGAATGCAGATTCCCTATATGCCTTGTCACTGTTAAATGAATTCATTTGCATACAAAGGGCTTGAATGCTTTTGTGGCTGTGTAGAATGCAAATTATCTTTAGCTTAAAAGAAAAACACACTTTTGAATTTTAAAACTTTTTTTGTTTTTATCAAACTCAATATAAATATTCATAAAATGTTAAGCAAAAACCCTTAAAAGTCAATCCAAATGAAATTAGATTTAAAAATATATATTAGCTTTTTCGTAAAATGAAAAAAGTTTTCTATTTTAAAAAACTTTCAAATAATTTTTTTTTTTGTAAATAATGAAAAAAAATATAATAAACTTTTTTACCTTTCCTTTAAAAAAATATAGAGAATGTTTGTTTTATTAAAATAGATCGTTCATCCCAGTTGGATACAAATTCCAATAAATATAATATTATATTAATTATTATGATATAAAATAAAAATATTTTATGATATATATATATATATATATGAGTAGGTTAACAATGAGATTATTATCAATATTATTTTTTTATAGATTAAATAAGTAGATGCTAATACCATATATATATATATATATAAATAAGTAGAATGTTAAGTTATAAATAAATAAGTAGAATGTAAAAGTTATAAATTAAAAGCTGTGTAAAAATTATTTGTTAAACAAAAAAATAGATATAGATTTAATGGAGAAAATTATATTATTTTTTAGTTTATTATAAAATCTTATTTTAACATGGAACCGAAGATTTCATTTTTTTTTTCTTTATAAAATATTTAAAATACCATAAATTAAATATTTAAATATTTTTAATAACTAACAACAATCATTTGAAAATAAAAATAAAAAGGTGAATTAAAATGAGTACTTCTGTTGGCAGGCAGTGTCGATCGTATCCAACTTGATTCATTAAAAACAAACTAAAGCGTATTTCGAGAAATAAGATAACCAACAATTCATTCATTTAGCGCAGCAGAATCAGTTTGACAACGAAGCCCACCCCCCGTCAACGCACAAGTCAAGGCCGGAGCTCACTGCAATCTCCGATCTCAAATGGACGGCGGCGGCGGCGGAGGAGGTGGCCCGGCTCCGTTCCTCTTGAAGACGTACGAGATGGTGGATGATCCCACGACCAACGCCATCGTCTCATGGAGCCGAACGGGGAAGAGCTTCGTCGTGTGGAACCCGCCGGAATTCGCCCGCGTCCTTCTTCCATCCTACTTCAAGCACAACAATTTCTCCAGCTTCATCCGCCAGCTCAACACCTATGTACGTCTCTCTGTCCTTTTCACAGTTGTTCATTGCATTGTCCCAGTGGAATTGTCTAATTAGGGTTTCCGATTGTTTGGTTTATGAATGCGTGGGGGTGTGATGGTTATGTTGTGGGATATTTAGGGATCGTTCGTTTGGAATTATCACACAAGTATATGGTAGTTCTGTTAGAGAATGTTTACATAATGAAGTGACAGAAGAAACTGATGCTAAATAAAGATATTTTCGACTGATTGGGTCAGGAATTCCTATTTGGATAGGTATGGATTAACGAACTTCCTAACTTATACTAATCGTGTCTCGATGACGAATTGATCTGATGGATCGGATAAATGAAAATTTCTTGGGACATAATGCAATGTATATATTGAAGAAGTATGCACAATAGCTTATTTTTGCTGTGATCTTTTGTTTGCAGCCGACTTTACTGTCACCATCAATTGTGTCCTCACATTAATACCAACTGTTGAATTACAAACTGTTATTTATTTATTTTATTTTATATTTTTTTGCTTTCTTGTACTCTGTGCTGAAGTTCCGACTCATAATTAATCAGTAACAAAAAAAATGATTCCCCTTATTCATTTGTTATTACTTATCTCCTGAGGAGGATATTTCGATGGTATATGGTATAGGACCAATGGTGAAGAGAATAGTTGCATATGTTAGCATATTCAGGTGTGTGTATAGTTGTGTTGGTATGATGGTGGGGTTGTTCTGCATTTGTCTTGCGGGTGGTCAATTTGCTTATTTTGGCGTGTATGTTTTTGTAGCAAAGAAAACTATTAACGTTCACGCCGAATAGAAATTTGTATTCATTAGTATTAACTTGTTAATCAAAATCATTAGTGATTATCAGTATGTAATTTGATGGTGAAACTAAATGGTTAAGTATGCTATTTCCCACCTTGACTTTATAGATAAGTATTTTGATGATATGAATAGTTATAATTTGGTTTGTCAGTACACCTACTTTATTCTATTTCTATACATAGATATCAAAGAAACAAAGAATACAGGCAGCAGATACGATACCCATACAAGTTTAGTGAGTTAAAGATTACCCAACCCAACAGTGGCCTTGACATCTCCTCCCTTTCAACTCGCCAGCCTCATCACTATCTGACAACACCCCCCAACCACACCTTCCCCCTTCACCATCCCGGTGCTCTTTATCTATACTATAGGGCTGGCTTTCCCATTTTATCAACAATCATCCTTGTAGTCAAGACTCCACTATTCTCAGCCTAGATATGTAGTTAACTTACTTCTCCAGCCACACCCTTCTATACACCCTGAATGATACTTGTCTACCCTTACCCATGGCAGATCAAGCTCTGGCATTGCTTGCCCTGCCAACCATTATTAAGACCGGAATGTGGCCTCATCTGATAAATGTAGAATAGAAGATTTTTTTTGGGGATCGGAAAGCATAGAAGATTTTGTTGGATAGATGGAAACATACACTTGTCAAGCAAACACAAAGACATGCTATATATGTCATTGCATCAAAACATATATACATCGGTTGCACCTGAATAGTTTCAAAATTTTTTTGTAGTAGATTAAAAAATAATAATAATAATATAGTGAGTAGGTTTGTGTAAGATGGAGAAGTCAATAATACCCTTGGTTTATGTATAGTGTGTGATGTGATGGTGTTTTGGTAAATAGAGGTGATAGTGGAGGTAAATTAGTAATTGGGTGATGCTACATAGACTATAAATGAAAACGAGATACTTAGGTGGGACAAAAAGAGTACTATGAATGCTATTTTCTATTTCTCCATTGATGCAATGGACCAATGGGATGAATGAATCACATACTAGATAACATACACAGATAATTCATTTCATTTTGTTTTGGGTAGGTGTTCATATACATTGTGCATTTTTTGTAACTATTCTATTTGAGTTTCATTTGGTGTGTTTATCATTACATCTATTTTATTAGGTTCACCTAGTGTGATTTGCATTATTGAGTCTAGTTTATAGGCTATTAAGTTTACCCAGAGTGTACTCGTTAAGTAGCGATTGCGGATTCCCACATTATAAAAAAAAAAAAAACGATTTTCAAAAAGCATGTTATGGTAAAGGATATTCTTAATAACCATAACATGCTTTTTAAAAATCTTGTTAACATGAAGAGAGGCTCATTTCTAATGTACATCCCGTACCAATGTTCAGCACATGATGTTGTTTGGAACAGCACATGGCTATGAACTTTAGGAATATAACTGCTCAGAATGAATCTTTATCCCGGATGGTAGTTGCGCCACAACTTTCATATGCTATTATGATAATGATTTTTCTTCTATGGTAAGTGATATATGTTTCATAGATTCTAACCCCATTTTGCCTTATGAAAAGATAATCTTGTTCGCTTCTTCCTTTTGATCTCAATTAATTGGCATGTGTGATCTCGTCAGTGGTGGCATTTTTTTGGTTGTGGTGGCTTGGGAGGGTTATGGATGTTGTATGGTGCTTGTATATGCTGGTCAAACTCAATCATGTTTTCTGGCATGCTTCGTGCAACTCAATATCAATATTTAGTGATGTTCCCTATAAATTATAATTTATTGACGACAGCAGTTATTAAAGTGCTGATATATCTCTCCTTCCTAGCACTGTTTCCTTGATTTTGTAATGTAATGTTATGTATAAATTTCCTGCCCTACGGAATAACTCATTTCGGTTTTGATCTTACTAGTAATATCGAGAAGGAAAAAGCTGGAGCTGTTGTTGGTTGTATAATTTGCTTTGCTAATTTCTTTTGTAATTTCATCGTCACATCATTACTATGTTTTGTTAAAATTGTTCTACATTCTGCTGGCTGTAGGGATTTAGGAAGATCGATCCAGAAAAATGGGAATTCGCCAACGACGAATTTATGAAAGATCAAAAGCATCTCCTAAAGAACATTCACCGGAGGAAGCCTATCCACAGCCACAGTCAGCCTCAAGGGTCCGTTGATCCCGAAAGAGCTGCTTTTGAGGAAGAAATAGATAAACTGTCGCGTGAAAAATCCGTTCTTGAAGAACAAGTGTTGGGATTCAAGGATCAGCAGTCTGCAGCGAAAGCACAATTGGAAGATCTGATGCCACGCATCGGTTCCATAGAACAAAGGCAGGAGAGATTGCTAAGCTTCCTTGAAAAATCAGTTCAAAATCCCGAGTTTGTTAAACGGCTAGTCCAAAAGCTTGAGTCAATGGATTTTTCAGCGTATAATAAGAAACGGAGGCTCCCTCAGGCAGATAATTCGGTGTCGGTTCAGGAAAATGCTTTGGTCGACAATCAAAGCAGCTGTCAGCCGAACTTGTGCGACATTTCTCATCAAGACTTTTGCAACAAACTCAGGCTGGAGCTATCGCCCACGGTTACAAATGCCGACTTGCTTTGTCATAGCACCCAAAGCTCGAACGAAGATGGGGCGAGTCCTCCGGGAAGGATGAACGGATTCTCTAGCGACATACCTGCAGCGGGAACTGCCGGTGTCCTGAGCCCGTCAGAAACGGTGGAGCTGTCCGACACCGGGGCCTCCTTCAACTTAAAGACGGGCTCGTCCATATCTAGTAGAGCGGGGCCCGAAAGCCCTCGACTGCATTCCTTGCATCACGGCTTGAGCTTGGCTTCAAACGATGAAGGGGACGGCCACATCTCCTGCCGCCTAAACCTCACTCTTGCATCCTCTCATTTGGAACTGAACAATAGCCGGAACCCTGATGGGACGCCGAGCCCTGAAGTCGTCGGCACACTCTCAAGGCTGAACAGCAATGATCAGAATGAAGAAATCATTGGTCGCACGGCTGCCCCCCTGGAGGCGGATGGAACAGTATCCTCCGAGGGTCCTCGAAGATTATTTTCCTCCTCCTTGGCTGAGCCGGAGCGCAACAAACAAGGGCCGCGGAGCCAGGTTAACGACTTTTTCTGGGAACAATTTTTAACTGAAAGGCCGGGGTGCGCGGACGGCACGGAAGAGGCCAGTTCAGGCTTTAAGGCGAACCACCATTGCGATTGCGAGGAACAGGAAGACGGGAAATCGTCTGTGAAAGGAATAGCGCGGAACACGGAAGGTATGGAGCATCTGAGTCTCTGACACCTCATTCTGTGTTTGTGTTTGTGTTTGGTTCTGCTGATGATATGAAATATAAATATGAACATAAACATAGCTGGTAAATTACACTATTTATTTATATATGGTCGTCTGTCTGTCCCTATGTTTGTCTCTCTCAACTGTTGTGTTCTGTTCTGCGAGAGATGATGCATGCATAACCCTCGTAATGTTATGTGTGCGTGTGTTGGTGTGATGAATTAATACATAGGTTGTTGTTCTTATGTTTTTTCCTTGGTCCAACAAGACTCACCCATCATCTCATCTGTAGCTCAGACTTGGGTTTTATTTATGGTTGTGTGCTGTGCGATGCTGTGCTGTTATTTATCTATATTTATATGGGAAAGTAGTAATAGGTCTGTAAGGAAGGAATTTGTGCCCTGCCCTGCCCTGCCCTGCCCGGTTAAAAATCGTATTGGGTCCCGGTCCCCAACCCCAATTACAGAAATATGCCGCTCCAACCTGAAAAACTGGGTCGGCCCAATGGGGAAACGAATAGCAAATAAATGCATGCTAGTAGTACCAGAATGACGGATTATAGTACTACTACTATTTTTATTACTCCGCTACAATTTAATTTAAAAATAATACTAGTAATTAATTTTAATATAAATATGTAGGTATGCATGTATATCCTTCAGCGTTGCAGTTGGACCCAGCCAGCCAGCCAGCAATCACCGTTGTATCTGCACTGCGACGCAAACGAGTATCGAATGGCCTCCTAGTATTTACTCGGAATCGGAAGGAAGGATCAACGAATATGCCATTTCGTAGTGGCCTGCGTGATCATTTTTGATCCATTCCCTTGTCGCTCTCGCTCATCTCCAGGTCTTCTACTCAAGTTCGGAATTCACTTGGAAGGAAAAGCCTCCAGGAATGCTTTGAAGTGATGATGGTGTTTTCGTTATCCATATCCTCCTCTCTTCTTCTTCTTCTTCTTCTTCTTCTGATAATGGCGGTCGCAGAAATGTCAGCACAGCCAATTCCGACTACCCTGGACGGCCCGTTCAAGCCCGTCACCGTCCGATTCAACTCCTCGCTGCGCCGCGGCAGCGACGACCTGCCGATGGACCATCCTAGGCTCAGGAGAAACGCCACCGGGAATTTCCCCGAACAGATTGCTATCGCCTTGTCCAATCCGACCTCCATGTGGATTTCGTGGGTCACTGGTGGTGCTTTTTCCCTTCGACTTTCGTTTCTTATAAGCTGAGTGAGATTGTTGCTAATACTTGCCCAATTTGTTCGAAGATTTTACTGATTTAGGGTTTTTGTTTTTGGCAAAAAGGGGATGCGCAGATTGGGGTTAATGTGACTCCGGTTGATCCGAGAGGCGTGGGCAGTGAAGTGTGGTATGGTAAAGAGAGTGGAAAATATGGTGAAAAGAGGAGAGGGGTTTCTGTGGTTTACAGTCAGCTGTATCCATTCGAAGGGCTCTGGAATTATACTTCTGGCATTGTTCATCATGTCAGGATTGATGGTGAGTTTCCAATTCATATATATATGTATATCAGGTCAATGCTGGCTTTTGAATGCTTTAGATGCTTAAATTATGCTTGCAAAATTCATGTCTGTGATTGTTGTATGGAATTTGAAGGTTTAGTATAAATTTCTCTGTGGAAATATTATTGATTCTGCCAAATGTTCGTTCGTGTTTGAAGAAATGCTTCCTTGTGTTTGTGAAACTCTTGGAAGACGTGATTCTATTTGAATTCACACATAAATGATTAATGGTCAAAAATTTTGTATGGAAATGATTGAATGATTTTTGAAATTCTGAAACGAAAATGTTTTAGTTTTGTGACAGCCTTGTGTTGTGAATTTGGTGTTTTCCAAAAGCAAATCGAAACAGAGTTCTTCGTTGTGATTTTGAATTTAGTTTCAATGGCTGGTAATGATCGAACGATTGTTGAAATTCTGAAATGAAAATGTTTTAGTTTTGTGAAAGTTGTCATGTGACTTTGGTGTTTAAATTCTTTTCTTTAGGTAAACTAAATCGAAACAGAGTTGTTGATTGTGTTAGATGTAGTCTTTATAAGCATATTTTTCGTTCTTCTCCATTTAAATTATGAGTGAGCCTTTTAAATGTTGTCTTGTAGGACTTGAACCTGAAACAAAGTATTATTACAAGTGCGGGGATAACTCTTTATCTGCAATGAGCAATGAGCTTGTATTTGAGACGTTGCCATTGCCTGGATCCAGAAAGTATCCTGCCCGAATAGCATTGGTCGGAGATTTAGGGCTTACGAGCAATTCATCAACCACGATCGACCACCTCATCTCAAATGATCCTTCTCTCATTTTAATGGTCGGAGACTTGACGTATGCGAATCAATATCTCACCACAGGAGGGGAAGGCGCTTCTTGCTACTCTTGTTCATTTCCCGATGCGCCAATAAGGGAAACGTACCAACCTCGTTGGGACGGATGGGGGAGGTCATCCATTTTAATTCAATAGCTTTTCGAGAACCCGTTGTGTTTTGAAACGCTTAAAAGTTCAAGATTGATGCCGAATTTGTCGTTTATGAACTGGAAAATCAGGTTTATGCAGTCTCTCATATCAAGAGTACCTATGATGGTGATCGAAGGCAACCATGAGATCGAGCCTCAGGCTTCGAACGTCACATTCCTGTCATATATGACTAGATTTTCTGTTCCTTCCTACGAGTCCGGTTCCAACAGCAGCTTCTACTATTCTTTCGATAGTGGAGGCATACATTTTGTCATGTTGGGGGCATACGTCGATTACAATCAAACTGGTGACTTACCCATAAATTATAGTAGTTATTAATATACATATATATATGCTGGTTTAGAAGCATTTGTCTAACGAATCTCTTGTAAAGGTTCCCAGTATGCTTGGCTGGAGAAAGACCTCCGAAATCTGGATCGAACCGCAACTCCATGGCTGGTTGCCGCATGGCATTCGCCTTGGTACAATAGCTACTCTTCGCACTATCAGGAATTTGAATGCATGAGACTGGAAATGGAAACGCTACTTTACAAACATGGGGTGGACATCGTCTTTTCTGGTCATGTAAGGCTCTGTTCTTTACTATATATATATATATCTTTTTTCAGTGTTTTTTACTATGCAATCTCCGCAATTTTTTATAAAAATATATCATTCTTTTTTCACAAAACATTATATCCAACAATTGTTTAAATACAAAATACAAACAAAAAATACATCCTACGTTGTGCACACACTTGAAACTAATTGTTTCTTAGTTATAGTCTGTTTCATGGCCGAAGCTGTAATGTTTCGAATGGTTAGATGGGTCACGTCGCCTGAAAGATTAAATTTATAGTGATATGTTCATTCAACATGGCATCAAGTATGGATGTTCTATTTTTGAATCGTTGCCATTACCGGGCATATAAAAAAACTCGTGTTCCCTTTGTTAAGACTATAAATATGGTGTGTTTCTTTACGGTTTGGATTTGGGTTTGAGGTTTGGGAATAATAAAAATTGTAATTGAAGAAGTATTAATGTAATATGAATAGACATTCAATGCAATATTTTGAAATAAGCGTATGAATTTGGAAAAAATTTGATAACCAGTGCAAAACAAAAAACAAACCTTAAAAAATCAGACCGAAATTAACTATAAGTAAGAATAGAACAGCTAAAACTTGTTTTCCGAATTTGATTATGGCAATTGTAGGTGAATCATCGATCCAAAGTACCAAACTTGTGCATTGTATTGATATTTGATTGCATATGGTGATTGTAGGTGAATTATCGATCTAAGTTTTATATTGTTTCGATATATGATTAAATATGGTGATCATAGATGAACGATTGATCTAAACTGTGCTTTGTTCATATATTTGATTAAATATGGCATAAGTAGGTGCACGCCTATGAGAGGATGAATAGAGTCTATAACTACACATTGGATAAATGCGGACCAGTGTACATAACAATAGGGGATGGGGGCAATATTGAGAAAGTCGATGTCGATCATGCAGATGAACCGGGAAAGTGCCCCTCTCCCAGTGACAACATTCCTGAATTCGGGGGCGAATGCCACATGAACTTTTCTTCTGGGCCGGCAAAGGACAAGTTTTGTTGGGATCGACAACCTGAGTGGAGTGCCTATAGAGAAAGCAGCTTCGGCCACGGCATACTTGAGGTAAACGAACATGTGCATGATGTTCGATTCACTCGTAGCCCTTCTCTTTTCTAGTTCTTAGGAAACTTATCGCTATCTCCTATTGGTCCGTCTATTGATTATAGCATTAGGGCACGAGATTGCGTGTTCAAATCTTTGGCGAATGAAGGAAATAGTTTCTATTGAAGAAGAAATATTTTAAGTGAAATAGCTTGTTGGTTGTAATATTTTTCGTGACAAATGACTATTGGACGCAATATTTTGGGAGAAAATTTGAGATATTGCATAGTAAAAGAACTGATAAAATATTCGAAGAGAGCAAAGCAATAATAGTTATCTATTGCCACTTGCCTACGCCATCATCAAATGGTTCCTTCTAATTCGTATACATGTAATAGGTTGCGAATTCGACGCACGCACTATGGACATGGCATAGGAATCAGGACACATACAACAATAGCTACGGGGATCGGATTTACATTGTCCGGCAGCCTGAGTTGTGCTTGGTAGGATCCCAGGTACATTTAAATCTACATGGACAGCAGACGGCTAATTGATTTAACTTGACTTAGCTGCAAAAGATTAGATTGTTCTTTTCGTCTTAGCATCTTTTACCATTTTCATTAAATGGTTGGTTCGGTTCGGTTCATATGCGAATTATAGCCAATATTTGACCCCATTTTGGTTTTCGATTGGATCAGATCATTGACTCTTGTGGTTTGCTTGCTCTATTCATTCTACAGGGAAATAAATTTGCTCCTTATTTGCCATCGTTGTCTAGCTTAGCAGCAGCTTCAACTGTGGATCTATTGTTTGGCGGTGTTGTATTCTTTGTTGCGACGTCTATCTTTAGCTTCTTATAGATCAAGTGGCTAGGCCATCCCATTTGGATCGAAAGCTACTACCGGTTTGATTTTGAGAGGTTGCCTGGGTGGTGTGGGGGGGCGGGGTTAAAGAAAAAATATAATAAAATTGTCTTGTTTTAATTCAGAACTAGCTGCTACTGGATTTTACGCTACATCGTGCTATGTTTTCAAGTGTAATTAGCCATCTTTTTTTCTCATTGTAGGTATAAATTTTATAAGAAACTTTAAATAAGAAAATAGGGATCAAATAGAAAACAAACAACTATCATAATTATAGATAGTATCCAAAGATAGTCTTAAAAAACAATACATGTAAGTTGACGAAGGTAATAAGCATATATATATATATATATATATTAATTTTACCTACTTAACAATCTCATATGAGTATATATATATATATATATATATATGTATATTCTTAGTAAATAAAGATTATGTATATTAGATTCGGTGGCCGGGAATTACGGCTTTGCTGTTTCCGCCTCATAAAAATAAAAAAGAAAACACTTGGAGTTTGATTAGCTTTGTTTTGTTAAATTTAGCTTTACAAAATAATACTCCATAATTCCAAAGATTGTTTATTAACTAAAATCAGAACACAAAACGGAAGTTGAAGCAAAATATAATATTGTATATGTGTATATATATATATATATATATGTGTGTGATTACGAAATAAGTTTGGGGGTAGATTTGGAAGAGCGGCATTGAATTGATTGAGTGATTGATGGCGCGAGTTGTTTGTATGTATATTCATTCGAGATTGATTCCGAAATCCATGCAATGCCTACGCCCCCACTTTTCCTTCCATCAATCTTCTTCGCCCCAAACCCAATTCCCAATTCCCAATTCCCCAACCATATCATCGCTCTTGTGCCTTCCTTGTCCAACCGATTTCCTCCACAACCGCCGCGGCCAAGAATTTGGAATTGGAATCTCCTTCCGGCACGGCACACAGGTTCAAATCTGTTTCAGCTGCAATGCCCTTTACGGTCTTTATATCTACATATATTGGAGGTTTGGTGGTCGGAAATGGTTTGTGTTTGGAATGATTTTGTTTCGATTTTATAAATGTTTGGTTTTAGTTGTGTTTATATGCAATGCTTGTTCGATTGGTTTGTTCATTACATTACGTTACGTTGTTCGATTTTCTGTGATGATGATAGCGTTGATGTCGTGAATGAATGGAGGTTTGGCGGTATTTGTTTGTTTTAGAATTGAAGAAAGCTTGACCTTGATGCATACTGGCGCTCACTCTAACCCATTGAAAAATTAATGCATTTACTGCAGCCAATGTGAACAAGACTCTCCGGAAGAGTTGAGCTGCCTGAGAATGGTATAATGAAGGAAGGGAGTGTAGGATAACTTTGATTACCTTTAATTTGTGCCGGTGTTAGACTTCTAGTTGACCAACTGCCAGTTGGCCGTGTGTGAGATGATAATTGATAAAGAAGGAAGGAACAACTGCATATCATCTTGATTTCAACCTTCTGAATTAGAAGTAAAATATTCCGTTTGTTACGACCCTTTAAGATGCTGTTGGCTAATTATGCTTCATTTTGTTGTAATGTCGATTGTGAAAGAAGTTGAATGGCTGGAGAATGCCATAGCCGGTGTGGTGTGGTTGATTATTAAGACATGAAAAATGAACTCTGTAGTTGTTCAGGAAGAAATGCTGATGCGTCCAAGGTCATGCCAGATAAGGGCTGTGGAGATGAATTCCCACACAACATCTCTGTGCAAACAGGGGAGGAATTTTCACCAGAGTTTCTGAGGGATCGAATGGTATCCAGAAGAACACTTCTTGCTAATGAGGTTGATCAAATCCCAACAAGTAAACCGAGTTCCAATGTTCCTAGGAATCATCATCCAGTGTGTAATGATCAAGCAGGTGCTCTTGGGCTAAGGAGAGTAGACTCTGAGAGTTCTACAGTCTGCTCGGATTTATGTTCCAGGAAAGGCTATGGATTTGATTTGGGCTATGACAATTGCATACATGGTTCGAATAGATATTATAGAGGCTTGCAAGGCAATGCACAGCACCACAGGAACTTCTCTGGTGACTCTGGTGTATCTGTTAATTCATTTGAGTCGCCTAATTTCTATCAGGTTTATAACAAGGCACTTGGAGTGCTAGATGGTTCCTTCACTGGAAAGATAAAATTTCTATGCAGTTTTGGAGGAAAAATACTACCGAGGCCAAATGATGGGAAGCTTAGATATGTTGGCGGAGAGACGAGGATTATATCCATAAGAAAAGACCTAAGTTATCCAGATCTGGTAAACAAGACGACTGCAATATGTAGATACCCTCATACAATCAAGTACCAGCTTCCTCTTGAAGATTTGGATGCTCTTATTTCTGTATCTTCCAGTGAGGACCTACATCACATGATCGAGGAATATCATGAGTTAGATAGGAGTTCACAGAGATTAAGAATATTTCTCATCCCTAGTGGTGATCTTGAGGTTCCAGGCTCTTCAGAAGCTAGGGCAATGCTACAGAATGATCCCGAATATCAGTATGTTGTTGCAGTCAATGGCATGATGGACTCAAACGTTCATAAGAGCTCTAGCAGGGAGAGTATGGAAAATTTTGGTGGAGGTAACTTAGACGTATTCCCAGCTGTTCACAAAGGTTCCCTGACCTCGTTTCATTGTATAGAAAATCAGAACGGAGGGAGTAATCTCAATTTTATGCCTCCCACTCTACATGCTCAGGTTTTTTGTTCTCCTCAAGTACCTACCAGCTCCCCCATTGTTTCTCCATCAATAACTCCCGTTCAGTTTACGGATCCAAATGTTTCGAATATGGAAGACTGTGGTGGTGTTGCATGGCAAAAGGTCAATTCTCCTTATCTTATAGGAGCAAAAACTTATGAGAGTCCCGGTTGTGCTGATGCCTTGAGCTATAGCCGTAACAATCCTAATGATTCTGTGCCAGTGGTAGTTTGTTCGAATGCAAACAGCCAACCAGTACAATCATATGGAACACCTACAGTGAGCTCTAGTTTTCTTCTGCCTAGTAAAAACTTTGAGTCTCCTTTACCGGGACCAAGTTACTTCAATGCAACTAGAGGTTTTCCCACTGCTGTTTTGCTACATGCTGAGAAATTGGCTTCTTCTAAAAATGCTATTGGTTTTTCGCCTGTGTCTAATACTCACTGTAAATCTTGTAGAAGGAGAACTAATCTTTTCCATGAATCAAAAACAACAAATGAAGAGAAACCAAGCGTCTCTTTAGAACAAGGATCAGAAAAGATTTCTCAGGTATCTAAGGATGAGATTGAACTCTCTCACGAAGCCCCTGGACTTAACAATGATTATGATTGTGATAAAGACATGACAATATCAATGCAAAATGCTGCATGCACGTCCGATGGGACTGCAAAGGCCTACGCCTATAACAGTGATTATGCCTCAAAGGTCCATGATTTGGAGCGCAAACAGAATTTGCCCTCAATAATGTGCCAACCAGTTTCAAAACTCCCTCCACATGTTCAAACTTTGAAGCAGCAGATTAGTGGACTCGAGAATTCTCCTTCAATGTTTAATTCTGCTGAAAATCCTGAGGAGAATATGAAAGAGCCTCCAAGAGAGCTAGAATTTCTCATCAAGAGCCAGAAAGGAATTGGTGATAATGATCAGTCCCAAGTTGCCAGAAAAGTTCCATTTCTAAATGATGAATTTGTTTCTTGTTTAGATTCGAGGCAGCCTAATGTTTTAGCTGATGCTGCTCCTTCTCAGAAGGAAACGACAAATGGATCTTATGAGAGTGTAGCCAAAGATTCTAATGGCAATACAAACAAGGATAACCCTGATGGCGATTTTCACAAGGAGTTGGTTATTGAAAAGGCCATTCATATCAATTCTCAGCACTTGCGTAATTGTCATGAAACTCATTCAACAGAAATGCCTAATGAAGTTGAAGACGCAAAAGCCGTACAAACAACTGATGGCCAATCATCCTCAAAAGCAATACCGAATCCGCAGCTTGAACATAATGACATGGTTGAATCTCCGGGAACAGAAACAGAAGCTGAAAGTGTTGTCTCTGAATCTGACTGTAATGTATGATACTGTTAATGTTTTATCTCTCCTAACATTGAGGAACAGATGGATGAGAAATTGACTTAAAGTGCCTCTATATCTAGGATGCTAATATTGTTGGAGATAATAAGGATGAACCATTGAGTGACGCTGCAACAATCGAAATGGAAGCCACAATGCATGGTTTGCAGGTTCACCCTAACTTTACTTACATTCATTATATAAATTATTCGATATTATAATCTATGCATATGACATCATTTTATATAGTAGTATATGGGATACTGAATGAACTTATCCTAATGTTTTTCAATGTTTCATTGACAATAAGATTCACAGAGAAGCCCGTGCGCAATGTAGATGCATCTATCTGGTTGTCAGCATTTCTGCTTACCCATAATATAACTAAACAAGGCTATCAAAAGAATTTTGTGTTTCAAAATTATCTGCATTTCTAGTTCCACCTGATATTTGTACTCATGTGTAAGATTTGTTAAAAATACTGGGTTTTTACCCTAAACTGTATGATATAAGTGGCAACTGAAAGTGCACCGGTGCACATATGCATGAAGAATGAAGATGGATATTTAGCTTCATTTTACCTCTCCTAAATTTGTCTGAATGTTTCAAACTATATTGAAATTTCCATTTCATATCCCATTCTAATTATCTTTGACCTCTAGTTAGATTAAATTAGGATGATAGAAGTATTTGCTTTTTGAGAATATCTGAAACTCATGATTCATAAAATTGAAATACTAGGTCTTTAGCTGCAAAAATCAAACAAGTGTTTACTTGTCGTTGCTTAATCCTCTTTGGAAAGCTTTCCTTCTATTAGATTATGGACTTATTTTGTTTCGAGGTATTTCTCACAATTTTTCAGTATGTGCATGCCAAAACACATCAATGGCAGATTAATGCGTAAAATAATAGGTGTAGATATACAAGGTGTAAACAACTGAAAGTTGTGAAAATAAGAGGAAAGAATCTCATAAGTTTCCTTACGATGTGAGTTGAGATTGAGAACATAGGATGATGTCGTTGTGGTAGGATATGACATGTCATAAGTATATGCACAGATTCTGGAACAGAGAAAGAGGGAAGCAAAAGAAAGAGTTATGAATCAGTATACCAACAATGAAACCAAAACATTGAGTGCCCTGCACCCATAAACTTAACACTGAAATTCGCACTAGGACACCGACACGTGATCTTGAATGATGTATTCTATATCTATATAAATTGTATTATTGCTCGCGGTGTGAAATTAAACTCAAGAGAGATTGAACTAGTGATGCCCTTGGAGTAGCTAGGACTATTGGAGAAATTAACCTTGCCACTTAATTGAGGCATTACATAGAATTGATTGCAACAACTATATATTCTAGAGCTAAAGATAGCCACCGGGGTGGAAAAATCTTGTTCTACAGATGCTAGCTTTCTACAGGCACAGGACAATAAGATGCTACAAAAACACTGTTGACAAATTGCAATAAAATAGTATAATGTAAGGTTACTTGTGGGGCTGCTTGTGACAGTCCTAGTAAAGGTTCTTTGGGTAGATTACAGATGCACTAAAGTTTTTTAGTGTCAATGAGACTGGTCGATGCCCTTATGCGAGTCTTAAAAGATTCCAATGTTCTAAGGTAAGCTCATAGCATAGAATTGTTACCGTCTGCTAGTGTTATATCTTCTTACACTTTATTCATGGTATCTCTCCTCGATGATAAACATGTGCATTGCTGCAAGATAAGGATTCTTCATGTGGAATCGCAGAGACTTTAAGGGGGACATCTCAGCTCATCTAGTTGATAGAATCTCATATCTAGGAAGATTATTTTCATGTGTATTTAATGTTTCCCATTGTGAAGATCAATACCAGTTAGTTTTCTGGTTTAGTTTGTACTATTACACAGGAACACCGAACTTGACTTTTGCATACATTTAACTGAATGCCGGATAACTTTGGCAGATAATAAGGAATGCTGATCTTGAGGACCTGCAAGAATTAGGATCTGGTACATACGGAACTGTATACCACGGAAAGTGGAGGGGGACGGACGTTGCCATCAAAAGAATAAAAAAAAGTTGTTTTTGTGGGAAAGCTTCGGAGCAAGAACAGCTGGTTTGTCTGACTCCATGGCAAGATATATATATATATATATCGACTTTAACTTCATAAGCCTACTGTCTAAAACTAAAACTTCCAGCTCCTTCTGGATCGTAAAATGCTTATGAACTTTAACTGTAAGTTTTGGCTATGTCTGGACTCTCCACAGATTAAAGATTTCTTGAGGGAGGCGAAGATTCTTTCTAAACTTCACCATCCTAACGTGGTAGCATTCTATGGAGTGGTTCCCGATGGGCCGGGTGTTTCGTTGGCTACTGTGACCGAGTACATGGCGAATGGCTCACTCAGATATGTCCTCCAGAGGAAGGATCGGTGTGTTGCTTGCTTAGCATTCGCCTCGTGAGTACTTCTGAGAATTGACTCTTGAGAACTTTAACTTCCATTGCAGAGTACTCGATCGGCGTAAAAGAATCATGATTGCCCTGGGCGCTGCATTTGGTATGGAATACCTGCATTTGAAAAATATAGTTCATTTCGATTTAAAATGTGACAACTTGCTTGTCAACTTGGGCGATCCTCATCGACCGGTTTGTAAGGTTGTACCTTAAATATGGCAATCTTCTACTACTTGTTGTCTCTCTCATTGATCGAACTTGGATCCTAAACAATTTTGTTGTCAATTATCTCCAATATTTAATAGGTTGGTGATTTTGGGCTGTCGAGAATCAAGCAGAACACTCTTGTGTCCGGTGGCGTGCGAGGAACACTTCCATGGATGGCTCCGGAGCTGTTAAGCGGGAGCAGCAATCGGGTTTCTGAGAAGGTTAGACTAGACGGCAGCGTATCTATAAACTTGCGGATTTTCTCCTTTCCGCAGATAAGATAAAATGTGAATGTGAACATATACATAGATAATTGGGGGTATGTATGTTGCAGGTTGATGTATTCTCCTTCGGCATGACTATATGGGAGATGTTGACGGGCGAAGAGCCATACGCAAACATGCACTGTGGCGCCATAATAGGTAGGTAGGTTAGGTATATACATATATATATATATCACGTGATGCTGTTGGCATGGCATGGCATGCGTCGTGGTGGTGGTGGTGGATGATGAGGTTCTGCAATGCAGGTGGGATCGTGAACAACACGCTCCGGCCCGCGATCCCGGAGAGATGCGAGCCGGAGTGGAGGAAGCTGATGGAGGAGTGCTGGTCGCATGACCCATCGCGGAGGCCTTCGTTTACGGAGATAACAGACAGGCTTCAGGCCATGTCCCGGGCACTCCAACCCAAGAGGTTTGGAGGCAGAGGCAGGCGATGATCATGAGGATGATGTTGAGGTTAGGTTCCACATTCATTTATTAATTAATCTGTAAGTAAGTAAGTAGATGATGATTGATGATAGAGAGTGAGTTGGGTTCGACTTCTTCTACATATGAATTGAGTAATTATTATTAATCAATAGAAGATGATGGAGGGGAGGGGAGCATAAGACAAGACAAGACAAAGGCAGGAAGATGATAGTATTTTATTATTATTATTAATAATATTCTTCACCACCGTGTGAGAGGGAGGGAGGGAGAGAGAGTGAGTGAGTGAAGTAGGTGGGTCAGTGAGAAATGGTTGGTTGGGAGAATTAGGATAGGTTATCCCCTTGCTCGGTAGACAGACGGTGTGTGTGTAGTGTAGTTCACTTGTATCTGGTGGACACCAATTAATTTGATTTGAACGGATGGATGGATGGATATTATTACTAATAGATTCATTTCTATTTATATATATATATATATATATTGTATGTAATATGATGATATGAAGGGAACATTTAGGGGGGAAATAATGAATGATCACCATTAATTCAGTTGAGATTTGTATCCTGTGAAGTTAATAAACAGTTATGATTCCCTCTTCCATCCAGGACATTTGAAGTTAGACATACGTACTCTCTAAAAAATAAAGGGAAATGCAGCTCCATGGGATGGATATATAGTATTTATTAGTAGATGGATGGGATGGGATGGGATGGTATATGTGAAATGTGAGGGTGGCGGTGGTTTAGCTAAAAAGGAGCAGAAAAGTAGTTATGAATTGGATTGGATGCCTGCCTGCCTTGGCCCTTTAATTGGCTGTACCTTCTGTTGTTGTGTTGTATAATCAATCTATATAGCAATGGGAGGAAAGGGGAGGGGAGCTGTTTCTGTTTGTTTCACTTCTTTTGCTATTTGCTATTGCACCAAGCAGTCACTCGTGTGACCTTAGTCGTCGGAAGTTTGAATTTGTGAGGTCACAAGTTCAACCTCCACACCATACTATCACTTATGGGACAAATTCTTTTCTTTTCTTTGGCATGAATATTGTTGGAAATCAGGGCACCGATCGAACGAGAGGTCGCACAATGGAGTTGTAGAATATATTGCCGTAAATACAATTTATACTACGTGGTTGTCACATAGTTAAAACAACAATGTGTATTCGTGCAAAAATCAATGGTTGAGTGAGTGCAAATAAAGAAAACAACAGACACGATTTGTTTACCCATCCAGTATTCAAACTTACATATAGGAAATTTCAATCAATGAGTCTTAACTAAACACATTCCAAGACACCAAAATACAACTACCCAACATATCTTATATCAAAGCTTTATATTATTTTACAAACTCAAATAGATGGCAGTTACAACTCGGTAACAACTCTAGAAGACCAACAATCAAGCTAATAATAAGGTAATATAAAAGTTGACTATGTATAAAGTTTTGTTTTACACCGTGTCTACAAAGTCATAAATGTCACGCAAGAAGAAAAAGGAATATTTTATTGACTTCTTGTGTATGTTTTTTATTTGTCTCATTTCGACATATATATATATATATATAGGATAGCTTTAATACATTCAAAATGGAAAATTTGATCAACACAAAAATGATATCGATTTACAATAATAGGCATATATATTTGTTTATATGTCAAAAATATATAGTAAAAGAAGTTTTAGTATTTTGTATATATCAACAAATATGTGTATCATTTTATTTTTAAAAATGTTTTAAAACATAGTTAAATTATAATAATGATATTACTGTAATAGTTAGTAAAGTATAATTTATTTTTTAAAATATATTTAGGAATTATACTTACAAACATAATTATAATGTAAAATTATAAAAAGAATAATTTTTAAAATAATTCATGGATTTAGTCCTATGTCTTTGGGTTATGTATGTCATCTAATGTCTATCACCTAATTTATTAAATTCTTTCTAAAATTTATCAAAAAAATATAATATACCTCCTCTATTCCACATAGTTTATTTCTTTTCAAAAATATAATTATCAATTTCATCATTTATAATCTTAATTAAATTATTAATATCATTTTAATTTATATTTATATTTATTATACTATAATTTTTTTATTAATACCTTAGTTACTAATTATATTTTTCTAAAATTCTGTGGTTGAAAAATAGATAAATTTTTGGTTACGGGAGTAATAATAAGAATAATAATAATAATAATCGGCCACCTCTTAAAAGCAAAAAACAAAAAGAGTCAAATGGCAACAAATTAAATCATCATCATGGGCGGGGTCACGAACCAGGACGGGTATCCGTCCACATTCATAATAATCAGATGGCACGCACTGTCTTGACTGTGTCTGTATTCGATCGATCCTTTTAATTATTATTATTATTATTATTATTCTCCTTCTTCCATCCTTCCTTTCCCATTCATACTTCCATTGAATTAGCTGAGGCAGAAGAAGAAGAAGCAGAAGAAGAAGAAGCCTCGTTCATTTGTTCCTTCCCGCAATAATAATAATACATCCATCCATCCATCCATCGAATTGGAGATCCACACCATATCCATGTCTGAAGAAGCTCACAACAACAATAATAACAATACACAGACAAAGATGGTGAAGAAGAAGAATCAGAGCAAATTATGTGAAGAAGAAGCAGAAGCAGAAGCAGCGTACTACCGTGTAGTCCATAAACTTCCTCGCGGCGGCGGCGACACTCCTTATGCCCGAGCTAAGCATTTCCAGGTACCCTACCCTAAACCCAACCTCTATCTATTTTCCTAATATTTTCTATAGATGAAATATTTTTTTAGGTATAAAAATAGCTAAATATGTGTTTGATCCGTTGATTTTTATTTGTTATTTATTTACTCTTTTCGTCAGCTTTTAAAGATAATACTTATTATTATACTTAATATTAAAAATATGATTATATTTATATAATTTTTTTTACAAATAACCTAATATTATAAATTATAAACGATATTCTTGATTTGGACTGTGCTCATTTTTACACAGCTAATGTCATATTACGTATGAGTTGATTTGTTAAGTGAAATTATTTGAAATATATATATACTCACGTGACATAAAATATATTTTTTTGAAAATTGTGGACAAACAAAGTCTTTGTTTGCTTGTATTTTTACTCAAAGTAGTAGGATTTTAATTTTTAAGTGTTTCAATTTTTTTTCATATAATTATTTTAAATTATAACAGTATTATAGAGTTGTTCACTTATTAACATAATATATAATATATTATTATTTATATAATTAATACTGGATTGTCTATGTTAATAAAGTATAATTAGTAAATAGTATTAATAAAAATAATTATAAATTAAGATTGAGATACTAAATAATTTAGATTTAGATTAAGAAAATTATACAATGGTATATGTGATTAAAATATATAATTATATGTTAAAAAAAAATGACGAATTACGTGGAGTGGAGTGGAGTGGAGTGGAGTGGAGTGGAATCTTTAATAGTTAATAGTATAAAAAAGAGTGTAAATAAGTAAGCACATATCTGATATAGGAATTTGCATTAGATATTGAATCAATATATAAAAGTGGATGGACACATTGGTGCTAGTATGTAGTAAGTATATCGTTTGTTTGTTTGTATCATCAACTTCAACACTAGTAGATCCTGCATCATTATACGGTACCTGACCTCCTCCTCCTTCCCTGGAGCAGTTGGTGGAGAAGAAGTTGGAATGGGCGGCGGTGTATTTCTGGAAGGCGATCGATGCGGGCGACAGAGTGGACAGCGCGCTCAAGGACATGGCGGTGGTGATGAAGCAGCTGGACCGCTCCGAGGAAGCCATCCACGCTGTTAGGGCTCTCAGGGGCCGCTGCTCCAACCAGGCGCAGGAGTCGCTCGACAACCTCCTCATCGACCTCTACAAGGTGAGATTGACCGATCGATTGTTCGATTGATTGATTGATTGATTGATTGATTGATTGATGATATTGATATCTCTGATTAGAAATGTGGGAGGGTGGAGGAGCAGATCGAGCTGCTGAAGCAGAAGCTGCGGATGATCGGGCAGGGCGAGGCGTTCAACGGGAAGCCTACCAAAACGGCGCGCTCGCACGGCAAGAAGTTCCAGGTCACCGTCAAGCAGGAAGCGTCGCGGATCCTGGTAATTAAGGAGAAAGATGGATATTAGAGATTAGAGAGTGGATGTAACATGATTGATAGTATTATGATTGTTGCACTTGCAGGGGAACTTGGGGTGGGCGTATATGCAGCAGGCCAACTACAGGGCGGCGCAGGGCGTGTACGAGAAGGCGCAGGAGATGGAGCCCGACGCAAACAAGGCCTGCAATCTGTGCGTGTGCCTCCTGAGGCAGGGGAGATACTGCGAGGCGAGGCGGGCGGCGGGGGACGTGCTCAAAGGGAGTCTTCCGGGGTCGGATGAGCCCAAGTCGAGGGCCCGAGCTGAGGAACTCCTCAAGGAGATGGAGATGGAGATGGACGAATTGTCGTCGATGGGCTTGGAAGAAGATGGGTTCAATGGCAGCCTGGATCAGCAGCAGCAGCAGCAGCAGCTAATGAGCAGCAATTGGAAGGGATCAAGAAGGCTGCCCATTTTCGAAGAGATCAGTTCATGGAGGTGGTCAGATCAACTGGCCTGCACCTGACCTCAATATATATATATATATATACTGTTCATCATTACTACTACTATTTTAACTAATTCAATTCAATTTTTAGTTTAGTTTTTGCAATTCTTTTCTTTTAGTTGAATAGTGTATTTGTCCTCCAGTCTAACACCTGAAAGTACGCCAAGGCCAAGCAGGGACCAAGAGAACATCACCCCTGACCTTTGCGTCACAACTCTTACTACTATCTATTTTTATACAATAAAACAAGTCAAAAAATCTTACTTGAATAAAATAAATAAATAAATAATTGACATTTTTTTAAATAACATTAAAATTATCTCATCAAAATATTATTCAAAAATACAGACCAAATACCAATTTCAAAAAAAACCAAAAACACATATTTATGATTTCTAGTATTTTTGTCATTATTTATGGGAAACTATACAAATATTATATAGGATATGAAATATCAACTTTTATGATAAATATCTAAATTTTATATATTAAAATATTTAACGATGCTGCGTAATTAAAAAAATACAACTTAAAATTTTCCTTTCTTTGGTATTTAAAAAAAAATAAAAATAAATAAAAAATAAAAAATAAAAAAAATCCGAAATTCACTCTGCTCCATTCAATCTCAACATCCTCAATTCATTTCCATTTCCGTTTCCGTTTTCATTTCTTATGAATTCCCTCTGTCCTCATCTTAGTTCTTAATTCCCTCATTCTGGACATGGATCTCTCCATTTGATTCACATACTTTCGATCAAGCTGCAACAAATTTAGAATTAAAGCCGACGAGGATCGATCGTGAATGGCAAAGGAATCGCCATTGATCTACAGCTTCGCGGCGAGGGGGACGGTGATCCTCGCCGACTACACCGAATTCAAAGGCAACTTCACCTCCGTCGCGGCGCAATGCCTTGAGAAGCTACCGGCCTCCAACAACCGCTTCACTTACAATTGCGACGGCTACACCTTCAATTACCTCGTCGACAATGGATTCAGTTCGTGCCCTCTCCACCCCCTCTTTTTTCTTTTCCTAAACTTATCTCATCCATCTGTGTATGTATCTTCGCATAACCATAAAGAAATTGGATTCCAATTCCATTGATGTTTAAAGAAATTGTATTATGATGATCTGGTGTTTTATGCTCCTAATAATTAGCGTATTGCGTGGTGGCGGCCGAGTCGGCGGGAAGGCAAATGCCGGTGGCGTTTCTGGAACGCATAAAGGATGATTTCAACAAGAGATACGGCGGAGGGAAAGCCGCCACCGCCAGCGCCAATGGCCTCAAGAAAGAATTCGGGTAATTAATTAAATTAATTCATCTTCTTCTTCTTCTTCATCCTTCTTATAACATATATCTATACAACATACATACACACATAGTCCCAAGTTGAAAGAGCACATGAAGTACTGCTGTGAACACCCGGAAGAAATCAACAAGCTCGTCAAAGTGGAGGCACAAGTCGCGGAAGTGAAGGGTGTCATGATGGAAAACATCGACAAGGTAGTAATACTCTACTACTTATTATGTAGGAGTTGGAGTTGGAATACTATGTAATACTTATCATGCATGTCCTTTTTCTGCTACGTAAAATGACCATTTCACTCAACTCCATCAGTTTTCGACTATTCACTAAACCTAACTCATCTCCCCTACTTCTCAATGAATATATATATATATAGGTTCTTGATCGCGGAGAGAAGATCGAACTACTTGTCGACAAAAGTGAGAATCTTCGATCCCAGGTAACAAACATTATTTCTTTCGCATGATCAATCAATATAAACAAGACCCAAACCTTTTGTTCCATACATTTTCATAAAAACCACTTGATGGTTCGATTTTTCAGGCGCAGGATTTTAAGAAACAAGGAGGCAAAGTGAAGCTAAAATTGTGGATTCAAAACATGAAAATGAAACTCCTAGTTGTATTGATCCTCACAGTTTTGATTATTGTACTCATCCTCATCATCTGCCCCGGCTTCAAGTGCTCATAGACTCTTCCAGAGCTCCCTTCCCTAACAAATAGGATAGGATAGGAAAAAAAATGATTTATCTTCTATACTTGTCGAGTAACATCTTTGTAATAATCTTTTATCCCAATTTTTGTTTTTCTATGATTTCTAATTTAAAATGTCCTAAAACTATATACATTTAGGATGTGTCTTCACTTGAATTATTCAAATTCAAATTCAAATTTTGGACGAAGGGATCCAAGATTTTACTCTTAAAGTTCAAATTTAATAGGCACAACCATTTGGTAAATGACATTTTTCAGAACATGTCAAGTGTGGGCACACATGTATTCATTCTTTCAAGATATCTGAGTCTTTCGCATCGTATGTATCCACGACGATACTAGCTTTGCACTCAAAGCATCCCCATCCCCATCCCCATCCCGGTCTTTGCTTAGTCTCAACATCCCTCAACTTCAAATGAATCCAATTTCGTCCTCATTCAAAGACAATAAATGATGAAACTAATATCACCATCAAATACTAAATGAAAGAATGAATACAACACAAAAGGCTCGATGCCTTAAAAAATAAAATGTGTCCATACTAACTCTATTCAAATAACTATCTAATCTGTTACTCTTCAAGACACTATTATTCCCAACAAAATTATAATATATATATATATATATATTCATTTACTTCTTTTGCACCGGTGCAATTAAGTAAAAGATAGTGTAAAAGTGTAGACTAAATATCCTTAAAAGCACCATGAATTGATAATATAATAAGATAGTAATATATTGAAAACTTTAAATGAAATATAAAGAAATTTTATTACCATGTGAAACCATATTTACTAAATTGAAAAATATATATATATACCGTGGTAGATAATCAAAAATAGTAAAATAGATAAACTATTATTTACAGTGTGCAGCCTTGGCCTAACTAAAACAAAAATGAAGCACATAAGCTAAACAAATGCTTCAAATCATTCCCCATTTGAACTTAATGACACATCTTTACTGAGCATGGAAACACAATTCATATACTACGCCTAGAGAAAACAAGGTAGGAGCAAAATTAGGCTACTCAGAGATATGTAATAGTTAGAGTACGTACCTGGTTTTTGTTTGATTCAAGAAGATCGATTCCTTCGCCTGCTGCTAAGTTAGCCTAATCCCAGTTGATGCCTCCTAGGGTGGTGCAGCCCATTCCCTCCCATGGATCATTGCAACCAACTTCTTTGTTGTCGACACCCTCCATGTTATCGTCCCACCAACCGCCCCCATTCTTATCTGTTCCATTCATGTGTTTGCTTAAGTACTAACTGGATTTAAAGGTGAATTTCTCAGTGGACTGGGAATAAACTGTATACTCACAATGGTTATAAAAGGGTCTAGGTTCCTTGTGGGCAATATTCAACCGTCTTTTATTGTGTTCCGGTTTTGAATCTTCGCCAAGAACAGCCAATCTCTTCCGGGAAGGTGTCTTATCTTCGTGTCCTGTATCAAAGAGACCAAACAGTGTGAGTATAGAAGCTGCATCGGGTAATGTATTAGGTTTGCAAATTGATGTCTCAATTCAGAAAAATGGAAGCTGCAGAAATCAATGAAACGTTCACAAAGAGAGAGCTGAAATTCATTCGGGTTGGATTCAACTCAGGAGGAAACTCGAAATGTTTGGTTACACTTGCACACAGCCTGAACTATTTTTATCATAACATACAGCTTAAATGAGCTGCAAAAGACGTTCCCTTATTTAGTCCAAGTGGAACAGTCTGTAAATAACTTTCCATCCCGAAATCCCAAAATGATAAGCTTCCCTAGCCGGAACTTCTTCAGCTTATTTCCATATGCTGTTACATGTTATTCTAAGAATTTTTTTTACTAATTTCTAAACTTTCTAAACAAAGTATTTCTGAATCCCGTAGACCATTGCTTGTAAGTTATAAGAGTAGACAAGGGGCTGAAGCTAAAAGATCAAAGCGAAATTATATCTCAACTATGTCAATTATTGGTTCAGAGACTAAATGGTTGATAAGCACATATAAACAACATTAATAATAACTTCACTTAGCAATTATTCTTTGGTAATTTATGAGAGGCTTCATATGTGCAAGTAAATGTCAACCTTTGCTCGACTCTTTCCTTTTTCTTGTTTGTCCCAGCTCATTTCCGTCGATAACATCAGTTGCATTGGCTTCATTAATGTTGTCAGAATTGCTTCGGTCTTTTTCAACATTCTTGAAGATATGGAATGCATTTCCAATTGAAAACTTGACATCTGTATCTACTCCCCACTTTTCTCCTTGTGCACCCCTATCCGAATCTTCACCAGGTGATGGGAATGAAGAAGGCATCTCTTTCCCCTGAGTTAACAGAGTCCCACGCTCATTGTCGGGTCTATTGAGCATTAGATTATGTAAAGTACATACCTGGTTCACATGCAATCAAAGTTTCTTTATTTTGTCATGGTTCAAGCCACTCATGTAAGTAGAAGTGTTTCACAACTTCACTCAAAACAGAACATGCAAATGATCCTTTTAAGGAACAAAACATCTTCACACGGCTAACTGTAGACTTCTTTCATAAGTAATGAAGTCATAAATAGGAAACCTACATTTCTTACTCCAACATTTAAAGCAGGACTCCAGTAAAAATATTCAGCATTAAGCTAATACTTCTCAGTTTTGTATTTAACTTCGCTTACGAAAAGAGATGAAAAAATCCAAAAACATATCCATTGTATACAAACTATGTTTTCAACAGGTTTCTTTGCTATGCTCAAACAGGTGTCTTCCTGTTAAATCACAGTTTTCTCTCATTTTGTAAATACATGATTCATTGTATACATTCTACACAGGTTTTCCCTATGTGCATTAGGTCTAAAGATCAATTAGCCTAGGTGAAAATTGATCCTTAGAAAAATTTCATCTATCAGAAATAAATGGGTGTACATTGTACAACATAAATAATATTTTTGAAAAACAATTCAAGAAAATGTCCTGCATATTTACTCATCAACTTCTTTGAGAAATACCATTAGAACAACAGACGACAGTTGTAGAAAGCTTCATGGTGAAAGCTTCAGATGAAATTGAGTGGTTGCCCTGCAACCAAATCAGTTTTCAACAGTGGCCAACCATTTTCATTTGAAGTCTTGGGAACTTAGAAGAATTATAGGAAGGATTGGAATCGGATTTTGAAAACTCAATCCACTTTCTAAAGACAAGAGGAAATAAGAACCACATTTAATTTCTGTAAAGAGAATAGATTTCCATCTGCAGCAGTTGTGGCCTCACAAGGACAAGTATTGTTCTTCGTAGCTGGTTGAATGGAAGCACAGTGGAATAAGGATATCTTGTTTAAAAGGTGCATTCTTGTGAAAAATATGTGATACATATAGTGGTAATACCCAAGATTGGAACCCTACCCATATAGATCACACTAAACAAGTCCCCAACTCATATATTACTTTACTACTCCTTGTATCAGTTAGATAGTTGTTGCTACCGTCGATTAAGTTTTGGTTTATTGATATTTGGTATTAATGTGATATCTGCGTCGATTGCAAGAACCCTTAGATAGCCCTTTTGCTAACATTGATAATCCACCATGTTTTAGCAACACAAATCTCAATCTAATCAAAGTAGGTGAGTTCAACACAGGTTTTTCATGTGTTTCGAAATACAACTACATTGCTAATCATTCAAAGGGAAGACTGCGATAAATCTCCATTTTCAACATTAAGGGAGAATATCAAACGATCAAGCTCTATCAAAATTATCAATATGATAAAACAATTACTCAACAAATTTTGGAAGAACATGTTCCCAATTCCCAAAGTAAACAGATCAAAACGGCAAACGTAATTTGCCAAAACAAAAAAGTGGCGGATCCGTTACCGGAGCAGACGACGGCAGAACAGAGCTCCTGTGCAACTTCGTGTTCAGGAAATCAGCCAGCGAAAGTTGTGAATTCTTCTGACTTGCAGATCCGATTCGGTCTTCCTTTCCACCATCGCTCGACCTGAAAATTAAACCCAACCCAAGTTCGCGCGCTTCAAACAATATATCAAAACCCTCAAAAAAAAAAAAAAAAAAGAAAAAGAATTGCGTAAAAGATTTAGGTTAACAACATGGACAGCAAAAGTATAGAAGTTGACCGGTTGGAGGGGCGGAAGAGGAACGTGGAAGAGATTGAGCGCTGGCCGACGGGCCTGATGGAGAACTTCCTTGAGCTCATTGCTCGCTCTTTCGAAAATCTTGTCCAGGAAATTTGTTCGAAATTCGATCCAATTGCACCAAACTTGGAATCAGTTCGGCGGGAACATAAAATTTATTGGTTGAGATGCCGCGAATTATAAATACAAATTGGGTACCTTTTATTGTCGGTTAAGTTTTACATAGGGTGTGTTTGTTTTGTTCGGTGGTTTGGATTTTGAGATCTCTCCAACCCACACCATTTCATTCTTGGAGAAACACTCTAGTGGAGTTTTTGTGGTATTTTTTATACTTTTGGTATTTTTTTGGGTGTATTGCATAACTTTAATTTTTTTAGTAGATCATATATAATTTTATATTTTAAAAAATTGTATGTTATTTTATTTTGTTTGAAAAATAATGTATAATTTTATTTTTTTAAAGTGATATAATTTTAATTTTTGAAAAGTAATATATAATTTTATTTTTTAAAAAAATAATGTATAATTTTAAAAGTAATATAAACTATATGTGTATGGATCTAATGTAAAAATAAATTAAAGTTGGGGTGTAATTTATAAATATAAAAAGTTATATAAAATAATATAAAAGAGGAATATATAAATGGCCTGAGTTGGGATTTGAACATTAAAAAAAAATTGAATTTGAATAGTTGTATGAATAGGTATTGATGTGATGTTTTGAATGTAAAATTGATTTTTAGTATAATATAAAAAATGAAAAATAAGTGTTTGATTTGATGTTTCCGGGGGGAAAAAAAAAAAAAAAAAAAGATAAACAGTGGATTGAAAATCCAATCCCCGAACAAACATATCCAAAGTTGGTTTTATATGATTTATTTAAAAAATATATAATCATAATAATATATAATTAATTTTTTTTAAGTATATAATATAAATTTTATTTTTATATAATAATAGATTAATTTATAAGGAAATAAAAAAGATATATATATATTGAATTTATATAAAGATATATTTTTATTGAAAAAAATAAAATGAACCTCATATGATATTTTCTTTCGTCCCAATCATATATATTTATTTATTGCACATGAATTTAAATATATAAATATTTTATATTTGATGCTACAATAAAAACATAAAAAGAGAATTTTGTATATCATTTCACTGTTTAACATATGAGTCGAAAAAATTAAAAACATAATGGCAACTCATATCAATCCGATCATTTGGGTGATCTGTCTGTCTGTCTGTCTGTCTCAATGAAAAATGAGATTATTTTAATTGGAACGAAGTAACATCAACATGGATGTATTTATTTTCACTTTTTTACAATTTTGCAGCATGTTCAATAGAAAGAATATATACTTCTTAAAAAACATTTATCCCACCCATCATTTTGAATCTAATCAAATTACTAATGCCTATTTTAGTTTATTCATTTCCATTCCATCCCATCCCATCCCTAAGAAATGAAGCAACATAGTCATAGACCATGAAGTGAAGTTAGTAGTGAAAAATCCACAGTACAGAACAAAGACAAACATCAATACATATTTCACCAGATTAACACTTAGATTCCTTTTCACCTCTCTCTCTGCATCTATGATCTAATATCTGACCAGGAACCAACACAAAACCATGGAGTCCGACAAGTATCAGTCTTACTCTTTTAGTCACCGAGCTCTCTGTGTGCCAGAAGAGGGCTTCCCGGGCTCAACAGAAGCTCTGCCCTTCCCATCTGCCGGCTGCTGCTTCTCCCCGGCTTCTTGTTCCTGCGCCTGTACCTTCTTCAACTTCCGCTGGATGTCCTCGGCATGGCGACGCCATAAAGACTCCCTCTCTTTCCTCGGCATCTTGTTGTACCTCGGATCGCCTTTCAATACTTGCTTGGCTGTGGACCAAGATGTAGTGATGGTTTTTCCGTCTTTGTCTTTCGTTTCTTGCCCTGCTGCCACTTCTGCTGTTATGACATCCGACAATAATGCTCGGTAATCGGATACACATCTCTGCAGTCATCAAGAGATATGGTGAGTGCCAACCCAATACCCACAATTCAAACCAAAAATTTCAGCTCCTTCAATTAAAATTAAGTTTCATAAACCTTAGCCTTTACTTGACAACTATTTTAACTCTTTCAACTATTCAATCCTCACGAGTCCCTATAAAATTGTGAGTGGATAAAAGACTGCCAAAAAATGAATAGTGATATAGTTTTAACAGGTGGAAGGAGTAATATGTAAAATATATTATTAAAACTACTATTTTATTTTAAAATTTTGAAAATGATTTCAACTCTCCTAGGTAGGGGAGAGTGTGAGTGCTGTAAGGAACCAGCATACTTACTATTACTACCTTAACAACAGGATCTCGGAGATCAGGAAGATCGAAAATGCCCACGCCACACCACACCTATTTATAACATATACTAGCTTCTCATCAAAAAAGGGTACAAGGAAAGGTGAGCTGACCTCGTGCAATCGTTTGACATGCTCCCGGAAAAATTTCTCTAAGTCAGGTTTATCTAAATGACGATTTGCTGAGCGCCCTTGTGGATCCTTCTCGAGCTTAGGCTTTGATTCTGTCCAGGAGGCCTAGATACAGACAACAACTAATTATAAGTAAAATATCAAAGATAAACTGAAGATGGATCGAAGCATACAAGGATTTACGTAGATAGTGGCTGCATAGGATGTTTTTCGAGATTAAATCCCACACTAAAATACTAATCAGCTAGCAGTCGGACTAGGGTTATTCTTGCAACAGGGAATTATCAACTATCAATACAATAATGACAAGAAAAACCAGGGTGTATTTTTTTGGGATGTCAGAAACATTTTAGACCTTACGAGACCTCAAATTTTCTGATAGTAGAACGTGATGCCTATATATTAAAGTAAGATACAAGGCATTAATACCTGCGGGTCTTTTATTGTTTCTACCAATAAAGCTTGGTATGACTCAACAGCCTCCTTGCGGCGAGCTTTCTGCCTCACCCTCTCAACTTCTTGCTCCTCCCTCTCTTTCCGCTTGCGCAAAGCTCGTTCTCTTTCCTTCAGTTTCTCCTGTAAGCAGAGTATAAATATACATATTATGTGCATGCAAATAAAACACAAATACGTAACAAATAAATAAAGAACACCGGATTTTCACACTGATATTATACTGCTGTACATATACACTCGTGCTTTTACAAAATATCCTCATGTTACCATCACTTTCAAATATTTTGTAGCACAGTCGTGCAAAAGCATGCAGTGGGAAACGACTATTGTGATGGTTTTTTAACCACTTTCACTACAAAATATTGTGAATCTCTGTCTCGTTTTTCAGAGCCTCCAAATTCCAGTCCAACGCAACTGAACTTGATCGATAAATCTCTCGGGACAGGGTAAGCTTTACAAGGAAGAGAAACCATATAATGCAGGTGTGTCAACTAAAATTCACAAGATTACGCAGTGAATGATGTGGCTATAGGTATGTGATACCAATAGGCAATAACTCACATCATACTAGACAGAGAATTTCCAGGAAATGTATGATAAGTCCTTTAATAGTAACACCTTTCCCTAATTCGTTTTGAAGAACAATAAGTATTAAGAAAACCTAAAGCAAGAGTAAAAAGAAAATAGCCATCTTAAAAGATATGAAATGAACAGTTCCTCACCTCCTCATCCTGTTTTGCCTTTTCCTTTCGCAATATTTCTTCTTCGGCAGACTTTAGTTCAGCAAGGTATTCATTGAACAATTTCTCCCGATCCTCATGTTTCACAGACTTGTATCTCGGATCGCCTTTCAAGCTATCCTTCACCTGCAAAAAGATTGTGTTTCAGCATGTACTATAAAGTTCCCAAAAAATATATATTCATAGAGGTAGCAAACTGCATTTCTAGTTTCGCAATGAAACAAATAGCTCAATAATCACCACAAATATTAAAACAAGTAAAGAAATGAACTTTTATGATAGCATGGGCATATCTTGCAAATGCATGTACGCAAGCATGAATGGTAATAAATATAGATGAAGTTTCCAAAAGATTAAATAAAATAATTACAAGGGTGAACATCTTCTTAATCAATGAGATTTATATGCATGAAAAAGGATGTATCCTTCCTACATCTACAATCATTTTGATTGTTCAATTTTATTGACGGGAACCAGAAATGGCATTTCCACAAGGCATATATCTACCTTAGACCAGCGGGAACTAGAAGTAATTTCTACTTTATCTTTTAGCATAGACTTGAAACTGGATACTGCAGCAGCCCACTCTGCCTGAACTCTTTCTTGAGCAGTCCGTTTCAGAGAAGAAACCCTGCAGAAAGCAAACTTAGAGGATTAAGCAGCTATCTATATTTCCTTCAGAAGAAAACAACTTATGAATTCACATACACAAAGAATTAAATACTCTCTCCGTCCCAATACAATAGTCCTGTTTACCATATTTGTCCGTCTAAAAACAATAGTCTCATTTCCATAAATAACTATATCATTATAAAACTACCATTACTTTTTCATTATTATTACACAATTGTCACTACCTTTTACACTAATACACTCACAAGGGCAAAAATGTCTTTTACCCGTACTTTTTACCCACTACCAATATAATTTAATATTCCTTAAATCCCGTGTCAAACACAACTTAGACTATAGTTCTGGGACGGAGGGTGTATATTATATGAAATGGTTTTAATGCAGGTGTTGTCACAGTAGACCATGTTCTCTACACTAGAACATAATTTTTTGTTGTTGTCATTGCACAGGAATCCAGAAATAAGCTAATAACCAGATCTATTTGAAAAATAAAATAAAATCAAGAATGGAATACTCAACCATGACATTAGAGCATACCCTTGGAATCCAAAAGAAACTATTGATATTTGAATAATTAAACTTTATGATTGATTAATGAATTTAGACTTACTTCAATATAAAGTTCACACTCGAAGAGCACAACACATAATGAAGAAACAGTATAACCTTAACACCTCATGACCATCATGCAAATGAAGACATACCATCTCGATACTATTTTACCCAGTGTTCCAAATCAAAATATATGACTCAGATGATTGAGTTGCAGGCTGCCCAGCGTGACTTTACTACATTCCTAATAATATTGTCTCGAAGCACATCAACAAACTCTACACAATTCGGAATATGCTACATCATCAAATAACACTTTTAGTAGTACAATTACAGAACATTATATGAACATAAACACAATGCAAATTAATTTTGAGTGGTGTACATGGTTTGGAGATGAGTCAAAGTTGCAATTTTTCCACAAATTACATAATATTATGGATCAAATAAATCTCTTATTCAATTAAAGTAAATTTACCACTCATCAATATAAAAATGTTTAAGTCAAGCATTGTTATCTATTGCCAACGACAAGATGAAAGATAAGCAATAACCAGTTACCAAACAATGAGTTAGATGCCAGCCATACATACATTAAAATCATACCTCTCATTAAGCAAAAGTTCTCTTTCCTTTCTGTCCAATGCTTGAAACCGTGGATCCTCACCCCATTTCCTCTTAAATGTTTGGTAATTAGTGTTGTAATTGATATCCTGAAACTCAAAGAAATATTTTAGACCTGCAACTTCATAATATCTATGTAGACTTTTAAGTTGCAAAAGAAACAGAGAATACTTTAATAGAAGACTATTGCATCAAACCTCCTTTGCTTCTTCCAGTAACTGCTTGAAACCCTCCAATGCAGCCTTTTGAGCAGCTCTCTTCTCCTTCCGCTCCTCTTCTGCACGTGTTCGGACATAATGGTCAAAAATCGCTCTTCGTGCACTGTGATTTGGGATTGCCTGCAAAAGATTAACATTACAATGCAATGCAATGGCAAAATTATGAGCTTAGATCATATAAAGATCCGTTCATAAACAGACATGTTGTCAATAACTGCCTGAGAAGATCTCTTGCAAAATACCCATATATAGTTATCACTCAATAAACTTCAAGCTGAAAATAATTAAAGTAATGAGTACTAAAAATATAAAAAAATTTCAGGACATTTTATGATAACACAAATACTGTGATAATAAATTTCTAAAGATGCCTATTTTTGGAAGCTAGCCTTCTATAATTCATGACACAAAGTAAACTGGAAAAAATAAAAAGTAATAACCCAGCCCAAAACATTTCAATATAATCCACCTTCTCCAGTTGATAACACATGGCCGGAGTTACTGATACCACAGAATGAATGAGCTCCCAATATAGTTGACTAAAGAAAAGCTTTAAAATCTATTTATTACATATTGCAGGCTAGTGACAAGAAACAATGGTGTCCTGCAAATGATAATCAAGAGCAAAAATTATATCATATGCAGCATAACTAAAGACACAAATATGTATGCATTTTATGTTTACCCACGAAAAGTCATCTATCAGCATTCTCAATCCATGTAGAAGGTAGTAAAGTTGCAGAGCTCATCTAGTTATTTCTCATAGTTGAGCACTTAACTTTAGAATTTAGATAATGGCATTTTGTATTATTTGTCATTTTATCTCTAGTATTCACTATTATATTTTGTTACCTCTATTGCAACGCAGAATATAGTTGGTTAGAATAAAATTCTATTGACTTCAAGAGGCAAAGTATATTTTATTTCTGAAAAATATTGCAATTCTCATTGACGTAAAATTGAGTATTACAATATACAAAAAAAAAACCTAATATAATACAACTATCCAAAATACATAAACTGTCTCTATACTATTATAAACACAAAAATACCCCAACACATAATATCTAACAATTTCTAGCATGGTTTTAGAGTTGCCCTAAGTTGGAAATCGCAATTGCACCCTAGTGAGCTGAAACCTTAAGACTACAAATATACCACCACCCTTGGGGATAATGGGTCCTGGAAATTAAAAGGTTAATAATTGATTGCAAAAGTGAACTTACAACACCTAATATATATTAAACCATGTTTGCATTCTTTCTAGTCTTCAATTTTCGATGCATCCCACTCTTCTCATTAAGTTTCTAATTCTAACTACAATATTTCCTATCGGATTCTTGAGCATTTGGGACCACAGAAAACAGACATATTTTCACCCTCCCCTGATCTAATACACACCAACACCGTTGGTAATAATTCTAGCCTCTAGTCATAGTACATATTATGATCCTTACACACATAGATGGATTCCCTATATTCAATAGTTACTATTTAAGTTGAAACAAAGAGCTGGTGAGCCTAGTGTGCTTTACAGTATTAGAATTCTAAAAATAAGTTTGAAAATCATCCATAGTGCCTATACTCCACCTTACACAATAGTTACTCCTAAAAATTGGACAATTAACCATGAACAGAAAATTGATTTACTGCATGCAAAAGTGGCAGATATGTAAGCAAGCAACCAGAAATGCTAATGATTTTGAAGGGGACCATTTAATATTGGTCATACAACAAGACATTACCTTCACCACAAGATAGTTATATGTTTAAAGGTCATTTTAGTTCAGTGACCAGACAACTAAGGGAATTTAAGAAGTTTTGAGTTCTGTACTGTAAGTAACATACAGCAGACCTTTTATACTCATGATTCTATTAAAAACTAACTTAATTTAATTAATGCGAAGAAAAAATTTGATTAGTAACTCAAAATCATAAAACAATAATAAAGTAACAAATCTAACACACATATGCACACCAGTAAGCTAACATATATAAAAGATATTCTAGAAATGCTGTAGGTTCCACAGACAAATGATCATCACCAAGGAAAGTAAAGAGACCTTAAAGCGTGGATCAAACACTATTTTAGGCAGTTCTTTCTCCCATTTTGAGAATGGCGCCACGCCTCGTTCCTTGAGCATCTCCTAAAAATCCCAAAAAAGGTACAAACAATAGCTTAATACCACAGAATATGAAATTTAAGAAATCTATTTAATCAAGTAGAGCAAATACATAAGCAAGCATACAATTACATAACTTTCAAAAATTGTACAAAGGACAAGTCAAAGAGTGTGGAGCTAGCTTGAGCTACAGAAATCATAAGGAAAGGATAAAATCAGTTATAAAATATGAGCATCTCTCGAGCATGTTGTTCAGGGTATGAGAAATGAAGGAGAATAAATTTTCTCAAATGCTGTACAGGATGCCATAGCATGAAAAAGGAGAGCATAGAGCTGAACCTGAGAACCACTCTTTGATGGAGAAATATATAGAAAAGCTTTTAGCTGAGACATGTATAGCTCAAGGAAGGATGGCCTCCAAGCAAGTGGGGTGGCAAGTATAATTGCAAATTTCTGCCTTTTATCTTTATATTGCAGAGTTAATCAAAAATAAAAATAGTTACAAGCACAATGAGCCTATATTATTAATCGCTATATCCATTAACATGTCTCCTTGTTTATTCTAGGACGTCAAGTGTGTGAGGAAACCATTCAGTTCCCAGGGTGCAATGATATCAAAATTGACAAGATTTTAAATAGTTATATACATTAACCAGCTATATGATCCTTATGATGCCCCTAAAATTTTATAAAACTGAGCAGGGCAGGCAAGTAATGAGGATACATTATTCTCTAAATCAACACAAAGTTCAATCAGAAATATCAGTAAATGAAGATCGAGCCCCAAGAATGAGAAATACAAAGTTCAAATAATTCAATAGCAACAAAAACTACTATTTCCAGATGACACACACCAAGAACAACCCAAAGATCAATCTGCAAACCATTAAATGTAAACCTAGATGAAGTTTTAAAACAGAAGCACAGATCTCATAGAATTTTAATAAGTCAGATCAATTTAGAGTTTACAAAAGATAGAACCAATACATCAAAAACAAAAATACCTTAAATTGGAGGATGCATTCCTCCTTGGTGGGACCTCCATCTTCATCCTCTGAATCAGAAGAGGAATTTGACAAATCACCATCACCATTTGTATCCTTGTGTTTGTTGCTTTCATTTTGGATGCCCTTGATGGTACCCTCAGTTGGTTTTGAGCCATTCAGTTCCACAGCCATTGTGCCTGACAAAGCAGGTCCAGTGGAAGTAGAGTCGGGCATACCAGAATCCTGCAACTTCTTTTTGATAAGATCCAATGCAGAAGATGACCCAGTAGCACTTGTAGATTTAAAAGCTGTAGCATCACGGCCACCTGTTGTAGCAGCAGGTGTGCTTAAACTAATGGTATCAGATCCTTTTTCAGTTGCTAGATTTGTGTTTATTACTGATGGTGATTGGGCTTTCAGAGGATTTGCATCCTGTTTCTTTCTCAAATCTGCCACCTCACTAGGTATTTGCCAGCTGCTTAACTGATTCACATGTACGTAACAACATTGACGAGTCCAATCATTATTACATAGGAAAGAAATAAAGAGAAGACACAGATAAAAGGCATGTGTTGAGGTGAGTATCTATAGCACCTATAAAGCCAGTTGAAATTGAAAAAGGATGAAAACATCAAAGCCCAATAACTCATAGTTTCTATCATCTCCATCAAGTATATTATACATCAAAAAGATTAATCAGTAAAGCCAGCATTCTTTCTAACAACCATTCATCTGTTCCCATAGTTTATAATCAAAGCTGTCTTCAGAATATTTGATTGGGAGAAAGAATGTCTTTTTATTTTTCTTGTTCTAAAGGACAGAAATCTAACCAAAACCATTTTCTGTCAAGTAAAATAAAAAGAACAACAGAATAGAGAAATTCCGGTGATTTTCTTGTGTTGGACATGACAGTTATTAAGAGAACAAGGTCAAGAGAGCAAGTGCTAACTATATTTATTCAATACATTGGTTTACGTGAATTTCAAGAAGTGGGTTGGTAATAATACAACTGTTCTTATTAGTAAGTCTTTAACATAAACTAATATCGTCCAATGGAAAACCATGAACATATTTGTGATACCTTTGTTAGGATTTGTCCAGATACTGAATGGAAGTTACGAGGAAAAAATAAATCTGACATTTACTGCCTAATTGAATTTTTTGAATGGGTAAGTACTAAGTCCTATGCAAAGCACGGCATAGTTTCATAAAATGGCCTGTGCCTCTTCAACAGAGAATTCAATTATAGGCGTGCATCATTCTTAGTACTTTGTCACAACTTGCGAGGATACAACAGTATTCAACATTCAGAAGTTAATGGCAGGCATTTATACAGGGAAAATCAACAGGAAATAACAATTTTCACATGGGTGTGTATTCCTGAAAAGATAGTTGGCCTTCATGGAACCAATTTGACAATAAGAATGTAAAATATACATATTAAAAATATATATATATTTCAATTGGCATACTATACTTCAATAAGAATTTTGATTAGATCATACCTGTGTTCTCGTGTTGTAATAGTATCTTTTGCCATCATTAGTGGTGACCAACGTCCAATCCGTACCAGTTAATTTCTCCCTAAATACATCAGAACAAACTTAGATATCAAAACAATATCAAGATAAAAACTGGAAAACTGCAAATCGTATTTACACAGAATTGAGAATAATTTAATAAGAGATAACACAAACTTACAGCAATCAGACTCAATGTTAAATGTACAGTGGACTTGGATTAAATTCCAACAAAGCGAAGGTAACTGGCAACAACAGACAACTACACAACCTAGAGGCCATAATAGATTCACAACTAGTGATATCTAATGTCAGAAACCCTTTGTTCCGATATAAATTAAGTTAAAAAGAAAGGTATTATTCAATGAAGTGTGCTGTTAGAATTCATTGTTTCCGATAATATCAGAAAATTGAAGCCATTGTATTCTTAGGGTGTGTTTGTTTGGGGGTTTGGATTTTGAGTTGGGATTTGAATAGTAAAAATTTTGAATTTGAATAGTTGTATGATGTGATATAAATAGGTGTTGAAGTGATGTTTTGAATGTAAAATTGATTTTTAGTACAATATAAAAAATGAAAAACAGGTGTTTGATTTGATGTTTTTAGTAATTCCTCTTATACCACCAACTACACATGTAAACATGCAAAAGTATTTTGCAAAATAGCATGAAGCCAGCACAAAAGTTAATGAAAATGCTACTTTCTGACAGAAATATTTTGAACTGCTTTTCCACAAGACTACATCAAAAATTTCCAGTTCTTATATTGTCTAGTAAAAAGGATGACATTTCCATTTCAAAGGGTGGATCTAGATCTCTAAACGCACACAACTTTGATATAACTTCTAAATCTGCAAGCAGGCTCTCATGTGTTTGGACCCTTTTTAAAAAAGGCTCCTGATTCACTCTCTCACAATATGCACACCTGACCAATGAGAAAGGTAATATTACAGATTCTCAAAACAGTATTATTGGGAGAAAAGAAAACAAAAAAAAAAAAGAAAAAGAAAGGCTTTGGGAGATGGTTTATTGTCTTCACATGATTATGATGGATGAGGATTTCACAAGAGTTAGATCCAGTTAAACAACTCCACCCAGATGGCAGGCCTAGTACCAGTAGCATAAGTTGTGTGTGTGTATTAGAAGAGAATTATTAACTTTATTTAGCAACGAGAGTTACAGAAAGTCTTAGGGCCATGGGGAAAATAGAAACAAATTACAGCCAAGCAGATACTCTTCAGCATAAGCAGTATTTGTAAGCAAAAATATCTAATGCATGGAAACATTGAATGAAAGCTAAACATACTTCTTTGTAGATAATCTACCAGAAGCTCAATCTCTAACCTCTGATGAAAATACAATCTCCTACTTAAGAAAGCCAACTAGAAATGAGAGGAATAAATCAAAGCAATATAACATTTCTAGATCTTCTATTCTATCATCTCAATGTAATTCATAATTCGAGTTCCAGGATTTTGAACAAAATCAAAACCCTATCAACTGATATCTCCAACAAATCGTCAGCAATATGAATATACCCATGCTTGGTTCTAGGTAATACTACATTTAAGGGGGTATAAAATTTAGTCAACTAGGCAGAAGTTACATTATGGTGACACAGAAATCCCGAGCACATAACAGAATCTTCATCATTTTCAGAGACTCACCATGAAACAGGGGTTGGCTGCACAGTCGCTTTATCAGACTGCATGCACAAAAACAAAATATAATCAGAATCAACCAAGAAAAGGTATTAGACTTGCAATGGCAGGCAACAAAATAAGTATGCAATTATGCATAGATTGCAACTGAGTGTTTGTGGAGAGAGAGAGAGAGAGAGAGAGAGAGAGAGAGAATCAGATAGATCAAATGGAAGATTCCTTTAAGCAGCTGCCCACAAATAATCTTTTATCTACTATACACAAAAAGGATCATCTGCAAGATCAATGTAATTTAGGTACGTTTTGATCTAAAAGAAAATATGTCGGCTTGTGGGTTTTATTCAAGATTTTTAATTATGCTATTTGGAAATTACCCAAAGTCAAGAAATCCAACTCAGTCCATTGCATCTGCTCCCTATGCCAGAAATATATCTTGTTGACAACTTATTAGCATCTTTAAACAAACTACATATAACCAAGGAGGAAAGCAGCACTTCATTGTGCGTCATTTTTTATAAACTTGAGCTAGTGAAATCCTGACATATATTTTAACCAAGGAGGAAAGCAACATCTCACTAGTTCAAGGTTATCAAAAATATGTTTAACTATAAAACTTTAACATCAAAGTTTGGAGATGATAACACACTACAGCTTGTACAAGTACATAACTGCAACATGATCAAAAGAATGCTTGAATGGAGAAAAATCACCGATGAAAAAATAAAATAAAATAAAATAACAAACAAGATAAATATTGATATAAGGAAATAAAACAAAAATGCCCAATGCAAACATATAAAATAGAGATGATTTCAAGTTGATACTCTGCTACGTCGTTAAAGATGCAATACGTGACAAAGATGACGGGCCAAAAAAAAGATAAAACTGTTGGTGAGACCATTCACCACTGATGTTTTAATACAACCATAATGCTTGCATACCTCTCCTTTAAAGCCTGGAGGTTTCTCATAAGTGGACTCCCCTGTCAGTGCATTATAATAATATATGGTCCCATTCTCTGTCCTGTGTGCTGTCCAAGCATCCAATTCTGCACTAGCAGGTTCGTCTTTGACATCAGAAGATCCAGCGTGTTTAACATTTTCTACAAAAGTATTCATGTTACATTAAATGGCAATGCAAATTCGAAACATAATTTAATCCTTAACCTGAAAATACAAGTTACTTTTTTTAGGTGAATGAGCTTTTACCAATTCCAGGAGGCAACTCTTCCTGAGCAGATGACTGGCTAGCAGCTGAGGTAGACGTACCGGCTCCTACAGCTGAAACTACTGGAGAAACTCCAGGAGGTAGGATATCAGGCAACGTAACTGAAAGTGGAGGTGTACCATGATTAGGCATGGGATAAGGCCCAGGCATTAAAGTAGTATATTGTGAAAATTGCGGTCTAGCAAATCCACTAATATGCTGAGGCTGCAACCATTGTCCAGGAGGAGCAGCCTGAGCTGATGGAGCTGAGTACACATTATGATGGGTGGGGTGGGTGAAAACAGGAGCTGTAGGTGTGAAGGTTCTTAGAACTGCAGCAGAATCTGCAGATGAAACCTGTAAGGTAGAGTTTGATGGAGAAGGTACAGAAGAAGCTAGTCCAGGGGGACCAGGAGTTATAGGAGTGTTAGGCCTTCCTGCAGCCACCTGAAATGTTGCTGCAGGGGACATCCATGTGGGCATGTTACTATAATTGTTAGGTGCAAAATGAGTTGCTGGGGTACTTGAATTTGGATGAGAAGACTGAAAAGAAGTCTGCATAAATGCTGGAGCAGAAGACATTGCTCCCACTTCTTGAGAAGCCTCAGCTCTCATGTTCTACAGCCAAAACAAAATTCATTTAATATGAAAATGCCAGCATTCTAGAAGAATTTTGTTTGGGCATAAGAATCACATATTAAGGAAAAGTACTTGAGAATAAGAATCAGATATTAAGGAAACGTATAACATATGGGCTAAGAGCGAGTTCACGCCAGTCAGTACCAAACCCAAGACTGCAAATAGTTTTTCCCAACAAAAAATAAAATAAAAAATCACTAGCTTAAATGATTTGACATCATTTACAAATCCTTAGGAGCAGATTATACTTTCCTTAAGAGGATGTTTCTCTTAGGCACTGACCATCTGTGTAGCACAAATAAGTGGCTTTATCATCCACCACATTGGCATCAATGTTTTTTGCAAAATATAATTTATATGTTTTTGCCACACTATTATCAAGGTTAACTAAAACTCTTTCTGCTATTTATCTATAAGCAGCACCAATATTTTCTGCACTTCCTTGCAGAAGTAACAAGTAGTGCTTTTGTTATCCTAGACAGTCCTTTCTTCTGGAAGTACCAGAGGAATATTTCACTATACTTCATTCAACATAGCCCGAGAAAGCAATAGCATTTTGTTGATAAGATTGAAAAGGAAACAGGTAAGTAGGATAACTTCCAAAACTATAAAGCCTGTAAGGAAATTTTGAAGAATAGTGTCATAGTTATTAGAAGTATCACAGTAACATTTTACTATATTTCTTTCAAAATAGCCCAAGAAAGTATTAGATTTTTTAGATTACATTGAAAAGGAACAGCTAAGTAGGATAACTTCCAAGACTATAAAAGGCTGTAGGAAATAATATGAAACATACCTTTGTATTTATTAAAGATCTAAACAATTCAAATTTCAAGATAGTAGAAGATGGCAAGGAGCATTAGTCAAATTTGTATAGTTCCTATCTCTAGAGCCATCATGAAACTGTAGAACTTTTACATCTAAAATCTATGCATATTTATTATGGAAGACTAGTAAAAGTCAGCTTGAAAATAAAAACTGGAAATCCATAATTTTGTAAAACATGAATGCTCCAAGGAAAAACAGTAACATCAGTGATAGTTGATTTACTTAATAATGAGAAAATTTGGTTATAGATTGATATTAAAAGAGATGTTTGACGCAAATAGAAGCATAAAGGCAGGAGTGGACTTATTACTAAGGATTTTACAAGATGTATCAATGTTATTATGAATAGTAGTTTTCATCACTAACAAATATGGAGGAGAGAGAAAAAAGAAGGGTTTTTTTCACATTAGGGAGAGCTGCTTGACATAACGTCGATAGTGCTGTGCCCATGGAAAGGTGAGAAGGAAATGCTTTTAGCAGTCAAACTAATGCTTACATTTCTATGCAATAGATCTGTCTTCTGTGGATGCACGTTCCCATTGAAAGGGTAGTTTCCAGCATGTGACAAATTTCCTTCTGGAACACCAGATAGTTGCGGAGGGGGCATGACCATAGCTGCTGTTCCAGGTACAGCCAGCGAAGGGTCTGATGGGCGAGGAGGTAGCATGGATTGCAGAGAAGACAGATTACTCTTTCCTACAGTAGATAGACCTTGCTCAGTGTCCTGCCATGAATAAATAATAACCTATCAAACACACAATTAATACCTAAAAAGGGTGTTTGGATGTGACAACTGTCTTTTCTTTTAGTGAATAGAAGTATATCAACAACTGTGACCGTGCAACAACTTCAGAAACTCTGCTGGCATTAAAAGAGAAAGGAGCACAAAGAGATGCAACTACAAATGAAGCTCTAAAATTCAGATTTACTGTGAACCTATCTATTACATCCTTCAACAAAGAATTACTTTCCCATAAACAGAAGCTGCGCCGTAAGCCCATTCTTCTGTCATTCTGATGAACACTAAAGCAAATTTTAAGGTATGTTTCATCTTTGTTTCTATTAAGGTCAAAAGAGCTATACAGTTTGCCCAAAGGGTTGCATCTTAAAAGAGTAGCACTCTCTGTAACAAAGAAAAGCTTCCCTAACTAAATTCTATAAACATCTAAGATAAAATATACATTTTCCAGCAGTGTCAACCAAGATCAATGTACACTAGATAGCATCAGACATAAACTATTAACTATAAGCTCTTCAAAAGGCTTCCAGGAGCTGTAGAATGCAAGACATTCGGCGAGAAAGATGGGGTGGTACTCACAGACAGACCAGAAGACACGGGAGGAAAAGGGACAGACTCCGACTGCATCACCTGCAAACGAAAAAAGTAGAATAAGGACAGGCACTGCACACCATCAATCATACAACATTTCGTTATATATACCAAATAGAATGCTCGTAAACCTCATTCTAGTCGAAAAGCAGTTCAGATGGATCATTCATGGAGTACCAAAATCGAAATTACAATAAAATGGAATGATTCCACCACGAACATAAAAACTGAAGACTGAAGTGGACAAGTAAAAATACCCTAGAATTCATTCACTCCGTTCAGTGCTAAACATTACAAGCTATCATTGGCCTTCAAGAAATCAAATCCACAATATAAACTTAAGGAGCTCAATTAATAAGCAAATATACTAAACCCACCTCTTCGAACACAAGCCCACTTGCGACAACTTTCATAAGCAAAACATCATACAAATAAATAAACAAATAAATCCTCCGAGACAGACAAGTTAAACACACATAAGAACAAGCTTAAACTACGCAAGAACGAGGAAACATAAGAACCCCTTTTACCTCAGCAAAAAAAGGTTTTACCACTTCCTCGCTGAACGCTCAGAAAAATAAAAAGAGTAACACAGAACAGGGGCAAGGAAGATTATACATTGAACTGAGTGTCAGTGAGGATACACAATTGGATTTGGCAAGAAAGAGAAGGAAGAAGCAGCGGCGAGCGGAGAAGCGGGCTTCGGGAGCGAACTGCGAGCCAAATGAAGCGAAAATAAACTCGATTGACGAAACATCATAGTATCATTTCCGTCGATTTGGAAATTCTTTGTTTGGATTTGAAAATGAAAATAGTTTTAGGGATTTGATTAATAGACCTGTAAAGGCCCAATCAGTTTTTATAGTGTTTAACAGGCTCAAAGGCTTTTCAAGTAAGAGTGTGTTTATTTGGATGGAGTTTGGAAATTTTTTATTTGAATTTAATATTAAAATAATATATAATAAAATATTGGGTAAATATAAAAAATAAAAATATATATTAAATATTTTTTTAATAAAATAAATAATTAATTAATTATCGTTTTGGAAATAATTTGTTATTTAATTTTTATAAAAATTATAAAAATAAATGGTTGTTCAATTTTTTATTTATTTATTTTATTCAAAAAAATTATTTAAAATATTTTAGGTCTTTTATTTATATAAAATTTACGTAATTTAGATTTTTATTTATACCCAAAATATTTCGTGTAAATTTTATATTAACACGATGGTTTTTACTCAATAAAAAAAATACAGGAAGTGTTTGTGATAATTTACCCTAAAATATTTATGAAACGAACAAATATTTTTGTTTCGAAAAATATTTGGAGTTTTTAACCATGTTTGGATTGGCTTTTGCAAGACTTTTTTACTTTTACTTCTAAGGTCCGTTTGGATTGGCTTATGACATAAACTTTTGGTTTCTACTTCTAAAAAACAATTTATACCTTCTGTCAAAAAATAGAAGCAATTTTTTAAGCTGAAAAGTATTTTTTTAAAAAACATATTCGGAATAGCTTCCGAAATAATAATAATAATAAATACAGTACTATAATATAATGCAATATAAAAATTATTAATTTATATATTATATCTTAATAAAAATTAAAATTATGATTATATTATTATTTTTGATTTATTTGTTATACTTAGATTAAAAAATAAATTTGAGATATCAAATTTAAATAGGAGTATATAAATTTTTTAATTATACTAAAATTACTAATTATAATCTATAAAATTTTAAAATACATTATAAAATACAAATAATTTACTATTTTATTTTCATTTTATTTTTAATTATATATACGTATATGAAAAAATTAAAATATAAGTAATCAAATATATTTTTATACTTTAATTTAAAATATTTAAATATAATTAATAAAATTTAAAATAAATTATAAAAATTTATAGAAAAACTACTACTCCCTCCGTCCACATACAAAGTAAATATTTATTTTTGGCACGGTATTTTTTTAAGAAATAATAGTATTTTAATTATAGTAGGTAGTTAAAAGTAGTAAAATGACATTTTTGCCCTTGCATTTTAGTGTAAAAGTAATGATGTGATGTAAAGTAAGGGTATTTGTGGAAAAAAATGAGGTATTTAATGAAATGTTTACTTTTTAATTGGACGTCCCAAAATATAAATATGTATACTTTTTAGCGGGACGGATGGAGTATTATATTAACAGTATATCATTTTGAGTAATTTTAACAGTTTAAAAACAACTTCACTCTATAATATCTGAATAGTTTTTTTTATAAAAGTTGCTTTTATACAAATTCATCCAAACAAAAAATCAAACTTCTACTCTTGACTTTTGTTTCTACTTCTATTTTTGACTTCTGCTTATTTTTTAAGTAAATTTAAACGAGCCTAAAAGAAGTTATTTGTATCTTGTATTGGCTTATGTCATTGAGGTAGCACAATTTTTAGTTTAAATTATTATTTTATTCTAATAATAATAATAATACAAATAAATATACAATAATATAATATAATACAAAAATAATTGATTTATAAATTATAGTATTTTAATAAAAAAAATAAAAATATATTATTATTTTAATTTATATGTTATACTTGAATTAAAATTTTGTGGTTTTTAAAAAAAAATTAAAATTTAACATTATAATTAAACTATCAAATTTTAAAAATGGGAGTATATAATTTTTTAATTTATATTAAAATTATTAAATATAATATATAAATTTTTAAAATAAATTATAAAATACAAGTAATTTAATGTTAAATTGTAATTTTATTTTTAATTTATATATTATTCTTTTAAAATTAAAATTTTAAAACATAAATAACTAAATTTTAAATTTATGTTTTTTATACTTTAATTTAAAAATTCTAAATAGAATTAATAAAATTTGAAAATAAATTATACTAGTAAAAGTTTTATAAAAATATACAATTTATCCGTTATATAAAAATTAAATTATATAATAAAAACATACAAAATGTCATTTACTATAATAATGTTATAATTTCTCGTATTTATAACAAAAATATCTAATAATGTAAATATTAGAAAAAAACATCCATATAATTTAAATTGGAATATAAAAAAAAAATAATTACAAAATAATACTCATTTTATTTGAACTAATTATGTCACAATGTCCGAGCACGAAACGAAAAGATAATAAAAGATAATAGTAATATTTTTATGTAAGGACAAAATAGGTAAAAGTAATAAAATTAAAATATTATAGAAATATTTTGTAAAAGTAAATAATAAAATAAAAGTAACTAGAAAATAATAATTTCCTGGTGCGTACGAAGATTTGCCATTTTTTTAGGAAAAGACATTTGTTATCATGTTTTTGCTAGATCATATAATTGTACGATAATGCATATTAAATACCTATAACACATTTTTAAGTGTTCTCATTATTTAATATGATTTTCTTTTATATATATATATATATATAATATAGTATATTTTTATTAAATTTGTACGTAAAAACTAGTTATTGAAAATTCAAACCAAACGTAACCTTCGATTGAATTCCATTACGACTTAGGTATGAAAAATAATTGGCCTTGTGAGTGTGGCCAACTTTTCTTTGTTGGGAAAAAAGCAAATTAAATAAATAGAAGATAAATTTGGCCTCAAAGTCTAATAAACAGAAATGGGTGGATTTTGACAAAGACATTTCTTTTACTATAAACTACACATATCCTTTTATTTATTTATTTCACACCTTTTTTTTTCTTTTTTCATATAAGCATATTCCTTAAATTATATTTATCATTTATATAATACTAAAAATAATCGTGGACCATAACTAAAAAACTCAAAAATATTTAAACTTTATTTATTCATATAAATTTCAAATATAATTACAAAAATTTAAAAAATAAAATTTATGATATTTAAAAACCGTCTAAATTTAAAAATATGTGCGAGCTTTATTTATTATATTTATTCCGTAAGTTCACAGACATATAATTTTATTATTTGTCAAAATATGATTAAAGAAAATGAATTTTTTTTTTTTTTTTTTTTAAGAATTTTGAATAAATTCCATATGATTATGTAATATATTTTAAAAACAATCATAGTGTCAATCGGTCCGATCCAGAAAGCCAACCAAACATTACCAATTGTTTTAGCCTTTTAAGGTTAGCTCAATATAAAATAAAATAAAATAAAATAAAATAAAGTAAATAAATAAATAAAATTCCAACATCAATAATATATAATCCAAATTGGTAATGGCAAAATTGTAATTCGTCTTCGTGTAAGAATAGTGGTGTAGGTTACAACCATTCAAATATTTGATGTCTAAATATTTCCTATCATTCATATAGCACACAAAAAATATCAATGGTTAAATTTCACGTCAATTTGAAGAAGAAAAAAAAAAAAAAAGGTTACATTTTCGTCCAAATTGATGGCCTTAAAAAAATAAAAAACCTGTGCCATTTATCTATTTATTTAAATAATAATAATAATAAATAACAGATTGTAGGACCGAATATGATTGTAAATATATCCATAAATAAAAATAAAATAAAATTGTGAGCCGATGACTGTACGCCTCATAATTACATAATAAAGCCACCGCCATCCACGTGTTATTATTATTATTTTGTCTTTTAGTACGTAGTGTTACATAATAAAGTTTGTGTGATTGCTATTTAAAATTAATTTAAATTTAGATATTAATTTAATTTTTTATTTAAATACTAGTATATTATTTTCATAAAATATTTTATAAAAAAATAAAAATATATTTTTGTTAAAAATTATATTAAATAAATAATTTGATTTTCATTTGAAATAATAAAAATAAACATATGATATCTTATTCTTTTTGAAAGTATTAGTATTTTTTATTTTATAAATAAATATATTTATAAATATTCGAATATGTTGTTTTTTTTTTTAAGTTTAAAATTTTTTATTTAAATTATATTTTAATATAATATTTTATAAAAATTAATACTTCATCCATCTCATCCAAATTGACCCTTTGAAATTTTATTATAAATTAAGAAATAATAATATTTTACTAGTTAGTAAAGTGTGTAAAAAGTTTTAATATTTTTGCTTTTTAATTTTATGTAAAAAAATAATTGTATGTTTATAATTTATGTAAGAGTTAAAAATATTTTGGTATCAATGTATGATTACTTTTACTAAAATAGGAAAAAGATATTTTGAAGTGTGACGAACGAAAATAATAAAAATGATACGTTGAGTTGGGATGAAGGGAGTATATCTATGTCCCATATCTATTTACTCATTTGCTTTTTGTACGAAATTTTAGAAATATTAGTATTATATTGAGATGTAATATAAGTAAAAAAATAAACTAATCTTATTAATATTGTAAGATATAAAAATAATGACATTTGTATATATTTTGTAAATTTGAAGAATATTTATAATGCTATGTAAATTGTACAATTATTAAGAAAAATAAATAAATATTTTATTAGGAGACGAATCAAAATAAAAATATAAATAAACTGTTAAAGAATAGAGAAAGTATTAAAAATTGTAAGAACTAATTAATTATAATTCTAAGTTAATAAAAAACAAATCGTACACTATACATGTATATATTATAGATTAACAACCATATTATTGTTTATGTTGATAAATAAAAGTGTTTTGCTTTAAATATATATTTTATTTTTACGTGAATTATAAGAAATTGTGTAATAATACAATAAATAATACTATTTCATTTAAGAGTAAACTTTATACTTTACTATTTTAATTTGTTCAAATCGTACGTTGTTTTTGTTGTTATTATTATTATTATTAAAACTAATTCTAAATTAAATATTAAAATATTTTTAATTTTTACTTTAATGTCAAAAATAAAAAAGACATTGTATATCTACAAAATATTAATTAAACTTAATTTACTAAATGATAAACAAGGTATTTTATATTATATGTTAATTTATTTTAAAATGATATAATATACTCCATCCATCCGTCCTCTCTATATATATTTTATAATTTACTCAACTTTTTAATAAATTTATGCATTAACCCTGATAGACTACCTATTCAATTTAACCGATGCTTCAATTTAATATAATTATTGTCATAGGTCAAAAATGAATATTCAATTTTGACTGTCCAATTTTTCTTCATATGGGCATATAGATGAAGCTTCTCTTGGCCAACGAAACTTTAATTAGGTTTTTCAAATATATATAAATATTCATCTATTTTTATAGACAATTACTGTGAAAATTACAATTGAAATAAAACAATAATCAATTTAATCAATAATATTATTTTTAAAAATTAAATAAAAATATTAAATACATACACCCATATGATAGTAAAACATTACAATTTTTTGTGTTAAAAATTCACGGGGACTAATATGAATTTGGGCTAGTAAAATAATACTCTATTTGTCCCAAACAAGGTGCTACATTTAAGTTGAGCACGAGATTTTATGTAAAACGTATTAAGTAAAATAATTACGTAATTAGGTGATATGATGAAGAGAGAAATGTATATATATATTTTTTTATTAGAGTAATACAATGGGATAAGGTGTGAAGATAAAGATCAAGTATAATTAATTATTTTCTAATTTAAAAATCAGGGTGTTTGGGACATACAAAATGTTATAATTAATTATTTTTTTATTAGGTAAAATGTTGCACGATGTTTGAGACGGATGGCGTACATTTTTATTTAAAATTATATAAATACAATAATATTAATTAATTTATATTTAAAAAAAACAAAATAAAATTCATAATTTTAAAAATATCGCCAAATATTTATAAATCAAATAGTGAAACATCCAAATAAATAAATAAATACTCCATAACTGGTAAATTGGTAAAAGGGAAAGGTAAACAAGTTGGCCAGCTGGTTTGAAGGCCAAACGCCATTAACAATTTCTTCAATTCAACAAAGGTCACCTCACCTGACCGACTCTCCTTTTCTCTTTTCTCTTTTCCCTTTTCTTTCTTTTTCTTCTTCTTCTTCTTCTTCGCCCGAGAAGTCAACAATTCACAGCCCTAAGCCTAAATCCCCTTCAATTTATCCCAATAAACAATTCAAAATTCCTTCTCCAATTCTGTATCTATTGTATGTATGTATGTATGTCTATGTACATCTACACACATCTTAAGATATATAGAGAAAGAGAGACAGAGAGAGACAAAGAGCTCTGCAGCTGCTGCATCGGGTTTGGAGGTGTCTCTGAGCTTAGCTCGATCGTTACGGCGTCGCGTGTCACCACCTGGCAATTCTCCAGAGTCCCATTTTCCTCCCTTCCAGGTGGTGCTGGCGGCTTCTCTTCTCCTCTCTCTCTCTCCCTTGTTTCAATTTCCAACAACAGGATAATCATATAAAAAATCCACCCTTACAATTAAATCGCTCCTCTTAGTAACCATCTTCTGGCAATTCAATATTCTTTGATTCTTTCTTTTGATCTCATACTTATCCGGATTCGAATTCCTAGTTTTTTCGAGGTTTTAGCGATTAGAGGTTGAAATTTGGAATTTTGAGGGCAATTGGGAGACATAACCCTGATTTTCTGTATACATACAGCAAAGTCCAATAATCAATAGAAGCATTTTAGGGTTTGTGGGTTTTGTTAATTATCCAATTTCGAGTCCCCGAAGAAGTTGTTATAGAATAGTGCAAAAATGGTGAGTGGGAATTTGTTCCACTGTAGAAAGAACTCATGGCCTCCGGAAGAGTACATTCATCGATCAACCTTGCAGCTGGTAAGCGTTTTTCTCGCCCTCGATTTATATTTTGAGACATGTTCGAAGGTGTTGTGTCATAATTTTTCATAATTGTGCTGTCTGTTGCTTCCCAAAGCAGCAAAGAAGTAAATCCATATATGTTGTGGACTTGAAAAGTTTGATCACCAATGATAGTTTTGTAGAAATTTATTATTTTTAAAATTCGAAAAGTTTGGGTGGGGCTATCATCTTGGTTTTAGTCATTTGTTAATATTACACGGAGAGGAATGTAACATACAGAAATTCCTGGATTTGGCTGGATGATTATATGAAAATTCCTGGATTTGGCTGATTGATCATATGAAAAGTCCAGGATTTGGCTTTACTTCCTTTTGGTCAAATTTACCATTGGTTAGGGCGTTTGTCTTCACTTTGAAGTATGCACTATATTTTGTTAAGATGTGTATCCCCAAAGAAAAGAAAATGGGGACAGAGCAGCTGTTTGATTATTATCTTTTTTTTTTTTTTTTTCAATTTCTAGCCGCAAAGATATAGTATTGATGAAAATGCAAGAACTTCTCGGAGAAAGGGAAAAAAATGAGGAGATGTTGCAAGTTATGTTCTCAAGAGCGCTACTTTACTTAATTGCTATTTAGCTGGAATGAGGAAGATATGAAACACTTGGAATTAGTTTCATTTTCGGTTTCAGTTATATATATAAAACAATTAAAATTTATAATATTCAATCATGTACTTGGACTTGAGGGATTTGTAGTTTATTTGATGTGATAGGACAGTGAGGATAATGTCAGTTTTGTTCATTTAAATCTTTTTAATATTTGTGAACGGATTTTTATTTGGTTGCCTTTTGTTTTTGAACCACAAAATGTGCAAGCTTCTATTTTACCTTTAAAGATGTGATATTGAAGTTTAATTCATCTTCACGTCTCATTCATACATGTCGCTCTCACAAATCCAATCAATTTTTTTCTAGACAAATTAACAGTGGTGTTCAATTCATCATCATGTCTTATTCATACCAATCGGTTTCAAACACTTCAATAATTTTTAATCTTTTTGAGAGGCCCTGTCATGAGGGATAATTGTATAAGCTTATTTAATTGGTTTTTAATCTTCTTTTTGGTATGTTCGCAATGGAGAAACCTGCTTGCCCACTTATCTAAGTGTTTTTTTAATTTTTGGTCAACAGCTTAATGATCATGACAGTGCTGCCCCACCGGAACATGCATGGAGAAGGAAATTAAATAGCCATGCAAGTATTCTTAAAGAATTTAGTGTTACGTTTACAGAGGCTATAAAGATGGTAATCAAAACAAATTTTCATTATACATGCTCATAGAAGTATATGATGCATTGGCTTCTCAGTTCTTAACAATCCTTTACACTATAGGTTACGCTTGGAATACGTCTATGGCATTATGTGCGGGAAGAGGCATCTCATGGAAGAGTAAGTTACTTATCCTTTTGGAATATCTTTCTCAACGCACTGCTCCATTTCGCTATCTTTAGTAAGCATTATAACTTCATTAATGCAAAAATGAAAGCTAGCTTTCACAGAAATACTACTAAAGGCAGTTCTTTTCTCTGATGTAATTGCTCCTTGTACAGAAAGCACCGATAGATCCGTTTACTCGAGAAAGTTGCAAACCTTCTGCCTCGCAAGGAGTTCCTCTGGGTGGGATGGGGTAACTCATTAGTCTTTACGTAGTTCTTTTATCAACTGTTATTTCATGAGATTTTGGTGAACATCAATCTGCATTCAAATACAGGAGTGGGAGTATATCCAGAGGTTTCCGAGGGGAGTTCAAGAATTTCCAAATACTGCCTGGTATATGTGAGACATCTCCAATGATGGCCAATCAATTCTCTGTAAGGCTCTCTTACTTACTCATCTTTACTTTAGAAAAAGATGTTCCATTCAAGAAATTTAATTTATGATATAAACAGCCCATGTATATTAGTCATTTAAAATTATTGATTTATTTTCCTTTCTGAGTAAATGTCTCACCATTCTGTTGTTCATTACTTTTGTAACATCCATGAAAATGCGATCAATCATGATTGCATATTCGATCTGATCGCGGATGATAGTTATTGAAAAAGGTAGAAGGCATAACAATGGGTGTGTTTGTTTGTGGGTTTGGGGTTTTGGGTTTGGACTTATGAATACTAAAAAGTTGAATTTGAATAGTTGTTTGATGTGATGTAAATAGATGTTGATGTGATGTTTTAAATGTAAAATAAATTTGTAGTATAATATATAAAAAAAAGGTAATTGTTTGATTTGATATTTTTGGAGGGAAAGAAGAATCTGAACAGTAAAAATATGTTGTAAAACCCACAAAAGAACACAACCTAATATTCTAGTTTCCATCAGATTGTGTGAGATAGTCTTTGTAAAACTATTTGATTTGGCTCTTCTAGGGTGCATGGCCAGATTTCTTGCTTTCCTTTTTTCTTGGAATTTTAAATGTAATTCTTAAAATCTTTTAATTGTGCAATGAGTTTTCAAACCTAATGAAAATGTATTTAAACTCTAGTTTGTTGCCCTGAGCTGGTTGTCTTATGTAAATTAAAGGGCACAATGATTGATCTTCAAATTGGGGGAAGGTACATTAGTCAATTGATTTGACATTCTGTTTTCAAAATTGTATGACTTAGTTATTTGATTTCTCATTGTTTTACTACTTTATGTAAAATGGATGCAGTACGGTATTTTACCTTTTTACATTATGTTGTGCAAAATATTGTTATTGCGAACAGTGCTTGATATTTTATGTCTTCAATTGTTCTTACTGCAGATTTTCATATCTCGAGATGGAGGAAACAAAAAGTATGCTTCGGTTCTAGCTCCAGGCCAGCATGAAGGTTTAGGGTATGGATCTTAGCAGTGCAGTTCTAGTTGTAAATCCCATATTTTTGTGCTCTTAGAAATATGGTTTTCGCTGCTGATTTGGTCAACTGAGGTCTGGAAGTGTGTTGTGTAAATTTCTTTTCCTGCCGCAATGTTGAAAACAAATAACATACCAATTCCAGCACTGTGATGCATCCATGTGCTAAAGATTTCTAAGCCACAATATTCTTTGTTTTATGCTTTATTTAAGAATTGGCTACCTAATTTTTTGAATGCCTGGATTATGTTGTGTAATTTATCATTCACGTATCTTTGTTCAATTATGTCTTTCCACCATACCATCTATAAGATTGAGAAAGTTGAAGAAATAGTTTATGCATATTTTGAAGAACACAAGAAATTAGTAACCTTTTTGGGCAGAGTATTAATCACTTGTTTTTAAACTAATATCATCCATCAGTTCTGCTAAGAAAATGGTATTGCTCAAGAGTGGTAAGCTGTTATGATTCCACGTTTGCTCCCAACAATTCTGAAACAAAAAAAAAGATAATACATGAAACTATCTACAATTTAGTGAATTGCAAAAGCAACTGTGGACCGTTCTATGTTTGATTGTTCTTTCTGACAGGAAATCTAGCGATCATGGTATTTCATCGTGGGGGTGGAATCTAAATGGTCAGCATTCGACATATCATGCACTATTTCCAAGGGCATGGACTGTTTATGATGGTAATTTTTCTACCTTTGCTGTTGGATTCAGAGAGGTGTATCATATGAACCATGAGCTATTTACATTCCTTTATTTCTGCAGGTGAACCTGACCCAGAATTAAAAATTTCTTGTCGGCAAATATCGCCATTTATGCCACACAATTATCGAGAAAGCAGTCTTCCAACAGCTGTATTTGTCTATACTGTGAGTAAATATTCCTTCTGATCCTCTCTCTCTCTCTCTCTCTCTCTCTGTGTATTATGTTTGTTCTCCAATCAACTTATCCATCTTGTTTTGCAAATTTATAAAGCACAAACCTTTATTACAAATTACAGTGACAGCAAATGAGAAAAATATAATCGATATCCTCCCTAATATTCAGGCACATGATCCATAAAATAGTGGGCTATTTTTATCAGATGTTCCCGTACAGCTGTCCACATAGTGGGGTAAAGGCTTAGATCATACTATGATGAACTTTAATATCGAGCATAACATATATCTCCTTGGTATATAGTCCTACCCGAACAAATTGGATTTGTCTTGTTTTCATTCCTTCACGCACTTGTTTTCTTTCTTACTTAAAAGTGTGAATTTCCTTACTTGATATAATCCAAGAAATTTGATTTTTCAGGAAGCAATTTTGTTTTTTTTTTTTTTTTTTCGTTGTCCTGCTCCTAATTTACTCATGTAATTGTTTTTTTTTTGGTTGTAAATGAATGGTGGGATGGGGAGTGCAGTTTTTCTTTCTTGTGTCTAGTGTAAAAAAGTTACTGGACATTTAAATTGTGGCAATTCATTCAATTAAGTGTTTGTAGCGTGGCGTTAAAACATGACCATGCATGTGATTTGAACTTGTTTTGTTTGTTTGGCAAACAGAAATTCTTATTTTGAATTATTTTTTAATATAGTTGGTTGGGTAACTGGGTGTCTTATACAACATTGCTTTAGGCTTAGATGATGCTGATTGGCCCACTGCATATAAAGGTAAAAGATTTAGGAGGTGGTGATGATACGGGTATAAATGTGAACTTACATGATCATATTTCTGCCAGTATATAATTGCTGCTACTTTGAAGTGGCGACAAAGAAATTGTCTTGAATTAGTAGCACATGATTATGTGGGAGGCATCTTTCAATTCCATTTTGTTTGTTGTTATACACTATTATCCTGCGGAATTTGTTCATCTTTAATCCAACTTCCTCCAAATGCCCAAAATTAATGGAAGTGATAGTTGATGCTAAGCTAAATCGTGCTAATAGTTTAGCGTTGTGTTCTGCTGCTGAGGAATATGATTCCGTTTGAGGCTCATATGTCTCTATTTAAATTTTGCAGTTGGTGAATACTGGAAAGGAAAGGGCGAAGGTCAGCCTCCTTTTTACCTGGGCGGTGAGTTTCTGGTAGTTGTATTAAATTTAGGGTGCCTTTACTACGCGGGATTAAGGCGGATAATATTATATTGTCCGTCTAATCTCATCATTACATTAATATCTCTAATCTCATGTTTAAATAAATGTGTAATCTCATGCATAATTAATCCAATCCAACCCTTACTATTATTTAATTCTACTTAATTATCCCTCTTTGTACACATCTAGAATCATTTTCTATAAATATAATAAAAATATTTTTGTTTAATATATCTATGTCATGATAATATTACAACTAAATTTTAATACATTGTTATATATTATATTGCTATAATTAGAAAAAAAAATATTTAGAACAAATTATAGATGTATAATTTATTATAAGATTACAAAGGATATTTTGAGTAATAAAAAATAATCATATCGTATAATTAAACAAAGTAAATGTTTTACTGATTAAATCCGTTGATTATATAATAATCCATTTAAATAATCATACATAATATAATCCCATCATTCAAAGTAAATGACTTAATCCATTGAAATAATCGTACACATTATAATCTTATTTTTCAAAGCAAAGGCACCTTCATGGCACTAATTCCATATGTGGGCAAGCACTCAGTCTGTATTCTTCAATTTTAATGCAGAATTCTATTGGGGGTAGCTCACATTTATCAGGAGAACATGTCAACGAGCCATTTGTGTGAGTGTATTTCCCAAACTAATGTTTGATATCTTATGCACTGAGATTTGGTTGTATTTTTTGACATTAATGGTTTCTTCTCTTCTTCGTTTTAACTTCATACAGTGCTGAAGATGGAGTCTCAGGCGTGTTGCTACATCACAAGCAAGTCATCATTCTTTCTTGTTAATTATGACGGTTGGTTTGTGTTTATTATTTTATTTGTCATAGTGTTGAAGTAGGAAAATCTTAAATACGCTGGCACAAATCATTTTCCCCCGAGAGATTATTTGAGAATGTAAGGTTGTGTTTACTATGGGAATTAATTAATCTTCATGTATAGACCTTCATGTAAGGATTAATAAATACCTCTTTGTAAACACACTGTAATTCTATAAGAACATTCTAAGTTGGTAGTAAATTATGCATTAATTCTACAAGGTATCTGCAATCTAGACCTAAACATCATTACTGAATACCTTATGCTTTCTGATTCTTATCTTTCTTTAATATTGTAATTTATTTCTTAAATTCATCCTTGATGTTTATGGTAGTCACTTCTTGACAAAGCTCTTATGAGTAAACTGAAGTTCTGAGTTAGATTATGTTCCGGAAACTATACGTCTTTTATTAAACATGCAAGCCTTGTTCATCAATGATTTTGTGAGTTGGGCATTGTTGAATTACCTTTTGCTCACCTTCCGTTAATTGCTTAGATTATATCAAGTACACTTGCTCTTCTGTTTTCTACCAGACATTGGGTGTGCTGTGGCTTTATTATAATTTTATACCTTGCATTGTTGTGTATATCTGAAGACTTAAATGACTAGAATTGCTACTAATATATTGCCTTTTCAATATTAATTGGCCTCAGAACAGCAAAAGATAACCATCCTGTTACATTTGCCATTGCCGCGTGTGAAACTCAAAATGTGAGTGTGTCAGTATTACCCTGCTTTGGTCTTAATGAAGGAAGCTGTGTTACAGCAAAAGATATGTGGGGGAAAATGGTGCAGGTAAAGATTGCTGCTTGTGTATTTTTCAACATTGTTGGTTACTTAGGTTTATTTTTTAATTTAATTTAATTATATATATATATATTTTGTGCTTGATTCAGAATGATTATTGTGTTATTGTGGCCCCAGCTCTCGCAATTTATGTTCTTCGTAGTTTTTTTTTTGTTTTGTTTTGTTTTTAACTGACTAACTTGGCTCCAGGATGGGCACTTTGATCGAGACAACTTCACCAAGGGACCAAGCATGGCTTCATCACCTGGAGAAACACATTGTGCTGCAGTTTCTGCTTCTACATGGGTTGAACCACATGGAAAGTGCACGGTTGCTTTTTCTGTTGCTTGGTCAGCACCTAAAGTTAAATTTTGCAAGGGGAAGTCCTACCATAGGTAATTTATTATTCTAACGCCCCTATTCTTCATATCTATTGTGAAACTGATTTGATTTGCTGAACTACCTGATGATATTAGCATGTTTGGCATCATATATCAATCTTTTGATAAGTGAGGTAATTCTTTATAAATGCTGAAGAGAACATATCTTCCTGTCATCTACTTTTTCCCCCTTTCACCTGTAGATCTTTGATCCGTGCCATCCCCTCTTAATAATGCCCTTAATATTATTTATTGTACAACGTTTCTTCAGCTGTGCATTTTCAACTCCTCGTACTTTTACTTCTCTTTACATTTTAGTCCATTAAAGAAGATTGAATTAGACAAATTTGAGTATCTGACCCTGTTTTTACTTGATCGATTGCCATCCCAGGAGGTACACTAAATTCTATGGTACTTCTAAAGATGCAGCTAAGAATTTGGTGCACGATTCTCTGACCAGTGAGTTGTTTTCAGCCCTTTTTGTTGATTTCACTTACTATGTTAACCTTCTTCTTTAATCGAATGTTTGCTTGGTTTAAGGTTTAACCAAAAAAAAATAAAAAAAACGGTGAGCGGAAGGGGAAAAAATGGAAGCAAGTCCAAGTTTCATTCATTAGGGTTTAAATGTAACAATGATATAAGTTACTTCTAAAAAAAATATTTGTGAAGGAATTAATATAAATAAATATATATGCTATCCTTATGTATTTAAGTTGTTTTTAAGGCAAGGAGGGCTAGATATCCCAGGTTCGAGTCGCTGTTGTTGGTTATTATGAAAAGTGTTTCATAAATTAACATTTGGTGAGAATGTGCTTATCATGGGGCGTGTTGAAGGAATTACTTTATAAATAAATAAATACAATATGATATATTTTTTCATTAAATATAACGTCAAATACACTTTCTAAGAAGAAATGTTCATTCAAGATAATTGAAAGACTCAAAATACAGAATTTTACTAGCCCTTCATTCGTTAGAGAAATACGCAGTGTACTGAGTATCATAACTATCTGAGAGTGGGAAAGAGAATGAAAAAGGTTTCTTTCATTGTACCTTATGAGAAGCATGAAGTTACCCGTTACATTTTTATTCAATCTTTTCGTCAAAACTTAATCATTATTGACCAGCCAAATTAAACTATTTTGCTCTACATTTTCATTTTTGCTCCGAATTCTTGAAGCAAGCATGGAGTAAGACTTCGACTATATTTTTAAGAGATTGTTGCTAGCCTGGTAGATAATGGATCTATATTCATGTTTGGATATGTATCAGATTATATGCTATGGGAAGAAGAGATTCAAAAATGGCAGAATCCTATTCTGAAAGACAACCGTTTACCGGAATGGTAAGCATTAGTGTGAAATAGTTTATGATAAGCAATATATTTTTCTCATCTTTGTTATTGCTATTGTAATCTATCACTTTTGGTTACCCTATCCCAAGAAGAGATCTAGCTAGCAATAATGATATGTGATAAGAAATTACATGGATGCTGCCCAAATTTCTAAAAAAATGAATGTCCCATTGTATGCAATTTGGTTTTTCAATTGAGGACATAAAATAATGTTTGAAATGAGGGAAATCGGATGATAAATAATGTAGTGTTATTATTAGTTCCATGATCTTTGTTTCCTCTTCCTATAAGAAATCAATATATCATTTATATATAATATGATTGTGATCAAAATCTTATCTATGGTTTTACTTTTCAGTGTATGAACAAATATTTCTTTTTGATTGTTCTCATCACATAAGATACATATTATAGGATTGTAAATCAATGCTATGTGTTGATTTGCAGGTATAAATTTACCCTCTTCAATGAGCTTTATTTTCTTGTTGCTGGTGGAACAGTTTGGATCGGTAATAATACATTCTTTACTCATCAGTTTCCACTAAAAAATGTAACTTCACTTTACTGGTTATTCTGTGGTTGCAGTTGATTATTTATTTATTCATTAGTATTATTTTCTCTGACTGTGATTGATATCTGAATTTCCTTCATACCTTTTACTGTGAATGCTAAAGTAATTCCACCATTTTGTTCTTACATCTCTTGGATGTGGTTTGAAACTAAAATTTACCTTTTGGAAGGACCATAAGACTATGATGTCATGCTTCATGATTGGTGGTAGGAGTGGTAAATTTTGATGCCACCCAAAGTTATGAATTTACACCAAAATTAATGGGTTTATTTCAGAACTTGTGTGTTTCGATTAGCATCAGATCTTGAAGAAAATTATTCAGTTTGGATCATAATGGATTGACTAGCCCCCCTCAAAAAATACTACTTTCCTTTCTAGTGTTGTTTTTTTTATTGTTTCTTCTGTTTTTATATATATGTAGTTGTGCTTGTACAAGTTATCCTTGGATAAATTCTGCATATTTCAAATCCCAATGATAGAACTATCTTAACTTTAGTAAAACTAAAATATGTTCTGTTGAGGTTGAAGCTTGTTTGCGGGTTTTTGTCAAAAGATTGTAAGAATACTCTACATTGCCTTTTTTGTACAGACTCGAACTTACCGGTTGAGGACTCAGGCAGTGTTATTTCAACCATCACCAGCAAAAAGAAGTCCAAGAAATCTAAAAAGGCAAAAGCAGCAAACAAAACATTGGCTACAGCTGTGAAAGAGTCTGCAGTGAATGACCGTGACGCGTCTGTAAATGCTGATTCAATCAATGGAAGACAAATGGCTTCCACAACATCATCAGATGAAGAAGAGTTGACTATTCATGGGGGTAAGCTGATGAATCCCATGAATGACAACGATGATGTAGGGAAGTTTCTCTATCTCGAAGGCGTTGAATATATTATGTGGTGCACGTATGATGTCCATTTTTATGCATCATTTGCCCTTCTGGAGCTATTCCCAAAAATTGAGCTCAGCATTCAGCGTGATTTTGCAAATGCTGTGTTATTTGAGGATCGACAAAAGGTGAAGTTTCTGGCAGAAGGGAACTCGGGGATTCGCAAGGTGAAAGGAGCTGTTCCTCATGATCTCGGAACACATGATCCATGGCATGAAATGAATGCATATAACATACACGACACGAGCCGATGGAAGGATCTGAATCCGAAATTTGTCCTTCAGGTCTACCGAGACTTTGCAGCCACACAAGATTTATCGTTTGGAGCGGATGTATGGCCCGCAGTCCGTGCTGCCATAGAGTATATGGAACAATTTGATAGGGACAATGATGGTCTCATAGAAAATGATGGATTTCCAGATCAAACCTACGATGCCTGGACAGTTCATGGAATAAGCGCCTACTGTGGTTCGCTATGGATTGCTGCACTCCAAGCAGCCGCGGCGATGGCCATCCAGCTCGGTGACCACTCTTTTGCAGAGAAATGCAAAGAAAAATTTACAAAAGCAAAAGCCGTTTATGAAGAGAAACTTTGGAATGGTTCCTACTTCAACTATGACAGCGGGTCAAGCAGCAACAGTAAATCGATCCAAGCTGATCAACTTGCGGGGCAGTGGTACACAGCAGCCTCGGGATTGCCTGACCTGTTCGACGATTGCAAGATTCAAAGTGCTCTCCAGAAAATATACGACTTCAATGTGATGAAAGTTAGAGGAGGAAGGATGGGCGCAGTAAACGGGATGCATCCTAATGGGAAGGTAGATGAGACCTGTATGCAGTCCCGGGAAATATGGACAGGAGTAACGTATGCAGCGGCAGCTACCATGATTCATGCCGGGATGATGGACCAGGCATTTGCTGCAGCGGAGGGGATATTCACTGCAGGCTGGTCGGAAGAGGGATACGGGTATGTTTAACACTATACACTATTTAATTCATCTACAAGTGCTTATCGTGCGCTCTAGTAAACTTGCTTTTTGAGATCTACAAGAAGTGTTTGTTTTATGCGAGGTTTACTATGAATTAGCATTATATGAAATATGATCAATGTGGGTATTTTATTTTGTGGGATAAATTAATCTTGCTACAATTATAACAAATATCAGGTTGCGTTTAGATATATTTTGGAAGTGTTTTTGGGAATAGTAGAAGTTGAATAGAGAATAAGTATTGCTAAAACAAGTTTGAAAATGTACGGAAAAGAGTGTTACTCATCCAACACGATGAACAATCCTAATAGAACTAACTTTGATTGGTTTCCTTGCACGTATTTTGGGTCTTTTAGTAAGTTAGATGGACATATGTCACGGAATAAGACAATTTTTGTTTCCTTTTCTTCTTTAAATGATTGTGCTTGTCATGTAGTAACTTTTTGCCAGTTGTAATATTTTCTATATTTTGCTGTATATGGGACTAACCCAAAAATGGACTTCACTAGATCAGTAGAGTCGCATGACTATTTTGATCGTTGAAACATCATACAAATCCTGTGCAGTATAGATTATCCGATCATCGAATAGTATTAATCATCTAATAATATGTCATTTGTAAGTTATTTTTATCTAATTAGGTTAAATAGATTACGTTGAGAAAATAAACATTGCCTAAAATCTTTTGGTGGCTGTTCCTTACATTGCTCCCATTTTATTGTTGGTGTTTAGATACTCCTTCCAGACGCCGGAAGGGTGGACGACGGGTGGGCACTTCCGGTCGTTGATATACATGAGACCGCTGGCAATATGGGCGATGCAGTGGGCACTATCTACGTCGAAGTCAATTCTGGAGGCACCCAAGAGCAGTGTAATGGAGCGTGGCGCGGTGTCCTCCTCCTACGCCCTCTCCCACCCTAATCCAGCTCATCCTAAGAAGAAGAGCTTTGGATGCTTTAACAATGCTGTATTCCACTGCTCTTGCTAATTGCCGATGCTCCAGGTACGTTTGGTTTGGCTGCCTGCCTAGTCGAGTCTGAGTCCGAGTGTGAGTCGGGATCGGGATTAAAACAACAGCTAGCATATGCATATGCATATGCATATCCGTCCCTGTCAAATTGATAGGGTTTCGTGGTGGTATCTGATCAGTGAATTTGTTCATTCCTCTTGTAAAAACAACCCTAATTCTAAACCCTACAGAGCTGTGTTGTGTACATGTCACAGATGACTCGCTCACTGACTGATCTCATCAGGAGGACATGTTTGAATGAAATTAGTATAGATTTCAAGTTATGGCTAATGTTGTGGCCGTGTCCTAATAAGAATAACCCTTAAGGTGAAAATCTGTAGCGGTATGGATTGCACTGGTTAAACTATTTGGCTCACCACAACAGCTTATAAATTCGGTCATCTTATCATGAAAACTAACCTAGTGGGCGGGCTGATGTTATGGAGTTGTATTTTTTGGACAACATTGATCATAACTTCAAAAAGCATTGATTAAGAGCATAGTTGTTATCGAGTCGAATCAAACAAAATTTTGAGTGTTTGTGTTCGACCCTTTATATTTGCGAATAAGACTTGTGTTCATTTGTTAAGTATTTGAGTTTGTTCTACTTGTTTGAACTCGATTCATTAGAAATTTTAGTGTTAAGAGTTTGTGTTGGGTTCCAATAAACTTGTTTAATAGCTCAAGCTTGTTTTGGATAAATATAATATTTTATTTTATTTTTTAAGACATATATTTTATTTTAAATTAATAATTATATATATATACTTATTTTTTAACAAGCTTTTGCGATTTTGTAAGCAAGATTTGGATTCATTCGTTAGGGTGTGTGTGTTTGCGGGATTGAATTGGATTTACATTATTCATCCAATTTTTTTTCCCTAAAAAATATCAAATCAAACATCTATTTTTTATTTTTTATATTATACTGAAAATCAATTTTACATTCAAAACATCACATCAATATTTATTTATATCACATCATACAACTATTCAAATTCAAAATTTTTATTATTCAAATTTCAACTTAAATCTAAACCCCCAAACAAACACACCCTACAGAACAAGTTTATTTATGTTGTTTGGCTTCTGCTCATTTATGTAGTTTCACCTGAATCAAATTGAGTAAAGTTCATGAATAGTTCATTTTGTTTAATAGCTCTGTACTGCAAATTTTTGTTTGATAACTATTTTTCGTACAGATATGCGTTTTATTTAAAAATAAATATTTAATTTGATTGAAAAAAATTTAAAATGTGTTTAAATATTTTAAAATTATATTTATAATATATTTTTTTAAAAATGAAATTTTATATAATAATGATAAAAAATGTAAAAATTATTAATAAATAGTGAGTAGGTAAAATAAAAAATAGAATAGAATATTAAAAAGTTAATAATAAAATAGAGATAAGTAAGCAATAATTTAATTATTATTTGAACAATAAAATTATAAGTGAATAATATTGTTAATGAATTATGTATATTAACCTAATAATCAACAACAAAAAATATATATATAATTATTCGAACAAAAAATATATATTTATTTATAAGAGGATAAATTAATTTTATAAAAATTGAAAATTTTAGAGGAATATAAATAATTTATTTATTGGAGAGATATACTACCTCCTTTTCACAATAAGAGTATTTATTTGTTTTTTTCATATAATTTTTTTAATATTATTATATTAATTTATAATAATAATGACAAAAAATTAATTAATACAAAATTTAATATATTTTAAATTGTAAGATTATTTATTATATTATACAGATAGTACAATTATATTAGAAAATGTATTTTAGGACTGAGAAAAATAAAAAATGGTACGAGGAGGCAGTAAATAACTTTTTAAACAAACGAAAATAAAAAATGTGTCACATAAAATTATAAAAACACATTAAAATTTTATTTAAAAGAATGTAAAAAAATATTTATATCAATCAAATTTGTACAGTAAAAAAAATTCTTTAAAAAACATAGACTATAATTTAAGAAATGCTTATATAGTAAAATTAATTAGCCATTGGGCTTAGGCCGATACTCAAATAAGCCCACTTGATACCCAGAAGAAAAACCCTAATTTAAAACATAGCCTATAGTTTAAGAAATGCTTATATAGTAAAATTAATTAGCCATTGGGCTTAGGCCCAATACTCAATAAGCCCACTTGATACCCAGAAGAAAAACCCTAATTTTGGGTTCTGTATCTCATCTCCTTCATCCTCAGCCTGCCGGAGTGATTTTCAGAGAGAGAGAGAGAGAGAGAGAGAGAGAGAGATGGTATCGGGATCGGGTATTTGCGCGAAGAAGGTGGTGGTCGATGCCAGACACCACATGCTTGGCCGTTTGGCCTCGATTTTGGCCAAAGAGCTTCTGAACGGCCAGAAAGTTGTGGTGGTTCGATGCGAGGAAATCGCCCTTTCTGGTGGACTCGTGCGCCAGAAGATGAAGTACTTGAGGTTCCTGCGTAAGCGGATGAACACGAAGCCGTCTCATGGCCCTATTCACTTCCGTGCGCCTTCCAAGATTCTCTGGAGAACCATCCGTGGGTATGAAATTATGAATTGATTCCTTGTTTTCATTTGATTTGGATGGTTTTTCTTTTTACATTTCTTTGGTTTGGTATTCGGATTCAATTCGTTTACATTTCTCGTCGGGATTTGTCTCTCATTCGGAGATTTGTTCAGTGATATATTCTAGTGATGATACTCAATATAGTACAAACATTGTCAGAGTCAGAGTAGTAGTTGCGCCATTGACATTAGATGCTCTTTTTAAAACGAAAATGAAAATTTTATTTAATTTTTTGTTGCTATGTATCTTCGATTGCTGTCTTGAATTGCTTTTTGTTTGTATGTGTGTGTGTGTGTGTATATATATATATATTATTAATCAGTTAAGATATTGTTTATATATTGAGAAAATCCATTTTTGTGGTAGGCACAGATTGATGTCTTTGTGGAATGCTTTGAGTATGTTAAAACTTAAATGTGGTGGCTTTTGTTGATTAGAACAGAAATGTATAGTATCTTTTTTTAAAGTATATATATTTAATTCGTTGTCGCATAGTATAAAATGGGTGTATCTAAGATTGATGATTAGTTTCAGGGGAAGGTGCATGGTTTTCAAGTATTAATAAACTTGAAATGAATTTGAGGAGGGGGGCGTGGATTAGGTATTATTGTTTTGTGATGTGAAAATACACTTATGCAGGCCGAATGTTTTTTTAGCATGTTTCGGTAGTCTATAAAATGGTTAGTTTTGAATTTGGGCTGGATGCTTTCATTTTTGTGGGAGAAATTTCTCTTTATTTTAAAGTGTGGTTAAGTGGAAATGCTCTATTTAATATGACGTAGTTGTAAAAGGCAAATTGTGCCGTCATGTTGCCATTCTATATGGCCACCTGAACCTCATCAAGAAGCATGCTAAGTTTGATTCATTCTATAATAGGATTATGTGAAATATTATGTAATCACACCGTGTCAATATATTTGTTATTATTTTTAATTTGGGATGTTCCAAAATGTTTGCAACTTTCCGTTGTTTGTACCCACTTTTTCCTCTTTTACCCTTATAAATACAATTTAAAACTATTTCAAACAAAACGTGGAGACAAATTAGACAAAAATTATCAAAATTATACCATGTAAAAAGTCGCGTCCAAACTAGAACTAGCAATCATAATGGGTAAGAGTGTATTATTATTATTTTTTCCGGCATTCAGCTAAATATGTCATTAAATGAAACGATTCTGCGTGGAACTGTAGCATGCTTCTGAATTCTAATACTAGAAACAACATGCAACGTAAATTTTATACTAAGCGAGATCACAAGATCCAAATATCCCGCGGGAGGATACTGCAACAAGATCGCATTTATATGTTTGCATATTATCTATATACTAATACTTGTGGAGCGCGCCATGTGCTATGCCTTGTGCCATTTATGCTGATTTTTTCTTCTGATACAACATAAAAAACCCTAAATTTATAGTGGTGACTCGTGAATTTGATTTATTTCTGGTATGCATCTTGACATGCTCGATCTTATAAGATGTGTCTGTCTTTACAACGATTACGGTCTTGGTGACCATGCATTCATCACGCCTAACATCGCTGATATTATCCTTGTTTTTTGAATAATCTAATAGATTCTCAAAATATGGCTGCCTTGTGTTGGCAGGATGATTCCTCACAAGACCAAGCGAGGGGAAGCTGCACTAGCGCGCTTGAAGGTGTATGAAGGTGTACCACCGCCATATGACAAGATGAAGAAGATGGTCATTCCAGATGCTCTCAAGTACATTTCTGGCTTCCCTAGCAAACATTTTAGTTCGTTCGAGCATCATATCTAACGCCTAATTCTTCGACTGTCAAAACAGGGTATTGAGGCTTCAAGCTGGCCACAAATACTGTTTGTTGGGTAAACTCTCTTCGGAGGTTGGATGGAACCACTATGATACTATCAGGGTAATTTTGAACTCCAATTTTTTATTTTTATTTTTATTTTTATTTTTTTGGGCTGCGCTCAGTGAAATTCTCTTGTCTCGTTGTTCATTTTAATATCACAAGAATTTGAGCTCCATTATACATATGATGCTTAACAAGATTCTGTACCATGCCTCTCATTCTTGGGATTTCGCTTTTACAATTAAAAGAATTAATACTCTGATTGAATAGATATATATTGAATGTTGATTCAATGATTTTGTTAGGAGCTGGAGAAGAAGAGGAAAGACAGATCCCAGGCTGCATACGAGCAGAAGAAGCAATTGATGAAGCTGAGAGTTAAAGCTGAGAAGGTTGCTGATGGGAAACTCGGTGCACAGCTCGACGTCATCGCCCCAATCAAGTACTGAAATATAAGATAGGTAGCCCTTGTTCTTCCTTCACTTGTTGTGTGGCCATTTCGGTTATTGCCTAGGATTGTTTGTTTTCTTGACTTCTTAAGCTAAGATAAGGCAAGATGAACCCGGTGATTAGTTGGTTTCTTGGTACATGCCTTCCCATTTCAGTTACTCTCGTGTTTGTTAGTCTGTTTTTCGATTGAGCTTGGCAAACTATTTTTATGGTTACCCAACTTCAAATTTTGATCGAACCAAAAGTTTTTCAAAACTGAATAAACCGAACAAATGGAATTTTTATAGTTTGAGTTTGATATTTAAATTTGTAGATAAAATTGTTTGAAAGTGTAGATAAATAGTTACACACAAATTCGTAGGATTTATTACCAACTGCTACTGGTTTGCAAGATCCAAACAAATCAAAATATTAATCGTCTATCATTTTGACAAAGTGAAATATAATTTTAATTTAAAATCAAATAAACAAAAAAAGGAAAAACATAAGATTAAATGAAGATTCACTTATTTATCTGGACACAAAATTGAGCTAATTTAAAATAACAAAATCAAATTATGAATATAATTTACTTCATTTGTGACCATATATTTTAAAAGCGTGTTACAAAACAACGCAACTATAATGCAAATCTTTAGACTTTTGGAATTTACAATTGAATAAATAAATCTCCTCTGATTTTGTTTTATTTGAAATCGACAAATACAATATATTTTTTTTTTTTATGATATCGGAAAATATCTCTTTTGTCCACACATCAAGATTGTTGATTTTACTATTATTATTAAAAATAAAAATGAATGGGCAAGATAAGATCTATTATTATTTTGCAATTTGCATCCCTATTGATAGATTGGCAACATATGCCTAAGTAGTTATTTTTGGGATGTTTTTTCTTCATTTTATATGATGCAATTTGTTTACATGTATTGTGAATGTGCGTGTGTGTGTTGTTCTCTATATATTTTTGTGGATTTCTTTTTTTTTTTTTTTTTCAAAAAAAGATTAAATAATTAATAACTATGTTTTGCTGGAAGTTCGAGCTTTTAGGTGAAACGATCATTCTACATCGAACACGATATCTTTTGGCGGATTCTACATGTTTGATACCCACACGTCAAGTTCCGTAAAAAGTTGGGTTTTAATTTTAATAGCGAGCATGAAATGAAACACACTACACTACATTACATATGCATGTTGATGTTGTTCGATCCATGAGGCAAAAAGAGAATTGCAATGAATAAAGGCTAAATTTAAAACATGCAAAACTACACTAGCATCCTCAATTTGCTCCAAACCGGTTTTCTTTTTTTTTTTTTGTTAAATTTAAATAATTATTACTAATTATAAATGAGAACTAGTGTTAGAAAAGGAATTTCATCATTGTTAAACAATATTTCCTTTGTCCCAATTATGGTTTCAGAGACACGACAATATAGAGTATGATTATTAAATAATTAAAAATGTACTAGTAAAATTAATTATAATTAAGATAACTAATTAATTTTATAAAAAAATTATTAACTATAAAATTTAAAACATGATTAAAATATAAAATACTTTTTCAAAAATAGAAAGTGACATAATACGTGGAACAGACGAAAATAGAAAGTGTGACGTAATATGCAGGACGGATAGAGTATTATTTAACAAATTATACATATATATATATATTTATAAATTTTTTTAAATAAGGATATTTTCTTTTGGTGTTTAGTTTTACGGTGTGTTTTGATCCTTTTACAATGAAATATAGTTGTATTTCTTGATTAATAGAGAAAAAGTTCAAAGTGAGATGTGTTTGTTTTGTGTGTGTGTGTGATCTTGATTAATAAAATTATGTGTTTGTTTTGTTTTAGGTATGTATGAGAATTTGTTCATAATATAAAAAGTAATATTTTGTATGGAATTAATTTTTTGTGATTCAATACAATATATATTATTATATATTTTATTAATATTTCTTGGAATTGTGTTGGTAGAAAATGGTTGGATAAAAACAATTGTGTTCTTTTGCGGGTTTTAACACAAGCTTTTTTACTATTCAGATTTTTTTTTTCTCAAAAAATATCAAATCATATAACTATGTTTTTATATATATTATACTACAAATTTATTTTACATTCAAAACATCGTACCGCCGTCTATTTATATCACATCAAACAACTATTCAAATTAATTTTTTACTATTCATAAATCCAAACCTAAAACTCCAAACCCACAAACTAACACACCCTATAATTTGTAATTTATATATATTTATAACATAATTAAACATACACACGTATACATTTTTTATTAATCAGACTACAATATTATTATTATTATAAAAGTATAAAGCGAATAATTAATTGCCAGTGATTCAGCGAAGGAGGCTAATCGTTTCTAGAATTTATTGACACATTAATTAATTCATGTATTAAAAATTTTTGTTGATCCTTGCAAGCAAGAATATTGATAGTAAAACTCTCCTTAATTATATATATATATATATATATTATTTTAATTTCTTGTAGAATACTGCTTTCTCAAATCACTAATTATTCTGTAGCTTATTATAGCGTTACCAAAATAATGACATAATTCTTGGAAAAGGAATCCCTAAAGACAGAGAGTCGTTTCCTTTGTTGCAAAATACAGACATAATTCCATCCCCAAATAAATACCAAAAATTTTCCTTTTTTATTTTATTTATTACACGGCAGTTTCACTTTTTTAATTTTGTTAAATCAATTTAATTCACTCGTCATCAACAAGAATCTTCATATACATACATACATGTATATATATATATATAATGTAACAATAATCAAATTAAATATAATAAAATTCTTTTAAGAACATCCCCATATCCCTTATTCGTGTAATCACATTTCAATAATTATAAATCCAAGAAATTAAATCAAGAGAGAGAGAGAGAGAGAGAGAGAGATGTATATATATTTAATTTGGAAGTAGTTTCTCTGTCGATTGATTTGCTTTCTTGTTCATTCATTCGTTTTATTTATCAAAGAAGGGTTTGCATTGTGTTCTTTCATTTCATCTTAATTCTTGCACTAAATGTGACAAGAACACAAGCAAGAAAATGGGATTTGGATTAGGATTAGGGTTTCATCAAAAAATCATTTTTGCATTTCTTGTTGTGTTCTTGGGGAGTTCTAAATCAACACTGCCAATTGGGATTACAAGCAGAAGATCCAATTATTACAAATCAATCAAAATCGTCGATCCATCGGGGCATGGCAATTTCAGAACCATCCAAGAAGCCATTGATTCTGTTCCTCCATACAGCCAAGGTCCATGGAATTGTATATACATCAAACCAGGGATTTACAGGTAACCCAAAAACCCTAATCAGCCATAACCCTAAAAACCCCTAACCCTAATTAATTTATTAACCCTCTCTCTCTCTCTCTCTATATATATATATATATGTATGTATCTATAATTAGGGAACAAATAAAGATTCCTTACAACAAGCCCTTCATATACCTTAAAGGGGCAGGAAAGAAGAAGACATTTGTGGTTTGGGATGCACACGATTCCATCTCTACAAGTGCCACTTTCACTTCCGATGCACAATACACTTTTGCAAAGTCCATTACATTTGTTGTAAGCATATATAACATTTATGATCGGATCGATTTTCTTCTTCATTTTTTGGAAATTTGTTTTCTTCTTATGTGTATCAATCAAATATTATGTTGTTGTTGTTTGTCAGAATTCTTACAATAATCCAGCAGGAGATGGGAAGAAGAGGCCAATGAAGGCAGCAGTGGCAGCACTGATAAATGGCGACAAATCGGCGTTCGATCGGTGTGGGTTTTTGGGGCTTCAGGACACACTTTGGGATGCCAATGGCAGACATTATTTCACCCGTTGCACTATTCAGGGTGCCGTCGATTTCATCTTTGGAGCTGGACAGTCTATTTACCAGGTAATAATAAATATTATAATAATTAATATTAATACATTTTAATTTAATTAAATTCATATCACAGTTCATAACCAACAATTTATTGCTGCATTTACTTCAAATTAATTGTGTTCCTATCCACACCATTGAATTAAGTTAAATTAAATACTATCTTCAGTCCCCCCTAATTTTATTTTATTTTAATTTTTATGAAATTTTTGGTTTTGTTTTGATTTATAATGAGTTTTACTTGAGAAAAAAAAAAAAAACTTGAAAATTTGCTTGTATTGAATAAATAAATATTGTTGAATTTTTTTACCAGTATTAATCTATTCTTTTTTTGGACATTTAGTGTTTTTTATATATGTTGCTTCTTAAAAAAAAATTTGTGGTGGATTGAAACTATATATATATATTTTCCCTAAATTGTTATTTTACTCTATTTATAGGCAACATTATTTTTGCTTCTTTAAAATTACCAACCCATAATAAATATATATATTTATACTATGCTATAAATATGTATTTATAATTTATTTCCACATATCTCAAGTCTCAACCTCATTTTTTCTCCAATATCCTCAAATATATTTATCTTAGGTTTTGATTGTTATTATTATTATTTTTTAAAGGAAAATAGTTTACATTAAAGATTAAATAATGAAAAATAAACTGATTATAATAAAATTAAATGTTACAAAGGTAAAATTGAAAACATATTGATTGAAGCAACTAAAATTGGTAAATAGAAAATATATATATATATATAATATTAAAGATTAATTTGTATGTAATGTAAAAATAGAGTGACATTATTTTAAAAAAAAAATATTAAATTCTTGGAAATGTAAATAGTTAATTTAAGATATTATCTACTTGACTAAGAGTCTTAATTAAAGAAAAATTTTAATATTCGATTCACTAGATTTATTTTAGTGGAATGATATAAATAGTGTTGATTCTATCGAACCATTCATGAATAGAAATGATCAACATTTAACAAAATTAAACTCTATTATTATTAAGATGAATTGAAATAAAGATTTGAATGGATTTTGTTAATAATAAAGTAAAAATTGTTGATAATTGAAGTATTTATTGCAGGATTGCACCATATCAGTGACAGGTAGAGCTCTAAATGGAGGCATTGGTTTTATTACAGCACAGGCAAGATCGGGTCAGTGGGAGTCGAATGGATTCGTATTTAAAGAATGCCGAATCGTCGGGAATGGGCAGACCTATTTGGGAAGGCCTTGGAGGGACTACGCAAGAGTATTGTTTTACAACACGACCATGTCGCGCGTAGTTGTTCCTCAAGGATGGGATTCATGGCTTCTCTTTGGTCGCGAGTAAGAATTAACACAGATACATATATAAAGATCATTAAAAAACAAATTGTATAATTGCTATTCTTGAAATGTATGGATGGATGGATAAGGTGGTTATTACATATGCAGGAATAGGTTGACTTTTGCGGAGTATGGATGTCACGGGGAGGGGGCGAATACTACGCGACGAGTGCCTTGGTTAAAGACGTTGAGCAAGAGAACGTTGACGCACTTGACAAATATATCATTTATTGACGATCCAGGTTGGATGAGCATGCTCCCCCTCAAACCATTGCATTGTCGACTCAATTAAATTATATTAATTATGGATTCATTCATCCATCCATTTGATTTACTTCCATTATATATTTACATACATTGCCAAAAATGAAATTTCTTGTCATCTTTAATTGTTATGATCGTTTTTGCACTTTTTATTTTTAATCTTTATAAAAAAAAAATAAATCAATGAAATAATTATTTTAATGAATTTTTTATTCAAACTATTACATATAGTATTTTTCTTATCATCACACTCTTTTTTATCTTTATTTTAAGAATTCATTATTTCTAATAAAAACTAATTATATATTAAGATCAAACTAACAAATAAAAAAATTATGTATAATCATATTTTATAATAAAAAATGACAAATAAAGTGGAATAAACATAAATATAAGTAGGGAAGAAGATATAAAAAATAGTATTTTACTTTAAATTGTTGACATTTTAATTTAATAAAATATGCGCTATTACATGTTAATGTGTGTATTATATTTTTTAATTAATATTTACGTGAATCATTCTACCCCGAAGGTTGTTTGGTTCATGAATTTTTTTTTGTGAGATTGAGATTTATATGTCATGATATTTATTATATTTAGTATTAGACTCCCGTAAATTCGAAACCTGACTCGGACTCAATCTATTTATTTGAAATTGAGTTCAATTATTTGAGTACTGGGTCTGAGTCCGTATTATGTTCAAGATATTATAATTGGATGTGAATCGGATCTAGAATCTAAGAGCAGACCCTACCCGCGTCTAAACTCGACTTATAATATTATATTAACAATATATCAACTATAAACATATAAAAAATTAATTTATACCAATATACTAGTACTATTTTATATTATTTTTATCAATTTATATTTTATTGATCACAGCAAACACGTGTTTTGTTTCAAGCTTGAAATTATAGTTGTAAATTCAATTTTATATTTTGAAATGAGATAGTTTATTAATAATTGAGTGACCATATTGGTATAGAATTAAGACTAAATTTATCGTATTTTGTACAAAAACAATTTTTCAATAAATAAGTTAAATATTATTTTATTTTGTAAATATTAAATAATATATAATATAAATAAATATATATAAAAAGTTTAAATTTATACAAATATATTTATTCATCTAGAATTTTTAAAAATAAAATATTATAAAATATTCACATTTTTTAAAAATTTTGAAAAATATTTAGCCAAAAAAAATGGGCTCGGTTTGTTTCTTTAACCTCAAACTCCAAATTTTTATTATTTAGACTATGTATTTTTTGAAAAAAATACATTTAAATTTTTCTCATAAAACATCTCTATCGTATCATTATTTTAATACCAAACTCAAACCAAAATTTTTCAAATTACATAAAAAAGAAACATATAGGGTGTGTTTACTTGTAAGGTTTTATACCCTGATTTTACTATTTCAATTTTTTTTTTTTTTTTCCAAAAATATCAAATCAAACATCCAATTTTTATTTATGTTATTATACTAAAATTTAATTTTATATTCAAAGTCAACACATATTTATATCACATCAAACAACTATTTCAATCCAAAATTTTACTATTTAAAATCAAAACCCAAAACTAAAAGGTTACGAGCAACCACACAAGTAGATTTTGGACAAGAAATAAACAAGTTGAATTAAAAACTAAACAAACACAGGTCAAAGCTTAAGCAGGAAATTCAGAGCGAGTGGGACCCGCCACGTTCATTCTACAACATTGACGGATGAATGGATGATTTGCAAAGTCGTTGTTTGTTTGGACGTTTTTGTGTTTTAATAATAATAATAATAATAATAATAATGGTAATATAAAATTTTAATATATCATATATTTTTCGTCTTGACACATTTTTATTTTTTTCATCCATAATAATTAATATTTTTCTAATAAAATTTACTAAATAAAAAATATTAAATATAAATCAATGCTAACTCAAAATTCATTTATTTTTATATTTTTTCTTAAAAAAAATATTTTTACTTAAATTTAAAACTCTACATTTCTTAAAAAATTTAAGCACAACACATACCAAATAGATAATCAAAATAAAATATAAACACAAGCATAATAAAAATATAAAATATGAATATACAACACAATGCAATTTATAGTTGATTTCATATTTAGGTGCTTTAATTTATCTATTTAAAAATAGTAGTGTAAAATAATTTTGTCTTTATTTTTTTAGTGTAAAAATAATAGTAAAATGATAAAATAAAAATATTTATTAAAAATATCAAATATTTTTAAAATAATTATTTTGCAATTGAATATTGAAAATAAAAATAGATATACTTATGAGTAAATAAAGAAAGTATTTAATTTATTAATTTTAATTAAAAATACTACTAATAATAAATGTTTCAAACCCAGGTTAAATGCATTAAAATTATTAATTTTAATTAAAAGTACTACTACTACTAATAATAAATGATTCGACAGCGGTCAAAGCACATCCAATCTTTTTGACAAATTTACAGAAACACAAACAAACAGGTTCGTTCGTATGTTGTTAATTACATTGATTACAGACATCAGTATTCTGTTGTACCTGTGAAAGGGAAGCTCTACAGACTTCTTCCATCGCATTCGCCTCCACCTCCACCTCCAAGAGGCGGTTATTTCTTCCACCTGTGCTGTGGCCTTGAAAAAGCTTCAGCCTCATCGCTTCCATGTGAAACTCGGTAATGTTTTTACTTTCCAATCCTTTTCATTTTCTTTTTTCTGCACAGATTATTGACTTTAATCCAATCAATTTTGTTGTTTTCTCTTTTTTTCCGTCCCTCCCATCAATAATCGAGTTCATTTTCAACTTTCTGTATGTTGACGCACTTTTCGTGGTGGGTTTCAGCTGTTTCGATTTGTTAGTGGTGATATTTTGGGGAATTTCTTCGATACGAAGCTCCAAGTGGTTGTTTCTGAAGGTTCGATTGCGATTGCGGAGAGATTGCCATCACTAGGGCATGCTTCGGTATGCATTTTTTTGTTTCGGTAAATGTCGTTATCACTTTGTTTCGATGCATAGCTGCTTTATTTATTGAAGCTTTTGTGTCAAAAGTTAGGCGCGCCGGCATCGAATTCGATCAGCTGATAATGTAGTTGTTAGTGATCTGTTGAAATTTGTGAAATTATTTCTTGTGTGTTGAATTTGTTTGGTTTTTGAGATGTTCTTCTGTTGCTGTTGTGGATTCTTAGTAAGATCGAGGTTTTTTTAAGTACTGACCGTCTGAAATTGCTGCAATGTTGGTGCTGCTTGAAGGATTCATCTGCATTTTCTTCCAATTTTTACACTCTATATGCCTAAACATGTCAATTTTGTCTCATGTTTGTGAATTGAATGCAGTGATTGTCATCATACACTATTCGATTCCATCTCAGCTTCATTTCAGTTTTCTTGCTATGCTTGTTGCCTTTTCATCTTTAGTCGACCAACTGATGCCTATGAACATGGATTGTCTGGTGTTCCAACTTCTGATCGGAAAGATAAAGAAACGATAGTGTTTCACAAGTGAACTTTGTACAATTAGACTCTCGACTACCAATGGTTTTTCTTAGTTTTTGTTTAGATATATTACCAAATTTAACTAATGGTTTTTATTGTTTTGTTTACATATACAGCCAAATTTAATTAATGGTTTTTCTTCTTTTGTTTTGTTTCGATATGTAACCAAATTTAACTAATGGTTTCCTATATACGATTTTTCCAGGTTGTGTAGAAGCAAGACTTCAGAGTAATCTCAGTTATTAGCTTTGCATCTCTTTTAATGCACGCAACGGTAACTGGAAGCCCCCGGTACTCTTGTCCAGCCATTAATGCCTTCTTCTAGGTGGATTCTTCTACGATGGAAATCACTAGTATCGACTCAGGTAATGGTGCAGAAAATGAAGAAACCACCACACCATATTACGAGAGCTATGTATTATCCAAAGGAAAAACCATGGTGTGGCGAAGATGCAGAAGAAAGTTTGGGCCAGGGGTGAATCTGATAACAAATACTGGGAGTTCGTCAATGGTGAGAATAACCAGCCGGGAATTATACCTCCTAAACATGCATGTCTTATTCAACGCCATTCCAAAGCATATTACAACTATGGAAGAAAAGTACGCTCTACGTTGCTTCGAGTCGATACGAAAGTGTGCATTGAGGTCAGCAGCTAGGAATTTCGACACAAAAGTGGGCGCGAATATGTTATCCGAGGCGAGTAATTTTGCAGCAATCGACAATTTGAGCTCGAATAGTATGGGTACATTAGCTATTGAAAGTCCATCAGGTGTTGGTAGCCATGTAGCTGCAAACTCTTCCGGTGATTGGAATATTGGAACTGTTTCCGGCAGCCCGAGTATGATTAACATCTTGAAGAGCCCGCTGCTTCAAAAGTTTGGTTCTGTTGATGTAAATGTGATTTCTGGACAAACCGATTTACGACAGAAGGAAGTGAGCATTCTTGATAATACATACTTGCCCCGACCCATGCATAGAAAGGATGCTTCGATATCAACCACTACCTCAACTTCATCTGATGAGTCGTCGTCTCCTGCATACAGTGCCCTGTTTCAAGGAATGCTTCAGTGTGTGTGGAAGGATCGACTTCCCTACCACATCTTCACCATGGATGATAAACGGGAAGTCTATGTGGCAACTGCAGAGACTTCAAGTCGTATAAAATCTTCTGATTTCATATACACCTTCCGATTCAAAAGAGATGCCGAGAAGGAATGTGATAACAATCTCCACGAGCTCGATCTTGAAATCGTTGCCAAAATGCAAGTTTCTACTTCCATCACACTATCTTCGAGTGAGTCTGAGGTATGGGAGACTCAGTTTGTTCTATCTGTTTCGAGCCATTCTGGGGAGACACAGTACTCAGACAATTCGATTGGGGCGAAGAACAAGAGATTGGCAAGGAAAGTGAAGAATGCTTTCCGGTCGAGCCATTTTACCAAGCAGAGATCCCGATCAGGACTCCTGGGATCATCAAGCTTTGTTTTCAAAGATACGTGTGTAGCAGATAGTGACGCCCGGAATTTTGAGTTGGCCACCATTGTTGTTAAGGACACGTACCGAAATTACAAGAAAGCTGAACTTGGAGGTTGGGGATTGAAGTTTCTTAAAAAGTCGAGAAACAACCCATCCTTGGATACCTTCCAAAGCAGCGAAGAATGCACCACAGTGATAATACCGGCAGGCATCCATGGTGGACCGAATCCGTCTAGCCTTACAGAAAGGTGGATATCGGGTGGACATTGCGACTGTGGGGGATGGGATCTTGGCTGCCCCGTAAGGATTCTTAATGCCACGTCGAACACAGAAGATTATTCATTTTCTTCCAATATCGGCAAGACCAAAACAGTGGATATCTTCTTAGAGGTTCTCTCTCCTCCACCCCTCTCTCTCATGCACACACAAACATACAATATATATTAAATGCTCATATCACTTAACACGGTATCAGAATGGAGGGTCCCTTGTTCGCGTTTCACTGCCCTTGCTCGTAAAAAAATTGTCCACGTGTTAGATTCGTATGTGGCACAAATTCACACTTTTAGATGAGATTCTCATACACGCTTTTAGATGAACTGGTGATTCAATATGGTATTAGAGATATGCATCATTAACTACTGTATAGTCTATCAATACGCTCTTTACATTTAAGGTGAATTTACGCGACATACAAATCTTGCACGTGGACGATGACGAGGGGCGGTGGGAGTCGAAAACAGAAAGTTATGACTATGATACCATGTTTAATAACCATGTTTTAGGTGATATGGCCATTTAAGCTTTTAGGGGAGATTGCCATTTAACAATACTCGAAGAAATTTATTCTAGTTTGACATTGAAGGGTGGTTTGGGTTTATGAAATGATGACAGGGTTCGAAGCACAGCTTAGCTCCGGCGATGAAGATGGTGAGTATCCGTGAAGGTCTGTATTATATTCGTTTTCAGCCAACTCTATCGGCGCTGCAGTCGTTTGCTGTTGCTGTTGCAATTATTCATTCTCGAACTCAAATTGGTCCCTCCAACAAGAATGGAGGGCGTAGATGGTAATGACTGACTCAGAAACACAATCCATCCATTATTTTACTGGATTTTGCACTTTGGAGGTTAGTCTAGTGTTTGAATTTTGAACTCAAACTATTTATTTGAGGTTGGTTAAGATTGGATATAATTAGGTTATCTGTGGGAATTTAATTTGGTTTTGGATGTTTTAACATGTGATATTAATGCTGATTTGAGGAACTTCCGTGAGTGGTGTTATGATATTTGCAATGGTTGCAGATAGTTTTTGTGCATTTTATAATCTGTTATGATTTAATTTAAGTAGGTTGATAACTTATAGTAATATGTATCAGATCTGATTTGTGGGTGCTAATATTGTGTTTGGTTTATATTTCGTCTTTTGGGATGGTTGCTATGCAGCTATGTAAAACACAACACATTCAATTTATAATAATAAATGATAGTATGTGTTATATGGTTAACTCATGGGTTGTATTATATGCTGTCAACACTACAATTCAGCACACAGTGACAATAAATAGCCTTTTTGGATAGTGGGGTCCTAAAAAAGAAATTACTCCCATCTCAAAAAAATAAAAAATAAGTTTTCATTTTTGGTTATTTTTTATGGTGAAAATAAGAAGATATTAGAAAAAAAAAAAAATAAAAGAGAACAATTTTTAAGAGACAAAGTTGTATGAGATTTAATTTTGACCTTCTGATGATCTGTCAGTTCAGTTCAATGGTGAAATGTTCTCATAATTATTTTTGTTATAAATTATTATTATTTTGCACAAATTCGTCATCCGAAACATTTTGAATTTTTTAACTATGCAATTTGACAGTTATTCTTAAAAATATATCAATTTTTATATTGAAAATGTTACCTTATTATTTCTTTTCAATTAAGAATTTAAATTGACCTGATTGTAAAAAACCTTGGATTTAAAACTTTCTTTCCAATCGGATCCTCAAGTAATATTGCATTTTGTTTATGTTTAAAGTAGTTCAACCAAACTTCTATGGAGCATGCATGTATCTCCTCAATACAATGCACTTTTTGAAATTTGATACTCACATCTTCAGTTCTTAACTTTTTTTTTTTCCTTTTTTGTCACAGCTCAGCTTAAGCTTAGCATACTTTACATATACATATTCAGAGTTATTGATGGTTAATCAGTAATATTTATAGAAACATACAATGACATGACAACAAATACTCAACTATCCTTGTAAGATCTAGACCACTAAATTCCCCACATATATAGACGACTGATATTATTACATTGTTTTGATGATGACAATGTTCGCATCCTAACCAATCTTAATAAATTAGATGAAATTTCTTATATAACTAACCATTATATGCTTATTTTATATTACATGTTTCTAAAAATTTTAATATTACTATTTATTCATATAAATAAATAATATTGGCATTTTGTTTTCTTAATCTTATTTTTTTAAAAAAAATAAAATTAAAGCATATGTTTATTTTTTAAAAAATTATAATTTTTAATAGTTGTTATAGAAATAATATTTTATACAAATTTTATATTAATATAATATATATTTTTTTATGTAATAAGTAAAATAAAATATAGAATATTTTATATGTTTTTAATAAAATAGAGAAATATGTGATATAATTTAACCTAATTTATTTTAATGAAATTAGCATCAATCTCATTCACGCATTTTATTAAATAGTATTTATTTCCTCAGCAGGAGAGGAAAGGAGAGTCCCGAGTCCTAACCTAAAGCGTAAATAGACAATAAAATAGGGGCATTATAGTCAAACCCCAAATCTGCCTGCAATTCGTTCGTATTGTGGTACGCACGCTGCCTGCAATGCATTGTTGACGTATCGTATCGTATCGTCGTACCGACCTACATGATACCAGCGCCATATCCACAGGGAGAAGAATCGCCGGACAACGGAAATCGACGGGGAAAACATTCATCGCGTCGTGGAGGAGGAGAGGAATCCATTCATTCATTTTCCGTTCCATATGGAAAGGGAAGTGCCTGCCGAGGAGGAGGAAATTCACATTCATGGTTTTCTTCCTCTCCTCTTATAATCTCACTGTACGTTCACACGGATTCATTGATTGATTCTTTCTTTGTAAAAGCAAATATTTTATCGAGGATATGCCCGCAAGTGCGTCCCGGCGTTCTGACATTGTTGTTTCCGCGTATTTTCAGAAATTCCTGCAGAGGTCACGGGAGGCAGGGTCGGAGAAGAGAGTGAGCGAATTTCTGACGAGTAGCGGCGGATGTATCGTTGAATGCTAGGAAATAAATGGTGTGGATGCGCGTAGATATGCGTGACCGGAGAGCAGTTACCATTTGAAGACGCTTCTTGAAGTCTGAGTGCTTCCAATCTCGGAAATGGTATTTAATGTATATAAGTATTTGCGTTCGTCTTCTTGTTTTTTGGGGGGAGAATTGGAACGGTGAGCTTATCGTCACAATCTGGAAGTAGATTTCCTGCTAACGTTGAGCGAAATGCATTTTTTTTGTTTAAACTTTATTTTGTGTATGAATTTCTGTGAGTTTTTTCTCCAGTCGAAGTTTTCTACGTTGGATGTTAGAATAATATATGAATCTGGCAATTTTCCAATTTTAAACATTTTAATTTATCTTTTTTGTTTCTTTAGTGCAACAAGCTGAGAAGAGCAGAATTATAAGATGTTGGTTTAACTCCGGTTGTAGATAAATAAATAAATGATGTGTAGCTTTTAGGTGAGGTGGTCATTTACATCGTCTAACATAGTATCGGAGTCATTGTACCCGTATTAAATATTGATCTTATTTGGATTTTCAAGATTATCATCTTGTGGGGAGTGTTGAGTATCCCGCATTGGATTTGATGTTGGGACTCTCTACCTTATAAGGGGGTGAAGGCTATCCCACTTACAACCAATTAGTTTTAAGTTGGAACTCGGGATTCCTTTTTAACATAGTATCAGGGATTTAGATCTCGAGTTCGAGTCTCACCGTTCCCCATTTGTCGTCGTCTACGTCATTTACATCGTCTAGTATGTAATAAAATTTAAGTGCTGTAACACATAGAGGGGGTTCTGATTCATTAGCTTAATAGTATTTCTCACAAGCTCTGCAGCTTTAGGCACACAGTAATTTATCTGCTGGCAGTGATTTTGTGAATCTCAAGCTGCATTAAGCTGCTTGTTATGGTACCCTTTGGAAGTAGTACTGTTGTATTGATTTGTGAAAGTGATTTGACTAGGGATAGAACAATAGACTCTAGAAGCGGTCGTTCTTATTATTTATGAAGAAGTGACAAGTATTGAGTGGAGCATATACTGCAAGAAGGATGATACATATATTTAAAAAGAAAATTGTGTGGTTTGTAAAGATGTTTCCTCTATTTTGCTAAATCCAGGTTGACATTTGAGGGGTTTCCTTTCCTTTATATCTGTCTGCATTAGCAAAGTGGTTTCATTTGCCTACAATGTGGAGTGTTACATGTTAAAGAAACGGGATTTTGTTGTATAAAGCTTTTTGGTGTTTCCTAGCGAGTGAATGCACTAAGTACATCTCAAGGGTGTGTAAACTCATGTGTGACATTATTCATAAATATTTAATTATAAGATAAGAGAATGCCTTGAAAGTTTTAAGCAATATGAACTAGGTTATTGAGGATGATATAAGGTTTGGTACTAAATTAAAAGAAACGACCCTGCTTTTATATCAATTTTGTGTCCTCAGAAGTTTTAAGGTTAGTCTAGTAAAACTAAAAAGATTTACTAAAAAAATATAATAATAATAATAATAATAATAATAATAATAATAATAATAATAATGAATTGATTTGAGTCTATAAGCATTAGTAAGTTCTAAAATTGCCACCAGATTTGTTCACAGAAAATATTATAGTGTTGGCCTTGCCACAAGTTGAAGAATTGAAGGGTAAGATAAGCAATTGTTATTCACCTTTTTCCTACAGTCAAACAGGTGACAGGACTCATGTTACATATATTGTTCACTTTTGTTACCTTGTGTATTTTTATTTGCCATTGTTTTTGAAATATAACTATTACATTATACCTTTACTCTGGACAGCTGTACTATGCACTAGTGGTTTAAACGAAACCCAATATGTAAATTATGTGTTAATATTCTTCCTAAAAGTTGATTAATATTAATCCCGCTTGTCACTCAGGCTGCTTCAGCCAGTATATCCGTTGGATCTCATGTGTGGGTGGAGGATCCTGAGGTAGCCTGGATAGATGGAGAGGTTGTGGAACTTAATGGTAAAGAGATCAAGGTGTCTTGCACCTCAGGGAAGAAGGTAAGAAATCCTTCATGGATGTTATTCCCATACGTAATTTGTTTATTATCAATATAATTCATACATGCTTCATCATTTTCTCTTAGTTGTTTTCTTTCATACTATACATATATGTGTTTATATAGAGTAATCCAATTATGAATGTTCTAAGGACAAACCAACTTCAAGTTGGGAGTTGTTTATTTGATTTTAGTTGCGCTGAATTGGCAAGTAGAATATACATTCATCTTAGTTCTCCAATTGGAAATTGGCTTAGAATGTAAATGAGGAAATTAAAGCTTGTTATTCATTATCTTCAATAAATGTTTAGTCTATATGCATGGTGAGATTACAATGGTATGATTGGAAATACAAAGAAATTCCATAAAATAAAGTTATACTAGAATTCTAACATTTGTCACAACTCCAATAATTAAAGAAGGGACAACATAAAGGAAAGCCTGAAATACAGTTAATATTTCCTATCAAATAAACTCTTCAACAGCAAATGGCTTTCACTTAGCTACAATTGTCAACATGAATATCTTAGCCACAATTTCTTTCTTGATCAGATTGGTGGAAGATCTCTTCACTATTTTTCACCCAAAAATGTTGGAAATAATGGCCAGTGTTTTTCATTCACTTTGATGAAGGGACAATATTTACAGCATGACTAAAAGTAATGCGACTGGAAATATAATCATATTCCACAGAATTATATCTGAATCCTATGATTATGGAAATTCAAAAGAATTGATTAAAATAATTAAATGAAGGAAAGCCTTGACGTTTAACTACATATTTATTCTAAATACTCTTCAGCAGTAAAGCTGTAATTTTCAACACTAATATCAACATAGCAACAATTGTCATCATAATCATTTTCAGTTGAAAATTACAGTCATTTTCGACATTGAATTCCTCTCATGGCTCCCTAGGTGAAAGAAATACCAAATAGATTTGTGATATTTAAGATCTTCCAAAACAATAGTTGATATTTATAGCAGCCTCAAATAGTTGATATTAGCATGCTGAAGTCACACGCTTACTCTACCTGCTGCAAAGTCCTGCTTCCCATTTTGATCCCAATTTGATTTTTTCCAGCATGGAGAAACCAATGCTGTAATTTCACGCCAATTTCACCAAAATAGGTGAATGCAATTAGTCAACCTTGTTATTATCTGCCTTGACTCCAGAATTTAACCCTATATTGAATGCTGAAATTTCCTTTTCATGGAAAGTTGCCAGCTTAACTGCTAATCTGTGTAATTGTTCTGGTTGATAACTTTGACACTGAAGTGTGCTGCTGTACATCTCTGAACATGAATAGATACTTGTAATAGTGTGGGGCACTCCAATTTCCCTCTCATTTCAGGACCCTTCTTGTTTTAACTTTTTCATCAATATGATTGTTGGAATGGGACCTTGACCATCAGAGGAAGTCTTGTAGTATGGTTGAACTAATATTACAGATATGCTCTTGTTTTGATTCATCTCTGGCTCTTATTATTTTTCTGTTTTTTTTCGTTGTTTTTTAAATCTTGTAGGCTGTCGCTAATTTAGACAATGTACATCCCAAAGATCCTGATTTTCCTTCTTGTGGCGTGGATGATATGACAAGGCTTTCTTATCTTCACGAGCCAGGCGTGCTGTGCAATTTGAGATGTAGATTTGATATGAATGAAATATATGTGAGTGGCATTTTGTACTTTTATTTTTCCCAATTCTCTTACAATCAATGATTTCTCCAACTATATAAGTCACAAGCATAACCTTGTGCTACTGTTTTACTTTACTTTAATTTATAATATATTTTTTTCAATCTTTTCATTCTGGGGGAGGCCTCTTCTTTGTGGTTTACTTTGTGTCCTCACATGAATATTGTGACCAATGAGGGTGACAGGGACTACTAAGCCTACCTTTCCACTCTTATGTTATGAGTATTTTCATCGTTATTAGTCTTGCAGCAGGGGTTATGTTTACAGTTAGGTTCAGCTACAACTTTTCTACTATATAATATCACGAGTCTGATAAAAAGATTGTTTCTGCAGACATATACTGGTAGCATTTTGATAGCAGTAAACCCCTTTCAACGGTTGCCTCATCTTTATAATAATCATATGATGGAACAGTACAAAGGAGTACCACTTGGAGAGCTGAGCCCACACCCTTTTGCTATTGCCGATGGTGCTTACAGGCAATAAACCATGTTCTTTCCGGATATTTAACCACTGCTAATTGCCTATTTTGTTTGTTTGTTTTTATCTTTATTTTTATTTTTTGGATTTTGTTGAATTATTATTACCATTATTATTATTATTATTTTTCATGTTCCTTACAACAAATTGCAGGCAGATGGTTAATGAGGGAATAAGCCAAGCAATTTTGGTGAGTGGAGAAAGTGGAGCTGGTAAAACTGAAAGCACCAAAATGCTGATGCGTTATCTAGCTTATATGGGTGGCAGAGTTGGTACAAAAGAGGGACGGACAGTGGAGCAGAAAGTGCTTGAGGTTGGTATCTGATTCGACTCTCCCTTTTTGTTCTGTGTGTTGCCGTAAGCTTTTGTTATGATACCTTAACAACTTTCCCCACCATTCCGAATGAACAAAAACAAACACAGGAAAGTTGGTCATCTAATTTTCTTCTTTCTTATTCTTGCAGTCAAACCCTGTTCTGGAAGCATTTGGCAATGCAAAGACTTTGAGGAACAATAATTCAAGGTCAAATGATATTTCATTCAAACTATGCTGTGTATTGTAGTTATAATTTATATGCTACTCTGATTTTAAAATAAAATGAGAATCTATTTCTTTCGAATGGCAGCCGCTTCGGCAAATTTGTTGAACTTCAGTTTAACGGCATGGGTAAAATTTCGGGTGCTGCAATAAGAACTTATTTGCTGGAAAGATCACGTGTATGCCAGGTGTCTGATCCAGAAAGAAATTACCATTGTTTTTATATGCTTTGTGCTGCCCCACCGGAGGTAATACAATTTTTTTATTTTTTTTATTTCTTATTTTTGTCCATAAGTACTTATGATTTTTATCAATTGCCAGTTCAATTTAGTTTCAGTACCATACCATATGGATAAAAGCACAGTGCTGAAGTATTGCAGGCTGTGTAATGCAATTCCTAGCCTAGTTAAAAACATTTATTAAATCTTCCTGAAGAAAAATTGACTTTTGGTTTCAGATGGTCCATCTTAGTTGGGACCTTACAGAAGTAAAGACTTATGTGGGAAGAGATTTGTAAAATTTTAGTATGAACATGAATCTATAGATTTAGTAGCGAATACTGGAAATCATTCATTCATTCATTATTTATTTATTTTATTGCACCAACTATAATTGAACTTTACACTCCTTTTTTTACTTGGCTTGGAATTTGAATCTTGTTAGAATTCAAATTAATATGATTCTTGCATCTAGTATAAAATTAATAGGCTCCTCTGCCTGGTTGTGAAATATTTTAATCAAATCTATATTATATTGAGTTACTTTGATGCACTTAAGTCTAGCATATTTGTGAATGTTAGATTTATATCTATATATGTGCTGCTTCTAGAACTCGGCAATTTCTTGATCCCGGAGATGCGTCAAACGGCGTTGCTATTTGTCTCCGCCACCGTGTGTGTGACACTCGCACTGCTATTGCCACCGCACGTGTGACCCACAGGCCACAGGTGCCACCGGCTGTCCGTTTATTTTCCGCTTCGGAAGCTTCTCCAATGTTGTTTCAATGACTGATTCTTTAAGTCGATTGGTACTAGACACTTCCGTTTACAGTGTACATATTGTCATAAGATGGGTTATAGTCAAGGATGTTGCTATAGTCTTAATGGATGCTTTTATCATACAACAAATGCAATTCCTACTAGCGTGAATGAGTGTTCGTCACCTAATTCTATTACCATAAGTCATGCCAATTATGATGCATTATTTCGGTTCCAAGCATACCATCAATCATTCTCCAATAATACTAACACCTCATTTGATGCCCAAACTTCTCTTGTCGGTATTTCTCAATCTACATTGGGTTTATGGGTTTAGATTCTGGTGCAACTTATCATGTGTCTAGCAATCCCTCTTTGTTTTTCACTCTTTCATCCGGGCTATTGGTAGGCTTTGTTCATCACTTAATTTACCTCTTTAAGTTTGTCCTTTATGTCCCACAAAGTTTATTTACTCTTATATTTGTTAGTCAACTTACTAGAGCTGGCAATGGTTCGATTCGTGTCGGGTTGAATACTTTAAACGGGTTAAATTACTCAACCTTAACCCAACCCGTTTATTATCGTGTCGGGTTCGGGTTGACTCGTATACATAATTAAGTCAAATTTCTTGATTCAAATTAAATAATTTTTTGTTATGTTGTCGTGTTATGTTAGTTTTTATTGGTTTGAGCATAAATTAGGTTGAATTATTTAAAATTGAACTTAGTTTAAATTAATTTATGAGAAAATTAATAAATTATGATTATTTTACATATATAATAAATATATTAATCAATATTAATATATTATAATCGGGTTGTCGTGTCGGGTTCGAGTTGAGAGTCTCAACCCTAACTCGATCCGTTTATTATCGTGTCGGGTTCCTGTCAACCCGTATACATAATCGGATTGAAATCTTTGACCCAAACCCAATTTTCGTGTCGGGTCATGTCGGATTATCGTGTCGGGTCAGTTTTTGCCAGCTTTACAACTTACTGAGATTTAGATTGACTAGTAGGTCATTTGTTATTTAGGAATGCAGAATGGGACAGACGAATGGTGTCGGACGTGAGTCTCATAGGATATATTACCTGAATAAGTCTCATTGCCTATCTCCTACTCTTGCTACTGCGTTTATTAAGTCCCCTAAATTGTTCCATCAATGATAAGGTCATCCGAATTTGTCAAAATGAAAGCGGTCTTTTCCTACTGTTTTCATTACCATACGAGTTATGCGAGCTTGGAAAGTAGTCTCGACGTCTCATATTAGTTTCCCAAAGCGCGTCAATAATAGAGCATCTAAACCCTTCCCATTAGTGCATATTTGGGATCCCGGTCGTTTATTCCAACTTTGAGTTTTTAACATTTTGTTACTTCTATTAATGATCTTAGTCGGTATACTTGGGCTAATTTAATGAAAAATCGGTTTGAATTACTTACTATATTAAAAAAAATTTGCACTGTAATTCATATATAATATTATGCCTCTATTAAGGTTTTAAGGAGTGATAATGGTAAAGAATATTTTTCTCAGTCATTTACTGAGTTCATGTCTTCTTTTGGGATTATTCATTAGTCGTCTTGCCTTTCTCCCCCAACAAAATAGAGTGGTTAAACACAAGAATCGACATTTAGTATAAATAGCTTGTACCATTATTATACATTATAATGTTCCGTTTAAATTCCAGGCTAATGCTATCCTTTCATCATGTTTTCTTATTAATTGTCTTTTGTCTACTGCCCTAAGTCATAAGATTCCCATTGCATGTCTTCAGTCTAATGTGTCTTTATATCCTTTACCTCTCTATGTGTTTGGTTGTACGTATTTTGTTCATGACCGCTCTTCTAGGTTGGACAAATTACATCCTCGGTCATCAATGTTATTTTCTTTTCACCAGTCGATACTACTTTAATGCAAAAGTCATATTCTTTGAGTTATCACCATACTTTACAATATCACCTTACTCATTTTCTCAGTCTCAATACGTATGACTTCTGTTCCAGTAGCCCTATTTCCCAGGCCTCCACTTTAGGTTTACAGTCGCATACATAGCAATGTCAGAATATACCTCATTGATGACTCAGTTCCGGTTCCGTAACCTTCCTCGGTTGCGCTCCACCATCACCTGTTGTCCTAGGTCAAGATACTCAGTCCACTCGTAATCCTAATCTTGTTTACCATTTTTTTAGTTATCAATGTTTATCTCTTTTCATATGTAGTATTCTATCTACTTTAGCTTTTGTCTTTGTTCCCGTCCTTAGCGTGAGGCTTTGGGTCATTCAGAGTGGTGTCAAGCCATGGTGGAGGAGGGCTTTCTATGCTAAAAATACTTGAGAGCTAGTTCCGTTGCAGCGAGGAAAGGCATTCGTAGCTTTATAATGGGTTTATGCAGTCAAGGTTGGCCCTAATGGTTGTATTGGTCGTCTCAAAGCTCGTCTTGTTACAAAGGGCTTTACTTAAGCGTATGGAGAGGACTATACAAAAACTGTCTTTTGTTGCCAAAGATGTCTTATGTTCACCTTTTTCTTTCTATGGCGGCTATGTGTGGTTTACCCGTTCATCAATTGGACATTAAAGTAGTTTTCTTTCATGGTGAGATTAAAAAAAAATGTATACAGAGCAACCACCTTGTTTTGTTGCTCAGGGGGAGACCTGTCTTGTATATCGACTTCGTCGCTCACTTTATGGCTTAAAACAATTTCACGGGCATGGTTTGGATGTTTCAGACTTGTTATTCAAGAATTTGATTTGAAACAATGCTTATATGATCATATTGTATTCTCTAAGCATACTCAAAAGGGACGAAGTGTTTACTTGCTTGCTTATATATTGATGGTACTGTTATCTGACATAAATGACATCTGACAGTTGAAGGAGCACCTGCACAACCATTTTTAGACCAAGGATTTTGGACCATTACTGTACTTCTTAGGAATTGAGATTGTCCAATCCATGAATGGTGTTATCCTATCTCAAAAAGTATGTTCTTGATAGGGTAGAAGTACAAGAATGAGTGAATGTAAGACTGTAAATTCTTCTATAGATCCAAATACGAAGTGTTTTCCTGGGCAAAGGCTCTTAACTGATGCATGGCGATATACATGGTTAGTTGGAAAACTCAGTTAACTATCACTCGACCAGATATATCATATGTAGTAAGTGTGGTGAGTCAGTTCCTTCAGTCTTCAGGTGACTCTCATTGGAAGACACTTATGTGCATGTTGTGGTATATTAAAAGATCTCTTGGAAAAGACTTACTTTATACAAATCACGGTCATCTAAAATTGTTGTATATTGAAATGTTGATTGGACAGGATCTCTAGTTGATAGACGTTGTACCTCTGATTATTGTGTGTTTGTTGGAGGTAATTTGATATTTTAGAAGAGTATGAAGCAAGATGTGGTCGCATGTTCTAGTCCTGCAGCTGAGTATCGTGTTGTGGCCTAGCTACATGTGAGCTTCTTTAGGTTAAACAATTATTTTGTGAAGCAAGTTCTATGCAGTAACAAAGATGAAGTTGTGGTGTGATAACCATGACCGAACAAAACATATTGGAATAGATTGTCAATTCATCATAGAAAAAGTTTTGCTTTGGATCTATAGATACTAAATATCTTCAGATGATCTACTTATAGACATATTAATAAAAGCTCTAAAAGGTGCTAAAAATCCGAGTTCATCAACAACAAATTTGGATCGTATGACTTGTACGTTCTAGCTTGAGCGGGAGTGGTAGATTTATATCTATATCTATAATTTAGATGAATATGATTTATTTAGAATTTTTTATATTAAATATTATATTTTGTTTGTTAGATAAATTTTCTATCCTACTTTATATATATATATATATATGCATATTTCCCTTTCTTTTTCTTATGGAATAAAAATTAAATAATTTTCTCCCTATTTCTCTAGAGTGAATGTAAAAGCATTATAAAAGTTGGTGGGGTGTTGTTTTCTTGATATTATATAATGACATATTGCATGAAAAATATTCAACAATGCGTGATCAATTTGCACCTCCTCTATGGTTTTCTCTCTATGAAAATTTTCTAATCACGCCCAGTCCCACTAAGGCTACTCAAAAGTCCATGTATAAGAACCATCTTCAATAATGTAATGTATTAGAAAACTACTTATTTTTTGCTATAGATTCACCCGGCATCTTTAGGTTAATAATAAAAGGTAATATTTTAGGTAGCCTTTTGTTTTTGTCACTAATATATGATTTTAATCACCCTGCACTAAGTCTCTTACCTCCACATTTCTTCATGCTTCTTATCAGGAAATAAATAAATACAAGTTGGGGAATCCAAGGACATTTCGTTATTTAAATCAATCAAATTGCTATGAATTGGATGGGGTTGATGAAACTAAAGAGTACCTTTCAACAAGGAAGGCCATGGATATTGTTGGGATTGGTTCTGATGAGCAGGTATTGACATTTTTGATTTTGTCCAACTTAAGTTCATCATGTATGATTGTTGTGAGATTTACATTTGCAGGATGCAATTTTCCGAGTTGTGGCTGCAATCCTTCATTTGGGTAATATTGAGTTTGCAGGGGAAGGTGATACTTCACAACCCAAGGATGATCAGTCTCGGTCTCATCTGAAAACAGCATCTGAACTTCTAATGTAAGGTTTTTCTCTCTTTTGTTTTTGGACGAATATTATTTATTTCAAATTCTATAAAACATTGTTCTTTTTAGAACAAAAAACAGTACATTTATATATTGATGTTGTTTGATGCTGCTGTGCTTGCACATTTCTATTTCAATTTTTTTTTTATTCACATATTTTTCCGGTGTAACTAAAAGCTTTGCATCTATACTTATCCATTAGGTGCAATGAAACATCTTTAGAGGATTCTTTGTGCAAACGCGTCATGGTTACTCGTGATGAGACCATAACAAAAAGCCTTAATCCAGAAGATGCAACATTGAGCAGAGATGCTTTGGCTAAAATTATCTATTCTAGATTGTTTGATTGGTATGTGGCATAATAGTATTAATCGCATGATATTATTCTCTGCCTTTACTAATCTGGTTGCCTTCTGAGCCAGGATTGTTAACAAAATCAACAGTTCCATTGGACAAGACCCTGATTCAAAGTTCATAATTGGGGTGCTGGATATTTATGGATTTGAGTCTTTCAAGACAAACAGGTGCTTAACCGGTATGCTTAATCTTCTTCATTTTCAAATGTTAATGTCATATAGAACACATTGTTTTGGATTTTTCTACCATAGCAGTCAATTTCCTTACCTTTTAATCTCAAGACTTGCAGTATTGCTTATGGTATCTCTAGGATGTTCAGCCTATGATATTTACTTGAATTAGTCTGTTCTTTGGTTTTTTTTCATATGATTGATTGCGATTATGTTTCTTGAATACGTAGTAGATTAGGCCATTCTTAGTATGTAATCAATCTAATTGAGAATATAGAATATCAATTTACATAATTTACCCTCTAGGTCACCTGCCACACATGGTTCGTCTAGTGTGACTTGCCTTGTCGGGCTTAGTTTGCAGGATATTAAGTTCGGCCGGGGTTTACTCGGTGCGCACTTTCGGCTAGCGAATGCGGGTTCCCACGTCATTCAAAAAAAATAAAAATAGATATCTATAATATTTAAGATAGATATTTTGATTGATATTATTTAGTTTTGTTACTTATTATTTAATCATATCTATTATACTATGTTGTTATTATTTAGATATATCTATTAGATAAAAATTATTATTATTCAGACATATGTACTAGATTATATTATTAGTTGACTTTATCCTTTAGTATAAGGTATATAAACAAACATTAGTTTCATTATTAATAAACACATACAAAATTTCTATCAAAATGTAATATGGGATCCGAGTCACGTTTTCTCCGGGTACATCTTCATAATTAGGAATGTATCCAAAGCATTGCCCTTCAAATTTGAGATCCATGATCATTTCAAAAATATATATTCCATTCTAATTCCACCATATTCCTAATCGAGACGACACTTGCCACCAAATATCAATGTCAGAAACAATTCATGTAAGTTGACCGATGTGGTCAGCATCGATCAAAAGTTTGTTTCCGCCGAGTTTAGCCACGTGTGAAGACGACTTAATTGCTACAATTTTTTGACAAAAACATACTGGAATATTTTCAATTTATCTGTCAAATTTTCAATTTTGATTATTTAGTATTCAATTATTTGTTTGAAGTGTCTGCCTATTAAGGTTTAGCATCGTTGGAGTCACAGAGGATCGTTACCGTTGCCGCGGCGATCGTGGCTATTAAAAAAATCATAATTTTGACAAAATTTTATTTTATTAAAGTTACCGCCGTTGCAATAGAGGATCGCCGGCGCATTTTCGCAACAAAGGATTAATGCCACTAAAAATCTTAATTTGACAAAAATCCTAATTGCTTAGAGTTTAACGTCCCTACCATGAAAGAAAATTGATTTGAATCCTAATGTTCAATTATGAAGTCCGTCCATATTTAAACTCCATATCCTGCTTGTTTCTCTAAACTCGAGTTGGCGTCTATATCACCAATTTAAGTTTGAGATAAGGTGTTAAAATATATTTTAGATAGATATTTTGATTGATATTATTCGATTTGTTAATTATTATTTAATCATATCTATTAGATTATGTTATTGTTTAGATATATTTACTAGATTAGATTATTATTATTCATAAATATCTATTAGATTATGTTGTTATTATTTGACTTTATTGTATCATTAATAAACATTTCATAGATTTTTCTCAAAATGCAACATAATTTATATATACACCATATCATATCCATCCTTTATTAAGTTTAAGTTACCTCATTGCCATAATTGTTGCTGCAGCCGGGAAATCTTTTGGTTGAAATCCTAATTTTTCTCTGGTGCCCATTCGGATAGCTCTTTGACCTAACCAATACTAGATCTTGATTCCTTGTACACAGTGTCACCATCCAAAGTCACCGATTAACCTTCCGATGGTGCACTTTCTACCACTGAGACTTTCCAAATTTCTTACTCTTGTTCATTTCCCGCGCTGCTTTTAGCCACATGCCGCACCGGTGCATTTCTGATGTCAAGATATGCGGATCAGCATTGGCACCTCCCATTATAATCTGGTGTGTGCCACGCGTGCTGCTACCTATCCGCTGAATTTTTCTCCAAAAAACTATATGTTATTTTATAAATGGCGTTATCTAAATCACTTAGCTTCAAGCAACTAACTCATCTAAATCACCTAGTTTCAAGCAACTACTATTGATTAGTTTCGGTGTTCCATCAATTATGAATTAGGACTCAGTTCAACTTGTTAGCGGTGCAGACTTAGCTTGGCTTGTTAAGAATTCAAGTTAGAATGATAGTTTGAGCTCGACTCTGCTCCTAAGACTTGAACTCGAGCTTGAGTTCAAGTTTATACATATTCTGTATACTTTTTACTATATGAATTAAATATATTTAATTTTATTCATCAGTTATTATATAATTTTAAATTTGATTAATAAATACAAATTTTGATATTAAAAATTACATATATTATATTAATATATAAATAATATAAATATTATCTCTAATGAGCTTAATCAAGCTATCTGCTAACCGAGCTCAAGCTTGATTTGTTTAAGAATAAAATAAATTTTGAGCTCGAGCTAGGATCGTTTATCCCTATAAATGAGTGAGTCGAGTATTTACACGCAAAATGACTACAGAGATATATTATAATTTTTTAAAGTAAATATATTCTATTTTATTTATTTTTAATACAAATTTTTTTATGTAAAAAATTATATATAGAGAGAAAATAATAATATTAATATTTTCTATTTTTCTTAATTTCACTAAATTTAAATATTTTACGAAGAAATTAATCCACATATCAAAAAATCATCATTTTAGTTACTTTAAATTTATAAATGAAAATTAGTAAGTTACTAATAGAACATATACTAAAATAAATAATAAATAATGTAATAATATATATATTTATATGTGAATGAGAGACTTGACTTTAAAGGCAAATAAGGAATAAAAAAATTAAAACCAAAAAGCTATTATAAAACGTTGAGGTATATAGTATTTTAGAAATTCAACTTTTTTAGGCCAATAAGTTATTTCAAAAAGTTGTTTCTCAAATATCCTCAAAGTTTATATCAAGCAACGATTGATTTTGTTTCTTAAGGGAGTATAGTCTTATTTTTCGCCTTCGTCATTCTCTCTATGGTTTGTAGCAATCTCTACGGGTATGGTTTGGATGATTTTATCTTCTTTTTGAAAAAATTGGGATCTTACAATGTTTGACTAGTCACACTATATTCTATAAGCATGGCCTAGAGGGATGATCTGTCTACTTGGTTGTCAATTTTGAAGATATTGCCATAAGGGATGATATAGACATTACATGGTTGAAAAAACATTTGCACAACCATCTTCATACTAAGGGGTTAGGACCGGTGAAATATTTCATAGTTAAAGAATGATCTTTTTCTCTCACTACTAATGGACATACTTTATATATTTGAAGATGTTGGTTAACTCTCTAATATAAATAAACAAAAGATGTGCATTCCTTTAAATTTAAGCTTTTAGGTGAGATAGTCAGTTTTCTTCGATCTCCGATGATTTTCATTGGAAAGCACTTATGTGTATTATGGCCATATTAAATGTTCTCTTGGGAAAGGCTTAACATCTAAAATTCATGGCCACTTTAAGATTGGTGGTATTGAAATATTAATTGGATAGGATCTCAAATTGTACACATTCTACCTGAGGCTATTTTATGTTTGTTGGAGGAAATTTGATGTTCTAGAATAGCAAAAAACAAGATGCGGTTGCACATTTAATGTTGAAATTGAGTATCATGCCCTGACCTGAGACATATGCAAACTTATATGGTTAAATTGGAGAAAATTATAATAAATATCTTGTATCTATGGTCTATTATCATTGTTGTCCTTTAATTATCACCATGACAAAGTATATCCTACATATGTTACTTTTTTGCGATTTTTGTCCTCCGTGGCACTATCCCACTCGCTTCAACACCGTCATGAACTTAATGCGCGGCTAGAGGACAAAAATCGCAAAAAAAATGATACATATGGGATATATTTTGCCAGGGTGACAATTAAAAGGCAAGACTGATAACTTTACAATTCGAATCTAAAAACTAGTTTATTTGTTTTAGTTTTTTGGTTTCTTTGAGCTCTAAACACCTTCAGACTAACAAAAAATTTTTCTGGTTAGTTCGGATGCTTGTTTTGGAAGAACCGTGTGAATTTTGTTTATTCTTTGTCTAAAAGTTTATTATATTTTTTTAGCATTTAGGGTTTTTAGGAAGCAAAATGACCTCATATTGACAAGAAAATATTGTTGGTTGGTTTCTTTGGTCGTTTTAGATGAACTGTCAAAGTTCCGTTTAATTCGGATTCTAAAAATGAGTTTACATTTTTTTGCGTTTAGAATTTCTAGGGCCCTAAATGAGTTTGGATCGTTGGTTGGTTTGTTTGGTTGTTTTGGATGAAACGTGTGAATTATATCCAATCCTGAGTCTAAAAATATTTTTTTAGTGTTTACGATTTTTTAGGGCCCTAAACGACTTTGGATAGACAAAAGAATATCACTGGTTGATTAGTTTGGTCGTTTCAGATTAAACATGCGAGTTTTGTGTAATTCTGAGTCTGAGAATGAATGTATATTTTTTTAGCGTGTAAAGTTTTTGCAGCCTTAAATGACCTCACATGGACAAAACAATATCATTTGTTGGTTCGTTTGGTCGTTTCATATTAACCGTGTGAGTATTTTATAATTTTGAGTCTAAAACTGGGTGTATACATTTAGTGTTTAAGGCTTTTGGGTTTCGAAATGACCTTGGATGGACAAAATAATATCGATAGTTGGTTTGTTTGGTCATTTCAGATGAACCATGCGAATCATCAAATTCCGAGTCTAAAAACAGGTTTATATTTTTTTTTTATCGTTTTAGGCGTTTTAAGGCAATAAATGAACAATTATTACTCGTCTTTTAATTGTCACCGGACAAAATTAATCCCACAGATGTCACTTTTCGCAATTTTTGTCATCCGTAGCACAATCCCACTCTAAGCGCATGAAATTGTATCTGTCGTGAACTGGACACGCAGCCAGAGGACGAAATCACAAAAAAATGACATACGTGGAATATGTTTTACTAATGTGACAATTAAAGGACAAAAGTAATAATTGATCATAGGTACAGAATATTTATTGCAATTTTTCCGGTTAAATTGTTACTTTATGAACTCAAGTTTTATAATGCACTGATAATGTGGTTTGATAATGGTCAAGAGGGGATCCGGGGCTCCAATACAAAAACAATTGGTGATAAATGAGTTTCCCTTCGCCCTTAAAAATTAGGAAAACTCCCAACATTATTCCAATGTGTGACAACGCTTAACAATAATCAACTCGCCCCAAACATAGCCTCCAATCCAACGTTCCTTGAACGAACAAAGCATTGAAATTGATTTTCACTTCATCAAGGAAATGTATTATCTAGGTATATTGGCATTGATTATTTTTTGAAATGATCAACTTGCATGGTATTTATAAAAGCTTGAGGTTCTCAATCTGAGTTCAATCTTGTAATTTGTTCACTGTAGCCCGGGGTGTTAAGATTAGGCTGATTTACTTATGATTAGTTTAGGTGTATGCCTTCTTAGCCTATGTATATTTATGGGTAAATTATATAGTATCCTTTGTGTTTTAGTAACTTTGCACAAAACCCTCCGTTTTTTATTTATTATGTGAACCCTCTTCATATTAAATTAAAGTATGCACAAAACATCTTATTTGTTCAAAGTTGATGTTTGGTTGTAAATGAATACTTAATTATGCAAGTTTTATGCAAATAAAAAATATCTTAAATAATATTTTTCTAATAAAATAAATAAATAATTTATTAACCATTCATTTAATAGTTTTTTTACACAAACTGTTATCTAATTTTTATAAAAAATTATAAAAGGAAGGATCAATCAATTATTTATTAGTATTTTTCTAAAATTCAAAGAAGGTTATTTAAGATATTTGACCCTTTTATTTATATAAAATTTGCATAATTAGGATTATGTTTACAACCAAACATCAGTTTTTGACAAAGAGAGCATTTTGTGCATATTTTAAGAGAGCATTTTGTACATATTTTAATTTAATACAAAGAGATTTTCACGCAATAAATAAAATATAGGGTGTTTTGTGCATTTTTATTAAAGTACAATGGAGTATTATGCAATTTACCCTATATTTATTTGTGTTAATTCTTTAAATGTGTCAACGTATTGAGAATATAGAATATCAATTTACATAAATATAGAATACATATGTACAATTTACATTTTAAAATATATACATTTTTTGTTGTATTATAATTTTTTATTTAACTAATTATTTTACTCTCTCAGTGAACTTTTTTTTTTTTTTTTTTGTATTATGATTGTTTATTAACTCTATTTTACTCTCTTAGTGGACCTTTTTTTTTAATGCTGATGTTTTTTGCTTTTTATACTTGCAGCTTTGAGCAATTTTGTATAAATTTGACCAATGAGAAATTGCAACAACACTTTAATCAGGTGTCGTAACGATATTTTATGTTTTACAAAGTCTTGTTTTTTTAGGAACTTTGTATGTTGATATGTTTGAAGATTAAGCCTGAGATTTAGAATCTTGATGACATTCTCCATATGTTTCCAGCACGTTTTCAAGATGGAGCAAGAAGAGTATACAAAGGAACAAATTGATTGGAGTTACATAGAGTTTGTTGACAATCAAGACATTCTAGATCTTATTGAAAAGGTACCAATTATCGTCTTAGTTGATAATGTCTATTCTTTCTTATAATTTCTTATTTACCACTCTACAATCACATGAATATTTTACTAGGATCATGCAACTAGTTTAGTTGTGTGGGTATAGTTTATCGAAACTGGTAAAGGAAATGAGTGGTATTCACATGAATTGTGTTATTACAATAGAATTATATAGACAGATAGACAATCAAAGGTGAGATAAAGAGACAAAGAGAAACGTAAGAGACAACGAAGGTGAAACAAAGGGGTGGAGAACACGAAACAAGAAGCACAAAATGATATCTTAACTATCTACCTCAAGCTGGAGCGTGGATATATAAGTTCTAAACTTCTCACAAATATACTGCATTTGTGGTCCACCCTTAGGCTTTCATTAATTTATTAACAAGTTGGTTTTGGATTGGACATTGAAAACTTGAATTAGACCTTGTAGTTCTCACATACAAGATGGCAATGTTATGGGTGCAATCCTAGAACTGCAACCAATTCAAGTTTACACTGGAAGACGGAAAGATAAGGGATGAGTTGCAAAAGAAGCTGCTTATGCGGGCTTAATAGTATCTTTAGCCTTAGTTTAATAAATGTTCAATATTTTTTTGGGCCATAAATTACTATTAGAATAAGAGGTCCACTTATATATAAAGGACTTTGTTAAGGTTAGAAGGATGGGGGAAATAACTTTTGTATAGAACGGCTATGGATGGGACGTGGGAGTTCTCTTTGTAGACACATTATGGATGGGACACGGGAGTTCTCTTTGTAGACCCAACAAAAAGCTTTAGATACAATATAGGTGAAGTACTGTCTCAGTAGGCGCAAAAGAAGAGGGTGGGGCGTGTAAACTTTCACTAAGCTAGCCACATCCCTTTGCTGAGATAGTAACAATTGTTGAAGAAATAAGGTTATCAACACAGCCTTTCAAAGGTTTTCCAACTAATTTTGGAGACATGTTTTTGGTCTGTTCAAATTCATTATAGGAAAAACATTCAATGGTAAAATAATGAGAAGTATGGCCACCACGAGTGCCCTTCTGAGGCAGTACGACAACCACAACAACGAGAGATCTCACGACCACGAGGTACATCACAACTAAACAGTGCACTAATAGGGTAGCTGAAAATAGGGGCTGAAGCTTCTCCAACTGAAGTAATTGGGAAAACATCCCCCTAAGGGATGGAATAGAGGCTTCTTCTAGAACTTGGGATTGAGAGGTTTCAAATTCAGGACGTAAACCATTCAGGAAATCGATAATAACCACCTGTTAACATTGTTGATGTTTATTTGAATGTTTGTACTAATGGGAAAAGAATAATTTCTCTTTATAAACCGTATTAAAAGGCATGACGTAAGCCGAAAAATATTGATTTTGTTATTCTCCCAATGGAAAGTTTACAAACAGAGTAAATTTGGGCCGCATTTCCTTTCTAAAATACATAGTTCCAAATTCATCAAATCTTCGGAATGTTCGGCTGAATAGAATTTTGAAGTTGAACCAATATTTTGGCATCGTCTCAAATCCAAGATTTCCAATTGTCGTTAGAGGGAGGATCCAACGTAAGGTGATAATCTTTATCAATACGATGAAGATGCACCTTGATCATAGAACTCCAACCAAGATAGTTGGAATTTGGAGTCATCCAATTTATTCTTAATGATTTTATGGATCACTGGACTAGAATCCAAAGATTTGTGGAGTTGAATTTAACAAAATCGGATTTTCTTGAAGCCATAACCATGCAAATAAATGTTAAAAAACGAAGCAAGCAACGGATAGAAACCGGATCAAACAATGGATAGAAGCCAAAGCCAAACTGAGGGCTGCCAGCAAGCTTCAACGGTGGTGAGTCAACGACATATGGCAAGGTGGCGGCAGGTTGGAGTAGACCTGAACCAACCTTCCTTAGAGAGACCACTATTCTAAAACTCTAGTCAGCTAAGAACTAGAAAATTTTGGAATAAAAAATGACTCTGATCTACCCATATATCCGTACACTTAGCAGTCTATCTAATCTACCCAAACCAATAAAGTCTAACCAACAAACTTTAATAATCCTATCTAAAACTCTTATAATAATATATATACCTTTATCGAAACCACATCTCTACCAAAAACTATTTATCTAAAACTGTACATGTTAATTACATAGTCAATAGAATGCATTTTTGATTTCTCCAAAATAATCAATGAGCAAATTTTCTTGCTTGGACTACAAAAGATCAATGGACATGTCACATATATGAAGTATGCTATTGCATTGGAATAATTTATTTTTTTTGCATAATTCCATGTTTGCTTGCCCATTCTAGAATGAGAGAGTAAGCTTGGGATGTTAGGATCATAGTCATAAGAAGAAGATGCAGTAGTTGACCATCGTCTAGTTGCCAAATTTTCACCAATATTTTACCAATAGGAGGATCAAACTAAAGATAAAAGGCCTTCCTTTGTCCTTTGAAAATAACTTATGTTCTTAGATCATAATGATGGTTGCTCCCATTAAATGAATGCTTGATAATCATTAGACTGCTAATATGAGTCAAGGAATGGACCTTATGTTCATTATCATTGGCACAATATAGTATGCAAGCCTTCACCAATACGACTGACAATATAAAAACTGAAATAACAAAAACAACGTTTTCTATCAATTAAAGTATGAAATAACATCAAATTCAAACTTGGAATTGAGCTGAACTATCCAAGTTTAGTCGGAATCAGTGGCAATTTTTTGAATTGACTCTATTGGGCTGGTGAGTGAATGAATTAAGGTGACACCACTGGTGTCAATACAGTTGTTGGAGCTCTGATGGAGAGGATAAGAATCCATTTGAGGATTAAAATTTTCGGAATGATTAATTAAGGAAAAGCAAAGCAATCTTCATTGTGGATTTAAGAATGGAGATGGAGGTGTGCTGCTTTGATACCATGCAATTAAAGAATGAAATGAATTCTATTCACTTGAATTGTATCTTTACAATTACATGAATACATAGACAATCAAACTCAGATGATAAGACTAGGAGAAACAAATCAAACTACATAGATGAAAGGATTGGGTGAATAAGAGGGAATGAACAAACATAAAAATTAATATCTAATTGAGTTCATGTTTATTTTTTGTTTTTTAAGTTATGTGTGGGATTTATCCATTTTGTTTTTGTTGTTTCATAATTTTTGATATTGATAATATGTAATGTTCATTCATTTAATCTGGTTGACATCAGCCCCATGTAGGCATTACAAAAAAAAAAAAAAAAGAAAAAAAAGAAATTGTGGAATTAAATTATATACACTTTAAATGTCATCCAAAAAAAATTATGTACACTTTAGCAGTAAATATTATGTTGTCATACTGACCATTTGTCCCAAACAAGTCATATTATCTCGAATCATAGTTTGATCCTATATTATGAAACATTTCTGTATGATGATGTGGTTTGTCACTCTCAGAAACCTGGAGGCATTATTGCTCTTCTAGACGAGGCATGGTACGCATATGCTTACTCTAGTTCCTATAACTTGTATTAAGAATGCAAATAAAACTCAACATTCAACTACTTCAATTTTTATATATTGCAGCATGTTTCCAAGATCCACCCATGAGACATTCGCACAGAAGTTGTACCAAACATTTAAAGACCACAAGCGTTTTAGCAAGCCAAAGTTGTCACCAAGTGGCTTCACAATTAGCCATTATGCAGGAGATGTATGCCATACTATTTTATAATATGAAAATCGCCATGATATTAGAGTGAATGGCTAGGTCAATTGATGGCCACTTGATATCAGTATGGTTATGGGATTTTGTCTTTCAGGTCACTTATCAAACTGAATTATTTTTGGACAAGAACAAAGACTATGTCATTGCTGAGCATCAGGCTCTCCTCAATGAATCAAGTTGCTCATTTGTTTCTGGCCTTTTCCCACCTGCACCCACAGAATCTTCTAAGTCATCGAAATTCTCTTCCATTGCCTCTCAATTTAAGGTTTGTTTGCATATTCTTACGCATGTGCTTGTTTTTTCATATTTTAACTTACTTTATGCCTTGTATTTATTACAGCTACAATTGCAAGCTTTGCTTGAGACTCTGAGTGCTACACAACCTCACTACATTCGTTGTGTGAAGCCTAACAATCTTCTAAAACCTGGTATCTTTGAGAATCATAATATATTGCAGCAACTTCGCTGTGGGGTGAGTTTTAATATTATACAGTTTGTATCATGAAGTCTATCATCTCAATCAATTCACTCAAACTTGCAAGTATTTTTAAACAAAACTCTTCTTAGGGTGTTTTGGAGGCAATCAGGATAAGTTGTGCTGGATTTCCCACACGGAAAGCATTTGATGAATTCATAAGCCGTTTCAAAATCCTTGCTCCTAGTGCTGTTAAAGGAAGGCAAGCTCCTGTTCTATTATCCCTACTGTTACAAGTTTGTTTATACATGTTATTGAAGGTTCTGCCTAAATTAAGTGCATCGATTTAAGATGAGTTTTTGATACAGTAAATATTTTTCCCTATATCTTGGAAATTTTCTTTAGTGGCTCTACCAGTTTGTAGCATATCTGTGCACAAACATAGAGGATAATATAATTCTTATACTCTCTTGCTTTGCGTTATATTAAGAACCATTGTATGGGTGATAAATGATGATTAACAACAGGAATAAATAAATATTATATTATCAAATTAGATCTACTCATACTGTTTACTTGATTTCAGTTATTATTATTATTAGATTGAATGGCCTAACTTCCATAATGAATTTTCTGTTTCCTTCTGAAAATCTTATAGTAATGACCCAATCAATGCTTGTCGAAAACTTCTGGAGAAGGCTAACCTTCAAGGTTATCAGGTAGAATTTTTACCATAGAGTTTGTTTTTTTTTCTTGTTTGTTGATATTATTGTGTTTTGTACTGAAGCTTGCAATGATATTTCATTCTTTATAGCTTATGTAGAATGTAGAACATGAGTTACACTTGCTCATACAAAATGTAAGGTCGAGTCCTGATATGTTCAAAATGTGCCTTATGAATTGTAAATTATTGTTTAGAATGTTTCATCAGGAAGAGTTTCTTTTAACCTTTGAGAGTTTGCACTTCTACTGTCCCAAAGAAATTATAATATAAAAACAATTCATTAATGTACTTATAGTATGGACTTTCCAGTCTATGACTCGGTCCCCATACAACGATCTTTTGACTCGCATTTAATCCTAATGAAACCTTAAAGCTGATGTAACTATGATACCTCTTCTTTTTTCCAGCCATATAAGATAAATTGAAGGAGGCATAAGAGTTTGTTTGTTACTTGGCAGTGTTTTTTAATTTCACATCTCATTTGTCTTTTATAGGTTGGTAAGACAAAAGTGTTTCTCCGAGCTGGTCAGATGGCTGAACTAGATTCGCTTCGGAGCAAGGTGCTTGGAAGATCAGCTTCAGTAATCCAGAGAAAAGTTCGTTCATATTTAGCACGGAAAAAGTTCATTGCATTACGCATATCGGCTATAGACATACAGATGATATGTAGAGGTACATTGGTGTCTAATGGTTTAGTTTAACTAATTATGAATTCCAATGCATGGATTTAAATTTTCAAGTGATCATAATATTTTTTCAGTCTCTTAACAATATGTTCTTTTGCATTTAAGGACAAATTGCACGCCATATTTACGAGCATAGAAGGAGAACTGCAGCTGCTTTGGTTATCCAGAAAGATGCACGCAAGTTTCTTGCTAGAAAAGCTTATGCACTTCTAGTCTCTTCTGCTGTTCTTATTCAAGCAGGACTGCGGGGGATGGATGCTCGCAATTTGCTTTGGTCCAGAAAGAAAACAAATGCAGCCACCATCCTTCAGGTACTCCAATGCACAAAAAGATTAATAGTTATTCAGAGAAATACTGCTATATATTAATAACATATATGAGGATATATTAAATTCACTTATAACATAGTCACTTCATATATTGAATGAGGAGTTTCAGAATTGATACAATAGCATTTCGATGGGTCATTTTACTCCTTGATTGGAGATTTATGTTGTTGGAATGCGACTTCAAATTATTATGATAATGGTTGAGTTTAATCCTCGTTAACTCCTAGATTAGCTCCCTCCTTAACTCCCAGGTTAGCTACTCAATTACCTCTGATTGTAATTAATTGCCTACTATTGTACTTTATCTATAACTATCATTGTGGTATTCGCGCAATCTTTTCCCTCCTCTATGGTGGGTATCAACCTAACAGTTTCTAACCTTCCTCTACCTAATTCTCTACAAGTCATATATGTCATTGAATTATACTTTTTAAAATACTTTAACACAAAATTTGAATTTATCTAGAATAAGTGATATTACATAATATCGCAATACTTAGCCCAATACTATCTCATTATCTCATTCAAAAGGCATATTTCCTCCAAAACCCAAACACCATTTGAGATGCCAAACAAATGCACCCTGGTATTTGGTAAACCAGGGCTATCATCACAGACACCCACGGGCAAATCAGTTTCGTCTTGTCCAAGCATATTGGAATAGGCGACTCAAATGTTGTAGAAATAATGGGAATTGCCCGTAATTTGAACCAAATTATGGAATACCAGTTGGAGCTTCTCTCCAAACTCATGTTGAATTCTACTCCACAAACACCCTAGGTTGGATTCAAGGATCTGCATCTCCATGGAAACTAAGTTTGACATTAACAAACTTTGGAGATGTCCCCTCTTAATCTTCCATCATGTTCCTAGAAGAAAACTATTGGCGGATTTTTTTGCAAACAGAGCTGCCCCTGGGCAGCACACCCTTTGTCGGCTGGCTTTAGTTTTTAATTCAAGTAAAATGGCTTTCCTAGGTGGAGGCTTACTCCTCCTTCCTACTCTATCCTATTTCCTGTACCTCGAGTTAAATCTTTCCCTAAATGAATCTACTTACTACTTTTCGGAGAAAAAAGAAAAAGAAAAGAACAATACTATCAGTGATCATGATTGGTGATTCATTCAGATTTGAGTATCTAACTTAAATATTCTCTATTTCTTGTTTAATCACCGAAAATCAAATTACTTACACAACAATGTACTCTGCTATTTGATCATATATAAATTAATTGGAAGTTTGGTTGTTCATCATTCTATGTAAATTTATTTATTTTTAATTTTTATTGTTGTTGTTGTTGTTATTATTATTTGACTAATGGAACACCCTGCATGGAATTTCTCTAGAGTCAATGCCGAGGATACTTAGCCAGTCGTCGGTATTTGAAGTTGAAAGGAGCAGCTATTGCTACTCAGTGTGCTTGGAGAGCACGATTAGCTCGTAGAGAACTACGAAAGCTTAAAATGGTGAGTTCCCCACACCCCTTCTTTTGTGAAACAAGCTGCTGAGTGAAAAAGTGATCCTCATTCCATATAAAATCGCAGTTTTTTATTGTATTCAAGAATTTATATTATAGTTCTATCAGTAAATCAAAACATTTTCTTCTTCTAATCTGAACTCCGATCAATAAATTTTGCGGAGGCAATGAATTGGTGCTTCCAGGGCTGATAGTTCTGGAAGTTTTCTGTACAGTACTGTTTTGAAACCTAACTGAACTATAAAAATTCCAATTGGTCCTTCTTCGAAATGATATAAAAGTCAGATGCTTCAAGAACATACACAAACCAGTTTTGACTAACTTAAAAAAATAAATAAATAAATAAATATGTATATGTGTATATATGTATATATGTATTAATAATTTTGTGTTGAGATTTTCCTATTAAAATATTATCTACAATACATTATATAATTTTATGAGATTTTTTCTGAAGTGTTTCCTTTCTCTTACAATGGCTTGACCGCTGCATGTAGGCATATGAGATGGAAAAGGAAAATCAAAAGAATCTGAATGAAACTTTAGAATAGATTTTCCTTATATTGGCGGAGAGTATTCATCTTGATCAAACTCAATATCAAAATGTGATATAGAGAACCCACATATTGGGATAAAGACATAAATAAAGATGATTTTATCTGAAAAGCATCACTTGTTTATATTTTCATTATTATTTGTTGAAAATAATAATAATAATAATTGTTGGTTGACTCCTCTAAATATAAATATATGATGCGTATTCTACAAGTTTAAAATTTTAGGTGAGACGATTATTTATATCATCTAACATGGTATAGAGCCGAGAAGTCCCATATTCGAGTCCTACCGCCCTCATTTGTCGTTGTTTAGGTGCAAGTTTCGTATGATGTGTATATCTACCTTGCACGTGAGGGGGTTGTGTTGGTTGACTCCCGTAAATATAAATAAATGATGCATATCCCTACAAGATTAAGCTTTTAGGTGAGACGGTCGTTTACATCATCTAACAATAATAATAAATAAAGGTAAAGTTGTCCGTTGTCTCAGGCGGCCAGAGATACTGGAGCACTCCAAGAAGCAAAAGGCAAGCTGGAAAAGACAGTTGAAGAATTAACTTGGCGACTGCAATTGGAGAAGCGCATGAGGGTAATATATTAATAATAATTTTTTTCCATCTCTTCATATTGCTTTCATAAAATGAAAAGATAGAAATCAGCTCCCTTACATTTGTTTATTGTTTGATTTCCTTTTTCAGACTGATATGGAGGAGAATAAAAATCAGGAAATTGCAAAACTAAAATCTGCTTTGGAAGAAATGGAAAAGCAAAATCAAGAAACTAAAGAACAACTGATGAAGCAACTTGAAGCTGCAAATAATGGAGCTAAGCAGGAGATCCCAGCTAGTGATAATGCTCTAGCAGATAAACTTGAAATTTCAAAGAAGGATGATGCGCAAGGTCCTGTTGATAGTGCACTGGTACATAATCTAACAGATGAAAATGAAAAGTTGAAGGTCAGATCATGAAATTTAATTCAGACTTATTTATTAGCGGGATATGTATTTTAAACATTACGATGAAACCATGGTCAACTTTCAAATTGAAATTGCTTTCAGGTTTTAGTAAGTTCTCTGGAACAGAAAATAGATGAAACGGAGAAGAAGTATGAAGAGGCAAATAAGCTTAGTGAGGATAGATTAAAGCAGGCTTCGGAGGCAGAATCAAAGATAATCCAAATGAAAACTGCAATGCAAGGGTAATGTTTATATATCCCAAATTCCTGAACCAACTTAAAACAATTCCAGTACACCTATTTTTAAAGAAAGTATTCCAATATAGTTTTCTTGGTTTTTTATTTTTCAATGAACACTATCTGTACTTCTCTATCACAAAATTGGTGCATCAGTGATACCCTATGTTGGGTTCATGCTGTTGATCACTTCCTAATATATTAGGATTGAAGACAAACTCTCAAATGTGGAAAGTGAGAACCGGATTCTTAGACAACAGGCTTTGATGCATGCTCCTACTGGGAGAATGTCTGGGCGTATGCAGGTTGGGACAGATATAACAATCATGACTTTTGATCTTTTATGTTTGATTCTTATCCTCTTACCTTCTTTTTGCAGCAACTGGAGAATGGGAATCATGTATGTGAGCTAATACAAATGACAAACCTAATATCCTTCCTGTGCTCTGAGATACATCAAAGTTCATTGTTCATGGACTTGATCTTGTTTAACATATGTTTACACAGGTGCCCCTGAGTTCAACACCCAGTAAAAAATTTGGAGCTGAATCTGATAACATGAGGAAATCCATCGTAGAGAGGCAACGTGTATGTAATTTTTTGTTTTTAGATTTTTAATGCTCTTTGTGACTTATGTGGCTGTTGAAATTATGTTTATACAGTAATCTACTCAAAAACCAATTACGTTTTGAAGCAAACATATACTATATGCAATGTGAAGCATGTTTGTTTAGGAGACCATTTAAGAACAGTTGATACATGGGTTAGCTGTTAAAATCCATTAGATGCCTATACATCTATTAAGTTCAATTGTTGTATTCTATCATTGATTTTTTCCATGATACAATTACCATTATAATATGTTTGGAGCATTTTGTTATTAACACATTTTTCTATGAACTGCTCTTTCATTAATTTAGGACCGTTAGATATGATTAGTTTAGGCCAGTTTAGGCTATGTAGATTTATTTGTGTTATGTAATTTTTTGGTTGTTGAGAATAGATAATACATATTTTCATTTGGAAATTGTTTGGTAAATATGCGGACATTGATATCTAAATTGTTACATTTTAGGAGAACTTGATACCTTGTTACATTTCCTTGACAATTAAGTTCGTTATTGGAAAGTTGTCTATGCCGTCGAAAGGCTGATCGGATGCACTAGCCTTTCTATCCAATGTTGAAGTATTGCTTGATTCTGCATATTCGGGTTGCTTAGGTGTTTATGTTGCTGTAAATGGGTCTTGTTGGCTGACTCTATCATATACAAATAAATAAATGATGTGCGTACCTCTTTAAGCTAAAGCTTTTAAGTGAATTGGTTATTTAACTTGGTACTAGAGTCGGAAATTTTCATGTTCAAGTCCCACTGCCACCCATTCATCGTCATCCCACCGCCGCCCATTCATCGTCATCTACGTGCAAGATTCATATGTGGTTTATATCCACCTTGCACATGAAGGGCATGTTAGCTGACTCCGTCATATATAAATAAAGAAATGATGCATACCCTATCGTGACCTTTAATAATTGCAACAGGAAATTTTGATATTCTTCTTATATATTTTTCTATCCTATGCAATGGCAAGCTGAAGAGTAAATATAATGAGATGCTTCCTATCTTCACTGTTTTCGACTTTTAGGAATGAGGGAATTTCTTTTACACAGTACAAGATCTATTATTATTACTATGATTATATATTTAATATTACAGCCCACAATAGTGAATGATCTTTTTATGATTGGTTCAGGAGAATGTAGATACTCTCATTAGGTGCATTTCAAGAGATCTTGGGTACAGTGAAGGAAAACCAGTTGCTGCATTCACCATTTTCAAATGCCTTGCTCACTGGAAATCCTTTGAAGTTGAAAAGACCAGCGTATTTGATCGGCTTATTCATATGATTGGTTCTGCCATAGAGGTAAATGCTGGAAAACAAAGTGAAGCTGTAAATTTTCTTTTAAAAAATCCTGTACTTCTGTGATTTTTAATTATTTGATGCAAGAATGATCTGATAATTCATTTCCTTAAACTTCTGTTAAATTTTTATTATTTTGATTTGCTTTCAGTTTTCTCTGTTGTCAGATTATTAAGTGGTTTCTTGTGTCTATGCTTAAAACTTCATTTAATGGCTAATTGTTACTTCTAAAAGTATCCACAAAAGGCCAGAGCATTTCTCATGCTGCTAGTTGTAATGTCACAATAAAGATTGCAACCCTGTATATTGTGTGCCTCCGGTCACCAACTGATTTCAGTTCTATCTTTATTTCTATACTGTTTTGTATCTTGTTGCAGGACCAGTCAAACAATCATCACATGGCTTACTGGCTCTCCAACACATCGACACTGCTTGTTTTACTTCAGCAAACTTTAAAAAGTAATGCTTCTGGCAGACCTCCCCAACCCACAGGATTTCTTGGAAGGCTTTCCCGAGTATGTAGAACTTACATGATCTGTCTTACACCCTTTTTCCTAGAAATATGACCAAGCACATTAAAACTTGGTGTCTGAATTGTTTTCAGAGTTTTCGATCGTACCCTTCTTCCAGCAACCTTCCTATAGGTGGACTGGATGGAGTTCAACAGGTTGAGGCCAAGTATCCAGCCTTGTTGTTTAAGCAACAGCTTACTGCTTATGTTGAAAAAATCTATGGTATTATTAGAGATAATATAAAGAAGGAATTGTCAACTCACCTTTCCTCATGCATCCAGGTAGCATGTCTGTTTATCCTGGAGATTATTCTGCCCCTACCTGATAATCCTTTCGTTTCCCCTTTGAGTTTATATCCCATAACTTGTGCTTAATCTTTTCCTGCATTTGGAGCAAGGACATCATGTCAATTCTTGTGTACTTTTGCATATATTCCTTGTAGTCTCCACTTTTTCTTTTAATAAGATTTCAGTAGTAAAAATGCATTTGAGAAGCTGGTTACCTATTGTCAGATAAACATGTTTAAATTATTCCTCTAGAGTCACTACATTGGTCTACTTCCATTTCTTGACAAAATGACTGTATGGTTCTATGTTTTATGCCCATAAGTTCATTCGCTGAGATAAATTTTAACATATTTTCTCAGGCAGCTCGATCAAAAGGAGTTCCTCCTCCAACTAGTCATTGGCACAGCATCATTGAGAGCCTTAACAACCATCTGAGTATACTTAAACAGAATTATGTATGTACAACAATGTTACTGTTCCTGCTTTCTATTGCTCGAATTAGCTTCTAATTATATATAAGTGATTCACTTACACTTTTAAATGAAATAATTAATATATATGTATATATATATTTGTGTGTGTGTGTGTGTGCGCGCCATTATATTTCATAAAATAACTCCCCTCCATCTTATTGAAGCTGTTGATGTTTTCTATTTCAGATACCTTCTTTCCTTGCACAAAAATTGTTTACCCAAATTTTCTCTTACATTGACGTCCAGATTTTCAATAGGTACTCCATATCCCTTTATTTGTTTTATACTTTCGGTATATACAGCCTGATTAACTTATCATGTAACCTTGGTCCGTGTCTCTACAGTCTCCTTCTCCGTAGGGAGTGCTGCACATTTAGCAATGGAGAATACGTGAAAGAAGGATTAGCTGAATTAGAACTTTGGTGTAAAGAAACAGAAGAGGTATGCCGTACTTTTCATTGCTGAAAAAATCATTACCATGTTGTTGTGGTATATCAAATGGCACTGCTTTCATGTGTGATTCAACTGTTGGTAGTCACTTCATCATTTGATTAGTCTGATCAAATTGTAGATCAATTATTTGTCTTTTACAGTATGCAGGCTCAGCATCCGATGAATTGATACATGTACGCCAAGCTGTTGGATTTCTGGTATGTTATATTATTTGTAACTTGACATTGCTATTCTGGATTTCTACTTTACTTACTCTTGAATCTAGAGAGGATTTAATTGCTGCACTCATTTACAATTCTACAAAATCAAGCTTCTATAGTTATTTTTTATTTAAAGGATGGTGTTTAGGAAATACTAATTACCAAATACCAAATGTGGTTTACTTGCTGAAATGAAATTGACCTTTCTTTGCATGGATAACATACAGAATTGCTAAGACAGACTAAATATCTTGCCTCTTCTACAGGTCATACACCAGAAATCACGAATAACTTATGACGATCTCTCCACAGACCTCTGCCCCGTAAGTCACATATTTAGCTTCCTTTTTCCTCTTTTGTTTATTTCTTAAACACTTTTATGTTGACTTCTATCCTACTTGGTAGGGCGGTTTTTATAATGGCTACCTGTGTGAAATTACTCATTTCAGCATAAATTTTGCCTTCAATAAAGATATCTGTATACTGTTTCTTGACGAGTCTTGTCCATATTCTTGAATAGACCTTATTCTTTCACAATTAGGATTTACTTATGTAAGGTGTTCTAATCTTTCATTTATGTGATATACTGTCCATAGGTACTGAGCATTCATCAGCTTTACAGAATTTGCACTCTTTACTGTGATGATGACTATAACACACGAAGTGTATCGCCAGAGGTTAGCCCCCCTTCATTCTCTGTCATCATTAGATATCTTCTGTAACTTATACCTGTTTATGGAGTACATCTTGCTGGGGAATTCTGAATACAATGTGAAATCTTGGATAAGTGATTGGATCGTGAAACTTCACTTTGTAAAAGTTTTAATTCTTCTCTAATATTTTTTGACTTAATCCAAATGAACACTCAAGAATTCTGATTGAATTATGAGTCTAAAACCGAGATTATGTTTTGTCACTTTATTCTGTAAACGACCAATGCTCTTAATTTAAAAATGGGGCCGTACACCCATTTTCAAATGGTCACACATCTTCATTCAAAATGTGTATTTAGAAATCCGTTTAGCTTTTAGGGTGCTGCTCCAAGCCCTGAAAGGGGCAGAGCCCCCTAGACCCTCGCCCATTGATTGGCCAACAGGACCTCCACGAGGGGCGCTGCCTCGACCCCCACCAAATTCAAGTTTGATATTGATTTAGTTTATATGAGCATGCCTGCAAACTCATGTAATAGTGTGATACAATATCCCTTTAGTCTCTAATGAATCTCGATTACACCAAAATTACGAGTGTATCTCTTTTTTGTATGGGTTTCAAAAGGTAATCGCTTGTATGAAGATACACGTGGCAAAAGATGCCAACGCCGATGATAGTAGTTCATTTATATTGGACGACAATTCAAGGTATGTCTGATGTAGTTCTTCACAAAACACTGGGAAGAAAATCAAACTCACTCCACAACACTAACACATTATCTTTCTTTTCTCCAGCATTCCCTTCTCAGTTGATGACATTATCCATTCTCTACGGCATCAAGATTTCACAAATGTAAAACCTGCTCCAGCACTGTTGGAAAATCCAGCTTTCGATTTTTTACAGGGATAAAGGTACATGCAGATTCTTAATATAGTCCCTTATTTCTTGAGATGGAAATAAAAGTGTTAGATATAACTAGTCTCTTTTCTTATAGATCTCGCCATTATGTATATCCATTGCCTGCCACAATTTCGCCATTTTTGCTTGGCTATGATCAATAGATTCCCATCTTTACATCCCCGGGATAGAGTAGCTTATAGATTTAATAGGAGGATTAGATAGATTCCGAGGGGCTGCACAACATATTTTCGTTTTCGTTATGCAGCTAATTAATAGTTTTTCGTGTGTATGGGATGGGATCTTTCCTGCCCTTGCACTCGCACCATTTCTTTTATTCTCTAACATGCCTTTGTTGAGAAGCCGTAGTTGTTATTTACCTCCCAAATAATGTTCTTGTTGAAATTTATTTTTTCATTCTTGGCAATGACTTTTTTTATTCTTGGACTTCTTATTCGGCGAGATAAATTTATATATGTTAGATGTCAAGTGTGTATGGCAACTTTAAAATTCTGATTAAAAGAAAATAGAAACAAAAGATAAGTGATCGGATTAAACTCAGTAATTATGGTAAATATATAATGTTGGCTTGAAAAGTATAATGGATTTGATGCAAATGAATAAACAGGGGAAGGAATATCGGAGTAAAAAAGAAATAAAGTTGAAATAGAAATGAACTGATAAATATTTTTATAAATTCTTTGAAACTTTTGGACAATTATTGAATATTGAATATTAATTTTTGTGAGATAAATTATATATTTTATGAGATAATAAAATGTGAAGAGGTGCAAAATATAATATATATATATATATAATTATTTATGTGACATAAATAGATATTAATATGATAATTTAAATATAAAACTAATTTTTAATATAATACAAAAATATAAATATTTGATTTGATATTTTTTAAATTAATTATATATATTAAAATAATCCACATGTAATGCTTTTTTTAAGTATATATATAATATAAAAATATAAATATTTGCTTTGATGTTTTTTTTTTTAATTATATATATATATATATATATATTGGAAATCCAACTCCAAATCCACATTTAACACCCTGGTTTTTATAAATTTTGGGATCAAACTTGAGTTGAAATTGAATATGCGATTATGTACTAGGTCTAAATACTTGAGCTAAAACCTAAGCAAAAGAATTGAATAGAGTAATTGTATTATAAATAGCTACAATAATGCTAATAAATGCTTCTCGTGAAATTAATAAATGCAAGCAAAAGTTATTAAAGAGAACTTTGTTAACTTTAGCAGATGATCTTATCATGAAAATATTGAGTTCCCTCCTTATATAATTTAGTATTTTTACGGATGATTACAAATAGGGCTGGCAAACGAATAAGCTCAGATTGGATTCAAATTCATGTTCGGGTCCTGAACCTGATCTATTTAATTAAACAGGTTGATATATGTAAGATTGACCTGACACTTTATTAATCGGTTAACCTGAACTTGTATAACCTGTCTAAGTCTAAAATTTTTAAGATGTAAAATTAATATTGATGTAACAAAATATATAAATTTGATATAATTTTCTAGAGAAAAAAAAAATGAATATTTAGAGTTCTTGTCATCCAAACAAACTTGTATACTTGATTCTTTAACTATTTAGAGTGTTATGGGTCTATGTGTAGTTGATTTATGATTTTATCTCTATTTATTATCACTATTTAGTGTTTTTTTCTATTCTACATAATTTATTCATATTTTTTAGTTTAGTTCGATTCATATATTTTATTTTTTTTAAAAAAATAATTATACACTTTATTAGCATTTTAAATTTTATAATTTATATTTTTCTTAATTTTATTAAATTAGTAAGTTATCTTAATTGTAATTTATCATTTTTACTAATATACTTATTTTTTAATTATTTATCAATTATTAATTGTCTACATTCTCATACATACCTAAAATCGGACAAGATGAGACAAAAGGAATAATTGGGAATAGAAATTTACAAATGTCTGGAGACTTTTATCGTTATTTATTTTAATAGTAATATCAAAATGGTTTTAAATAAAAACTGGTATTTCTTTTTCTTTTGTTTTTTCTATGACCTAAGAACTACAACAACTACTCTTAGAATGCGTTTTGAGTAAATTTTCAGTCGAATTTCGTAATTTGCAAAATAGACTCGATATAACAAGTCATACTAGACAAACCATGTGTAGCAAACAGGGTAGAAACCGTTACTATCATGAGTTCACCGTATCCTTACGGGACCAAAGAAAAAACTATTTCCCTCACAGATTAAGCTACAAATTTTATCGAAATTAATAACAGGCGGCAACGATCCCTCTTGATTCTTGGAGTAGACATATACACACACAAACTCAAATCAATTTATGGATTAAAATGAATGAAATTTGAAGAAATTGATAGTTATTGGCCTTCATGTCAACATTTGTGCACTCACGCTTATAATATAGTAAGTTGCTTCCTTCATTTGCAAGTTTTGAGGTTTTCAATACATATACGATTTATTATATACGGTTTTTTTTTTTTTTTCATATAAGAAATACAATATATACATGTATTTACACAAATGTATTATATATATATATATATATTTTTATCTATTTAAAATGTTAATAATTTAAAACAAAATATTATTTATTATATTATCAATTCAATTTTTTATACTATCTTCGTCCACAGTTTGATTGATTTTTGTACAAAGATTTTAGAATATTTGTATTATATTGATATGTAGTGCAATTGACATGTATAAAGACTATTATAACCTTAATATTTATGTTATTATTTGATGACATTTCTATAATATTATATGAAGGATGCAGGTCTTTTTATATGTGAGTGAAAGTACATTTACTAAAAAAAAAAAAAACAGATACATTTATAATGAATATATTAAAATGGCAGAATTGGTAGATTAGTGATGGCGGGAGGGAGTATATAACATAAAAATATAAAAGTTAAGAGAATTTTGTTATTACTATGTGATTAAAAAATTGACATTTTTTTAGTGAAACAAACAAAAATGATAAAAATATTCCTTTGGAACTGAAAAAATAAAAAACATGTCAAATTAAAATATAGAACAAACACACCCTAAAACTTAGAGAACGGAAAAAAGAACATGTTAGGGAATTTTGGCCGTTCGAGACCTAACCCGACAAGTTCCTTGATAAATAATTAGTTGGCCCACTCCGTAGCCCGACCCACCGGATCGGTCCAACCCTTTTATCCTAACCCAATTCAAAGCCAAAACCATTTAGCACAATTAGTTTGTTGAGTTTGTTAGTTGATTAGTTTGTTAGGAGGGTTTAAATAGAAATTAGTTTGGGAGGTTTTGAAAGTAACCAAATAGAGTGAAATACACTAGAGTAGAGAGGAGAGGGTGAGACTTAGAGAGAAACTGTCGAGCAATTCCGGTGAGTTTCCGGTGAGGTTCGGGACCCTTTTCTTGTGCCGATCCGGTGGGCGTCGAGGTTTAGATTGACGAGCCGACCTCCAACCTTGAGGCGTGATTACCTCGGCCACTTCGCACCATGGACTGAGCCGACAAGTAATGTTCCTTAACCTCCGGTGAAATATTGAAGGAAGGAGGAACTCGATCGGAGGTTTCGTCACTGTCGGAAGGAGTCCCGGAGAAGACGATCGTATTCGGCGCTGTCCGTAGGAGTACCGGAAGGAGAGTAGCTATCGCCGTTGTTCATCGAATCGCCGAAAGAAGCTGTCGTGTGTCGGCGCCCAGATCTCCGATTCCAGAAATCAATCTCGAAAGGGAGTTTTCTTCAAATTCTATTCTGAGTGTTGATTATTGATTGAGCTGTTTGCTTGTGTTTTAATTTGCATACTCCAGAATGCCTTTAGCCTTAAGTCTTGGTTCGATTTCGCTTTATATTAATTTGGGTTTTATTCGAATTTTGCTTCTGCTAATTCATTGTCGTATTTTGTATACGAGGTTTTGATCCGAGAATAAATTCACAACAGAACACATTAGCTCACATTACTCCATAATACATAAATGATTTTAAATTGTAAAATTTGAGTATTTGATAACATTTGAGGGTACCCTCTTTGTTTAGTTCTGCCCACGAGTCTATTATTATTTTAGCACTCTAAATGAATTCTGTTTGAAAATAGTATTACAAGTAGATATTTTTTACTGAATAGTCCTCTGGTGCCAAATTTGCCGCCCGTGCTCATGTGACTGAAATGTCGACGTCATCAAGGACACCTGGATCCGACCCGACCCTAAAAAATTATTAAAAATTTGACTCATATTCAACTCAACATCTCAATAATTGGACCTGACCCAAATAACTAAGTTGGGTTCATGTCAAATCCTGGATCTATTCGGATCGATTGTCATTCATATCTATACTTATTGAAAAATAAATTGATATTTTATGTTTGGACAACAAAAAATAACAAAATATATACAGACTCCCGATTGAGTAAACTCTCATGTGGTACGTACCTATGAATTCTTGTTTGCATAGGGCTTTAGTTTGATTGCAGCTAGCGCGAGGTTGCTAATAAATTACTACTAAAGTCGAAAAGGTCTTTAAATGAATATTGTTATACTTCAAATATATCTCAACAGTAAATAAAATAAATATTATTTTACTTCAAATATATGTCAACAATACATAATATATATATATATATATATTGAATGCATGGACCCATGCTATAAATATAATTATTGTGTATAGTTCCTTAGCCTCTATACTTTCAAATTCAACATATCATGAATATTTGAATATATAATTTTTAAAAATTCTAAGGTATCATGAATATTTGAATATATATTTTTTAAAAATTCTAAGGTATCATGAATATTTGAATATATGTATACATATATATTTTAAAAATTTGAAGGTATCAATTTCAATGTACTAATAAATTAAAGTTAGATATTTTTAAAATGTTGTGTTTTTTGTCTTATTTTCTTGACAACGCATTTAAGTCTAAACTAGTGTAGCCACCAATGCATGTGCATGTGCATGTGCATGTGCTTTATTATGAAGACAGTTAGTTAGTTCAGAGGATAATGCATGTGCAATTAGTACTCTTGGCAGTTAATTAACGGCCGTTAACTCTTAACGTTTTCCGTCTTCGTCTCCATCCCACTCTATAAATTCTGCACACGGTCCTTACACTGTTTCCAAATTCTCCACTCCCATTTTTTGTGTGTATGCACAAAATGTATGCATACATATAAATACGTACAAACATATATATATATACATAGAGAGAGAGAGAGAGAGAGAGAGAGGAGTGTGCGATAATCAATGGCGGTTTCATCGAAGAAGGAACATCAGCTGCATCTGGTTTGGATGCTGATTTTGGTGCTAGGTCTTGCCGGAGCTCAAGGAAATTCAAGGTTCGATCGAATTCCTGTTTAAAAATTAATTAATTAGCTGTTTTACTGGTGTTTGATTTGCGTGGTTTCAGTTGTTTTTTTCAAAATTTTGTCGGTTTATGGAGTTTTGGTGCATTCCTCTGTTTCAATTTTAATGGAAATTTTCAACGGAGTTCAATTTTCCGCGGAGAATGTGGTTGGAACTTTTTGCACTTTCGTTTCTATTTGCAAATCGTAAAAGCAATTTGTTTAATCAAACGCCGGAGTACGTTGCTAGCAGAGCTCTGCGAACTACTCATCAATGGCGGAAAATTATAGCTCTTCGTTTTTCTCAAATCCTTCTATATTGAACATCCTCATCCATCGGATACCGTCACGAACCATTTCGCCAATTGAGCTGTCTCCAATCTCCATTGCCAAAAAAAAAAATCAATCCAATTTACATTCACCGATCAGATATTTCAATTGATCGATATCTAATGCATCATTGAGCTAAGCTAAAATTCCATTCCCGTCGAATTTCTGAGGTATATATATATATATATATGCATAGGTTGCCTGCATTACCTTGAGCACCATACACCGTCAATCATCATCATCAATTCATCACTCAGTCAGCGGTTATGTGTATTAGCAATTAAAGTAGTAGAATGAATATATATATATATTGGTTGAAGGTGTCGGTTAGATGTGATGTGAGGGTAGCTCGTACTGTGCACGCCGTCCACCATTTATTTTCAGTTGTTTGGGTCCCTGCAATTGCATGCCTTGATAATTCCATTTACTACTTTTTTGCTTTTCTTCTCTTCTGCAGTAAATAACAATTGGCTCCAATTAACCTTATAGTAATGTAATTATGGCTTCAATTTGATTTATTAGGTTGGGAAGAAGGAGTGAAGAAGCTCTGGATGACTCTGAAGAGGTTGCAAAAATGGTAGAAATGTGGGTAACCCATCCATCCATCCATCTCACCCTTTTTTTAATTAATTTATTTATATATTGACCTTTTGGTTGCATTTAATTGATCTTAACTTGGGTGTGCATTTATTGGGTTTTCTGGTTTGGGTGTCATCAATTTAATAAGTTGAAGTAACAATTTCGGTTGGAGTTTTCTTCACCATTCAATGCCACTATGCCTTTTGGGCAGACCTACATATGTCCCTACCCACGTGCTCTGCCTGTGCCTGTGCCTGCATCTAAACTCTCTTTTTATTATTATTATTATTATACTTTTGTCCATTTCCATGGACAAACAAAACTGGACAGTGATCCCCAATTTCAGCAAGTACAACAACTCGGCTTGCTTTGATTTCATTCTACTTTCATGAAATGATCATTTACCCTATTTTTTTTAAAAAATCAATTAATCAAGTCATCATTCTTTTACGTTTTCACAGACTTGTTCATCTTGTATTTGGTGGCGTTTATGGTTTTTTAATGCTTTATTTTTTTATATGATTATTATTATTTGTTTGGGGTTGATGACTCCAATCATCCATTCCATGTGGTTTAATATGTATTTTGTGGATCTTATTCTGATAGTATTTGGCCAGGCCAGGCCATGTGCAACAAAACAAACAAGCCAGCAGAATATATTCAGAAAATTAAAAGACTTGTCCACTCTCATTTTCTCATCACATAATCATTGATTTGACTCTTAGTCACATGGGCTTTCAAGAGATTATTATTCCTAGTTATGTGTTAAATAAATCAATCAATCCATTTGGCATTAAGTGATTGCACTATACTAATTAGAATTAGTCCGTTAATAAATGTCTCAAGAACATGGCTCCTTTAGATGCATGTTTTTATTTTTGTGCTCTCTTCTGTTTATACATATATTTTTGTCAATAGTAATCTTTTTTAAATATTTTATTAATTATATTTATCATCCGGTCACAATAGTTGGAGGAAGGGAATATATATATATATATATTTTTTTTGTTTTAAAACTTCAAAATTTTGTTTAAATGGGGCTCTGAAATTTTTAAATTTTTTTATTATAAAAAAAATAAAAATCTATTAATAAATAATTTAAAAATAACTATATAAAGAGTCCTGGTGTCAAGTGAGAAATGGCTCACTTCACTTAAGCATCGCATCATGTTAGCACTGTCAAAAGATATGACGCACGATGTTTATAGGTATCACTTGTGTATCTTTTAGTCACGTGACTGCTGTATCGTATCTCATCCCCCATATGTGGCCAAAAGATACATTGCTTCCAGCTAGTATTACTCTCTCTCTCTCTCTCTCTCTCTCTCAACTAATTGTATCATTTTGCTTAGAGAAATAAATAAATAATTAATAATAATAATAATAATATTTTAATATCAAAATAGAATGAAAAAAATCTAGCATAATTACAATGAACGAATAAAGTATATTATAATTGCAATAATCAAATTCATTCACGTATTGGGATCAATGGGTTTAGGGTATCACTTATATAGTTATATGCATATATGCTGTCTTACCCACATTATCATCTCCGTTTGTTTGTTTGTATTTTTCATGTCTGCTTGTTTATTACTTTCTTGTATATTTTTAATTTTATTATTCCAGTAACAGTGAAAATATTCTAATATGGTATTGATATTAATATTTAATTTTTTTTTAAAAAAAAAAATCTTTAATATTGTGATATATATATATATATTATTGTAGTTTAAATAGTACAAAAAGCAAAACAAAATCTAACAATCTTATATTATAATTGGCAACTTCTTGTTTTTGATCCGATATAATTTGCAACTTTGTGTGTGTTGTAGTTCAGTTTTTTTTTTTTTTTTGTCTATTTAAATAACAGTTTGAATGTATTGTTTTGTAAAAAATATATATATATAATATATTTTCATAAAAAAATATAATAGTTATGCAATACAAAAAATTTAAATTTAACATTAAAAAAGAGAGCCCTAGCTTTAATATTGATTGAAGCTAATACAACAATACTATTTTTTGGTAATTTTACTGGGCTTGTGTTCTTTCAACAAAACCCCATAACCTGTAGTCTCACAAGAAGTATGTATCTATGCCAATTTCTACCAGCTTTATCCATAATTGTTCAAGCCCAATAAATTCTTTTAAAGTTTCGAATACTTTCTTTGTTATTTTCATTTGGTTAGTCAGTCTTTTAAATTTATTTATTATTAATTTTAATTATTATTTTCTATTTAATATTTATTTTATATTTTCTTTAATTTTTAGCTAAAATTTTAAAAGTACCTTCAATTACTGTTATATTTTTCTAAATTAGTACTTGATATGATAGTTTTTTAAAAAATAATAATAAATGTGTTATATAAAAAAAACCTCAATAACATGCATGTATATGAAGTTAACAATGGGTTCATTCGTGTTATGTTCATATTGGATTAAATTTTTTAAACTGGGTGAAATCATTTAATGATGTTTATGTTTATAATATGTGGGGTTTGTAAATGGAGTTGTCTAGTCCTATTAGATTAAAATGATTTGATATACATAATAATAAATAAATAAATATTAATATATTATAATCCAATTGTTGGATAGGTAGGCATGAGTGGACATAAAAATCGAATTAAACCGTCCAACTGTTAATTGAACTGAATTTTCAGTTAATCGAGCAAATTCGGTTTGAATACCAAAACTGCATATTTGATATTTATTCGGTTATGTTTGGTTTCGATTTTTGATATTTTTTTCGGCTCAGTTAATAATCGAAACGAATATATTCATATTATTATATTTTAAATTTTATACTAATAATTATATTCGATTTCGGTTTCGATTCTAGTTATTTGCAATAGTGCAAATATTTTCGATTAGGGTAAAAATTCAATTTGGATATTTCGGGTATTTGTTTGATTCTATTAGAGGCCTTCAATCCTAACCATTTGTTTACTACACTGTATATCTAATTTGTCGAAATTTTTGACTCAAATTTAATATTTTTCATCTACTTTGACGTGTGTCGGATTAGTTATCGCCGGCTCTAGTTGTACCTACTACTAAATTTGATTGTACGGGAAACAGGGCGATCAGAAACAGCACGGAGAGGCGGAAACTGGGATTCTTCTCCTGCGGGAGCGGCAACCCCATCGACGACTGCTGGCGCTGCAACCGCAACTGGCAGCGCAACCGGAAGGCCCTGGCCGACTGCGGCATCGGCTTCGGCCGCAACGCCATCGGCGGCCGCGACGGCCGCTACTACGTGGTGACCGACCCCGGCGACGACGACCCCGTAAACCCGCGGCCGGGCACTCTCCGGCACGCCGTCATCCAGGAGGAGCCTCTGTGGATCACATTCCGACGTGACATGGTGATCACTCTCAAGCAGGAGCTCATCATGAACAGCTTCAAGACCATCGACGGCCGCGGCGCCAACGTCCACATCGCCAACGGAGCCTGCATCACCATACAGTTCGTCACCAATGTCATCGTCCACGGCCTCCACATACACGACTGCCGCCCCACCGGGAATGCCATGGTGAGGAGCTCCCCGTCCCATTATGGCTGGAGGACCATGGCCGACGGGGACGCCATCTCTATATTCGGGTCGAGCCACATTTGGGTGGATCACAATTCACTCTCGAATTGCGCCGACGGGCTCGTGGATGCCGTCATGGGGTCGAACTCCATCACCATTTCCAATAATTATTTCACTCACCACAATGAGGCGAGTCTCTTCAGTCTGATAGATATATATTTAATCGATGGAATTTAATTTAATTTATCTTATTAATGCAGGTTATGTTGTTGGGGCATAGTGACTCTTACATGAGAGACAAGCAAATGCAAGTGACCATTGCATTCAACCATTTTGGGGAAGGCCTCATTCAAAGAATGCCAAGGTATGTTTTTAATGTAGCTAGTGTTTTGGATTGTTTTCATTTAATTGATGAAAAATCATTGTTTTGTTAAAATCTTGAACATAATCATAATACCGCAAATTTGTTTATAATACACTTTTGGTTTAAAAAGCCCATATAATTTTTTCTCCGTGACTTAGAAATTGAATAGGCTGCGGATTCTGTGTTGATCCGGTCAAGTCAACATAGTGCTGATTTTACTGGATTAGTCTATGCTATAGGGATGATCAATATATGTTTATATTGTGTTATAAAATAGCATATGAAGTTGAAAGATATGTATAAAAATATGTTGGTCACCCATATGCTATATGCTGATCTGATTAAATCAATATCATGTTGACTTGATCGAATCAGCAGCTGATCCATGTCCAATTGAATAAGTATGAGAATATGGTCGCTAGTTTTTTAGGGACACTGCACATAACTTCTAAATAACGAGTAATTGTTTGTTTTTGGTGTCCGGCGCGAATGTAGGTGTAGACATGGATACTTCCATGTGGTGAACAACGACTACACTCACTGGGAAATGTACGCAATAGGGGGTAGCGCCGAACCCACCATCAACAGCCAAGGCAACAGATACCTTGCACCGGCAAATCCCTTTGCAAAAGAGGTACATATATATATGTTCTGAACAACGTTGTAATCCAATCTAATCCGATCGAGATAATGGAGTTGGTGAGGTGTGGTGCAGGTGACCAAGAGAGTGGATACAGATGACAACCAATGGAAAGGGTGGAATTGGAGATCGGAAGGGGACTTGATGCTGAACGGGGCTTACTTCACGTCTTCGGGGGCTGGCGCATCATCCAGCTACGCCCGAGCTTCCAGCTTGGGCGCCAAGTCCTCTGCCATGGTTGGCCCTATGACTTCTGGTGCCGGCGCCCTCGGTTGTCGCCCCGGACGCTTGTGCTAGCAAGCAAACACCCTTACTTACACTTACACCCCTATTCACTATATATATAAAAAAAAGAAAGTCACACACATAGCATGATCCATGATGGATCATAAATGAACAATTATAATTATTGTTTCCATGTTTTTTTTTTTTTTTTCATTTGATCCCTTACCTATATATAAATAGTATTTTAATTTGGTTTCTAAATGATGTGGTTACTGCTACAGTACAGTACAACACAGAGTTCATCAGTCAGTAGAGATATGATTGATGATAATCGGCTCAGGCTCAACTCATTGCGCGCAACCTCGGCCTGCTGCTCTTCTCCGATCCGCCATTAGGTTCAAATCAATTTTATTGTTAGAAGTAGTGCAGGTGCGGAAGCGTTGTTGTTCATTATTTCTCTTAATTCGAACTAGCTAGCTAGCTACTTCTTGTGTTATATATAAATATATACATTCTCTATTATATTCTATACTTTGCTTAATTAATTTGGTTGTGCTGCTGTTGCTGTTGAGTTTGTAATGCTGATATATACACTAGCTCTGAAAAAACAAGTCCCACTGGGCAAACTATATGTGACAAATGGACTTGGAGGCTACGGGGTTTAAATCCATGACCTCACAATCACAAGTTCACTCCCCACACCATTAGGTTATCGATTACCATACTTCTATTTTCTATTGTTAAATAGAGGAAGAAAAGTTTGATGAGGTAAAGTTAAGAGGCCGAAAGAAATAGAAATTAAGTAGATATATATAAATATATATATATATAATACTTTTTTAGTTGTTTATAGGAATGATGAAAATGAATGAATGCATATATATAATACTTTTAGAAAAATTGACACTTGTGACACCCAATCAATAATGATCAAACAAAAGAAGACAAAATAGAACGATAAAAAAAACATCAAATATCAGATCATGCCTAAAATCAAAATCAATAAATCTGTGTTTGCTTTTGAGTTTGGATTGAAATTTAAATAGTAAAAAATTTCAATCGAAATTGTTTGCATGATATGATATAAATTAGTATTGATTTAATATTTTGAATGTAAAACTAAAAGTATAATATAAGAAAGGAAAAATAAGGGTTTGTTCACCCAAGATATTTTTGAATTTCAGTTTCCAAAAATAATAATAAATAATACAAAATACTTTTAACAAAAGTCAAAAAATAAAAAAATAAAATTCAAATACTTATTAAAAAAATCAAAAAGTCAAATATTCACTTTAAAATAATATATTTTATATTATTAACACAATTTTGTGTTAGAAATTTTTGGAAAAAATAATAAAATTGTCTTATTGATCGTCAAAATAAGAAGCTATGCGATACAACTCGATAGACTCAAATTTAAATAATATAACCTATGAAATCAAATATAAATATAAATCTTCACACAATAAATCAATTTATCAAAAAAACACTGAGTAAACAGATTGATTTAATATTTTTTTGTTGTTGAAATTTTATATGAATAAGAGAATTTCATTGAAATCCTTGGAACAAAAACATTCATCTCAAAATCACCAATAAATATCCTCAACCAAACGAGACTCCGCAAGCAATAAATATCCAACTCTAAATCTGGCGTCTTAACTTGGATTAAACCACATTAAATCAATCACCTAATTCTAACACCGGGCTCAATATGACACAAATAATACACAGATCGATACGTATGCCCTCGACAACAAGCAAGGTCGGGCCAGGTTGCATGTGCAATGTGTATCCACCTAACAACTAGTAATGACACCATACAAATTTGGAGATGGACTTAGGTGCGTCCGCTTTGTATTTGTACTAATATCTGTATTTAATAATAATGTTGGTTTGCTTGTTTGATCAAATTAAATTAAATATATTACATACATTTATTATTTTTATATTACCTATATAATTTTTTATATCTTACGTCAAAATACATCTTTTTAAATTATTTTACAAAACAAACAAACCCTGTGTTCTTCTTAAATTCCTATTTCAATACCATTATTTTGGAGTCTCCACACTCCCAATAAAAATACACTCTCCATATCAAGTAAAAATGTGGTCATTTTTTATTTTTCATTTTTATTTGTTATTTAAAAGAAAATGAAAAAGTCATGATATTTTTTAATAATTTTTGTACTATAAGATACAAAAAAATACACTCATACTAAAACTCGTACCAAAAAATTTGAGCATATTTTTATGTGTTGGATGAAGTATTACTATCTCTCACAAAACCTGGTACTAAAGTAATTATGCAAACAAAAAAGTAAAATAATAAATAAAACTAAAATTAAAAATATATATATATACACTTTGTTTGAGGATTATATAGTAAATAATAATAATAATAAAGAGAACTAACACTGATATTGTACCAACCACATGGTAATTAAGATTGGTACAAAGATTAGCATCATAGCATGCGACTATGTGAGGTGAGGTTGGGTCGTTTAATTAATTTCTTGTCATTTTTTGGGCCAAATCTCTCACTAAATTTCATTAAAACCCCACATGGACTGCCCTGCCCCTGCCCCTGCCCCTGCCCATGCCCCTGCCCCTATAGTAGAATGTAATTAGTATAATCAAAATTAAAAATAAATATCAGTGTTAGTTGAATAAATTTCATTAAAAAAAAATGATAAATAAATAATTAAAAATATATTAGTATAAATAAATAAGTAATTAGTATAATCAAAATTAAAAAAAAAAATTATAAATTTGAAAATAAAAAAGGTGATTAAAATGTGTAATCCTTTTTTTCAAAAAAGAAATGTAACATGATGAGATGTGGGACAAACAACAAAATATGTAAAAATACAAGCCCACCCAAAATAGTCATGAATTATATATTTTTACCTGAGATTAAACCCAGGTATGTCCTCTTGATTTCAGGGTTCAGTGTCGAATGAATAAGTGCCCTTGGCAAAGTGTGACTTCACCTGATCAAGGGCCCTATATCGGTGAGAAATCTTGTTCTTTTCTTCCTTCGGCATTTCAGCATAACTGTAACAAAGCACAGTACTATTTGTTAACTTGCTTTGACGACAGATTACTTGGGAAGAAGATAACTTACGTTAAATCATATCCATCTGGTTGGAATATCGGATCCCATCCAAAATCATTTGGTCCCCTAGGAGGAACTATTGTTCCCTGAAATTTCAATTGCAAAATGTCAGTAAGCCAGTTCTAATCTGTTTATGTACAATTCCCGTTAAATATGCATGATGTCCAATATTCCAAATGCTAAGTCGGCAATTCAACAAGAGAACAGGATTTCACCTATTTACCACAGATGTAAGAGGGAGATAGGGGATGCATAAAGTTAACAATAATGTAGGTACATCAGTGCGTAAATATTTCATGAAATTCTGAAGGCTGAAAACCTTAATTGATAAGTACAGCTCATATATGCTAATTCTAAAAAAACTGTAAACAAGTTTGCATGCACAATCCATCATACAAGAGACTGTTGTCTACATTCACCCGACTGGATAAGTACTGACAGTAGTATCTCTTAGAACAAACCCGCCTTCTAAAAGGAAATTTGGTTTTTTTCACTTGCACTATGGGATCCCTATTGCATAGTGATTTTTGTGTTTCTGTTATGCTACTATCCCCAAAAAAGTACCAGAAATTAATTCCATCCCTTACGAGGCAGAAATATTTATGGGGAAAGGGTCTAAATATTTCTCATTTCATGTATAGTGTTTGTTGAAAGCATCTTTTCTGTGATAGTTTCCAAAATGAGCCATAGAGATTGAGTCAATAAAAAGCAATGCATATAAAATGATTTAATATAATAACTACTGTATTATCGACTTGACATTCCAAAATTTGTATCTCTTAAACAATCCTAGTAAAGATTTGTCAGGGCTTAAGGAAATGAAAAGTATAAACTTTAGTTATCATTTTTCTGGAGGGCAGGAGCATACCTGAGTTTTACCAAGAAAAGTAATTGGATCTGCATTTGGTCCAAGAGCAAGAGAAAATACACAGAGGGCATAAGCTGATTTATCTTCATATGCTGCCAACAGATTGTTCAGACCTATACATAGATTAGAAGATAAACATTTTCCGAATAAGAAGATGGAGATAAATCTAAGTTGTAAACATGATTTTTACAATGCATGCTAAACAACCCTAGCACACATTACCTTGATGACCAATCTTCTCTAGAAACCACTTGCTGCAATTTCAGTTATCCCATCCAATAGTATTCGGAAATATACAAAACAGTGAAGTTAAACAAGCACATCAGGTATGGAGAAGGCAAAGTACTTAATGTATGCGATCTAAGCATTAATAGTGTTGCAAAGAGCATGCCTTAACAAGGTCAAACCACAAAAAATGTAATCAAATATAGCAACTAAGAGAATCAGAGCAGGTGTTAGTATGAAGTTAAATAGAACACAACCTGGATGAAATGGACCAAGGCAAAAGTTATTTTCTTCTCAAGTACTTGGAAAACACAACATGAAATATACACATCTATTGGGCAAATGAGCTCAGTCCATACAACACACCGAACACCCCCCCTCAAGCTGTCATATGCAGTTATGCACTGAGCTTGTAACATGCATACTTGATATGAGGAGTTTGAAAAGGTTTTGTGAAGATGTTGGCAAACTAATCATTAGAAGTTACATAGATAATAGCAATACAGCTAGATAAAACCTTCTCCCATATGAAGTAACACTCAATCTTGTTATGTTATGTTCGCTCATGAAATGCTAGCTTGGAGGCATATGAACGGAACTTGATTATCAAAAAAGTTATTTCCATCTCAAAAAACACTAACAAACATTAACTCTAAGAGTAAAGGCATAACCAAATAAGCTCATAGGTCACTAAAGCAATACCTCAATACTCAACTTAATTGCTAGATCTAGAGACAACATTTTGCTTCTTACTTTTCCATAATATAAGATCATCATCATAATAAATGCAATATCCTAGAAATAGAGTGTTAGTCAAAAGGTGGTCATGCCTAATCAACATCTGCATACCCTACAACTTGTATGTGCATTGATTCATATATAATACTCCTTGATCGGGTAATCTATTCACATACCATAAAATCAAACAGCATCTCAGTGAAAGGTACAGAGAGAAAGGAGAATTTGACTAAAGGTTGAAAGCATAGGAGATGTCAAGATGGGTGAGAGATAGTAAGGTAATCAAGTTTACCAACTATTATTGATAACCAACATCCACCAAGAGCAGGAAGCTTGGGGTTATATCCATGGGAAAAGTCTATGGGTTTACAATATGTCACATGTGTTTCTCGTCTCAAATACTTAGTTTGGAAATGCTGGAATAAGTATTTTGGATCACATATTTCATCTTGATCGCTGCAAATAAAGACAAGGTCATCAATGTAGATGACAAGGTACAAAACACCTGCTAGCTCTAGTATGTTTATAAAAGAAGGGAGTGATTTGCTTCACATCTAAGGTTTCAAACTCATGTATGATAATACAGCCATTAAAACCAAGCATGCAGAGACAGATGAGGATTAGAAAGTAGACATGCTTCATTGAAGGAAGTTCAAATAAATCAAAGTTTCAAGAAAGGTTAAGAGCATTGGGTGCCGGATCATGCAATACTGCGAGGAACTGACGGAGCAACACCAGCAAGAGCCTTGGGGTGGCAACAATTCTGTTCACATTTGTGCTCTCTCTTCTTGGATAAAAGCCACAAAGTTGGCAATGGCACAAGAGAGTGAAAAGTCACACAAGCAAGAAGACAGTTTCCAGTGAGAGAGGTATCTTAAATAATTTGAGGACAAATACAAGGATTCTAAACACCGTTTTAGCTAACACAAGGTATCTTATACATATATGTTAAAACACAGCCAATGCAGATTCAATTTACCCTTAAAACACAGGTTATATCCAAACATAGGATTGTACAAATGCTAGAATATCTTTCCAGGAATCTGATCCAAGGCCCTAATATTAAAGAGTTCAAATTCTCTTTTAAAAAAAAAAAAAAGAAAGAAAGAAATAAAGAAAAAGAATCTCTCACTAGACTTCTGTTATTTTTTTCACAAGCTCAAGAATTGGTGTAATGGACAAGCATAGGATAATATATTAAAGACAATACTTTATTACCATCTTCATGTTCCATTACATCCATGTTCACGTCAAGCTGAAAGTTAATACCTAGGATCCTACAGTAGCTTCTTTCTAATAAAAGCATTTTATAAAGATAAGAGAAGATGGTGATTTGATCTCACTTCTCAGGCAAAAGAAGATGAAAATCAGACCTAGGTTGAACAGCTCTTTGTCCAAAGCTATATTCTGATTGTTTTCAACAGCCACATGCTACTGTGTAATTAAACCCCCTTCCCAGAATATATATCCAGTGGCTGATAAAGTTTCAGCATTTACATATGAAATATACTAACTACTAAGATCCAACAGTTTTTCCATTTTAGCCTGGAATATAGGGAACATCATAAACTACATATCCTGTCAGTATTCTTAGGAATTTGCAATGCCTACAAAAAATGAACAAATAAATTAACATCACCTTAGTTGAAGGACATGAAACTTACATGTATGGCCCTGCAAAATTCTACAATTCGTTAGCTACAACCAGCATAGAATACAACGAATAAATCTGTGAAAAAAAAAAACAAAAAAATAAAAACCCCTAGAAGTTACCTGGCAGACCCTTGAGAGCATTGAAACAAAGACAAGTATCCTCCACCAGTACCGGTCCATTCACCTAAGCAATGAAAAAAAATCAACGGAATGAAATGAAAGCTTCTTCTCTCATTTCGACAAACACACTGTGTGCACTGCACACATCAGCATACCTCTTTCGCCGCTAATCGAGCCTTCTCCTTGGAAATCTCTTCAGGCTCGCCTTGTAATTCGGGAACTGTTTAAGAACAAAAAAAAAAAGAAAGAATAGCTTTAACACTGATACATACACACACCATGCGCAGGCTAAAACAAAACATTAACGCAACTTGCGACATACGATCGAGTTTGATGGAGCGAAAGGGGATTGAGTTTCCGAGGATTGCACGAACTTCTTCGAGCTTCTTGGCGTTGCCGGTTACGAATGTCACCGGCTGGGACAGCACCACGGCCCTCGCACCCGCCGCCATTTCCGCTTCTTCTTTTCTTGGCTCCAATTTTGTCCTTCAAACCCTCGTGGCTTTTCCCAATCCTAAGGATGTCGATTGGAACTTTGTTTATACTTCAAACGTAAAAATTATCTCGCACTTTGTTTCCGCTACCTATTTTCACTCTTTTTTATTATGACTATTCAATTTTTATTTTTTTTTAAATATCACATCGAATATTTTTTTTAAAAAAAAAATATATATTAAATCAAATATTAATATTTTATTTTTTAAAAATTTTTAAAATTTCGAAATCCCCAAATACCTCAATCTAAATATCTCGCTTCCAGCCATTTTTTCCTTTTACTACTCCCTCTCAATCTCCAGAAGAAGTATAGGGTTTTCCTTTTTTACTACACCCTAAACCCCAAAGTTTTATTTTTCATTTCCTTTTAATATTTTTTAATTTAGTAATTTTATTATTTATTTGATAAAACAATATTTTTTAAATTTATAATATATTACATAAATATTATTAATTTTATATTATACAATAATATTTTTATCTTATTATCCAGTGCGCATTTTCGGTAGCTACTGCAGATTCCCACATCGGTATTAGTATTTTTTAATATAATATTAATATTAAACAAATTTATAAAACCGAATTAGTATTTTTTAATTAAATATTTTTAAAAAATAATTTTGATATCAGTATAACTAAAATATATTAAATTTGTATAAGATAATATTTTACACATTTGAACTTGTCGTAAAAGATTTTTTAATTTTTTATTTAAATTTATTTTGAATTTTTATAATTTATTATTATATTTGATTATTTATATTTTTTTGTGCATGTAGAAAGAATTAAAAGAGCTACATAAAATAATTTGTAAGTATATGATTGTTTATATACACGAATCCTAAGTTGACCTATCTTAACCCATCTCCAACTTATCATAAGCCAAAAATTAGCGTTGTGACAGTGCAATATCAATTTTGATGTTGCTCCTATTTTTTTTTTTCAATTTTTTATTTTTATATTTATATTTATTTTTTATTTTTTATTTTTAAATTAAAAAAATTATTTTAAATTATAAAAATAAAAAGTCGTTTAAAATAATATGAAAAATTAAATATTTTAAAAATAATAGTAAAAATTTGAGTTATGATTGAAATAGCACTGCATATTTAAGTTAAAATTGAATAAATTGAGTTGATGGAGACGGTAAATAACCTTATTACCACAAGGCAAACTGCAAACTGCAAATACAAATACCGACATATATACCTCTAGTTCAGAAAATACCCCGAAATGAATCTGATTTAATTATCAATTATGGGTTTTTCTTACTTTATATATATATATATATGTTATTAATGTTAGATATGTAAATATATTAGTAATAATAATATTTTATATTGAATGAATTATTTTTTATGAGTAAATAAATATATATTATATATAATGTGTGATATAAAAGTAATGATATTTGTATAATATATCGTAAATTGTAAGAGTATTTTTAATATTAATAAAAAATACAGTTAAAGTTAAGAAAATGAGTACTTTGATACTAGACATATTATGTTAAGAGATAAAGGGAGTATTACTTCTATGGGTAAACTGTTTTTTTAGTCCCGTAATTGGACCCCTTTATTATTTTAGTCCCGTAAGTGGAGTCTGTCGCAAACTAGTCCCATAAGTGAAAAATTTTCGCTGTTTTAGTCCTCTGGCGCCAGAGACGCCCGCGTGGCTTGCGGGAGGTGACATGTCCGGCAAGTGTCTCACATGTCCGGAGGACTAGTTTTCAATTTATTCAATTTTAACTTAAATTATATTAATAATATAAAAAATAATATTATATATTGAATTGTTGATTTGATATAAATAAATAAAATATATATTGTATATCATATTAATATGTATATATTATATTTTTTGAAATATTTATAAGAATGGTATCATGTAAAGTTGGATGAACAAATCTTATATATATATATTTATATGTGTAATTGTATATTTACTCATCACATATGCAAGTGTATGTTTGGGTTTTTTTCAAAAATTATATTTGTTAATATTTTTTTTAAAAAAAAATCAATCTAAATATTATTTTTTATTATACTTAAAATTAATTTTATGAAGTATTAAAAATATCACACAAATATTTACTTATAACCTATTATATAATTATTTAAAAATATATATATATTTTTAGTAATAACTCAAACTAAAAATTCAAATTCCAAACAAAATCAACACGGTCCATACATTTTCTGACAGCGACATTTAGCAACAGAAGATTCTCACATATGCGAAAGACTCTAATTTGGAGAAGTAGAATGAGAATCGGAATTAGAATTTGATTAGATAAGTATATTCTTCGAGTTGTCAAATATATTACTTCATTCGTTCCAATACAATAGTCCTATTTACTATTTTTGTTCGTTCCAAAACAATAGTCTTATTTACCATTTTTGTTCGTTCCAAAACAATAGTCTCATTTCCATAAATAATCATATCACTATAAAACTACCCTTACTTTTTCATTATTATTACACAATTACTACTATTTTTTACACTAATACACTCACAAGAGTAAAAAAGTCTTTTACCCGTATTTTTTTACCCACTACCGATATAATATCAATATTCCTTAAATCCCATGATAAACACAATCCAGACTATAATTTTGAGACGGAGAGAGTATAAAAATTATAGTGGTTATCATAATGATTATAACTAATCAGCACCACTTCACCATGTGGATTAGTCTTAGTCAATACATTATAATAATATATACAATACATTATAATAATATATACAATACATGGTTGTTGTTGAAAAAACATAAGTCATATATATAATGTGTTATCAAACATATAGTCCCACCATCCCTTAATAATCTATCCATTTTTCCATTTTGGTCCGTCCCATAACAAAGTATCCGTTTCTTTTTTTAGTAATTGTACTATTTACCTAACATTACAAATACCCTTCTAATTTACAATATATTACACAAATGTCATTACCCTTATATCATACAATACTAATAGGGTTAGTTTAGTCTTTTTACCTTTATTTCTACTTTATCTCAATATAATACTAATATTTCTAAAACTCTGTGCAAAAAACGATAGATAAATTGGAGACGAATGGAGTATTATCTACTATGATAAAAAAAAAAAACATATACTATATATTATGTTTTGTTAATATATTATATAGATTATTATCATATACGGTCAGTTTATATAATGTATTATTATATTAATAACCGTGAGTAGTCTATTTATTTGTTGTCATTTGCGATTTATATATATTTGATGTGTTATTAACAAGACACTGATAAATAATAAAGTATATTAGTAGAAGCTAAATTACGTACTAAATATTTAATTTTATATTATTTAAATTTAATAAATGATAAGATTTGAAGAGATTATTACAATTGTCTTACTCTCATAATTAAAAAATTATTTAATTTGAATTAAAAAAAATTATTTATTTATTTGTTATTAAAATACAAATTTAATGTTATATATTTAAATAGAAAATAATATATTGTTATTAAAAACATATCAATTTAATTAAAAATAATTTTAATTTAAAATCAAACGAAGAATTTTGACTTTACTTATTTCGTTTATTTCAATAATATTCACTATTATGCATATAGATATATATATTTTTTTAAAAAATAAATCATAATTAAATGCAGCCCAAGTTGTCCACATGGGGAAATATATTTAAATTAAATATATTTGATTATTAATACATTTATAATTATTTATGATATATTTATATGTTTAGTATTTTGTTTGAAATTTTAATAAAAAAAATTGAAAATCTACATAGATGATATATTATGTAATACTTCATTTGTCAAATTTTTATCTTGGACAAATTGCCCTTAAGTGTATGATAGAAATTAAAAGTAATAAATGAATGAAGGGTAAAAATGTAAAATTTGTATTTAAAAAAAAAAAAGGACAATAGTTGTTGGACGTCCCAAAGAAAGTAAGACATTAGATTGTGGACGGAAGGAGTAATTCTTTTCTATTTATATAATAAAATAATTTTGGGAAAAACAACAGAAAAATACTAGTATTTATTCTATTTATATAATGTATATATTGTGTATTTTCTATATAAATATATATACATATATTTATATACTAAAGGTTTATTAAGTGTGTGTTTGTTTGAGATTTGAATAATAAAAAATTTGAATTTGAATAGCTGTATGATGTGATATAGATAAGTATTGATGTGATATTTTGAATGTAAAATTGAATTTTAGTATAATATAAAAAATAAAAATAGGTGTTTGATTTGATATTTTTTGGGGGAAAAATGGGATGAATAGTTGTATGATGTGATATAAATAAGTATTGTTATAATGTTTTGAATGTAAAATTAATTTTTAATATAATATTTAAAAATTAGATATTTGATTTGATATTTTTAGATAAAAAAAATTAGATTAATAGTTAAAATCTTTACAAATTCTCCAAGTAAACACACTCATATTTTTTAAAAAAAATGAATATTAATGTATATTTTTAATATGTAATAATAATTTTTTGTAAGTAAACTGCCTAGACCGGTTCTACAAATTCTAAAATTAGCTTAATAAAGACTATTTAATTTTTCGGGACGAGGCTGATTCTAAGTCCTGCATTGAGTTAAAAAAATTATATACAAATATATTTTATATATTATCAATATAATATAAATAAAAAAACCTTCAATATTTTTGAAAATTTGACGTTATTCACATTTTATTTTTTTTGTTTTTTTAAAAAATTTCAAACTTTAATTTTCAAAAGACTCTTGTTTAGATGGAACTTTGATTTTTGATTTTTTATTTTTAAAAAGAAAAAAAAAAAAACTTTAAAAGGAGTATCTAAATAGAATTTATAATTTTGTTTGTTTTGCATTAATTGATAGACATGGTCGGGTGACTGTGATGAGTTAATACGTACGTACTAACGTAGCCGACAATCATACCATATCCTACATTTTGTTCTACTTTGACTTATATTGATTTCAACATCCTTATTAAATACTCACATCTATAATAATAATAATAATAATAATAATAATAATAATACTGATAGGGTGTGTTTGTTTGAGAGATTGGATTTTGAATTGGGATTTGAACAATAAAAATTTTGAATTTGAATAGTTGTATGATGTGGTATAAATAGATGCTGATGTGATGTTTTGAATGTAAAATTGATTTTTAGTATAATATAAAAAATGAAAAATAAGTTTGATCTGATGTTTTTGGGGGAAAAAAATGGGATGAATAGTAAAAATTAAATCCAATCCCCTGAACAAACACACTCGTAATCTTTACTATGTAGTTTAAAATTAAAGCACCACACTAACCATCATTACACATTTATTTTTTACATTAAAATAAAATATACTCATATTGAAAAATGAAATAATCGCCGACAACGGTATTTTATAGACAGAGAATATATTTGTTCGAGGGTGCAACGAAAGAACAAAACGACAAAACAAACTGTGGGTTTGAGAAATGGACACATAGGAACGACGGAAGGGAAAAGAAAAGAGCACAGAGTTCGAGGCACGACGAGGCGTCTACAGAGCACCGCGATAGCCATCAATTTCTGTACGGCTAAGTTTTCATTTCAATGGCGGTCTTTATTTATTTATTTTTGCTTTATCTATAATAAAAAAAGAATATCGGGTGTATGTATGTATGTATGTATAAGAAGGGATCAGCTCGAACTGACTTTGTGTCGTCTTTTTACGGAATCTTGTGGCATCAGCTCGCCTGCCCTCTTTCTCGCTCCTCTCCTCTCTTTCTCTCTCTCCTTCGCTCGCGCACACACACAGTGCAGAGGCGACGTGTACAAAGTTCGTTACTTAAAAGTTTTTTGTTTTTATTTTTATATGGAAAAGCTTTGAAAGTTATGCCGTTGTTGAGCTCCCCTGCGGACTGGGGGCCTTTTTATTGTAGATTTTTGTTTGTTTTTCTAGATTTCGATGGCTGATCGTAGAGGTGGTTCTGAATTGGGTAAGCGTAATAAAGGGAAGGCGACTTGGGAATTGGAGGATGGTCCCTCGGGGTTTCCTTCTTTCACCTCTGCTTGCGGTCCGGTTGGGTTTTTGCCCGACGGCGTGGAAGATGAGGAGGAGGAGGAGGAGGAATCTCGGGATCCTTTGATGATCTTCGGCTCAGGAATCATGATGATGATTCTGAGCAAACTTGACGCACGCAGCGTGGCACTAGCTCGTTTGGTCTCTCGTGAATGGCTCGCCGTTGCTTCCAGCGACAAGATTTGGGCACCTAAGGTTCTTACCTTTCCAACCCTTATTTGCTCGTTCTCTAATAGTGTGTCTTCTTTCGCTTTACCTATTGTTGATGGAGAGTTTAATTCCTTTCTCTACTCTGCTTGGGATTGAGTTGAATTGAAGACGAGGGCTTTATTACAAATTAGGTCTCTTTGAGCAGCTCCTGTTGATTGATTGAAACACATATTAGGTCTTTCTTGAGTTTGTTGTTATTGTTGCAACTAGGTCACTTCGTAGATTTCAGAGTATGTAAGAAATCATCCTGGTTTATATGTTTCAGGGTTTTCTCTCTCCACCCCCTTTTCCTTATCCTAGACCATGTTTAGAGAGAGAGAGAGAGAGAGACCCCAGTTAGATATTAGACATTGAAAGCGTTAAATGAAAATAGAAACAGTGGTAGGTTGAAGCTTCTGAAACTGAAAATTACTAATAAGATCAATGAAGATTCCCTTTTCCTTTACTTCAATAGAATGTTTGGTTGGGTATCAGATAGTAAATTCAATAGATGAATTTGTTAGCCTTCAAATATTAATTGCAAGCAAATCTAAGAGAGAGAAGAAAAGTCAGATTTTTTGACAATATTGCTGTTACATATTAAAAAGTGGTGCTTTCAGGCTAAGTTCTAGAACATGTAGTAAAGAAGCTAATGATACTGAACATGATTAATAAGCTTAGGATCTCGGTTTATATATAGGACAAACTTTTAGAGGAGAGCTGAGTGACTACTTCTATTATCTTATCTCAGTCCCGTACCAGTCTTTCGAACTTTAGCTTTATCCTTGTGCTAGAAGCACACTGATGGGATGTGGCTGACTTTCATGGCCGATGACCCTTAATAATAGTCACATCACTAAATGTTCACCATTTCATTAAGCACCACAGGATATAAAAAGTAAATGTGCCTTTGTAATTGAACTCTTACTTCGAAGGAGGACTAACACTAGAACTATGATTAGTAGTACAAGCTGGTAGAGTTCCAATGAGTTTCATTCAAGCATGTGTAGATTGTGCTGTGATATAACTAAACAAGTCTTGGGAACTGAATTCATCGAATACAGAGAAACATGGCAAGTATTAGAACTCAACAATTCCATTCTTACATCTTACTTAGAGTTAGCTCAGATGCTTGTCTCCATAGATGGAAAACCATTTGAACCAGATGCTTGCATAAACTTGTACCTAGTGTTCCTTTGCTCTTCAAACTGCTCTGTTGTGTCACACACAATTATCTATATGAATTATTCTGCCAAAAAATTCAATCTGACCATATCTACTTGCTTCCTTAACTTTCCTTTAAGAAATATATAGAAAAAATACATTAAATTATCTGCAGGAACCTCTGCAAAAGTTGCCATATGAGTTTGCATGGTAAATGAGCACTATAAACACAAACAGTAGGTTGCACAAGACAGAGACCTTCTTGATACTTCCCTTCTCTTATCTTGGTTCAAACTCATCCGAACATATACTTTGCAGTGTCATTGTGTTTAATAGTTGAAAGGTCAAAAACACATTCTTGCACCAGTTTTACCAAATACAAATGAACTCCATTCCACTATGGGAGAAAATAGAGTGGTAATCCGAATGGGAGAAAAGAGAGTGGTAATCCGATCAAAATAAAAAAAGAAAAAAGAAAAAGAAAAAGAAAAGAGAAGAGAGGTAATAATTAGTAACAGGGGACATTCTGAGTTGTTAAACCAAACAGAAGAACTTTGATCCTTGTTTAATAAATAGTTGGATGAGGTCAAACACCTTCTTACACCATTTTTACCACATAGAAATGAACCCTATTCCACTATGGGAGAAAAGAGAGTGGTTACAATTAGTAACATGGGACAGTATGAATTGTTTAACCAAACAACCTTGATTAAGAGCAGACTGGGACTTTTCTCCTGCATTTTTTTTCTTTAATTGATGTTTTGAAGAGGAAAATATTGGATTAGCTTGAGAATTGGTTACAGTAATTGTGGTGGATTAATTTCAGGATTTACAAATTCTTGCTTCTATTAGTACAACCTAATCTGTAAATAACTCATTAGATGTGTAATGCACAAGCAATAATTGTAGTTTGATATAGAGATACCTACAGTTCTATTGTACTCTTACTTGGTTGTTCACTTATTTGATATAAAGAAAGCATCAGGTGCAATTTTACTTGGTTGCTTGATGTAAAGAAAGCATCACTATGGCCCACAGCTGCAATTGAATATTGAGGTTACTGTCAATAATTGGTAAAAATGTGATCAATTCTGGGATGGAATGGCATGTAGAATAACTTGGAGAGAGAGGGGTGGGGGTGGGGGTGGCAGTATGTTTTCCTTTAAATAATCTGTTTATTAATTTGCTTTTTATTTTTTCTGTAACTGAGAATATGGGAATCAATACAAAGGAATGTACATGCGGAATGACAGAACTGCCATGCTGTAACCTTCAATATAAGCTTGTTACTCATAAAAATCCATGTTATCATGGATGCGATAAAGAGGTTTGAATTTGGAAAGGCTGTTTTTGGGATTTTTTTCCATCCTTGGGTTTCTGTATTTGCTACGTAAGTGTTATTACCTGAAATTGTGAATTCCTGCACATGCCCTGTTTCAGGATATCTTTCATATATGGCATCTTAATTGGCGATCAAATTCCAAATATGCATTCTGCTTTTCTTTGTGGAGTGGAAACCAGCACCTTGGGCAAAAATGCTTTCCAACCACAAGGAATTGATTTACCTCATAATTGTCTTCCTGTTTTGGTGCTACGCAATTTAAGTGCAAGTATATTTTAGTTGAAACTTATTCTTTTATGTTATAACATGTGCTGGAGTTTATTATTTAATTTAAAGTACAAGCCATCATTAATAGTGGCCTTATTCTATTGATGTACAATGATTTATGGGAAGCAAAGATGGTTCAGTCCTTTATGAATTCCAGGAGGTTTTGATTATAGGGGCTGTATTCAAATAATAATTTGATTGTTTCGGTTATCCTTGTTGACGGAAGCTGAAGACTGAAAGTTAGTCTTCTTTTTTATTATCTGCACATTTGTTGAGCTGAATTGCATGCTTCCATGAGTGAGTTATCTGTTTTCCATTTTATGTTGTTCGGTTGATAAAATTTTCTCAATTATTGCAATTTGTATTTACACTAAATATGCTTGTGCATTTCTATATATGTGTAGTAACCGATATCTCAATTTTGCAAGTGTTTTAGCAACCAAGGCAAGCTAGATTGAATATTGTAGGCACAAATTTAGAACAAGCCTTGAGGATGTCTAGTTCTTTAGAAACAAGTGTGGACTTAGTCACTTAGAGCATAAACATGCTTGTTCAAGAGATTTCTTATGTTTTATTTAGCTAGGATATGTTATATACCATCCGAAGAATACTCGATAGAAGTGCTCGTCTAACTAGAATTCCGGAAGAATACTTGAGAAGTGCTAGAGTTGGATGCACCGATGTCTTTTTCCCAACCACTTATAAATGCAACAAACAACCATTCCATTTTGGTTCATTAAACATTCCTAGTAAATATAGTTGGGGACTAGTTAGAGACAAAGCATTCATACGGTGAGTGATGATTGATCAATGTGGGAGAAGAATATACGATTCACTTTCAAATCCTCGACTATGGGCCCGAATCTATGCCAGTGTAGGATCCCGATAGCGGGTGGCAATACTATTCTAATTGAGAAGAATATTGATAGACGACATCTTCTTTTGTTATTTAAATTTATCATTAGGCTTAAAGCTACTATACACCGTTATCCAAGGAATTGAGATATGCTTAAACTTGTTATATTTAAAACTAAATATGAGAATTGATGGTAAGTACTTTGTCTCAGGAAAAAGGACTAGTTGCAGTTGTACATCGAGATGGAAGCATTATGATGTCACCAATGGTAAGACTTTTAATGCATTTGTAGATTTAGAATTAATACCAAAAAAATGCACAAAGGCATTTATGTTGCACCTAACTCACCCTCTTCACCTACCCCATGGGAGATTTCATGAAATAGATAATATATACTTAGGATATGCATAAAATTTAATAGTTCTAAATATAGTAAAAATGTGTATAATACAATTTTAAAATACACATCTATGCATCGAAACTACCCAACCAACCCAATCACCCACTATATATTTACTTTTATATAAATTTGTACATTTAGTTTAAAATATTTATGTTATATATCTTTTATGTATGCTTAGTATCCCATGTGCTCAATCACATTTATGATCCACCCTATCTATGTCGACCAACCCTACCTCACGCAACCCTTCTCTCTTCCTTAAACCAAGGGAAATAAATATGTCCGGTACTCATATAAAAGTAAGGAAATATTAATAAAGTATGATGTAATATGTTCATTCATGCTATGCCTACTTAAACCTACCTCTCCCTCTTCCATCCCAGGAAATAACTATGTAACGTAAAAGTATACAATATGAATATAAGCACATTATATTAGATATATATAAAATGTACAAATTCATTTATGTTTGTCAAACTTGCCCCAAGCTGACTCCCACCTTTTCTCTTATATGGAAAATAACTACATTAAGTACCTTCATAAAGTAAAAAATCTACATAAAAGTAAATAAGATACAACATAATATACTTATTTTAAATTTTTTCTTGAACTTATCCCATACCTCGTATATTATATATATGTATTTTGTACATAAATGTATAGTAATTTCCTATGGGGTAAGAGATGGGAGAGGAGGGCGATAGAGCAAGACCGAACATAGATGCAGTTGTTCGTTTTTATGATGTTTGAGTGTTTAATATTGATGTTCATGGAAAGAATTTATTGGAATATTAATTGAGGAAAGAAAGTAGAGGTTAAATGTAGAAGTAGGGAAACCCAATGCTTGATAGAATTTGGTATAGCGCCCTATTTTTGGACTTGTTCATTTGGTTAAGAGGCCTTTAATTGATGTTGGAAGGGCATGAAGTGCATTTTCAAAATGGTGAAGTGAGAAGGTTTGTGATACGCTAGAGTTGGATGCCTGTTTTGGAGTTTGAGGTGTGCTTCAAAGTGGTAAATATGGAAAATCGACACCTTTCTTGACATGGAAAACATTGGTGACATCTTTTGGACAAGAAATGGTGGCTAGCCTTAACTAATGGAGTTTGAGGTGTGCTTTCAAAGTGGTAATATGGGAAATCAACACCTTGTTGACATCCTATGGACTAGCAATGTGGCTAGCATTGACTAATGGTTGAAGAGTTCTATTTATAATGATTATATTTGATTTATCACACTTTTTATTATTAAGGCCTTCCTTGTAATTCATCACCTAGCAATGGTCCATTTTTGAGCGAGTATGAGAAGTCTCGCTCATTCTAGTCATATACCTTCTTGCAATGTCTTTTGGCAAATGCAGTTGGTGGAACATAGTACTTTCTCACGAGTATTGGGTGCGAAGACATTGTTGCATTAAGTCATTAATCAATTGAAGATAAGTTGAATGACCTAGATCAACAAGAAGTTTAATTGTGGGGTTGGTTTTAAGATAATTGAGTGCTTAAAACCCATAGTGTGGCTTGAAGAGAAAGACCTTGAAACCTTAGTCACTCCTTAAGTAGATGATCAGCCATTTTCTATGGGATTGACTAGGCAAAAGTGAGAGAATACGACAAATGTCAGCTGATATGACATCTGATTTGTTAATGCTTTTGGAGCTTAATGGGATTAGAATCAGTTTACTCTTGTAGGTTGAACAAATACAACTGGTTGAGATTAATGTTGTACACGACGTTCTATTTCCCAAGTTTCCGTCAGCACAATGTCAACCGCATGGGTGGCGTCTTTCGGATCATGTAGGATGACACCCTTACATTCTAAAAAGATACTTGACTATCAATATTTTGAACATGGGATTAGCAGATAAGATTTTTACTTGGTAAAGTTAGCAATGTCTCGAATGATCTAGGCTTCTAGTTCCTGTTGGCTGCAGATATTGGTCATATTGTCATCTATTGCTAATTTGCGGGCACTACAATAAAATTGGAGTAGAGTTGCTTAATAGGTAACTTGAGAATGATAATGTCCACCCACAAGATAACACGGTGATGAATGCTGCAAGCAAGACAATTGCCGAAACCAATATTGGAACGACTGTCAAATTTGGCCACTGATTGGTTCTTCATGTCAGTTCAGAATGGTTTGCAATTCCTAGATTAGAACAGCCAACCAAGTTGAGTGATTCATAGAAGTTTAGGATTCCATAATGAAGTTTTCTAGTTTGTATGACCAAGCAAGGCTTGCCACAAAACTGGACTTTCCTAAACAAGCAAGAAAAGCCTTTAATACTTTTCTGGTAGCTTACTAGTTCAATTGCTACAATCAATCAAATTAAATCCCTGGCTGGCTAGACCAGGGCTGTTCACGAGCACAGAAACATGGTTGGCATTAACTGGGGTTCACTTGAATTATTATATGTGCTGGTGTAGCACTTTGATTCCATTTCATTAAGTAACAGATTAAATGGTTACACTTAAGAAATTCTTCATTAGGAACAGTTCAACAATTTCTCTATGCGCAAATAGTCGATGTAAAGAAAATAGAGGAATTTCCCCAGTATTGGGGTGTTTAACTATCATATCATTCTTCTTGTACTTCTTATATTAGACTATAATGGAATAAATAACGCAATAATAATCGGATAGATAAACACAATTGTCAGGTCTATCTACTAGCCACTTGTAGATGTTTGATCTTGTGCCATATATTCAACAATTAGTAAATCTCTCTCTTTGGAGAGAGCAATAATCATAAAAACATGATCACATTCTTCAAGGTTTCACCAAGAAATTGAAATCACACCTTTCAATAGCTTAAATGAGTATTGAGAAATAGTGTTCGTTTTATCAGAAAAAATGTTTTCATGTGGTACTCTCACTCCTTGCATGCATCTCCTTAAATGATGAATTTTGTCCATCTTTAGTGAATTTTTTGTCTATTTTTTTTGTTTTAATTTTGAATAAATGCAATCAAAATAACATATCAGCACATATATCCATATATCCATACATTTACAAATCTGGGTCTTGAGTGTGATGCCCGAAACCACGAATTGTAATGTGGGAAGACTATACCTGCCCCTTTTGAATAATACATGACTGCATCTAGATCCTTACTGTTAGTTGTGTAATGAAGATACTAAAAATGAGCCCAATTTTACATTTTAAGTTCATGTTTGGCAAAATTTGGTTTTATGGAATCCCAAATATTTCTAATAAAATATTGTAACCCAATGTAACTTTATTTTGGCCCCTTGGCTATGTTGATAATTTAATATATTAATATAATGATTAAAATTTGGTCCCTCAAGTCTTCTGATTCTCCAATTTAATAACTAGTATAGCTACAAGAACTTTTTGTTCTGCACATTAATTAGTGAGTGCAAGTGTAGCAAATTTATTCAGTTCAAATGATTTTGTAAGATTATCTATACGCTATCGTCGAAGAAACACACTACATGCATCTTTGATAGAAGCAGTGGCTATTTTAAGAACTTATCATTCTTTTCAAAACTGTCACTTCTTTATCACAATAAACAGAAGTAATGTCTGTGATCCACAAAAAAAGAAAAAAGGGGAAAAAGAAAAAATCCACTACCTTTTCTAAATAGCATTGAGTTTAAAAATCAAATGCATTATGTACCCTTCCTGCACATTGAAATACACGACTATTGATTTTATAGCCTTGTCATTCTTAAACTTGTATTGTATAATAGTAACTAATTATTGTCACTGTATTGGAAAATAGTTGCCATTCCCCAACATTCTCATAATAATCTTTTTACTTTGTTCTCATTAGAGTACAAAACATCCACTTAGATAAGGATACATTTTCAATATTCCCTTTTATCATATCCTATTGGATTTTATGATCCTCAAGTAGATTGTAACCTTTTACCAAATTTAAGTTCATACAAGTTTTTCCAAATCCTACAGCATGTAAACTTTTAGATTATAACATGGCCATCCTTATTAACGATACTTGAAACCTACTATATCACATGTTATATCGCAAATTAGTTTGTTTGAAGAATTTGGTGTCTTGCACTAAGGATTTGTGAAATAATTTTTCATGATTAATGTTATCTAAATTAGAAAAGTATTTTCACTAATTAAGTGGTATATAGTACATGTAAATTATTCATAAACTCTTAAGGGTAATGGGCCATGGGTGTGGCGCACACTTGACACATTTTAACCTTAATGATACAAACTATACATTCAGCAAACCCCTGAAGTTGGAGCACGTAACTTGTCTTTCTGATCTCACTTATAAACGAGGATGTGCATTTGTCTGTTCCTCGATATCAATAATAATGAAATGATCTTTTTTCCTTAAAAAACCATAATAGAAGGACCTTTGGGACTTGGTGAGGATGTCGGGAAGATGCACACTGGAAGGGACATAGCCATTAATGCAACTACATTACACCACTTGTATAAATTGATGACCAACCTTGATATGTCTGACCTTATCTTGAAAATGAGAGGTCATAGAGGTGAAGAAGTAATTGGGAGACTTGTCTCACTACAATTAATTTTAATGTTAACTTGTAGTTTCTTTTAGTGCACCATAATTTAAAAAGGTGAACAACTCAAAATGGGTTGAATAATGATTGCTAAAATTTGACAGAGTATGGCTTGGATCCGAAGAAGGCTAGCTCATAGGGCACAAAAGCTAGTTATTGATATGCTTGAGAAATGAGGCATTCCTTTACTTTTTGAGCGATCATAGCTCATAATCAAAGTTAATAAATGAGACGAACAATTCCCAATCATGGTCCTTGCGGATCGGAATTTCGAGATCATACATATGAATTTAGGGATTGGGGTAACAGAGTTGGAGAGACATGGGTGACACAAGTA